TACTAAGGCTTAGCCTATGTCTATGCTCTTGTTATCTTGTAGGTTTACTTTTTTTTCTCATAGTAAGCCCTAGTCCTATACTATTCATACTACAATTTTAAAAAAATTGCTTGAACATTACGAAACGTATTTTACCTATGTCTATAATTTCAAAACCCTTAACGTTGAAATAATATTTCTTCGCTTTCGGCTTATCACACAACAATACTAATGAAGCCTGACCGATTAGTCATTACATTACATTTGGCTTGTATTTATTTACAGAGAGGCGAGGCATTCTACGTTTCCCAATAAAACCTCTCAATAAATATTGGTGCATAATCATCATCACACTACATGATTTCTATTTCTTTATATCATATCATAAAACGGGCCCTGTTATCAGGGTGAGTAACAATTCTTACAGCGGATCAGGGCAAACATTTCAAGGTTTTGTTGGGAGTGTTTAAGTGGTGGTAAAATACGAGACTGGAAATCGTAATCAAAAAAAACTAAGCTTGAGCTTACTAAGTCAAAACCTACTAAACATAAGCTTCAGCCTACTAAGCCTAAGCCTACTAAGCCTAAGCCTACTAAACCTAAGCCTACTAAGCCTACGCTTATTAAACCTAAGTCTGCTAAGCCTAAGCCTACTAAGCCTATGCCTATTAAGCTTAACCCTACTAATCCTTAGCCTACTAAGCCTAAGCCTACTAAGTCTAAGCCTACTAAGCCTAAGCCTACTAAGCCTAACCCTACTAAACCTTAGCCTATTAAGCTTAACCCTACTAAGCTTTAGCCTACTAAGCCTAAGCCTACTAGGGTTAGCTCTGCTGAGCCTAAAGTTACTATGCCTAAGCCTAGTGGACTTAAATCTAAAGCTAAGCCAAGTAAGCCCAATCCTAATAAATCAATAAGCCTAAGCTTACTAAGCCTTAAAGCCTGAATCCTAAACCCACTAAGCCTAAACATAATAAAATTTTTCCCTTTTCTATACTAGGTCTACGCCTTAGAAGCCTAAGCCATAATCTAAGCCTACTATTTAAGAACTAAAAATATTCATTTATGCAAATTTTTCGATTCAATATCTAAATATTCGTGCTTATCACTTCTAATCATCGACTCTTCGATCGTATACTCTGTAAACTTTCCGACCTTATGCTACGTCGTGTATGCCGTCCGAAGGTTACACAGCCCAGTAATTTAAGATATTATAATTTGAGAGTCAATTTGCTTTCCGAGTAAACGAGAAAGACGAAGACGAAAATGTTTTTGCCATCCGATCGGCGAGTAGAGATAAGATGGTAAAAGCCGCGTAGTAACACCACCGCTTCTGCTCCCCACTCCCCCCCATTCAATCCCAAATGGCTTTGATATGGACTCGAATGACAGGGGCGGTGTTAAGTACAACCCGCCCGGATCCGCTTTTGATTACTAATGGGGCCAACCACCAAAGTTTTTGCGCCGCATTATGGTTAGGAAGGACTGTAATTAGAATAGGCAAATGTTTTGATAGGAAGGAGTGACGGAGAAAAATTGTACGGTAGAGTAAAATAAATATATATTATAAGATATAAGTTAATAGGTAGGATACTATTATATTTGTATTGTATTATACTGTAGAGTAGAGTACAATGACGGTAGGTCAGGGTAGAATACAACTAGTAGAGTACGGTACGGTAGGGTATGGTACCACTAATGCAGTACCGCAAGGTAGATTAGCACGAACAGCGTGCGGTATGTTAAAGTAGAGTACCACTTGCAATACAGTACAGTACGGCAGGGTATTTACAGTACGCGTGGTTTCGTAAGTAAGACATTGCGTTAAAGAATACAGTACGCAGTGAAAGTAGAATAGAAATATGCCGAGTCTATGACTAGAGCTAAGGCTAGGGTAAGGTTCTAAACTAAGTCTCTGGGCTAGCGCTGTCGGGCTAAGGCTCTGGGCTACGGCTCTGAGCTAGGGCTCTGGGCTAGGGCTTTGGGCTAGGACTCTGGGCTAGGGCTCTGTGGTAGGACTCCGGGCTACATCTCTATGGGCTTTGGGCTAAAGGCCATCGAGCTAAAGCTTTCGGGCTAGAGCTCTCGGGCTAGGGCTCTGGGTTAGAGCTCTGGGCTAGGGCTCTGGGCTATGACTCTGGGCTAGAGCTCTGGCCTAGTCTTTAAGCTAGGGTTAGGGCTAAAAAAATTTACGTTTTGTATTTCTTTGTTTAAAAACCCGCGTAAAGTAATGTAAGAACAATGAAACAGTGAGTTACGGCGCTTATTTCCAAGATTCCCAGTTAATACCTACTCGGTTTCCCTCCATTTCTTCTCTTCAATCACTCCGGTTAAAAACGTAAAAACTGACCTATCATTCTGTGTCCCTTTTTCCTTTTCCTATGTGTGAAACACTTGCTTTAGGCAACTTTTTAGGGTTTATTACTGATTATTTTAATTTTTATTTTAAAATTAATTTTTTTTTCTAAAATAAGTTTATATTGTTTTGATCTCATGTAACTTTGTTGATAGACTAAATATCTTTATACAAATTTAGGTTTAAACAGGCTTTATTTTGCTTTACATTATGTTCTAAACATAATTTTTTAAAAAACATTTTGAATTTTGAAAATTTAATTTTTCGTCAAAAATTTCGATTTTTCACTTAAAATTTGTACTTTTTTAGTTTTTGATGTACTGTAACTTTATTTCTACGTTAAATATCTTTTTGAAAATTGAGATTTAGATAGGGTTTATATTCCTTTACATTACCCTAAAAATTTATTTTTCAAAAAGTTGTTTTTAATTTTGAAAATTTAATTTTTCGTCAAAAATTTCAATTTTTCACTAAAAATTTGCACTTTTTTTATTTTTGATGTACTGTAACTTTGTTTATAAAGTAAATATCTTTTTGAAGATTTAAATTTAAGTAAGTTTTTTGATAGTTTTTGTTCAAAAAAAATTATTTTTTAGGCAATTTTGGGCTTTTTTACTTTTAAATAACTGTAACTTTGTCAATTCTAAATTGATGTTAACCAAACTTTATAATTTGATATTTTATTTTGTTTAACATTAGCTTTTAACTATATTTTTATAAAAAAATTAAATTTTAAATTTTTTATTTTTGTCAAATCTTCTCCTTTTACCTATAACACCCAAACCTCGCTAAATCCTGGCAAAACTTATAGTATACAACCCTAAAATCCACTCCTTTGAAGTCTCAAATCGAGTATATCTATTTTACTTTGCTTACCTTTCGGAATGCCAGTTGCCAATCACTTTGCCTCAGGGCGAGGCACATAATGGAAGGTCGGAATAAACTGGCCGCTTTAGCCGACCAGGTGGTAGGTCACAAACTGTTGCTCTCAAAGTAGGCCCCCAGAGCTCTTAAGACCTTGTAAAACTTAATTTGACACTATTTTACGAATTTTTCGACTTGAGAAAAGGTAGGTTATTTAAATAGGCTAGTAGTGGGGTAGGGTAATATGGGCGTTTTAAAAGCTTTAAAGGGTCAAGTTGCGTTTAAAAACTATTTTACTTAAAGGCTTATAAGCTTAAGGTTACTTAGCTTAACCCTATCACGTCTAAACCTACTAAACTAAAGCTTAATAAGTCTAAAAATAAGCCTACTAAGCCAAAGCTTAATAAGCCTAAGCCTAAACCTGATCTTAATCCTAAGACTAAAAATAAGCCTAAGCCTAAGCCTACGCCTAAGCCTAAACCTAATCTTAATCCTAAGACTAAGCCTAAGCCTAAGCCTAAGCCCAAGCCCAAGCCCAAACCTAAGCCTAAGCCTAAGCCTAAGCCTTAGCCTTAGCCTAAGCCTAAGCCTAAACCTAAGCCTAAGCCTTAGCCTAAGCCGTAGCCTAAGCCTTAGCCTTAGCTTTAGTCTAAGTTTAAGCCTAAGCATAAGTATAAGCCTAAGCCTAAGATTACGTTTAATTTTAAGCCTAAGCCTAATCTTAAGTCTAACTCTAAGTCTTAGCCTTATCCTAAGCCCAAGCCCAAGCTCGTGTTCATGTCTAAGATAAAATCTAAAGTTAAACCCAATCTTAAGCCTAATCTTAAGCTTAAGCTCTAGCCTACAGCTTTATTTTTAAAAACAAAAACAAAATTTGTGTTTATACAAAACTAGCCCTGCTTTTACAAGGTATACAAGCTGTTACAAGAAATTGTGCGATCACGAAAAAAAACTTGTGTCTTTGTATAAAATTATTGTCTGATAAAAGGTGATAAGAATGTTACAATATAAGAGAGCCAGTAGACGTCTTCAATATTTTGTGATTCTCGTGTTTTATATTCGATAGGTCAATTTGAGCATTATTTTTGCTAATTTTAACGCTTTTTAAAAAAATTATTTTTTTTGGCACTTCGTTACATTTTTGGCCGAAATGTCACTTTAAGTATTGACTTTTCTTATTTTACGAAAAATAAGTAAAAATTATATTTTTGGTGTATGTTTATGTAAAATACGATGATTTTAGGGATGTCGTAACTTTTTAAATTTTTTTTATTTTTTGACATTTCGTCAACTTTTTGAACGAAATGTCACAACCCCAAAAAATGATAAAAAGTTACCGTTTTTTATTGTAAAATACGCCATTCTTAAGATGTAATTGTTTTTTGTTTTGTAAATCCAATTTTAAGAATTTTAAAATTTTTGACGAAGTGCCACAATTTAATCAATAATTTCCAAAAAATCGATTTTTTCAAAACCTTTTACCCCAAAATAAACCTTCTTCAACAAAGTAACAATCTACTTTTGTCAAACGATTTATCACTTACTCTGCGTTACAATCGTATTTACAGTGTAATAAGTTTTGGGTCATTCGCTCCGCTTATTGCCCCAGGGCCTTATCAGAATTGACTGCGACGGTAATTTTTGTTTGGTTTAATGGTGTCTACTCGCTTCGCAGTCCGTCAATCGGACCATTCTCCTTACTCTTTGATTAGGAGGAGTGCTTAATTAGGGCCTTATCGGCGCGGTTACCGCGGCAGGGGTAACTGCCTCGTCATATGTTATCATAGGTTTACAAACTGCAATGCCTGGTGGGTTTACAACTTTGACAAAGCTTTTATGGGTTTACATATTCATTATGTTTCACTACTTACTTATATTTCAAACTCTTTAACAAGTTTTGGCATTTTCAAAATTTTTTAAAAATACGTCATGATGACATAATTAAATTAGACAATCATCACTTGATTTTTAATCTTTAACGCTCTCTCATTACCTTACCTCACCTATAAAAATATTATCTAGTATCTATTTCATCAGTATGACTCATTTCTAATATTAACGATGACACATTTTTTGAAAATACGACAAATCACTGTAAATTTGAAAAAACTATGTTTCTAGTAATATACTTAACCTATATTTTACTTTTCTACACTATTTTTTTATTTTATTTATCGTATTTTACCATTTTTGGACATTTTTCTATTTTTTCATTACCGTCGATAAAATCCGTCATGATGACAATGCCGTTTCTTATATTATGTTTGATTTGTTTGGTTTATTTTGCCATAGTATGGTGTTTTTTATTAGCAAAAAAAAACATTTTTTTTGCTTTTTTTCCTTTATATAACGAATTTTTCATAATTATGGATGACATATTTTTTGGACATACCACGATTTACCTTATTCCGTGAAAAATATTTACATTTTGGGCTTTTCGTTGTAAAATACATTTAGAAATCGATAGTTTTGGTATTTTTATATTTATTTTATTATAATTTAGTTTTAACTCACGTATTTTACTCTATCTTCTCCCTAAATTTATATTATTCATGCCCAAAATTTGCAGATATTGGCCATAAAATGGCGTCGTTGAACGAAATCCTCGGGAATCAGTTGACAGACTTACTGAAAGCGGATCATTCTTCACCATTCAAACCGAAACAACTTGAAGAAGATGTGAGATTAAGGCCCACCGACGACCAGTCGAGAGTTATCATGAAGTTTGAGGAGAAGCGATTGCTTCTACAAGCGATCTGTGATCGGAAGGAGGCTTTGTTTGGCCCGAATGCGGCCAAAATGAAGCCGGCTCAGAAGCAGGCTTTGTGGGAAGAGGTAGGTCTTTTAATTCTGTGTTTTATTTTAGCAGAAAAGTTGAAATTTCGTCTACTTTATCGATTTTTCTGGCGACAATATTGATTGTCACAGGTTTTGGGCGTTGTTTTTTCGTTTTTTTTTCAAGTTTTTAGGTATATTTTTTGTGTAATAGCTAGTCTAATGCTTGCTGAGTGTATTCTTAGATTAGCATTCCAAAAGGTTTATTTATTTACGACTTATATGTTGTTGTAGACACCTGGTGGATAACATAACTTATTTGTTAAACTTTCATTCAAATTGAGTTGGAAACTGGATACCTATAGTAAAATTAGTTGTAAAATACGGTTTTGCACGTTTACATATATAAAAGATTTATGGAACTGATCAAAACTTCTTTATTTCTTCAAATTTATATTATCCATGTCCCTCATAGACCTCGTCTCCTAAAAATTAATGTTTCTGATGTCTAAACTGTTATTTTTAGATAATTTTTAGTCAAAATAGATGTAAAATACATCAAAGAAGATTAAACTAAGATCCATTTCAGTTTGTAATTGTTTTACTTTCAGGTAATTGACACATTCCGTCAGAACTGTCCAGACTCCACGGCCGAATTGTCCAGCGGCTACGTTCGAGGCATCTTCTGGCAAAACCTGAGAAAAAGAACGTTGGCAAAGAAGGAACGTGCCATGACTGATGAGAACGTTAAGTTTGACGAAGTAAGTTTTGAGTTTGGCACAGGTTTATTTTTTTGGAGATTATTATAAAGAAAATTAAATTTTTAAATTTTTAATAAAATTTTTTTAAATTTATATATGACATTTGAAAAAGCATGGAAATTAGCATCTTTTGACAAAGTTTCATGTTGTCATGTCAATTTATGACCGAGTTACATTAATTTGAAAATGTCAAAAATCAAAAAAAGTTCGAATCCGCTTAGAGGACATCGGTTTTTCGTGATATAACTTTGGTGTGAAACAACGTATCTAAAGGAACCTTGTGTAAAACATACCTTATTTTACGCTTTACATAACGTATGTAACAAATTTTGCAAAAACTTTATTTCCACTTTAATCTCGACCTTTCCAGCTCGACGAACTAGTCGCCCAAATCCTCGGAGACAAAATGTCCACCCCACCTGCCAGCGTCACGCATTCAGAAGCCCCAACTACTTTATCATACCAGAACATTTCTGACATCTTACTACCAGTACTAAAAGACACATTCTACAATTACCAGTTGAACAACAGCACCGATACACATGAAAACTCCGGCTCGCCAGCTCCAACCTTGAACAATGTCAACTTGGATTACTCGAAATTGACTCCACATAACAATAACAATGAGGAAAGGGCACCAAAACGACCATTTGAGTTTGACATGCCAAGCTCATCGGAGGAACCTCCAGAGTTGAAGAGGGCGAGAATCAGCAGTCCTCAGGTAGGGTAATATGTTGTGGTAGGGATTTAGTGGTTTTTGAAAAGAATTTGTAATATGAAATTTTTCACATTTTCAATACAATTTTCAAGTTTTTGCATTAGGTATATAAGAGAAGTTAAGTTCTATGTATTTTACAAGTTATTTCATTTTCAGAACGTCCTAGCTGAAGCCCGCCTATCGAATATAACGGCCGAAACGGAGAAAATCAAGGCCGAGACCCGGTTGCTGGAGCTGAAATACGTTTTAGAGTGCAAGAAGAACAATTTGAGGCCGGAACGATTGGCGGACGGTCGATTCGCTTTTGTCATAACAGACAATGACACCAAATTGGGCGAGGAGAATAGCCAATCGCCGGTCAGTTCGGACAATCTTGAGATTGACGAACATTGAAGTAGTTGATGGGCATAGTCAATATTGATAAAAATTTTTGATCTTTTTAAAAATTTGAGGTAGTGAAGTCTTGAAAATTGAGGTTTTTTAAAAATTTTTAAAATTTTTGAAAAAATTGCCCAAAGTGCCTTTCTAAACTCATATTTTTGTTTTTCATACTATTCTTACCCGTGTCATATTGTAATTTGTACTATAAACCTAGAAAAAAACTAAAAAATATTTGCCAAACTGCGCCCTAGTTTCCCGCAGGCTGCAAACATTTTAGGTTTTTGAAATGGTTTGGTATTTTATCAAGATTTTTATCAGTATTGACAGTCGTACTATTCAGTACTATAGCTTTATTCTTATTTTTAGTACTATGGTTCAAAAAAATTGGGGTAGTACTAAAGTAAAAGGAGATAGTACTATGGTACTGTATAGTATGACCAAATTTTTATGATTTTTGATACTATAATGATTTCATATTGTTTTGAAAAAGTTTTAATTTGATTCATATATTGTCTTTTCATAGGTTTTACAGCAATTTTTATTCAAAGGATACTGTAGTTTGGGTACTGTAACATGATTTTTGTCAAATTTTTGGGCGAACATTGGAAGAAGGGGTCAAGATAATGGTTTATTACCTATTTCTTGGTAGTGTAGGACCTACAAGTACCAACTTTTTAAAAGTACAGTACTTCATAGTACTATTTTCCTATGTTACAGTACTTAATAGTACTAGCCCTCTACAGTATCTTACGCATCCAGTTCCAAAGTAATAAGTATTTCTTCAATAAGCAAAAACTCATCAAGAACGGTCTTTTCTTTTGTCAGTTTGTAATTGTTACACGCCTTTAATATCCCCCTTTAAAATGCATGTTATTCTAGGCCCGAGGCCGGTAGTAGTACATTGTTGTTGCCATTTGTATTAATATTGTCATAAAATTTAATAAATTTTATTAAATGAAGGGTTGGTATCATTTTGTTGGTCGGATGGGTCCATTTTATAGATCTTATGGTTTGGCAGTGCTGGGCGGGGCGATTTTATTTTAAACGGGGGTGGAGATTAAAAATATTTTTGAAAAATAATTTTATATTTTAATGAAAAGCTGGCATTATTTTATGGGTTTTATGGGTGTGGCAGTTCCGGGCGGGGTGATTTTGGCCGGGGGTGGATATTTAATTTTTTTTTAAAAAAAATATTTTTTTGAAATTTTTTGAAATTTGACTTTTCTTGGTCATAAAATATCTAAAAAATGATTTTTATGACATTTTTTAGGCATGAATTGATCAAAAACACGACTTTTTTAACCCGCGTCAAAAAGAATTGATCACTTTTCTATTGCATTTGTTAAAAAAAAGTCAATTCTTTTTGACGCGCAAGAGAATATTTTTAAAATAGGTGACGAAACTTAAACTTTTTAGCAAATTAGGTTTAAATATAAATAAAAAACGATTTTTTAATAAATACGTGGCTTTAAAATAAAAAAAATACAAAAAATGATGAAAAACGGCTGAAAACTTCAAAATGCAATAAAACTCTCCATAATTTTGATAAAAAAACGTAATTTTTATTAAAATTTATTAAACTAAAACCTCAACAACTCATTCTTTCTTGGTCTTCTTGTCCATCTTGTCTAGCTTAGCCACTTTTTCGTGCTTGATGGCTTCAAGTAGCTGGCTTCGAATATATTCACCATCATGAATACGACGACATTGCTCGTTCATATCTTGAACGTGCTTTTCATGGGTCAAGCGACGCATCTCCTCAGCGTTCCTGACGTTGAGCTTCTGAAGAGTTTGAGAAATATAGTTAGTATTTAAGGTTTTTTGTATTTTAGGTTAAAGTTATAGGTAAGACTCACCAACATGACATTCTGAGCCTTAGGGCATGACTCTGAGAATTGCTTGAAGTAACACATGGTCGAGCATTCTACTGTCCTGAAATTGATTTTTATTGTAAATAACATGATGTGTTCTTAGAATAACAGCATATAAAGGTTGTGATCATGGCAAGGATGACCTACTTGCAGATGTTCTTTTGCTTCTCTTCCTTGTTCATGTTCTTTTGAGGCTTGTGTTGACATTTATCACGGCAAACTGAAGTCAGAAGTTAATTCTAAAGGATTTTTACGACCCTACCTTACCCTACCCTACCCTACCCTACCTTGCCCTACCCTACCCTACCCTACCCTACCCTACCCTACCCTACCCTACCCTACCCTACCCTACCCTACCCTACCCTACCCTACCCTACCCTACCCTACCTTACCCTACCCTACCCTACCCTACCCTACCCTACCCCACCCTACCCTACCCTACCCCACCCCTACCCTACCCTACCCTACCCTACCCTATCCTACCCTACCCTACCCTACCCTACCATACTTTACCCTACCCTACCTTACCCTACTCTACTCTACCCTATTATAATATACCCTTCCCTACCTTACAGTTGCTTAACCATATCTTAGCCCCATATTACCTTATCCACTTGCAATCCCTACTCCAAGCCTTCTTCTTAGTGGGCCTGCTAAAGCCTTAAAACTATCTTTTCTTTAGCGTTACCCTAATCAGAACCTTTCTCTACCCGAGCTTTCTTCTTGACTTACCCTAACATTATTCTCACCTTACCTTAGCCTAGCTTTACCTTCCCTTACCATATCCCAATCCTCGCCCTAACATAGTCTTATTTGTGCTCTATACTAGTCTTGTTCTTGCCCTGTCCTAGTCTTATAAAAATTAAAAACTTACCGAAATCAGCTTTGTATGAAGCTTCTTTTAAGCATGGCATGTGTTCTTCCAATTCTGAAAGCAAGAAAGTTTGAATCAAGTTAAAAGTTAAAAAAGTTCAAAAATTTAAATTTAAATTTTTAAGTTTAAAACCCTCACCCTCCTCCATATCAACACAATGAATTCGGTAGAAAGTGGTGTATTGGAAGAAGATGGCACGGTCAGTGGCAGAGCAGTCTTGGGCACACAAGGCTTGTTTTTCCAAAATGTCACAGACATTCTCATAGTTTCGATAGATATAAGAGATGGTCTTCTCGATCTTGGTCATCGGTTCCAGGCACTTTTGGATGCATGGCGAGAGGTCGTTTGCTGAAATTAATTTTTTATGTCTGGACAGGGCAGATTTTTAATTTTTTTCATACCTGGCCTTGAAATTAGTCTTATGAAAAAAAAATTTTTTACTGATAAGAAAAAAACGTAAAAAATTTTTTTTAAGTTTATAAAAACTATTTTTAAAATAAATTTAACTTACCATAACATAGGCTAACAAAAAAGAAGGTAAAGATAATAGAGTACTTCATATTGACTTATTTCACCCTGAAAAGCAGAAATTTAACTTTTCATACCTAGAAGTTAACGGCACGCCAAAATTTCTATTCCTTACCCCTCCAACTGCTTTTAGCCAGAACAGAGCCTCTATCCAAGTCATTCCCTAGTCCTTCTGTAACCCTACCTTAGTGTTTTTAAGCCTTACTCTAGCTTTATTTTCGTGCTAGCCTTACTTTTGTCATATCTTAGCTCCATTCTTGCTCTAACCTAACTTTATTCATACCCTACCCTAGACTTGAAAGAGGGCCCACTCGGCCCGGCCCTTTTACAGGTCTACCCTACCCAGTCTTACCCTAGCCTACCTTAGCTTTTTTTTCCTCACTCTGGCCTTATTTCTTTCTCTACAATAACCTTATTCTTGTTCTAGCTTAGCCTTATTCGTCCCACTTTAACCTTATTTCTTGTCCTACCATTACCTCACCCTAGCTCTGTCCAATTCTTCTTTTAGGACTTACCTTATCTTAACCTCATACTAGTCAAACGTCAGCCCCACCTTAGCCTTACTTTATTCCTACCCTAGCTCCAGTACATTTTTTTTGGTTTTTAAGTCCCCATCCCCCAATTCCCTCTCAAAGACCCCTTAGCCCTTTCCTGCCCCTCTCCCTCTGCCACCCCTACCCACAAACACCTGTCGAAAATGCCGATGAAAAGTAAAAGTAAAGTAAATCAAAACTGTTGAACCAACCGAGAATGGGAAGCGTTGCGAGATTCCGGATGAATCGAGGTCATCATGTCTTTGAAGAAAGGGCTTCGTAATAGCCGGCGGCGTTAACAAAACGCCCGTTAACCGAAAGAACCTGCAAATCTGCGGAATGGGGGTTAAGTAAGTAAATAGTAAAGGGGGGGGGTTTGATTTAAAATTCTAGAGTAAAATACGATTTGATATATCATATATAAATAGATATTTATTGTATGTCAAAGAATGGCACTAAACAGTATTAAAAATCAAAAAATTTTTTAAGGAATAACACTGCACAATAACAATATAATCAATTCTTCAAAACTTATATATAAATGCCCTTTAAAGTCTCCACAAAATACAAACTGTTAATCATAATGTGTATTTGTTACAAGTACCACTACAATCTTTTAATTATCATTTGTAATAGTTTACAACAATTAGTCAAGACAACTACAAAACAATCTATTTTTAAGCAAAAACTCAGTATTAAAGAAGTAAGTTGCACGACAATATACCCAAGATTACACTAAACCGAATTGTAATACTTTGAGCCGATAAATTAAAATTGTTTGTATCTTAAATAATATGTCGCGGTAAAGTGGAAGATTCAGTATTTTGACGTTAATTGCTCGTTTTTAATGTTTTTAGCGTCTCAGAAGGGCAAAATGAAGCATGCCAAAGCAAAAAAAAGCAGGGCAGGCAAGGAAGGCTGGAATGAAAGACAGGGAAAGTCAAGCCAGGAAAGCCTGGGCTGAGCAAAGCAAAGCAGAAAAGGAATGGGAAAGTCTAGCGATTAGGCTGAGCTAAATTGGGCTGGGCTAGATTGGATTGGAGTTGACTAGCCTGGGTTAGGTTTGATTGGGTTATACTGGATTGGATTAAACTGTGCTGGTCTGCACTTGGCTGGGCTAGGCTAGACTGAGCTGGGTGGAGCTTAGCTGGGCTACGCAAAACTAAGCGGGTTTAGGCTGGCTCGTCTGAACTTAGGAGGACAGGGTCTAGGGTGGTCTAGCGTGATCTGGTCTAAACTGATTTAGTCTGCTCTGTTCTGCTTTGAGCTGGTCTAAACTGATTTAGTCTGCTCTGTTCTGCTTTGAGCTGGGCTGGGCTGGGCTGGGCTAGGTTGAGCTGGGCTGGGCTGGGCTGGGCTGGGCTGGGCTGGGCTGGGCTGGGCTGGATTAGGCTGGGCTGGGCTGGGCTGGGCTGGGCTGGGCTGGGCTGGGCTGGGCTGAGGCTGGGCTGGGCTGGGCTGGGCTGGGCTGGGCTGGGCTGGGCTGGGCTGGGCTGGGCTGGGCTGTGCTGGGCTGGGTTGGGCTGGGCTGGTCTGGGCTGGGCTGGGCTGGGCTAGGTGAGACTAGTGTGGGCGTAGCTGAGTAATAAAGGGGAGCAGGGCAGTAACCAGATTTTTACTCTCCTCCTCCCAATCCTCCTCCTCTTTTTTTAAAGTGATATGCGTCATTTTAATAACATTTATTTTAAAAAAATTTTTAATTGGTTGTGAGTAATTTATAGTTAGTTTACGTCTATGTTGTGAAAAACCGCAACTTATTAGTGAGAATGCGGAGTTTGTATTATAGCATACGTCTACAATAACCAAGGCTGTTACGGAATTTTGAGCATGCAAGCACGCAAAGTTTAGAAAGTAGGCTAAATAACACATTAAAAATTGTATAACTAAATGATTTGGTAGTTTGTTTTCTTGTTATGCTTTCTTTTTATTTAGATATTACTTGTATAGTAAGTCTATGTTATAATCTTACATTTAATTTTTTCGGTAGGTTCCTAGTAAGGCTGAGATTACCTGCGGTTGTGATGCTACTAAAGTTGCATGGCTAGGATAAATAAGGCTGAGGCGGCAGGTTCGGAACGGGGTAAAGGCAAGAGTAGAACAAGAGTATGGCTAGGGCAGGACTAGAGTAAGGCTAATGTGAGTTAGCTTTAATATAACCATACTTTAGACGTACCATAGCGCCTGACTTCAGCTTTACAAGAAAGTTACTCTAACGATAAACTAGCCTTGCTTTAGCTTTGCCCTAGTCATCCTTGTGCCTTTCTCTCGTTTTTGCCCTATTCCGACAGCCCTCGTCTAACTTTTTTTTGCCCTACCTTCTTTATCCGATCTCTGCTTTAGTATTACTCTAGCTCTAGCTTAACCTTGCATTAGCCTTGTCTTACCGTTTTTATAGCCTTGGTTTTACATTACTTCAACTTGTCTAGCATTCTAGCTTTAGCATATTGTAACTTCAGCTTTTTACAAACATCTTTTCTTCAAAATCAACCGTTTTAAACCTGAAAACCTCGACATTCACGTAAGCAGTAGCGTGTTTAGCAAAAGTGTCTTGTCTCGGCTGTTTTTACAATTAACCTTCAGCCAAGGTACTGGTTACAAATCTTGATTTTAAACCGAGACACTGGCTCAAGATCTTAAACCAAGTCTCGACCAAAGTAAACGCGTAAAGTCTAGTTGACACGACAGCTACAGAAAGCCCAAAATTTCTTCATTTAGTATTGCGTGAGACAATAATTGAAGCGAATTTCGCGACAATTTTAACGAGATTCTCATTATGTACTGGCAACATTTTAGTCAAATTTTGAAGGGCTTCAGTTTAATTTTTTATCACTATAGATGTCATTTTAATTGTTATCACTGTGGTTTCTAGTATAGAGTAAATGATGTAGCTTCAAATTAGAGCTAGAGCAAAGTGCGTTGCGTGATGACATTAAATTAGACACATTTAGACAGTCAAAAACATCCGTTATTGCCTTTATCCCAATGTTCCAAATTTGTTGTTTGTCATTTTTAATTTACATGTTCATAATTTGGTGAAGTTGCATGTTTTTATTTTTCGAACTGCATTTTTAAAAATAGTTTTTTTATACAGTGAAACCTCTGTATAACAAATTGCTAGAGGAACTAAAATTTGTTCGTTATGAAGAGATTTTGTTATAGAGAGTTTTAAAATGCACTGTGTACTGAGAACCGGGATTCCAAAAGTTGTTCGTTTTACGGGAGTTTGGCTATATAGAGGTTCCTTATATGAAAGTTCTACTGTACTTTGAAATTAAAAAAAAATGTTTATATTGTAAAATACGGTGAATTTTGGTAGTATTTTTTTATTTCAGAAATGGGCAGCGCGCTCGGCTGTCAGAGAGAGGAAGAGATAATGGAAAAGAAGTCGCATGAAATCGACCAAGAAATCGCCAAACCCAGTCCAAATATGCTTTGTCAGAAGCTATTGTTGTTAGGTTTGTTTTTTTTTGTAATTTTATAGCCATTTAAAATCAAAACATATAATAAAATTTGAAAAAAATTTTTTTTGTTTTTTTACGTTTTACAGGCTAGCCAAAATCAATTTTTGTAAACAATATGATCAGGGCCGGGCGGGGACTTTTGGTCTGGGAGCAGGGGTCCAAAAAATCGGCACAGGTGCCGATTTTTTGCGAAATTTTTTTTCCGAAAATCCACAGGGGGGACCACGTTCGACTTTTTTCAAAAATTTTTTTCTGGATTACACATTTCAAAATCTTCTAATTTTAGCAATTTGTAATTGACGTTTTTGCCATTTTAATATAAGCTTACAACAAAACGATTACGTTAATTTACAACAATAACAATGGTGTCTTGTTTTAGGTCCGGCTGAAAGCGGCAAAAGCACATTTGTTAAACAAATAAAGTAAGTTTGGGACGATTATATACAATGTTATAGTAGTTTATAGACTAAAGATACTAGTGTAGGTAGGATAGCGTAGGGTAGGTTGGCCCTCTCACTCTTGCAAAAATTCTAAAAAAAACAACACAGTCTAGACAAAAAAGGAGACAAAAAGAGCAGAGAAACAAAGAAACCCAATGAAAACCATGCTTTCTCGATCGCAAAACAACCCAATCAAAAGACAAATAAGTGTTTTTAAGTCATCAAGTTGTAGAAAGCATCATTGGATACATGTTTTCCCAGATCGAAGTTTTATCGGTATACTTTACTAAAATCGTTTTCAATCCCTGTTTCTTTTTTTTTTAAAACAGAGCAAATTTCAGAATTTTGCTCTATTTTTAGTAATACACAAGATTCATAGTTTAATAAAAACTAGTAACATTTGCTCAGACAAACATACAAAGTTTGCTCAGACCTGACATACGCCATGTTCACTGCAAATACATGTTGTAAAGACTTTACGGTAACCTATGTGTAATGTCTCTAATTGCATGGTCACAATTTTAAATTTGAGTCTAAAAGGAATGTTAAACTTGAGTTTAAAGGTTAGAAAAATACATCATTAAGGCTTACGTTGGTTTAGTTCTTAGGCTAAACAAGCAGGGAAAACGCACGGGCAGGGTTTTAAGGGTAGTGTTTAGTTGAAAACGTTTAGCGGATGATGCTTAAGGAAAACATAATATATGAAAATTGTTTTCAATTCAAAGTTCGCAAATTTTTAGAATTTTGCACACAGATGGTTTTACGGCGTACGAAAAAGAGCAAAAGAAATACATAATGTACAGTAATGTGGTCAGTGGTATGACCGAAATCTGCCAAGTATTAATCAACGCGGGTAAAAGTGCTAACGCCGAGAAGTTTATGGTAAGGTACTAAAGCCATATGACTCTATAATGTTGTGATTTAGCAAAGTGTTATTAAATTAGTATAATTGCTATTTGATTTAGCACAGTAATCTCATAATGTAGCAAAGCAATGCCACTTGTAACAAAGCAATGTTATACTTTAGCAAAACCGTAAACTAACTAACAAGGAAAGTCCCCGACCTGCCCCGCTCTGATTGACTTGAAACTTTCTAGATAGAAAGATCATGTAAATATAACATCTTCAGCAAAGTACTAAATCGCGCTTTCCAGGAAATCACGAGAAAATCGAGATTAAAAAATGACATTTTGAATTTCCCGCCAACTTGGCATTGTGTTTCAAGCTTATAACTTTGTCATTTTTTGACTTTTAATTATTTTTCTTTAATATACTAGTAGAATACCTTTAAATAAAACTACATTTTTAAATTTGTAAACGCATCTTGTCTGGAAAGTCGAAAAAAGTGCTTGAAACACAATGCCAAATTTGCCAAATTGGCGGGGAACCCAAATAATTTAAATTTAAAACTCAAGAGAAAAAAAATTTTTTGTGGGTACTATTGGTGTTACAAAGAATTCATATAAAAATTTTGAGCTGATTCTTAGCGGGGCAGGTAGGGTACTTTCCTTGTAAGGACATGGTTTATGAAGTTAAAAAATTTTTAAGTAAAGCAAATATTTTTAGGATTACTATAAGCTACTTCTAGCTCAAAATAGTTGCAAGGAGCTAATGCAGCGACTACCAGAGGAAATCGCTGAAGCAATAAAAGAGTTATGGAATGATCCACAACTAAAACAAATCTTTCATTCAGAGCCGTGCTTTCAGTCTTCAAATTCTGTAGAATAGTAAGTTACACACTACCAAGCTGCAGCGAAGCACCTTCTGTAGTACAGTCAAGGCATTTTGAAGCCTCTTTTGTAGTATAGTTTAGTTGTTTTAGTGTGACGTTTGCCATTGAAAAGCTATTACAAAATTGTCATTTTTTAAATTTAAAATGTCTCTTGATGTTAAAGTTATTATCAAGCATAATGTTTATTAGGCTTTAAAAGTCTGATTGGGCTAAAAAAAAGTAATTCTAAAGTGTTATATTTAAGTAATGGTTTCAGTTTTCTAAATAACATTGATCGCATATCAGAGCCGGACTTTGAGCCTTCAAATCTAGACTGTCTTCATGCACGTGTGGCCACGACTGGTGTTGTTGAATTCAAATTTAAATTTAAGGAGTTGGATTTTGTGTACGTACTTCTGCATTTCTGTTGATGTCACTACCATTTTTTTTTATTTAAAAAAATTATTTTTAAATTTAAAAAATGTTTTTATTTGAATAATTTATGATTGTTTTTAAGCTGTTTATATGTCTATATTTTTAATTTTAAAATTACTTTTAGAATATACGACGTTGGTGGGCAACGATCTCAACGACGAAAGTGGATTCATTTCTTCGATAAAGTAAACGGGTTAATTTTTGTAGCTGCAATTAGTGGGTATGATCAAACGTGTCGGGAGGACAATGCATCTGTAAGTATTGGTTTATAAGTACAGTCGAACTCTTGTATAACACATCACTTTGGAGTAGTGTTCTCGGCGGGGGGGGATTCCCGTAGAAAGCCATTCCCGTCGTTCCCGTCCCCGCCGGGGATTTTCATTTCCGGCGGGGAATTTTATTTACTTTTTTAATAAAATAATTAAATGTATTTGTAAAAAAATAGCTTATTAGCACACTTTTGCGTATAAAATTTCGCGCAAGCTGCGCCTCCTTATTTGTTATTTTTATCAAAATATTTATTTTTGAAACTACTTTTTGAAATAGAATTGATTGTTTTTGGCCATTTTTGAATGGGTAAGTAATTTTCATTTTTATGTTTTTTATGTAGTATTCAGTTTGATTTTTCCTTTTTAATGGATAAAAAGACGTCTTTAATATGGAAGCACTACAACGAAGAACGGAAATGTTTGGTCGCAGGATGCTTGTTTCAAACGAAAGACAAAACTACAAGTACGAAGGCGTTATGGAGTCATCTAGAAAAGAAACACACACGAATTTATAAAGAATTAAAGGAAGCAAAATTGAAAAGAACAGGTTCAGACGACGTTTCAAAAGAATCTACACCTCAAAAGAAAGTTAATCTAGTAAGTAAACTGTATATTATGATAATGTTTAAAATTTTAAACATTTTCATCTGTTTTAATAACAAGTTTTATATTTTAATATTTTTGTTACCTATTTTTGAGTAGAAAAAAATAAAATTCATTTTAAGGACAGTTTTTTTGTGTGTAAAACTTATTTTTTACTTATTTTAGATAACAAGTTACACAAGAAAACAAAATATGGCTTTGAATCAGTATCAACGAGACACTTTTCAAGTCGAAATGATTCTATCTAACCGCATGTCGTTATCGTCTTTGGTTAATAAGTACGTCACTCAAACAGTAGAAGCTACTTTTCCTGGGACTGTAACTTACGGAATAAGTCACTTCATGGGGTCTGTCTTTCCACGGATGATCGACGACTTTCGGGAAAGCGGTCAAGACTTTAGTTGGAGACTCATTTTACTGTATCACAAGTGATGGTTGGAGCCAAGGGGACAGATCATTTCAATCGTAAGATAGACGTTAATTTATTATATGTTTTAGAGTAACTTTGCATTTTGTGGATAATGCATTTACAAGGCGAAACTTCGTGGTTGGATGTAGAGGATTCACTACAAACGAATTCAAAACAGCCGATGTTATAGCACGGAAAATCGCTGATTGTTTAAAGTATTTCGAATTAGAAGAGGCAAGGATGGTAGCTATGGTACGAGATGATGCAGCTAACATGCGGCCGGCAGCTTCAAAATTAGGAATTGAAAAGTAGGAATGTTAACGAAAGTTTATAAAGTATTATAGTATTAAACAGTTTAGTTATAAATTCGTTTACAAATTATTCTTTCAGCTTCCAATGTTGTGCTCACTTAATAAACTTGGTTGTACAATTTGGAATTAAGAACGCTAATGGAACTGTAATGACGATAATTGAAAAGTGCCGGAACTTTGCTAAGGAATCAAGGAAAAGGCACAATCAATCCAAATTTGAAGACGAACTGAACAAACAAGGAATTAGTTCATCTAAAATACCAAAAGTTTGTTTTGAAAACAATTAACGTGGCTATAGTATGTATATACCAAGTTATATTTGGGGTAAAGAATATATATTTTTAGGAAATCACTGTTAGATGGAACTCTACTTTTTTTATGTTACAATCTATCGAGGAGAAATTTGGAGCGGCTCTTAAAATGGACTACAGTGCATTTAAAATGAGTGACCGTCAACAATTGTCAATCTTGGTGAAAGTTTTGTCCAAGTTTGATTAAGCGACGAGACGTTTGTCATCAGATTCGGAAATGGCATCTACCATCATGCCTACTTTGGAAAGTCTGCGCGATTATTTAGAAAATGCGTACGAACAGCTTGACGAAAAGTAAGTTTTCTTATTTTAAGATTTAATTTTATTAGTAGAACTTTTTAATAAAAACTTAATAAATTAATTTAGGAGTGAAGAATACCGTGATGTTACAAGTTTTGTGCAGACACTAAAAAGTCAGCTTGAAGAACGTTTACACAAAATAACGGCTAAAGGGTTGCTACATGCTTGTCAACTTGTGGATTGTAGATTTGTTTGCCAATTAACACCAAATTCTTTAAAAGACGCTGTGAAGTACATCAAGAAAAATTTTGGACCCCTGGAGTTCGATAGTAATCATTTAAATCAAGACCAAGCACGTCCAGAAGCGGGTTCAAACAGTCAAATTGAAGGATTTGATTTTTTAGACGATGAACTGCGTGTAACGTCGCCAATTTGTGAAGAAGTTGTTAAAACAGACGAAAGGTTGATTGTAAGTGGCACATTATTAATTATTACTATTAAAACATTTAAAAGTTATATTGATTTTTAATAATTATTGATCGTAGGACGAAGTAAACGAGATGAAGGCAATAAAGCTAAGGAACGTTATTCCTGAAGAGTTTTGGAAGGACAACAATGATCGATTCCCAATTTTGTATCAAGTGGCCAAAAAGGTGGTGTATTCCACCATCTTCTGTTCCTTCCGAACGTTTCTTCAGTCATGCAACGATGTTATTCAACGACAAGCTGCGTAATAGGCTGACGGATGAGCGTGCGGAACAAATATTACTGTTGAGATGTGAACTCAATCGAAGGAACAAAGAATTGAATGATTCTAGTTCAGATGACGAAAATGATGGGACTTAACATTGTTGTTTATATTGTTATATTTTTTTTATTAATAATAATAGTTGGAATATGTTTAAGATTTGTTTATAATAGTTCGTACTACTAGTATATTTAAAATAACCTTTATTTTATTGATATTAGCAAAAAACCAGTATAATTTTTAAAAATTCTCACATTTCCCGTTCCCGTCCCGCACGGGATTTTTTGTCCCCGTCCCCGGCGGGATTTTTTTTTCCAAAAATTGCGGGGATGACGGGGACGGGAACGCAAAATTCCCCCCCGCCGAGAACACTACTTTGGAGTTTAAAATTAGTGTGTTATGAAGAATTTTTGGTGTATAGGAGATTTAAATGCATTGTAGTGCGGACAATGTAAAAGTTGTTCATTATACGAGGTTTTTATTGTACAGGAGTTTGTTACAGGGTGCGCCCAATGATCTGTTACACGGTTTTTTAATCAAATATTTATTTTAACAACAAATATAACTAAAACAACATTTAACAATAGTAACATGTAGTACTAGTTATAACATAGTCAATCGGTTTCGAAGTGTCCCCCCCCCTTTGCGGCTTGGCACAAGCGCAAACGCTTCAAAACGTTTTCAGCGATGGGCCGCAGTACCTCCAATGACAGTTTGTCCCACTCTTCGATCAATGCTTGTTTCGAAGACTCCAAAGTTTGGTGTCGTCTACAACACACCCTAGCCTCCAATATCGACCACACACAATAATCCATAGGATTGAGATCGGGATAATATGGAGGCCATTCAGCAAATGCAATGAAGTCAGGGAAATGGGTTCGACACCACTCTTGCGTTGATTTTGCTTTATGGGCGGGTGCAGAGTCTTGCTGAAAGATCCATGCGGCACCTTTGAAGCTTCCGAGCACAAGGGAGTACCATAGCTTCCAAAATGTCCCTTTGATACACTTCTTTGTTGATCTTCACGCCTTCATCGACAAAAATCAAAGAAATCTTGCCTGAAGCACAGATACCGGCCCAAACCATAATGCCCCGAGGGCGTTGGCGACCTGCCACGATGGATTCAGCTTTAGGAGGCTCTGTTGGGTATTATTTGTCATTTTTGGGATTGTAGGCCTCTGTAAAATGTAAATATCCTCCCATCAGTGAAAATGATTTGTTCCCAATTTTGACCAGCGGCCCGCTACTGAAGCAGTTTATATCTTTTGAAACGTACCGCCTTGTTTTCTTCAGTTAGCTTCTGAACTTTTTTGAGTTTGTACGGCTTCATCTTAATTTTCTTTTCCACTATGCGCCTCAAAGTAGGTTCTTTGATTCCCGCCTCCCGGGCCATTTTTTGTACTGGGGTCCGTGGATTTCGCTTGAAGCGCTTCAGGAGCACCTGACAATTGGCCACGGTGTTAACAGATGCTGGACGACCACTTCTATGTCTGTCACAGTCATTTATAAGCTCTTTGAAACGTTTTACGGCTCTGTGTACTGTCATTCTTAAAATATTCAACAATTTCGCGATTTTGGGGTTACTTTTTCCTTCATTATTTAATTTGATGACGGCAGCCCTTATGTTTGACATCTAAAAGCAGACAGACAGTAGACAATAAAGACTTAACTTTTATGGTTATACAATTAAAAAAACACGGAGAATAAGCTAAAATAAAAAATTTTAAATAATTTAACCGCAACCTTGAGAAAACGGCCGGTAAAGTTTTGTAACAGATCATTGGGCGCACCCTGTATACAAGCGTTCCAATGTAATATTAATGACCTTTAGAAAACTTAACTCTATGCACTATAAAAATGAACTTTTTAACCTAAACATATTTTTACAGAACCGAGTAATAGAAGCCTTAAATGTATTTGAAGCGACGGTGAATTGTGAATATTTTAAAAGCACTGCGACGATATTGTTCCTCAACAAATTTGACTTATTTTTGAGGAAAATCAAAAAAGTCCCTTTATCGGTTTTGTTCCCTGATTATACCGGTAAGTTTTTGGTAGGGTAAAACCTGGAATCCTTTATAGAAAATTTTTACTTTTTGCACACTCCCGCCCTCCCCCCGTTATTCTGCTTTCCTGTATTTCTTTCAATTCCCCTTCTTTTATCCTGCCTTCTCCCCCCCCCTTCTCCTTCTCCTAAGCATAGGCTACAGGCCGGGCTTAACACTCAGGCCGGCCTGGTCTAAATTTTGCTCAAGACTCGACTTTGTTACGTGCAGACAGCCAGGCTTTGATTTTAAGGTTCGCCCGGACCGTTTCTCAAGTCCACCTCCTCCCCCCCCTCCCTGATGTTGTCCTTTTTTATATTTTTTTGCTTTACCATGCATAAATAACTTAACTAACCTCGACCGATGAGCAAACTATGACCTTTTATCGCTTTCAAATTTCCATGGTTATTACGCCCTTTATCACCATTTCAAAGCACAGATAAACATTAACGAAACAAACTTTCAAGAGTTCATCACCTTTTCAGGCGGCCCACACTACCGCAAAGCCATCCACTATATTCGGCAGCAATTCAAAAGTGTTTATCGCAAATCAAACAGTTTGTACTTTCATGAAACTTGTGCCACTGATACGGATCAGGTTCGCAAGTTGTTCGACGCGGTTTTGGATAGGGTTGTTTCGAATAACTTGATTGATTCTTCTTTTATGTAAATTGTTGTTGTTACGAATAAATATTATTAGACATGGAAACAGCTAAAGCTAGTGCTTGAGCTAGAGTTAGATTTAGAGCTAGAACTAGAACTAGAGTTAGAGCTAGAGCTAGAGCTAGAGTTAGAGCTAGAGCTAGAGCTAGAGATAGAGATAGAGATAGAGATAGAGCTAGAGCTAGAGCTAGAGCCAAAGCTAGAGCTAAAGCTAGAGCTAGAGCTAGAGCTAGAGCTAGAGCAAGAGCTAAAGTTAGAGCTAGAGCTACAGCCAGAGCCAGAACCAGAGCCAGAGCCAGAGCCAGAGCCAGAGCCAGAGTTAGAGCTAGAGCCAGAGCCAGAGCCAAAACCAGAACTAGAGCCAGTGCCGGAGCCAGAGCCAGAGCCAGAGCCAAAGCCAGAGCTAGAGCTAGTGCCAGAGCCAGAGCCAGAGCCAGAGCCAAAGCCAGAGCTAGAGCTAGAGTTAGAGCTAGAGATAGAGCTAGAGAAAGAGCTAGAGATAGAGCTAGAGCTAGAGCTAGAGCCAAAGCTAAAGCTAAAGCTAGAGCTAGAGCTGGAGTTAGAGTTAGAGCTAGAGCTAGAGTTAGAGCTAGAGATAGAGCTAGAGATAGAGCTAGAGATAGAGCTAGAGCTAGAGCTAGAGCCAAAGCTAAAGCTAAAGCTAAAGCTAGAGCTGGAGTTAGAGTTAGAGCTAGAGCTAGAACTAGAGCCAGTGCCAGAGCCAGAGCCAAAGCCAGAGTTAGAGCCAGAGCTAGAGCTAGAGTTAGAGCTAGAGATAGAGGTAGAGCTAGAGATAGAGCTAAAGCTAGAGCCAAAGCTAAAGCCAGAGCTAGAGCTGGAGTTAGAGTTAGAGCTAGAGCTAGAACTAGAGCCAGAGCCAGAGCCAGAGCCAAAGCCAGAGCTAGAGCCAGAGCTAGAGCTAGAGCCAGAGCCAGAGCCAGAGCCAGAGCCAGAGCCAGAGCTAGTGCCAGAGCTAAAGCTAGAGCTAGAGCGAAAGCTAAAGCTAGAGCAGTCACGATATTTATCTAGCTTTTATCGTGTATTTTTTCAACATGGTTGCTGTATTAAACATGTTTTAAAGTCACAAGACATATTTATTTTAGGGACAATAGTATTTTATTAAACGCTTTTTAAACTTTCAGTTTTAAGATAATTGAACCGTCCGCTACAATAATATTATACAAAACGAGCCTCAAAAAATATATGGTATTTATATTTACAATACGAACAGACTTTTTCGGCTTTTTAAACGCCCTTTTCTTTAAGTGATTAACCAACTTAAACTTTGAAAGACCAAGTGTACAATTTTTTGTACTTTTAAATTCAATAGCTTCTGTTAATCTACAAACGATAAACTACCTAAACTGTAAGTTCTAAAGCCCTTTAAAACTTGAAAAAAGTATAAATTTTTTATATTTTTAGTTCATTTTTAAATAGCGTAGACGACTTAGCATTCTAAAATATCAAAAAGCAAAACTAACAAATAAAAGTCGTATAAAATTCTAAAAGAACTGTGTAAATAAGAACAAACGCTACTATGACATCATTTAAATCCATACAATATGTTGTGCCGTAAGTTTTTTCAAATTATTAAATTGTATAAGCCACTTTAGTATGATTAAACAAAAGGGTTGGGGAGGCAAAACTGGAATTTTTTAAAGATTATAGTGTTTTCAATTGTAAAAAAGTTACTGTATTTTTTAAAGGCATACGATTTGGTTACTTTTAGTTTAAAGCTAGGCAGAGAGTTAGCTTTACAAGATAAGAAAGAGAAGGGTATAGAAAGGCAGTGGGGAATTGGGTTTGAATATTGTAGACACAAACAGGTTGTGCTTTTAAATTTTTTTAAAAGTGATTTTTTATATTTTTTTGTGTATGGGGTGGGAGCAAGACGAGGAATAAAAAAGGACGCTTTGGCTTACCCTACCTTATCGTACTGCATCGTACTGTGTCTTACCTTACCATAACCTACCTTCTTTTAATCTACCCTTCCTTACCGTAATCTTCCTACCCACTGCTACTTCCCTTACCTCTTCTGCTTCTAGCTAACGTTTAGACTAGCATTCTTTTCTATTATTTAAAACTGCCATTGATATATTTTGAATTAAAAAAAACATAATTCGAATTTTATATTTAAAAGTTCATAGTTTCAAACTACACATTTTTTAAAGAACAAGTGACAAGAGTACACTATAACTATTAATTAATTTTTTTATTAATACACATATTAATTAGCTAGTACTTTTTTAACGTAAACGTTACATCATGTTGTATATAATAATAAAACGGTAGCTTACGTTTTATAGAACACTGTAATAAATTCTTTGCGTACAGTACAGGACAGGACAGAGAAGGGCACGGCAGAACATGATTTAATTGCACTTGGCTTGACTAGAGTTCGATGAACTGAAGTAGCCTGGACTAGACAGACCTGAGCAGGGCTGTAAAACGACAGATAACTTTAAAGTATTTTTTATATAAAAATTTTTTTGTTTTATACACAACATATATCTATTCTTTACAGCCCCTCAAGACATGCACTTTTCTGTATAAACATTTTTTTTATAGTATCATTAACAACCTTGCAGTTAAAACAGCATACAACACGGCGCTTTGAAGGGAGGAGTCTATAAATTATAATATTATCTTAAAATCGTTTAATATAACGGATAAGTACATACAAAGACAGGTTACAGTCCCCCGAATATATAAGTTTAGTCTTGGATTTTAAAAATGTACATGTATTTGTTACGTAAATCATATGTTAAATCCAACAGGGGTTTTTGCAAAAGATATTATACTGTGGATTAAGCTTATTTATAACTAAATATCTTGCGTTTACGATGTTTTACGTGTTCATTTTAAAGCTTTAATTGTTTACTATTTTCCTTGCCTTGCCTTGCCTTGCCTTGCTTTTATCTCTTAATTATATCTTGTAGTTGCGTGGCTTTTGCTCCTTTTATCAATATAAGAACATATCAACAAATTTTCAGAAACCTGTTATGTCGCTGTTACAAGCCTTATCACTGATTTGCATTTTTAAATTTATCAGTTCCGACAAAATATTGGACTTATCACAACAGAGCCTCAGCGAGTTTCCCGATCGGTTAAGGCTTCAAGCGTGTGACGATGACTTCAAACAAATGGCTAATCTGTTTTGCGCTGCGCCTGGGAAGAAAACACCATGTTACAAGTTTTACTTTGATCAACCAAAGTGGAATGGTAAGGTTTTAAAAAGGACTTAAATTCGAACTACAGGGTAGCATGGATAAAACAAAAACACCAAAATCATAGCATTAATGTAGGTTCAAAGTAAGGGCAAAGATAGAAAATTAGGTACTCTTACAGTACAAGACAGGTAACGCAAAAGCTTTGAAAATTTAGGGCTAAAGTTTGGCTAAACAAAGCTGGGGATAGAAGTTGAACAAGGCTTGGTTAGGTAAGCTAAAATTCGAGCAAAGTTAAACTTGTCAAGCAGAGTCAAGGGCTGCGAGAGTATAAAGGAAGTAGGATGAGGATAAGAAAAGTTACGAATAAGCGGGTAATGTTTGATCTGAGGCTGTAAACAACTAGGGTAAGGTTGACTTGTAAAGTGGCCAATCCAAACCGTAAAATTACTTTTTTAAAACTAGATACGTTTCGGCACTGAGTTGTAATGCTTTGTTTAGACCCCGGCCCTAAGGATTGTTAGCCCGGTATTTTCATTGTTGCTTCGGCGTGGATAGGACTACCGTGCCGTAACTTACCCTTTGAAGTCTAAGAATAAAGAAAGACTAAACTAAATTAAAGAAAGAGCTAAATTTAAGCTACATTAAGAAAAGGTTAAGGTAGGTAACATATTAAAAACAATATCCAAAATGAAAAATTTTAAAATTTCAGAAACTTACACTAAAGACACCTTCAACAGCTTTGGAGAATCTTGCTGCCAAACCGATGGATGTTTAATATCAGACTTGAAAAAGCATTGTTGTGTGCTAGATCAATGTCTTAAATTTTGTTATCGTGATTGGCAAACCGTATTCTAATAGCATTTTTAAATTTTTTTTAAAATTTATTTTGATCTCATATTACTAATATTAACCTTTCATCATTTTTCTTATGGCCAAGGGTCTTACATTACTTTAACAAATATTGTTTTAGATGACTTTGTGTACATATTGTAGCTCTTATATCATTCATTGTAATTTCTGCATAACAAGTAGTTAATTTGTGGCTTATTGTTATTGAAAATGATCATTGTTTTAGCATTTTTAATGATTTTTGTTTTAATAAAGCTAAATTATACTTATCATTGCCCTTTTTTCAACTTTCATACGGTGAGTAAGAGGTACTTGAATTGTACTTTAATACGTACATTATCTAAAAAAACGTTAATAACAATAGTTTATGTTTGCAATTACGTAGGTTAGTAATGAATTTCATAAATACAAAGTTGTTTTTTATTTTTAACATACATACTTAGCATACCATCCTGTATCATACATACTAACAAAGGAATGAAAGCGTATATACATAAGATATAATCAGTTCTGTGCGTTAAAAAAAGACTACCCTACCCTACCCTACCCTACCCTACCCTACCCTACCCTACCCTACCCTACCCTACCCTACCCTACCCTACCCTACCCTACCCTACCCTACCCTACCCTACCCTACCCTATCCTACCCTACCCTACCCTACCCTGCTCTGCCATACCCTACCATACCCTACCCTACCCTACCCTACCCTACCCTACCCTACCCTACCCTACCCTACCCTACCCTACCCTACCCTACCCTACTCCACTCGTCTTATCCTACCGTATCCTAACTTACCCTATCAATATCGTATACTTTTTGCCATCTCCATGCGTTGATTGTTATCAATGTTACAATAACAGATTGATACCGAGTTCAGTTTAATCCGCTTACACAAAGATCTGTTGCTACAATGAGGATACGCAGTACCACGCTAAAATTTTATTACTGCGCTTCACAACTAGTTATTATTACGTTTTGTAGTGAATTTCCAAAGGCCGTTACAACACTTCTTTAAATACATCTTTCAATACTGTGAAACAAATTTCTTTGTATGAACGGCTGTTACAGCGATGTTACAGCGCATATTCATATTATGTTTTGTACCATGCCAGTTTTTGCAAGAAAATATAGTAAATACTATAGATTTCTAAATTGAAAGATATCCATCAACGCGTACCTATAAATTATCTAATGTACCCACAAGAAAACTATAATTATGTTATTGAAATTGTAATATTCTTACTCAAAAACAAAATTTTTTTACTGTTTTAGCCTCGATTTCAAAATTGTATGACATCAAGTGGTGTTTTTACTGTCTTTTGCGCCCGGCCCTGCTTGTAGCTATAACCAATCAAGAAACTCGCTTAAGCTCTGTTGTGATAAGTCCAATACGTTGTCGGAGCTGATAAATTTTTAAACGCAAATCAGTAATAAGGCTTGTAACAGCAACCTAACAGGTTTCTGAAAGTTCGCGATATGTTTGATTATTGATAAGGTTAGAAAAGGAAACACAACTACAAGATATAGTTAAGAGATAAAGGCAAGGCAATGCAATAGTATGGCTAGGATAGAATTAAACGAAAAACCGTAGCTATGAGGCTAGGGACTATGATTATGGCTTTGTATAGCCATAGTATGTAAGCCAACTTCCTCAACATTACTTTCTTCCTCGCACGCATTTGCACTAAAAGCAACAATTTTACAGTACTGCTTGTAAACTCAACTCATAAAATCTATAATACAACTAGAAATTTTCAGTCCAACTAGGAATTTAAAGTCGTACAAAAACAATACAGCTTGTAAACTCGACAATAAACAAAATCCAATCATACAGAGTAAATTTTAATTATTAAAATTTGAATATAAGCGGCTTGTGAAGCTGCCACACGCCTACTATAATCAGCCGCAAAGCCCTGTATAATACTATCAAAATATTGGATTTCTTGTTCATTATTGCTCAACTGGTGTTATTTCGTTGGTTATTTTGTACCAAAGGGTGTATTTTGAGCTATATAAAGACGTGGTACTGTATTTTTAAAAAATTTGAAAAATTTAAAATAAAAATTTTTTTGAAAAAAAAATTGATTTTTGTCCTCCCAACTTACATACAACATATTTTACCCTACCCTATCACCTACTAATCCCTCAGCCATCTTTTGAACCACCAAAGATGATACCAACACCATGGTACCCTCCACTACTAGTACTATTGCTGCTGGCACCTACTATCAAGTCAGCTAATGAAAAACCGTTTAAAAAAGAAGATTCTGACAAACTTGTAGAAAATGCGTCTAACAATGCTACTGGTGACCTTGATAGCGTAGTAGTAAAGGTTGGTCACATTGGAGCTATTGGGGTTATGCCAAAGTCCGAGGAAATTTTGGCAATGTGCAGGGATGAGCTATGGAAAGAAGGCATTTTGGATAAAATGTTTGATATTGAGTAAGTATGGCCCTAGATTTAAAAAATTTTTTGTTTATTAAAACATTTTTAAAAAAAGTTGAACGTGATCCCCCCTGTTAATTTTTAAAAGAAGAAAAAAATTTTTTGACCGTTTCATCTTTTTTTTCAATACAGTAAGATAACATAAACAACAAAAATCAACACTTTAAAAAAATTTTGGGCTCTTAAAAATTTTTTCTTCTATTTGAAATTTTTTTTTTCAAAAAAGTTGAACGTGGTCCCCACTGTTGAATTTTCCTTGCAAAACATTTTTTTGGCTGTTTCTTTTTCTGTTTCTAATACAGTAAAACCACTAAGCATAACCAATTTAATAAGCTTTAACGACGTCCAAGATATAAAAAATAGTCAGCTAAAAATGTGTACTTTTAGTATCATCAACGCCATGGGCTGCGGAGAATCGTATGAAGGTGTAGCAGTTGGTGCAGACATGTATCATCAACAAAACGTCAAGGTTTTCATTGGTCCTTACTGCAATGCTGGTAAATTTTCATACTGTGTAACCTCGTATTTTACCTCCAGCCTTAGTTATACCCTACCTTACCCTGCCCTACCTTACTGTACCCTACCCTACCCTACCCTACCCTACCCTACCCTACCCTACCCTACCCTACCCTACCCTACCCTACCCTACCCTACCCTATCCTACCTTACTTTACCCTACCCTACCCTACCCTACCCTACCCTACCCTACCCTACCCTACCCTACCATACCCTACCCCACCCTACCCTACCCTAATAATGTAAACGTTTGTAGAAATGGACGCCGTAAGTAAGATGGCGGCCTTCTGGAACGTTCCAATTATTGGTTATATGGCAGCAAGTACAGCCTTCTCTGATAAGAAGATATACAAGACTACAGCTAGGGTTTCTCTTCGTACTATCAACTTTATGGCCCTAGCTACAGCCGCTACTTTGAAGCATTATAGTTGGAATAAGGTATATGTTATGCCCCGTCGTCTACAAAAATAAAAAAAATTACCCCACCCCTCGCCTAGAAATTTTTTTACCCTCCCCACAGCTCACATTTTTTAAACGTTTTTACCCCAGCCAAAGCCTGCAGTAAATTCTCAGAGTGCTAGTGCTATAATAGTACAAACCAACGCTGTGTTATTGTACCTATATTACTATAAACCTTAAGCTAAACCCTTCTTCAGATTGCCATAGTAACCCAATCCGGCGCGGCAGCGTTGGAAAGAGTACAAGCGTTTGAAGAAGTGATACACAACCAAGGAATCAATGTCATTAAAAAAGTCATTCTGGACGAGAACAGCTTAACAAAAGACATTTTAGCCAGCGGAAGCATGGATCAACTGAAATATAGTGCTAGAAGTAAGGCATGATTTCATAACACACTAGCTATAAAATTTTTAACCACCCCTTAAAAACTACCCATAAAAATTTTTATCACTCTTGATAAAAATTTCTTTACCACCCCTCAAAAAAGTTTTTTTCTACCATCTACAAACATTTTTTTACCACACCCTAAAAAATTTTTATCCACCCCCCTAAATTTTTTTTACCACGCCCAGAAAAAAACGTTTACCACCGTTAAAAAATTATTTTACACCATCTAAAAATTTTTTTTTGCCATCTCCTGAAAAATATTTTTTACCACACCCATCAAAAAAATTTTTTACTTTGTCATACCCAGGCCTCCTCTCATCAAGCCTAATAAAAAAATTCCTTTAACTCACCGGAACTTCCCCTAATAATTTTTTTTAGTTATTGTATGCATCTTCTCAAACACACGTGAAATGAACAAGGAGTTCATGAGCGCAGCCACAGCAGCAGATATGAACAGTCATGAATATGTCTTCATCTTGCCTTGGCTTCAAGCCGAAGCCAAGGATCTCCCACCATGGATCGGCCCAGATGGACAAACTTTGGCTAATGTGAAGGCTCATTTTGCTAATGCTATTATTGTAAGATTTATATAAAACAGTAGAAAAAAAGACTACCGTACCACTCAAAAAATGTTCACCCCTCCCAGAGAAGCGTGATTTAAGCCCTCTTTAAAAAAAGTTATCAAAGAGTACTGTCTACCTAAAAATTTTTTTAAAATTCATCGTTTAGATTGACGACTCTAACGGCTTCGACAACGCTCTTCTCACTCCATTCAAGGAAAAAGTCTCTGCTTTTGGCATTAATGCTGATGAACTGAACTTGGTAAGGCAAACCTTTTATTTCTAGAGTAGGGTAGAGTAGGGTAGGGTAGGGTAGGGTAGGGTAGGGTAGGGTAGGGTAGGGTAGGGTAGGGGTAGGGTAGGGTAGGGTAGGGGAAAGGTAGGGTAGGGTAGGACAAAGCAAGGCAGGGCAAAAACTGACTAGAGCAAGGCATAGGTGAAGCAAGATAGAGCAAAGAGGGATTAAGGCATGACAGAGAAAAATTAAAGCCAGAGAAGGCAAAAGAAGAGAAGGGCAAGGCAGGAGAATGATATAATATAGCAAAGCAAAGGAAGAGTATAGCATAATAGTGCAAAAGGTAGGGTAGGATAGGGTAGAGTAGGAATGGCAGGGTAGGGTAGGATAAAGTAGAGTAGGGTAAGGTAGTCCAATATAAAATATTAAAAAGACCAGGCCGCTGTTTTAAATCAAAAAGTATCCCACACAAAAAAAAATTTTAATTGAACTTAATTGAATCCCCCCTGTTGATTTTTTTACAAAAAAAAATTTTTTAATAAAAATCTTTTTTACCCTTCCCTAGACCAAGAAACAATCCTGGCACTGTTTATAACTACATTTTTTTAGAAGGCAGGGGTAGAAACTCCCCTCCCCCTCCCTACCCCTCACAATACCTCTATTCTCCAAAACACCCTAATTACCCCACCTTCTTCCAGGAAAACATCTACGGCTACATTCACCTCTACGACGCCCTAAAACTGTACTGTCTAGCCGCTCGAAAAGCCATCAACAGTACCGGCAGACTAAACGTAATAGAAGACGGTCGCTTACTATGGAACACAATGAGAGGCATGACATTCCCAGGCCTGATTTCAGCAGCTGGTGCTTCATCCGGCACTGTCATCATGGATGGCATTGCTGAACGTGCTGGTGTTTATGCCGCTTTCTATGTGTCGTCAAAGAAGGACGAGAATATTAAAGTGGTAGAGATGACTCCGACTTTCATGAAAAATTGCGATGGAATAGCTAATCGAAGTAGCTGCATTGAGTTGGTAAGAAAACATTAAATTTAGGCTTAAAAATGAATTTTAGGCTTAGAAATAAATTTTAGAATTAGAAACGAAATTTTAGGCTTAAAAATGAATTTTAGGCTTAGAAATGAATTTTAGGCTTAAAAAAATAAATTTTAGGGTTAAAAATGAATCTTAGGCTTAGGAATGAAAAAAAGGCTTAAAAATAAAATTTTTAGATTAAATACAACTTTTAGGTTTAGAAATAAAAGTTTAGGCTTAAAAATTAATTTTAGGCTTAAAAATGAAATATTAGACTTAAAAGTTAATTTTAGGATTAGAAATGAAATTTTAGGCTTAAAAATAAATTTTATAGAAACTAAATGACACAACAACCGGTTTCTGGCCTTCCATTGACGGTCGTATTCCTAAAGACGAGCCTGACTGTGGATTCCGAGGAGAACACTGTGATTACACACTAATTATGGTCGGTGGTGTTTTAGCCATAGTGGCCATTATACTCGCTTTGTGCGGATTTTTAATCTGCCGATCGTTTGAGAACAAAGCTTTGGACAAGAATTCATGGAGAATATTCAGAGACGACTTGAGGTTAATCAATTCGGAGGAGCTTAAGTCTATGGTAGGTTACTTTAATGTAGACAACTTTACCTTACCGTACAGTATACTAATCTACCCAACCCTACCCTATTGTACCCTACCCTATCGTACCCTACCTTACCCTACCCTACCGCACCCTACCTCACTCCTGCCCTACCCTACCCTACCCTACTATCCTATCATATTTTACATTACTTACGAATACCTTACCCTTCATTACCCAGCTATTCCTACCCTACAAATCCTGCCCTACTGAACCAAACCTACCCTACTATAATATACCCTATCATACTACTTTGGCCTACCGTACCTTGTATTATGTTTCCGTAGTCGTTCACTAACGCCTGCAAAACTACCATAACCAAAGCTTAGTACTACCTGACCTTCCTACAACCTTACCCTAACCCCTGTCTTACCCTAACATCAACTCTTTTTCAGATGTCCATAAGCTCAGCCAAGACAAAACTCAGTAATAACACACAATTTGCAAAACATCATGCAGTGATCGGCACCAATACTCACGCGTCCTACCATATGTACCCACAACTTCGTACGATAAAGTTTGCTCGAGAAGACCTACAACTTCTAACCCAGATGAAACTTGTGGTACATGACAATGTAAACCCGTTCTTAGGAATGTCATTCAACGAGAAAGAGGAGATGCTGATATTATGGAAGTTCTGCTCGCGTGGTACTGTACAAGATATTATTTACAACGATGAGATGGCTTTGGACAGCAAATTCCACGCTGCTTTTATAAGAGACATTACTTTAGTAAGGCATTGTGTTTTAATATACCTACACAAAGGTTTCTAATCAGAGTATTTTAAGTAAAAAAAAAATACTCTCAAAATTGGATATTAAGGTATATCTACTACAATATGAAATACATTATTAAAACAAATCCTTTTGGATCCTACAACATCAACTCCTATATTATAGTAGATAGCCTATAAAACTTTTTAAAATCAATTGAAACATCTCGCTATATAACTAGGTTTTAGGGCCTGGAATATCTTCATCTATCAACAATAGGCTACCACGGATCCTTAACTCCATGGTCATGTCTTATCGACCGTAACTGGATGATCAAACTCACAGATTACGGTATCGCCAACCCAATAGAACGTTGGATAAAACAAGGTGCTATTGGAGAGGAGACGCTGATGGGTGACGATGAAAAAAGTGGAGCTATTCAGGCCACAAGTAGGCTTATAATAATTGTATAAGGCCCTAAGCGAGCCTATATTATCCTACTTAATAGCCTAACTAGATCTGCCGTATTGTAATCTACCCTACCCTATCTTACAAAAACCTACCCTACCCTAAGCGCCTCTACCCTATACTACTACTTCTGTACCATACAGTATCTTATTTTACTTTATCCTACCTCTTACTTTCTGTCTACTGTAACACAATATCCACAAACTTACTTGGATCATTTCAGACGCCCTCTACTGTGCCCCAGAACAGCTAGCCAACCGTGACAACAACAAGCGCAGAAGAATGGATCAAAATTGGCAGAAACAGTCGGTAAATCGCCGACAAGCTGGTGATATCTATGCTTTTGGCATGATTATGCACGAAATTATGGCCAAAAAACTACCGTTCTCTGAAGACAAGAACATTAATGGTAAGTACAGAGGAAGTCTTGTATAATAAATCTTCAGAGCTCTGCGCATTCCTAAAAGACGGCTCCAAAGTAGTCAAACCACAAGTTCAGAAGAATGACTCTATTACGGCTGATCTGGTTTCTCTGCTAGAAGATTGCTGGTCGACCAACCCCGAACTACGTCCTAGCATTCGAAGAGTTAGGCTGAATACTGAGCATTACTTGAAAGTGTAAGTTGGCTTAAAAAATGATTGAAAAAGTGCCTACCTTCAAGTAATTTTACCATGGTCTATGCTGGTTCACCTTACTTTGCTCTGATTAGCCCTACTCTACCTTACCCTAACTTATCCTGCCGTACCATACCGTATCCTACCTTATCTAACCCTACACTCCCTATTCTACGATATACTACTGTACCTTATCCTACTCTCCAACTATATTCTACCCTATCCAAGCCTACTCCGCCCACTACCTTACATTAGCTTCCCACACCCTACCGTATCATAACTTACCCTACACTACGTTACAGTGCCTTACTCTACTATAGCATGTTTAACCATACCTCATGCTATCCTAGCTTACCCCTTACGCCACCCGACCATACTCCATTCTATCCTCCCCTCCCCTTCCTTACTCTATCACTTTCTCTACAGAATACTGTTATTGGTAGTTATTAATGGTACTAAATACTTTCCTCTTCAGAAAAGGCTCCCTAGTCGACCAAATGATGCGAATGATGGAACAATACGCCAACAATCTTGAGAAACTAGTCCAAGAACGTACTGGTATGTTGGAAGAAGCCAATGAACGTGCCGACAAACTTCTGAATCAACTCCTACCTCGCTATGTAGCTACTGAACTCAAAATGGGTCGTGCTGTGCCACCGAAAATGTTCAAAGAAGCGTCCGTCATGTTCACTGACATAGTCGGCTTTACCACGATATGTTCGACGTCGACTCCACTCGAAGTTGTGACTATGTTGAACAATGTCTACACTGGATTCGACAATATCATCTCGAAGAATGGAGCCTACAAGGTGGAGACGATTGGTGATGCCTATATGATTGTTAGTGGAATACCGCAAGAGAATGGGTCGAGACACTTGATGAATATTAGTGATGTTGCCCTAGGCTTCATGGCCTATTTGAAGGACTTTCCGGTACCACACAGACCTGAAAGTAGGATCCGGATTCGTGCCGGACTACATACTGGAGGTGTGGCAGCTGGGGTGGTTGGGTCAACTACTCCTAGATATTGTCTTTTTGGGGATACGGTAAGTAGGACATACTGTAAAATTAAGTAAGATGGAAGATTTTTTCTAGAAGAAAGAGGGAGTACAGGGTAAATTAGGGCTGGGTAGCGTAGGGCGGGATAGAACGCGTTAAGGTGGGGAAAGTTGGGTAGGGATGGGTAGGGGGAGAAGATTAAGGGTAGAGTAGGATAGGGTAAGATAGTGTAGGATAGGGTATGGTAGGGTGGAGTAGGGTAGGGTAAGGTAGGCAGGGTAGAGTAGAGTAATTTAGGGTAAGTATGTTAGTACAGAGTAGGATAGGCTACTGTAGAATAAAGTACTACCTACTATAATATAACATTCCAGGTAAACATGGCCTCAAGGATGGAATCAACCGGCTCACCTCAACAAATTCAAGTCAGCGAACAATTCAAAATGGCATTGAGCGAAAAATACCCAGAATATAAGACCACTTTGAGAGGAGAGAGTGAGATCAAGGTATGACAACATCACTATTCATTAGAACTTAAATTAAAACAAACCTTTACACTGTAAAAAGATGTGCAGAAACTTATTGTAAAACATTTCAGGGCAAAGGAATGTGCATGACCTACTGGCTAGAAGGCACCGCTCAACCAGCTTAACTAATACAATATTAACATTTCTATTGATCATAAGAACACTAATAGAAGTCATTCTGATCATAAAAACTTACACAGAGGACAATACTAACAATAGCAACATTCATAGAGCTCATACTGATCTCTCAGCTTCTCAGAGAAATATTATATCACAATATCTATACCCTGTATATTATCATAGAACATACTATAGTACCCTCCGCATATTTTTAGCTCGCATATATACTCAACCACAATAAAACATCTTATCAGTACAAATAAAGCAGCAATAACCTTCTAGTAAGACCTACATACATATTACGCCTTACCTTACCCTACTCTACCCTACCATACTCTATCTTACCCTACCTTAATTTTTCTTTCTTAATTTGACCAAAAATTCCCATTAATAGACCAAAAGATACGATAAAGCACCACTATTATCTATTAATACCATAAAGGCGCCCATAGTACCAGTTGTTAAAAATGATCAAATCAACATCACCCAATAACAACTCAAGACCAAAAACTCGTTAAATTTGAAATTCCGCATAAATAGCCCCGTCCCAATCTGAATCACAATGAATTTTCTCTTCAACTGTCCTCCTGCAACCTTCTGGCCTCATGGATAATATAAACAGAAACCGCCGTTACATGGACGAAGGCAACCCGAGAGAAAAATGGTATACCTGCATTTATAAGGCTAAGTAAGTACATAAGTTGTGGTAATATTTCCCTTTTTTTTTCATTTTTAAAAAGTTTTTTACCTAAAATTTGAAATTTTTGGAAAAATCGAAAATTAAGTAACCACTTTAAAACCATAAGATAACTACACTATGAAATGCCGCTCGTATTTTACAACTTAATTTCCATTTTCCAACTCATTTTAAAAAATTTGTTACCTAAAATCTCAAACTTTTCAAAACCTCCAAATTTGACAAAATCATATCAAATTTTCACTTTTAACCTTATTATATCACAATTCCTGATAAAATAAACAATAATTAAACATTTTAGATCATTAGTAGTACGTGCTCTGAACAGCGACAAGAAGTACAACGAAGAACCCAAATTTTCAGAACAACTCGATGGTTATGTCGAAATACGTCAAGCAAAATGCAAATTTTGCAACAAAAAAGTGGAATCTAGATATGAAGCTTAAAATACATCTTACTTTTGTATTTTTGATGTAAATAAATTGGGTTCTACTTGTTTATATTGATATTGTTGTAGGTTTTATTGAAGTTTACCGTTTATTTACAAAATTTGAAAGAAAATCCTCAAAATTAATAAAAATAAAATAAAAAAGCTTTAATAAGCTTGCTTTACTATCCATAATTAATCATGACAATCGTTGCAAAAGGTTATGAACAAAAACTGTAAACATAAAGACGACATGTGAGTCCCGCCACGAAAACAAACCGGTTAAAACGAAACGCCAATTAAATTCGGGAAAAATGTTGACGTGGACGAAAAATTATAAATTTTCAATTAAACGTCTGTCGATGTGGCATGATTTATACATTTTTTAGGTGTTCTTGATTAGCTGATAATTTTTTGAACATTAAAACGTATTTTTATATATTGTAGTAGACAAAATTTAGCTTTTTAAACGAGATATAGGTAAAATTAACGCGGTTTTTCTAGAATTAATGATAGAAAAAAGTTTGTAAAAAGTTTATATTTGATTTTTTCAGCCATGGCTTCTTGGGATGAGTATCTCCAGAATCAGGAGAATGTGGATGGAGTTCGCTTCACGTGGAATATGTTACCACACTCGAAGGTCGACTCTCAGAAGTTGGTCGTGCCTCCAGGAGTCTTCTTTGCTCCGCTGAAGGTAAATTTTTTATTTTTTCTTGATTTTAGATAAAACTACAGCAATTGAAGTTTATGAGGTTCTAAAAGACGTTTTACAAGAATATACATTTGTTTGACATGCATAACATTATAAATCTTGAGTTTTTTGATGATTCATGCTATTTTTGATTTTAAAATGTAAATGGATGTAAAAGAAGAGATGTTTAGCATGCTTTTAAAAAGTTATGTGAGGTTTTAAACTTTAATTTTGTTTAGGAAAGACCAGCCGAACTTCCACCTCTACCTCCTCTAGAATATGATCCCGTGTTGTGTCAAAAGCCACAATGTAAAGCTGTGTTGAATCCTCTATGGTACGCTGACAGTCAGATATACTTCTTTCTTATTTTTTACAGTTATAGTGAGAAGCTTTACATTTTCAACGCTTGAAAAACTTGGATTTAGCTAGTTTTGTATGTTAATATAGGGACTTTTATTTTTTTTTAATCTTTATGGCTTTACTTTGGACTTAAACTTTTGTAACAACTTTATTAGCATATTATTTAGATAAATTAGGTTAGTTGATTATTTTGTTGCAAAGCTATGTTGATATCAACTAAATTTAACTGAAAAATGTATTACAATATAGCCTAAACACATATTTTTACGTAAAATAATTTTGTTACTTTTAGTATTGTTGATTACCGAACGAAAGCATGGACATGTGCGATTTGCCATAACAGAAATGCATTTCCACCACATTATGCTGGTATTTCCGAGACCAGTCAGCCTCCAGATCTAAACCCAGCTTTGACCACTATCGAGTACACTTTGAGAGCAAGTTTTTTTATTAGTTTGTTTGGTTTTAGGTAAAATACGTGTATAAAACCATTGTTGATGTAATGCTGTGTAACGAAAGTTTCTTACATTTTAGAAGGCCACGACGCTTCAGCCAATCTTTTTGTTTGTTGTGGACACTTGTGTTGGAGAAAAAGAGCTCAAATCCTTGAAAGATTCGATTCAGAAGGAGTTGGCTACCCTTCCAGCTGATTGTTTTGTTGGCTTAATCACTTTTGGTCGTACGGTTGAATTACGGGAATTGGATGCTAAGAATTTGGGTCGATCTTACGTCTTTTCGGTAGGTTTACATATTTTTTGGGTAAATTTTCTTTTTTGAAATGAAATTGTGAAGAAACGTCTTGAGGGGAAAAGAGAAGGTCAGACCATGTGATATTTGAAGGAGGGAGAGGGGTATTTTTTGTAGATTCTTTGGAAAATTTTAGAAATTTTGGAAAAAAAATTTGAGATTCATACCTAAAATATAACCTTCAGCTTTCTACAACACGATTACATACTATTTTGCAAAACTGCGTGGTTAGCTCTAAATTTATAGTCTCCAAAACGTAGATTAATTTAATTTGTAGGGCTGGTTAGTTTGAGATTATTGTAGTTTGTAAGTGTAACTGTACTAAAACTAATCCAATATTAATTTGAAATTTAATTTGTAAAGTGTAAAAGTTACGAATTTGCTAACTTGATTTGAAACTATATAGTGCATAGTAGGGAAGCCGCTAGAAGGGAGGGGGGGGAGGGTAAAAATATGGGAAAAAAGTTAGATCTAGCGGATAAAAATGGTTGATCCATTCACACTGTGCTAGAATTTTTTTTATAAAACCCGCTTTACAGTAGTCATATTTAAATATTGAAATTTTGGAGCAAGAGATAAGAATATCGGCCGAAAAGCCAACCAAAGAGGATTAAATACCGAGACTAATTGAAAAACGGCCCAAAAACCTAATTTAAAACCAATGTTGACGCGATTTAGCTATATATGTTTTTGGAAATGCAGCTATTTTAATTATGAACAAATATCAGTAAAAACATTATTTATGAAATGACATTAAACGTTACTTATTCCACTATACTACTGTTAGAAAAATTGAGTTATAATAACAAGGGTTAGTGTTTAAAAATAGAAAATTAATGGGGTTTAACTTGCTATAAAAACTGTAATATTACAGATAATAGATTTTTATATTACAGATCTTAAATTAAGGTTACTGTAATATGAAAATCAAAAGTTAGGTTACTTCAAAAAATTTATGAGTTTTCAGGTCACTATAATACTTTTAATACCAGCTCAGTCACTGCTATGTTTTATAACACTAGATAAAGCTTTCAGAGACGTAGCTAGGTAGCTTATACTAATTATATCACAATTTCTTACACAAATACATAAAGAATATCTACAAAACTTAATTTATCCTCGAAATAATCACATAAATATACCGTCGTACTAAACAAACAATGAAAAAGCGATGAAAATACGAAAATAGCAAAGAATTTCATTAACAATTAAAAGTAAAATATTGGTACAAATTAAATTGATCTCGTCTAGAAGTTGAAGGTTCTCGGAAAGTTAGTGTGACTACTAGTTGTTCGATGCCACTTAAGAACCGATATACGGTTGCGTAGATGGTGGAATGCCAAGATAAAGCTATACAGTAAATTTTAGTACCAGCTGTACAAGTTTTTGGTACTAGCCGCACTTTTTTGGTACTAGTCGTACTAACATTATAAAATTTTGGTACCAGTAGTACTAGTTTTAACAATGGTCGTATAATATTATGTTGATGTTATACTAGTTGGTTAATAGTATGTTGATGTTATAATAGTTGACTAGAACAAGTATTGCGGTTAACGTCCCATTACTATCGTTCCACCAATCCTGCTACCGTACCGTTTGTACCGTTCATCTCTGGTCTAAACAATAAATTTCAATAGATTTTTAAAAATCATCTTCATTAGCTATACACAGCAGTATTTAAACATCAACTTCATTAGTTATACACAGCAAGTTACAATGCCGACACACTAACTGTTAGTAAGCAAAAACGAAAATATTTAGGTAGAGATAAAAAATTGATTATCAGAAGTTAGGCTTGGTTAGGAAAAGAATGTTATAGTACAAAAGAGGAGAGTTTTACGACTACGGTATAAAAATAGTCTGGTTACAGTGAACACGCAAAATTGATTATTGTGCAAAAGCATTCAAACGATTATCGAAAAAATTGCTCATTGGCGCATATCCCAAGAATCTAGCCGTAGGAGCGTAGCTTGCGACTGGACCTGTTGACAATGGTTCAGGTACAGGCTGGGCCGCATTGGCTGCTGGTGAAGCCGGTGATCCACTGGCTTGCTTCTCCATGTTGGCATCAACTTGAACAGCTTTTTGTGGAACCAGTTGTTCAACAGCAGCGACTGGTTGAACATTGTTTGTCATGGGAGAAACGTTTTCGTTCAGTTGTGCGTTGTTCTGTGGGTTAGTTAAAGCTTGTGGGTTAGGTAAAGCTTGTGGGTTAGTAAGAGAAGCTGAATTAGTGTTAGGGCTTGGTGCGGTCTCTGGTGTTTGGTCGTTAACACCAGAGAAGGCTTGGTTGTTAGTACCGGCAAATGCCTGACTGTTAGAATCAGCATAAGCCTGGTTGTTAGTACCGCCAAAAGCCTGGCCATTAGTATCAGCAAAAGCTCTGTTAGCACTCGACACAAAACCACGAGCATACGGTTGGTTATTCACAGCAACAGCCGGGTAAAAGCCACTCTGTGGAGCGAACGTTCGACCACTCTCACTCATCCAACCTACCGCTTGATTTGAGGCCAAGTCGCGCTTGTATTTATCCACCAAAAAACTCAACAATCTCTTGGCATTGTACTGTGGATAGGCCTGACTCACTTCCTCCAGCACCGCATTACTATGACTCAGCGGACGACTAGCCACCGCGCCCATGCTCGGTCCGTAATAGGCGTTCAATTGGCGCTGCACACTCTCCGGCCTCGGATACTGTTGAGCATGCAATTGTAGAAGTACGGCCGAAATAACAAAGAAACAACACAGCAGATACATTGTTGTACTTGAAGCAAGTATGCGCCCGAAGCTTGAATTCTGAAATAATAGTGTTAGTTAGGACGGCTAATACCATTTTGTAATGTTTTAAGGTTGTGACACGAGCATATTTAACAAGTTTGTTACTATAATAAGTATACAAAGGTTAATACACGATTTAGTATAACAATAACACGAGTATTGTTTGCAAATATAGCACTATATAACTACTGTTATCCCGATTAGTGTAGAAATATGTTATTGTTGTTACGAGTAATGTAGAAATATGTTGTTAGAACATTTACCAAAGTATGGCACGTTTGTAAGGTATCGACTGGAACAGACAATGACCTAGTATTAACAATTAAAGCACTAGTTAATGCGTTTAGTACAAAACTTGTACAGTATAATAAAGTTAGGGGACTTTTTTACATTCTCACGTGCTATTTAAACGCATAAGGAAGTTGGGTTAATAACTGGGTTAGAATGACGCAGACATGCTCTCTTGGTACACCAAGTTTAAATTTTTATTCTTAAATTAAAATTTGAAGTCTACATCTTTAAACAGTTTGTTGACTTTTTTAAGTACAAGAGGTTAATTGGCCACTGTGACACGAAAAGGTAAATAAACAATACGTTTACGTAAATAATTTTACAATAATCACCAGTGTAAACAAGTTTAACGTAAGTGACTACGCATGTAAGGCATAGGGAAAGGTAGACAATCTAATACATTAAAAGTAAAAACAGATGACAATACCAAACTGACAATACCCTTAAGTACCTCACAATCTGCATAGAAACGCACCAAGTTTAGTACTGTAGCCATGCCAAAGACCCTTGTAATGAGCTCAAAATACAGTCAAACGCCAAAAATATTCTACCAAATTGGGCGGAGGAAGCGCCAGCATTAATGACTGTTTGCGCGCTTACCTAGGTCGAGATCTCGAGGGAAATCTTGCTAATCAAGTACAAGCCCAAGACCTGTCTCTTATTAATTAACCATGACTAAATAAGGGATTTGTCCAAAACGCGTGGAATTAGCAATATTTTTGGTCTAGAATTTAAAAACGGACGTTATTTTCGATATTAATACACAAGGTGGTCCGAGGATGACTGAGTATTAAATCCCGCAATAACAACATATTTTAGTGGTGGATGTATTGAATTAGCTTCAGCTCTATGGGTGGCAAAAATTGAAACTCACAAAATTGTTTCCGGTTTTTTAATAAAGTATTCTAATTGAAAGGAATTGTTGAATAAAGAAATGACATGTAGCAATCAATAGTTGTTATAATAAATAAAGGTGTGAATGTTTGGTTTTAAAATAGAAACACAAGTTAAACTTAAAACCAAAAATGTCAAAGAACTGGATCGGACACAAGACTGAACGTAGTGTAATACGTGCAATCTTGTAGCCGATCGAACACACTACTCAATTTTCAAGAGCTATTGAATCCGATATGTATAGCTTACGATTAAATTAAATTCAAGGGCAATGCTATCAAAGACAAAGAAATTTCAAACAAAAACCGACAAAGCGCATTATATGTACAAGTACTACTGAATGCACTGTTTTAAAGTTTATACCAGGAATCCATATAGTTAAGAATATTGCTTTGAAATTGCAGCCAGACAAAATAAGGCTAATGGATTTGATAATAACAGCTTTCTATATTTAGAGACTGTAGCAACAATATATTTTTTACTGATAAACGGCATAATGTAAAGGCGAAATAGAGGTAGACATAAAGGCGAGGCATAGGAAGAAATAAAGGCAATATGAAGTTAAACCACGACTTAGTAACAGCAAGCAGAGTTTTTCTGCTATATTAAGCAACTGTATGGTTTGACTGAAGCAATATAGACTGTAAGCAGCATGTCGGAAGGATTAGAAAACCAATGAAATTCAACCACAAGACCTGAAGCTAGGGTTAAGTTAATCTGGGCGGATTTTAAAACATTTTTACAACAGCATGACGCCGGTTTAAATAGGCGTGGTACCGTAGGCAGGTGTTATAAGCCAATTTGTTGTACTTGGAAACTGTATCACAAGTTGTAAAAGAGGCGGTTTAATTAGATAATGATAACTAGATTAACACATTTGGTTGAATATTAGGCTGTGTTTACGTATAGTAAGTCACAACATAATAAATTTAAAGTTACGTTGACTTTTCATACTGCATTGTAGCCTAGTTGACGCTGGGAATCAAGTAGTCTATAAAGCAGTATTGTCTGTAAAGCAAAACTTTGAAAAATAATCAATGAAAAAGGCGATATATTGTTGTTAGCATCCGCTACGGTAGTAATAAAACAAAATGTTATAAGATAAAATGTAAAGTAACAGTTACTTTTTATGCCTCAAAGACTAATATTACACGATGCAGAGGATAAAAATAAACTATATTTTTGAAAACAACTAACAAGAAACCCAATAAGATATAGGTAGCCAAACTGTAACGGATTAGTGTTATTCAAACGGCTTACTACAAGAAGAAACAAAAAAAAATGTCAAGCAACAGATCATAGTCCGGAAACGAGTATTAATCGACTGTTTTCCGTTTTATTATCCGCTAAGATTCACGTAAATCGCCAAAAAGTTGAAATTTTTAAAGGAAATTAGGTGATAATAGTGTAGTTTGCGCTAGGCTTGTCAAAAGTTGCGAGGAGACAATATCTTGAAAAGTACATCAATACAAAGTTATATAATTAAAGAAGCTTTGACGAAAGTTAGTGTAAAGCTGTTGCGGCGAACTAAAGTCAAGGGGACGGGTTTTATGGGGTCAATTTTGGAAAGCTTACTGTCAGTACTCTTGTTTTGACTTGAACTACAAGGGGTTTTAGTAGTTAAGTATCTCAATATTGATGGGTTTACTAAGGTTTTGACACGATACTTTTAACTATATCATTCTATATTTAAAACTATACGTTCCAAACCATCAAAATGCCACCAAAGTCCACGATTTTCAAGTACCTATCTAATAAACCAACTAGCAGCGGAAGCCAAAACAAGGAAGAGGTCAAGACGGAAGCTTCTCCAAAATTGGCCCTATAAAAGCCTACGCCTTGACTTTTGGTTCGCCGCAACAATTTAGTTCTAAATTTGGTTAAAACAGTCTGAAGCTTATAATCATGCCAGAATGACGCAAAATGCCGGGAAATCGCTTTGTTTACAGACCATAATTGAATTTTGATTGTTTAAAACAAATTAAGTGACATGTTTTATTAAGTCCACACGATAATTTTGTTAAATGACATAAGTTGAGGTGCAGTAGTGTGTTATGCTACAGAAGATACGTTTTTTATGACGAATTTTTTTGAAAGAAAGTACAATCAAAGCACTAAATGTGAAAAAAGTCATGTAACATAACAGGTAATTGCTTTAGTATTTAAGTTAATTTCAAAAATGAAAAGCCAAACTGCCAGACCTAAAAAGAGACGCTAGCTAAACAGTATAAGGAACTAATAATGAAACCAATTAAAGAAGAACAATATAATATCAACACTTGTAACAATTATCTCTTTATTATCAAAAGAACAAACAAAACTTCCTCTTGACGCCATACTTAAAAACCGATGTACCAACTAATCTGTCACGCTTAAACTCGGCCTTGTTAAGCTAATGAGCTTTTGTAAAACGCTCGACCTAAACCTAGCAACCTGAAATAACAGTTATGTTTAGACGTGACGCAGAATGCCAAAACACAAGAACACTGCAAAACTATGCATACGAAAGCCATAATTGCGTAGACTGTTTTTCGAATTCAGTACGTGTTCTGTTACGGTGTTGATGGTTTTATACTGTTCGTGGGGCTGTTTTAGAACTAATTGGGGCTGGAACGTGGTTTTCGGGATTCAGGTATTGTAGGGTTGAGTGTACAGTAATGTTACGGGACTACTGGGTCTATAGTAATGTATTACTTTATGGGTTACACGCTGCACTTAGAACAACTAAGCTCTGGAGCCGGAGTTGCACTGGAGCTCGTGGGAACTCTGGTTACAACAACATATTACCTTAGGGGCTTTCGTCTGACAACTTGCGATTAGTTTTAATGTTTAATAGTTATTAAATTACGGTTACTTTAGGGTTTAATATTAGTAACGACTTTATTTTACAGTGTGCGAGACTAAGAAGCTTATAATTGAAGCCTAACAAGGTTTTTCAAAAATCAAGGACAAAAGTTTAATTTATGTACTATAGAACGCCTACAGACGGCATTAAAATTAGTTATAATCTAAAACAACTAACAAAGAATACAGCATTATAAAAAACTGCGTTGTAAACTAATCATTCAAGACTGTAAAAACGAAGCCAGCGTTAAGCTCAATACCAAATGCAGCCTTATTAAGCACAAACAAGAAGTAAAGGTTAGCGGATTGTTTGGCCGAATACAAAAGCCAAACAGGGGTGAAGGGGATTAGTAGAAATGACGCAAACTACAGTACGTCTGGTACGTGAGTATAACATGGAACGGGATACCGAAATTTGAAATTGAACGGAAGGAGAAATTTGCAAGTATAATATTATTCAGTGGACATTGTTGACTGGTGTTACGGTAATTGAAAAGCAAGAATAGTGAAATTGCTTAAGAAAAATACAATGTAAAAGAACACAAATAAACGATATTCTTGAAACTATTAGGTTGTTAACTTAATTCTGCGCCTTCTCTCAACAAATTCGTGGGTAAGGAAGCGCAGAATTATGTGAACAACCTAATAGATATAGAAAAGCACTATCATTGGGCAATTTGTGGTTATATAATGACAAATTGAACATCATTTGATAGTTGGCTTCGGACCGATTCGCAAAACGATTAAAAAAAGGACTAATAGTTAAAAAATAGTTTTTAAAATTGGGTTACAAGCCTGTAAACATAAATTTTTTTTTGATTTTTACTTTCTTTTTCTCCCCCCTCTCCTCTATCTTTCTTATTTTACCCCCCTTCCCTTCTCCCACTTGAAAAAGATTTTAGTTAAGCTTTTGTTTCCAACTATTTATATCGTGTTTCTTGATGTTTACTGCTACTTTTATACTCTTGTAGTTACTATACATTCAACAGTGCTATTTATAGCCTTTTCTTAGACGTTTGCACTACTAAAGAACACTTTTATAACATTTTATAGTACCCGATGGGATAAAACCACGCTTTTTTGTTTTTCAATCCTAATTCTTCTTTTTTCAGGGTCAAAAAGAAGTCACTGCCAAACAAATTCGTGACGTGTTAGCCCTGAACATTGGTCGTCCCGCTGGTGCACACGCTCCAACTCCAGCACCAGGCGCCGCACCAGGTGCACCACCACCACAGAATGGCCAACACTTCCCGGGCCAACAATTCCAGCGGCCAGGAATGCCAATGGGACCAGGTGGACAACAGTTCCCAGGCCAGCAAATGCCAGGACAGCAAATGCCAGGCCAGCAAATGCCAGGCCAGCAAATGCCAGGCCAGCAAATGCCAGGTCAGCAGATGCCAGGACAGGGCTTTCCAGGACAGGGCTTGCCAGGACAAGGATTCCCAGGACACCCCGGTCAACAGCCGCTAGGGCCAAAGACTAGTGTCAGCAGTCAAAGTGGAGCGCCAGGACATGTTCCATATAACAAGTTCTTGCAGGTAAGGGTAGTTTTGTAGGGATTTTTTGGGTTCAGGGGGTTGTTTTTCAAAATTTTTATTTCTTATATTTCAGCCCCTTTCCGAATGCGAACAAACCATCAACGATCTAATCGAACAAATCGGCTCAGACCGTTGGCCCATCCCTCAAGGCCACCGCCCCCTACGTGCCACAGGAAGCGCCCTAGCCGTGGCCGTCACCCTCCTCGAGACTTGCTTCCCCAACACCGGAGCCAGAATCATGAGCTTCATCGGCGGAGCATGCACAACAGGACCAGGAATGGTATGCAACGAAGAGCTGAAGAGCCCCATCAGATCGTGGCACGATATCAAGGAAGATAACGCCATCTACATGAGGAAAGCCATCAAGTTCTTTGACTCGTTGGCTGCCAGAGCTGTGAAGAATGGCCACGCAATTGATGTCTACTCGTGCGCCTTGGATCAAACTGGTCTATTGGAGATGAAGAATTGCTACAACTTGACTAATGGTAGGGTTTTAAAATTTTTATGTAAAAAAAGGTTGGCAAGGAGATTTTAAGTCAAACAAAATTTAAAATTCATTAATTTTTAGGTCACGTCATAATGGCAGATAGTTTTGAGTCAACCCTGTTCAAACAATCCTTTGCCAAAGTGTTCGAACGAGACTGTAATGGTCAACTAAAAATGGCCTTCAACGCGACAATGGAAGTCAAACTAAGTACGGGTCTAAAAGTGGAGGGAGCTCTCGGATGTTGTGCTTCAGCCGGTGTCAGAAACCTCATAGTATCAGACACAGAGGTGGGCGTGGGCGGAACCTGCCAATGGAAGTTCTGCTCTCTAACTCCACGAAATAACGTAGCCTTGATGTTCGAAATCAGCGCTCAACATGGCTCAGCCCTACCACAAGGCAGTCGAGCAGTAGTACAGTTTGTAACACAATATCAACATGCGGACGGTCGAAAACGAATTCGTGTCACCACCACAGCCAGACACTGGGCCGACATGGCATCACAACAAACCTCGATCGCCTACGGCTTTGATCAAGACGCTGCGGCTGTTATGATGGCAAGATTGGCTTCGTTCAGGGCGTCGAATGAGAACGACTCACCAGATACGATGCGATGGTTGGACAGAAGTTTGATACGACTGATTCAAAAGTTCTCGGAATTCCATGCCAACGACCCCAACTCATTGAAGATCAACGAACGATTCACGGCCTATCCACAGTTCATGTTCCACTTGAGGAGGTCTCAGTTCCTACAAGTGTTCAACAATTCACCGGATGAAACCGCGTATTATAGGTAGGGTTTTGATAATGAAAATGGTTTTGGGGGAGGGAGTGGGGGTGTTTTTTTATTTTGGGGGTAGAAATTGCTTTTTTGAAAAAAAAATTTAGGTAACAAAATTTTTGTTTTAGGTATTAAAAGTGAAGTTTATGATATTAAAGGTTAGTTTCAGGTAGCAAAAGTTTATCTTCAGATGACTCAATTTTGTTTTCGAAAAGTTTTCTATTTTAGGTAAAAAAAAATTATTTTTTGAAAAGTTGAAATTTTAGATAACTGAAAAATAAATTTTTGGTGTAAGTTAAATAAAAAATACGGTATTATGCCATTTTAGACACTAAAATGGATTTTTTGAAAAATTAAAATTTTAGGTAACAAATTATTTTTTATGATATTTTAGAATCTAATAGACGACATTTTTCCTAATAATATCTTATTTTAGACACATTTTATTTGTGGAGAACGTTGGTGAAAGCACGTCGATGATCCAGCCGATGTTATACTCGTACTCGTTCAACGGACCTCCAGAACCAGTACTTCTAGACACGTCCTCAATACAACCAGACCGTATCTTGCTTATGGACGACTATTTCCACGTCCTAATCTACCACGGTCAAACTATAGATCAATGGAAGCGGGCCAACTATCAGGACGATCCTCAATATGCCACCTTCAAACAACTGTTGGAGGCACCGATTGAGGATGCCCAACAACTATTGGCTGAAAGATTCCCGGTGCCAAGATATATTCAAACTCAACATGAGGGATCACAGGTAAGGTTTGACAATGTTTGGTTTAAAAAAGGGTGTTTAGGTAACAAAAAATGATTTTTTTTGGACATGAAATGGTATTTTAGGTAATAAAAACTAATTTTTTGGCTAAGAATTAGTATTTTAGGTAACAAAAATTAATTTTTTGGCTAGAAATCTGTACTTTAGGTAATATAAATTATTTTTATTTGGCTAGGATGCGGTAATTTAGGTAACAAAAATAAGGTTTTTGGTCGAAAAATGGTATTTTAGGTAATAAAAACGAATTTTTTAAACAAAAAAGAGGATTTCAGGTAACAAAAATGACGTTTTTATGAAAAATGCTTTTTAGGTAACAAAATCATTCAAAATTCAAAACCAATTTTCAGGCTCGATTCCTGTTGTCCAAGGTGAACCCCTCGACCACCCACAACAGCTACCAATCCCAGGAGGGTAGCGCGGCCGTCTTCACCGACGACGTCAGCTTCCAAGTCTTCACCGACCATCTGCGCAAGCTCATCGTCCAAGGCACAAACTAATAATATATTGTTGTAACTGTGATTATGTAGTCGCTAACTTATGTATTTCGTATTCAAAATGTAAATGGTTGTTAGGTATTTATTTGACTATAAAAGATTGAAATTTTTGAAGTGTTGGGTTGATTATGGCATTGAATTACTTTACCTTAAGACTTATTTTATAATGGCATTTCAGACTTACTGTTATCAGTTTATTCAAGTAAATATACAATGTGTAGCGTAAATATATAATACAGTATATTTTTATTGAGTTTTATATGAGCTGAAGCAATTTCATGGTACTGAAGTTTTTAAAACACGTTACAATAGCTTCAGTGTACTCAGAAGCCAACTTAACGACCAGAAGCCACGGTAGTAGTAGACATTTGACGAGCTACTCTTGGTGCACCTGATGTTGTCATGGCTTGCCGAGCAATTCTAGCTGATTTCGTGGTGCTCATGGCTTGTCGAGCGATCCTGGAGGACTTGGTGGTGCTCATAGCTTGTCTAGCAAACCTCGGTACCATAGTAGTTGACATAACGTCTCTAGCGACTCTTGGGGCCATAGTAGTGGACGTAACATCTCTAGCTACCCTAGGTATCATAGTAGTAGACATAATGTCTCTAACGACTCTTGGGGCCATTGTAGTCGTATCAGCGGCTCTAACCATCCGTGGAGATGTTGTAGTAGTCATGGCTTGTCTTTTGGCTCTAGAGGACTTAGTAGTACTCATGGCGTCACGTGCTATTCTAGAAGATTTGGTAGTACTCATGGCGTCTCTAGCGATTCTTGAGGACTTAGTAGTGCTCATCACATCTCTAGCAACTCGAGCGGCTGGAGTAGTTGACATTACTGCACGTCGCATTCTTGAGGACTTGGTAGTACTCATAGCATCTCTAGCAACTCGTGGTACCATAGTAGTGGACGTGACATCTCTAACAACTCTAGGCTTATCTTCTTCTTCACTAGCATCTCTAGCCATCCTAGGGAGCATAGTAGTAGACATAACATCTCTAGCAACTCTAGGCTTATCTTCTTCTTCACTAACGTCTCTAGCAACTCTTGGTACCATAGTAGTACTCATAACATCTCTAACTATTCTAGGGACCATGGTAGTGCTCATGACATCTCTGGCTACTCTAGGCACCATAGTAGTAGTATCTACAGCTCTGCCCATTCTCGGTGCTAACGTGGTCGTATCAGCTGCTCGAGCCATTCGTGGTGATGTTGTAGTAGTCATGGCTTGTCTTTTGACTCTAGAGGATTTGGTAGTACTCATAGCATCTCTGGCTATTCTAGAGGACTTGGTAGTGCTCATTGCTTGTCTAGCAATCCTCGCGGACTTGGTAGTAGAGCTCATGGCTTGTCTAGCGATTCTGGAAGACTTGGTAGTGCTCATAGCTTGTCTGGCAACTCTAGGGGTAGGTACTTCTTCACTAGCATCTCTAGCAACTCTTGATGCTTTAGTGGTACTACTAGCATCCCTAGCGACTCTGGGTACCATAGTAGTAGACGTAACATCCCTAGCAACTCTAGCTGCCTTGGTAGTACTCATAACGTCTCTAGCGACTCTAGGGACCATAGTAGTAGACGTGACATCTCTAGCTACTCTGGGTTTATCTTCTTCTTCACTAGCGTCCCTGGCCATTCTAGGAGCATAAGTAGTAGTCATGGCTTGTCTCTTATCTTTACCATCTTTTTCATCACTCACGCCTCTCTTTTCCTTCTTATCTTCTTCTTCTGTATCTCTTGAGATTCTGGGCAAGACAGTCGTAGTATAGGTATCTCTCTTGTTAATCTTGGGCGTGGTAGGAGTAGAAACATCTCTCTTATTAATCTTGGGAGTAGTAGGGGTGGATACATCACGTTTATTAACTCTTTTGGTCACTTTTGATGCCACTTCTTCGGCTTTTTCGCTAACTTCTTTGGACAAACTGCCTTCTTCGCTTTCTGCTTCTGTTGTGGTTACACTACGCTTCTTTGGTGATGCTGTTGAGGAGTGGTGGTGGCCATAAGCTGAAAATAATAGAAAATATTTTGGCCATTTTTCATTATTTATTGATTTTTGGGCACTAGAATGTGATTTTGTTACCTAAAATTTATTTTTGTTACCTAAAAATCATTTTTTTTTACCTAAAATTTATTTTTTTTACCTAAAATTGATTTTTGTTACCTAGAATTTATTTTTGTTACCTAAAATTCATTTTTTGCCTAATTTGTTGCTTTAAATTCATTTTTGTTACCTAAAATCCATTTTTGTTACTTAAAATTTATTTTTGTGTTACCTATTTTTTCCATTTACCATGCCCACAGTTTTAAAAATGCAGTAAAAAATTTTTTTTTAATTTAAAAATTTAAAAATGAAAAAAAAATCAAAGTAAAAAAAACTTACCAAAAACAAGCCCGCAGGCGATTAAAATCACGACAAACTGCCGCATTTTGCAATCAAAACACCCAATGAAAGGCGCGTTTCGAAGGTACAAAAACCTACAATAACAAGTTGAATGTAAATATTATGCAATTTATACGGGCTGCAATTATGAGGCGGGGCGGGCTCTCGTTTAATCCAGCATTTTTGTGGATCAGTCCGAGACCAAAACAACAAAAATCTTCCCTTCCTTTTGTGGCGTACTTTTTGGCGTTTGATGACAATTTTAATGGAATGAGCGAGCGATTTTTTTGAAAAAGGTCTAAATATATAATAGGTAGGCTATATATATCTTGCTAGTTGGTATCGGAGTATGTGTAGCTCTTTGACATGTGACAACTTCAAAAAAGCTTTTGCAAAAATACTAGAACTAGACCGAGCCTTTAATTTTTCACATAATTATGTGCCCCCTAACTGCACAAATTTAATTTGAGGGAGCACAGAATTATTTGAACACCTTATTGTGAAGAAACAAGTTTGCAATGGGGTTGAGAGTTTGGTAATGTATGGGTAGGATGAAGGCGCTAGAATATGATAGGATGGAGTTACGGTAGTACTATGGTATCAAGTTACATTAGGGTAGTAAAAAGATCCTAGTAAATGTGCTCTAAAACAACAAGGCACCGCAGGGCTGGATAGGTAGGGAAGGGTAGGGCAGGGTAGGGTAAGGTAGGGTAATGTAGGGTAAAATAGGGTAGGGTAGGGTAGGGCAGGGTAGGGTAAAGTAGGGTAATGTAGGGTAAAATAGGGTAGGGTAAAGTAGGGTAGGGTAAGGCAAGACAGGGCGTATAATATTACATAATTTCGGCGCTGTTACCCAATAATGATATCACTATATAGCCCTAGAGAAATTGCCAGAAATGGTATTACGCAACTTCTTCTTATGTAATATTATGGTTTTATATAACATTTGACTCGATGTAAAACGACCCAACAAAATGACTGCGAGTGCTGGGATTTGGCTCTGTTTTTTCTGCGAGTGCTATGACATTATTGTATCAATTTTTAATCAGAAGCTTAGTCAAGAAAACGGCTGAAGCTAAAGCTTAGGGTTAGAACTATGGATAAAGCTAAGGCTGGGGCTATGGCTAGGGCTAAAGCTAGGGCTAGGGCTAAAGCTAGGGCTAAAGCTAGGGCTAAAGCTAGGGCTAGGGCTAAATCTAGGGCTAGGGCTTTTATTTGTTTGGAAAAAACTTTCGGAAACCGTTTTATACATTTTTCTATTATAATATACACAAACAAGTTGCTACAATGTTTATTTTGAGTCAAATCATACCTAAAAACAGTTGTGTTTTGATCCAGTTGCGCATGAAAAAACAAATCGAAGAAGGATGTTTGTTTTATAAAAAAAGCTTTCTATTGTTAAATTTAAAAAATTGATCTTGTTTTTAAACTTTGGACAATGTACGATGACAATTAACGTACAATGCAGTACAGGAAAAAAAGAAAGTTTTTTCAATGAAAAAAAGTTCAAAAATTATTTATGTAAAGAACGGTAGCATAGGGGTTGTTTACGGCACGTTTGGGAAGGGTTTCTGTGGGTTATGGTACTGTAAGACAAGGTACGGTAGATCAAACTAGGGTACATGAGGTTAGAGTAAAGTAGAGTGGGGTAGGACAAAGCGCAGTAGGATATAGTATGGGACAGAACAGGCAAGTGGGGTAGGGTAGGGTAGGGTAGGGTAGGGTAGGGTAGGGTAGGGTAGGGTAAAGTCCGACACGGTAGGCCAAAGCAGGGCGAAATAAGGCGGTGTATGACAGGGCAGGGGGCAGAGCAAGACAAGGCAAGGCAAGGCAAGGCAAGGCAAGGCAAGGCAAGGCAAGGCAAGGCAAGGCAAGGCAAGGCAAGGCAAGGCAAGGCAAGGCAAGGCAAGGTGCAATTTAATATTTTTTGAAATTTTAAAATGCAATTTTAATTGTTTTGATCAGAGCGCGAGCCTTGGTGTCAGATTGATCGTGAAAAGTGTGTATAAACAATAACATGTATAGACAAATGCGTTTTCCGGATTAAATGTGGATTTGAAAGGTCATGATCTAACATAAACACTTATTTCACAATTGGCTTGTCATCATATTAGAGAGGATTGTCATAGGTGTTTCAAAAGTTTTGGCTGGGGGTGTTTTTGGGTGAAACTGAGATTAGGTAACAAAAACAGTTTTTGATACTTACCAATTGTAAGCTTAATAAACCTAAGCCTGCGAAAGCTAAGCCTACTAAATATAAGCATAGAAAGCCTAAGCCTACTAAATGTAAGCATACAAAGCCTAAGCCTGCTAAGAGTAAGAATAATAAGGTTATTTTTAAGAATAGCCACATTCAGGGTCTGGGGAAGCAAATTTAAGTTCAAGGTTGCAAAGGTCAATGATACTAAGCCTAAACGTACTAAACTCAAACTTACTAAGCTTAATTTTCTCGTACTAAGCTTTTTAGTTGTAATTAAAATACTAATAACAGAAAGATTGACTGTAGTTGTTAAATTTGCATAAACGTAAGTATAAATACAAGCATTAGAAATGCATTACATTTGGGAATATCAACTACCTAGCAATGTATTTTAATTGTCTTTCTTTTTTCTTTTTATTAACTTTTATCGTTTGTTTGATTCAAAATGGTAAAGTTCAATTTTTAGCTATTTTTAATTGTTGGCTGTTCCAATTACTTATAATGAAATTTCATTTTTTAGTGGGTAGTTTCTGCCTCTATGATAGTGACTGCACTGACGTTTGCGACTTCGGCGGAGGCTGTTGGTTCTTGTTGTGTATTTGCTAATGGCTTTGATTTTCAAAAATATTACGGATAATAAAATATATGAACTTCTTATTATTTTTTAACAAAATGTCATAAAATTTTGAAAAATTATAATTATAGAGTGGAACCCTTGCATAACTTAAGGATTTAAAATTTATTCTGTTTCAATTTTATTTTTAAAGCATTTTACACTTATAAAATGTCGATACAAACGCATATAAACCAATAACAAATTCCAAAATCTTCGCAAGACTGGCGATAGTTGAAACTGTGGAGGCATGCGTCTAAGCCGGCTACTGAAATTTTTATTAAATTGTAGAAATATCAACAATACAATCATTATATGTTCTATAACAACTAATAATTAGGTATTCAAAGTGGTATACATTTATGTTTTGGTCAGGTCAGTACTAGAACCAGATAGGTAAACGGTATTTTAGGCTAGGTTCTATGTCATACCCGACTTGACCTGGCATTTTTAAATGTGCTTTGGTCCGTTCCAGGAAAAGGCTGTTGCCAAGGCCTGGATTGGGTTTATTGGGCGATTTATTAGATTAATGGTTCAAAGACATACTTTTGTATGAAGAAATAGATTTAAAACGTCTTACCTGTCTCAGCCAAACACACAAAAATGAGTATTATAAGAAGAAGCGACTGAGTATTGAAATTCATTTTAAATTTCACAATAAACTCTTTTTTTAAAGAACAAAATATATTTATTTCTACTCTTTCAGATACATTAATGTAAGCCGCAAAACTTGATAGGCATTTGTTCCCAGCCTACTAGTTTTAATCACATTAAATTTTTTATTTTAAAATTAAAAAATAGAATTAAAAGAGCCAAAAATTTTTCAAAAAATTTAAAGATTTATGGTTTTTTTTTAGAATGGAAGTAAATTTTTTTGTTTTCATTATAAAGCCATGTTAATAACGACTACAATTGCTGCTTATTATAATACATTAACATACGTATATGTATAAAAACAAAATGAAAGTTTTATGAGTTTTAATATAAATTTGAAATGAATTTCGGTATTTTACATGTTTCTTTTGTATTAGTTTTAATTTTGTACTTGGCTGCAGAAATCGGTAAGATTTTAAAATGTTTTCTGAAATTTAAATGAAGGGTGAGAGTAGAACTAGCGATTTGCACGAAGAAGGCTAAACTAGGAGTATGTTAAAAATTCAGGTTGGTCAAGAGCAGAGATAGAGCAGAGTAAAGTGGGTCAGCGTAAGGTAACGCTAAGGTTAAAGCGCACTAGGGTTACTAGGGCTGCTAGAACTTCTAGGACTTCTAGGGCTACTAGGACTACTAAGACTAGTAGGACTTCTAGGGCTACTAGGACTAGTAGGGCTACGAAAGCTATGTCTACTAAAGCTACTAGGACTACTAGGACTAGTAGGGCACGAAAGCTATGTCTACTAAAGCTACTAGGACTACTAGGACTAGTAGGACTTCTAGGGCTACTAGGACTAGTAGGGCTACGAAAGCTATGTCTACGAAAACCACTAGGACTACTAGGACTAGTAGAACTTCTAGGGCTACTAGGACTAGCAGGGCTACGAAAACTATGTCTGCTGGGCTACTATAAAATTTTGATTTGCCATATTAAATAAACTCAATTTTTGAAATTAAAAATATTAAATATTGATATACAAACTGTTGTTTTTAGCCGCTGTACAATTTTGTTTCCTTTACACCGACTGTAGTTGTGATGGATCGTGCGAATGGTTTGTTTGTATCTGTGATCGAGGTTCAAAACGTTTATTTTAACTTGATTCCCTCGTTCTGTTGTAGTTTATTACAGTAATCTTACGATAAATAATTATAAAACAATCGGCTAGAAAAACGTAATTTATTTGTTAACATTTCCTTCTGTATATATATCATTGTCATAACGTTTTAAAAACAGATGCACTTGAAATAATAACAAACTCCGGCATGTTCGCAAACTCGAAAGCAGTTAAAGCTGGTTATACAGTCAAAAAAACTTGGTGTTGAAAGAAGTTATTATAAGAAGCACATAAGCCTAAGCTCATAAAGTTTAATTCTACTTAGGTTACCTACGATGTTTTATTTTAATAAGCCTAAGCCTACTAAACCTAAGTCTACTAAGTCTAAGTCTCCTAAGCCTACTAAGCCTAAGCCTACTAAGCCTAAGCCTACTAAGCTTAAGCCTACTAAGCCTAAGCCTACTAAGTCTAAGCGTACTAATCCTAAGCCTACTAAGATTAATCCTACTAGGCCTAAGCCTACTAAGTCTAAGCGTACTAAGAGTAAGCTTAAGTTTACTAAGCCTAAGCGTACTAAGAGTAAGCCTAAGCCTACTAAGCCTAAGCTTATCAAGTCTATACCTATTAAACTTAGCTTGAAACAACTATTCAGTACCTCGTTAATAAGTAATTTGTTACTACTTTTTTTGCTTACTAAATCATTAAACTCTTACCAACTTCATTTGTCAAACAGAAGATGACGAGTAAAACAAGCAAAAGCGACTGAAAATTGAAATTCATTTTTGAATGTCAAAAATTTTTTGATGCTTACGCTTATACATAAAAATTGTTTGATTTAATGAAGAACACTTTCTCAGCCTATCAATTAAAATTTGAAATTTAATTATTTAATTAAAAATGATTTTGTTAATGCATTTAAAATTTGTTACATTTATAGGCTTTTACATTTAAATTTGTCACTAAAAAACGTCATCCTTAATTGCGAGAAATAAAAATTTCAAAATAAAAAAAAATATTTTTTAAAAAACCTTGGCTTAGCTAAGGCTTAAGCAATTGTTTAAGCTAAAGGCTTTTACGCTAGGCGTTGGGCATAGACTGCAATTTAAGGTTTAGGCTAGAGCTTAGCAAGAATTTAAGTTAAGGTTACTCAACGTGGCTTGATGCTTAAGTTTAAATAGAGATTTAGCTGGAGCTTTCATAAAGCTAATTTTCTATTTTAAAAAAAGGAGATTATTTTTTTTGCGAAATTCAAATGTTTAAGCGATAAAATCATTTATTATAACATTACTGTCTGGTATTTGACAATCTATATAAAGAACATTAAACGCAAAGGCACATAAACCAATAACAATATCCAAAATGTTCGCAGAATCTCAAGCAGTTTAAGCTTGTAATGCAGGGATCAAATGTGTCACATGCCACTGAAAATATAAGATATTACATTAGGTGCCGACATAAAGAATCCGCCATTTTTTACAGGAAATTACAGGAAAAGCATGGCCGGTTCTCTATGTCGGCACCTAATAAGCCTTAGCTTTTCTGGAAGCCTTAGCTTTAGCATTATCTTTAGCTCTAGTCTTAGTCTTAGCTTTGCTTTCAGCTTTAGCATTAGTATTAATTAATGAATTCAAAAAACTTGCCATTCCCAACCAAACATAGACAAACAAGTAGGGTGACCAACAACGCTTGAAGCCTAAAATTCATTTTAAATTTTATCAAAATGCTTTCAGACGTGTTTATTTATACTTACATTATATGTTAATGTAACAAACCAAGCTTTTTATAGCTACATTGAAGAGTTCACAGCCTAATAATTGCAAAAACAAGGCCTAAAAGTGATGAATTTAGATACCGTAAATGTAACAACTGTTTTTATTTTAGTTTTTTTTTTAATTTTTAATTTTTTAATTACAAAGCAAGGGCTAGGGTTTTGTGGACTACCGATGAAATGATAAGCTCTATTTTTGAAACATATACAGTAATATAATAGCATCAGAATTGTTTGCAACATAATAAGATGACAAATATTAGCCTGAGAAAATTTTAAAATTAGTATTTTACATTGCTTTTCTGAAAGTATAAATATAAACGTATCATGGTGATGAATATCAATTTTAAAATGAGTCCTAACCGACAGTCGTTTGTCTTCATCTTACTAATTGTAGGCTTGGCTAACGCATTAGGTAAGAAGATTACTTTGTATTTGGATAGGTAGGGTAGGGTAGGGTAGGGTAGGGTAGGGTAGGGTAGGGTAAGGTAAAGTAGGGTAGGGTAGGGTAGGGTAGGGTAGGGTAGGGTAGGGTAGGGTAGGGTCGGGTAGGGTAGGGTAGGGTAGGGTAGGGTAGGGTAGGGTAGGGTAGGGTAGGGTAAAAAGACAAAATTTGTACTTGGATTCACATTTCAGCGACCAATGCCAACTCAACCGGAACAAACCAGACCCGTCCTGACTCCATGAAAGATTTAAACCTAGAAAGTGGATTCTTTGACGCTCTGTGCTTTTCTCATATAGACTGTTCTGCAAAATGTATTACATTTGGATACTGCTATTTCTTTGTTTGTCAATGCTTATTTTGAAATAAAATTTTATTTAAATTTTAAAAATAAAAAATTTAAAAAAAAATTTTTTTTTGATTAATTGTAAGTTAAAGAGGGGGGGGGGGGGAAGAAGAGCAGATGTTATTGCCTATCCTTCAATCTGTTAATTCTTCAATTTATTCAAAAAAAAATTATGCCCTGAGGCGCAAGATTGAAGATGACCCACATATTACAATCCGGGAGTTAGAAGAGTTACTAAACTGTGGAAAAAGTACCATTGGTGATCATTTGAAGGCAATGGGTATGGTCAAAAAGTTGGACATATGGGTGCCTCACAATTTGACTGATCTGCGAAAAGCCAAGAGACGATGTGCTTCCGAAAAGCTTCTGCAACGCTGCAAAAACGAAGAATTCTTGGATCGAATTGTAACTATTGACGAGAAGTGGATCTCGTTTAACAATACTAGAAGATCTACAAGTTGGTGTAAGCGTGGAGAAGCTCCTAAGCACGTTCCGAAGCCAGAATTGCACGAAAAGAAGCTTATGGTGACTGTCTGGTGGTGTAGCTCTGGAGTGATCCAGTACGATTTCATGAAACCTGGCCAAAGTATTACGGCCAACACCTACTGTGCCCAGATTGACAAACTGCGACACAATCTTCCAACAATGTTTAGAAGGAGGGGTCCGATCATTCTGCAGGATAACGCACGGCCCCATGCTGCAAAGAAGACCGCGGCAAAATTCAGGGAACTGGGATACGAAGTCTTGGAGCACCCTCCTTATTCTCCAGACTTGGCTCCAACGGACTTTCACCTTTTTAAACACTTGTCTTCGTTTCTTAATGGAAGAATCTTCAAAACTCCAGACGATGCCAAGAATGCCTTCAAGAACTTCATCAACTCCAGAAACCCGGAATTCTACAATCGTGGAATAAAAAAGCTTGTAAATCGTTGGCAAGACTGTATTGATTCAGACGGTAATTACTTTGATTGATTGTAGTTGTTAATTATATTGTTATTATTGTTAGTTCAAAAGTGAATAAATATTGCAGAACTTTCCGGACAACCTAATAGAAAGATCATGTAAATATAAGATCTTCAGCAAAGTACTAAATCGCGCTTTCCAGGAAATCTCGAGAAAATCGAGATTGAAAAATGACATTTTGAATTTCTCGCCAACTTGGCATTGTGTTTCAAGCTTGTAACTTTGTCATTTTTTGACTGTTAATTATTTTTCTTTAATATACTAGTAGATAACCTTTAAATGAAAGTACATTTTTTAATTTGTAAGCGTATCTTATCTGGAAAGCCGAAAAAAGTGTTTGAAACACAATGCCAAAGTTGCCAAATTGGCGGGAAATCCAAATAATTTAAATTTAAAACTCAAAAGCGCGAGCTAAGATTTTTTATGGGCACTATTGGTGGTGCAAGGAATTCATACAAAAATTTTGAGCTGATTCGAGCGGGGCAGGTAGGGTACTTTCCTTGTAAGTTCTAAAATCAATCTTACCAATTTGTGCCGCTAAACACAGAACCATAAGTATAATAAGAAAGACAGTTTGATGTTCAAAATACATTTTTAAGTTTGATCCTACTAAAAACGTTAAAAACGTATATCCTTAAAATGATAATACAAAAAATTATCGGACGTTGTCTATTCCCGACCTAATAATTCCAATTACATTGCAATGTAATTAAACAAGCTATTTTTAATTTTATACTGTAAATTGTTAAAGAAACGTTACAAGCTCACAGTTAAAGGAACGTTACAAGCTCACATGCGGCTATAGCCCTACCCTAGTCTTATTCGAGCTTTGCCGTGTCCTAATCTGTTGTATTTTACCGTGCCATACCCTACCCAACACCACCCTACTTTACCTTACTTTATTCTATTTTATTTCAATATACTTTAACTCTACCTTCTTTTATATTACTCTGCTCTTCAAGAATCACAGAGTTTTTTCATTTTTAAAGTACCAAACAAAAAAAATTTTAAAAATAACAAAAATGTTTATTTATTATTAGCACGGTTTTAATAACAGACACACGCAAACCAATAGCACCATCCAAAGTGGTCACAACTGTAGAAACAGTCGACTGTTGTTAAGCACATTGATCCACTTCCATTGTCGCGAAGGTTGCCAATAGTGGAATTACCTGTCTTAACCTTCTCTGCCACTGGAAGTGAAGGTTTTAGTGTAGCTAAAATACATTGACAAGTAGAGTTTAAAGACGCGTGGATTTTATTTTTTTAAGCCTAAAATTCATTTTTAAGCTCTAACTTTATGTTTAAGCATAGAGTGTCTCATTAAGCCTGAAATGCAATTTTAAGCCAGTTTAGTCTCTTAATTACCTGCTGAACATTGGTTAGCTAAACACACAAAGGCTAAAATGAACAACAGCGAATGGCAATTGAAATGCATTGTTCGAAACCAACATTAGTAATTGTAAAATGTTCTTATTTGTACTTACAGATATGTTAATTTTAAACACGTTCCCAGCTCAAAAATTGTAAATACGATAATCACCACTTAATTTTAGCTTTTAAAAATGCCTTGCCTTGCCTTGCCTTGCCTTGCTTTGCCTTGCCTTGCCTTGCCTTGCCTTGCCTTGCCTTGCCTTGCTTTGCTTTGCCTTGCCTTGCCTTGCCTTGCCTTGCCTTGCCTTGCCTTGCCTTGCCTTGCCTTGCCTTGCCTTGCCTTGCCTTGCCTTGCCTTGTTTTGCCTTGCCTTGCTTTGCCTTGCCTTGCTTTGCTTTGCTTTGCCTTGCCTTGCCTTGCTTTGCCTTGCCTTGCCTTGCCTTGCTTTGCTTTGCTTTGCCTTGCCTTGCCTTGCCTTGCCTTGCCTTGCCTTGCCTTGCCTTGCCTTGCCTTGCCTTGCCTTGCCTTGCCTTGCCTTGCCTTGCCTTGCTTTGCCTTGCCTTGCCTTGCCTTGCCCTTTGTTTTTTTAAAATTACGTTGCTCTGCTCTGCATTGTTCTACCCTACTCTTCTTTGCTTCAGAAGACTAACTCAAGTTCAGTTATCCTCAACTGTTTCAGACTAGAATAAGTATCAAAAGTATCTTCCCAATCCTCTTTTTTATATTTACTACAGCATCCAGCATAAATTTTTTTTAATTATCATTTTAACAACTTTTGTTTATTATATTATCCTCGACTCCAAACCAACAATGACACATGAAAAAGAAGCAAAATCCAGCACAGTACGGGCAACTAATTGCGCAGTCAAGATTTGTAAGACAAATGTCTTCATGCCTAGTCACTAAAATAAAATTTGAATTTTTTTTAATTTTAAGATAAAGTATTACAGTCAGGGCCGGGCGTGAGGGGGGGGACGGAGAGGTACTCCCCCCCCCGGTTTCGAAAAAAAGTTGAACGTGGTCCCCCTGTGGATTTTTTTGGACCCCTGCCCCCAGACCAAAAGTCCCCGCCCGGCCCTGATTATAGTGCTTTACTTCTTACCATTTATGTCCGCTGAACCTGATGTTATAAGCAAAAGAAGCAGAATCAAGTAAAAATTGACAGACATTTTTTTATTTTTAAAATTTAATATTAACATAATATCTTTAAAACGCTAATATTTGTATTATACTTACAAACATGTTAATTTAAAACAAGCATTCATAAAAATTTTCAGCTAAACAATTGTAGACACATCAATTATTTAAAATTTAATTATAACACTTAAAATTTACATTTTTTATCAATGCTAACCCTAGTCCTAGCGCCTATACCTAAATCTAACACTTTCTCAGCTCTAGCCAAGCCAAACCAAGCCAAGCCAAGCCAAACCAAGCTAAGCCAAGCCAAGCCAAGCCAAGCCAAGCCAAGCCAAGCCAAGCCAAGCCAACAAAAGCCCATAGCTCAGCCCAGCGCAGGCGAGCCCAGCCCAGCCCAGCTGATCTCAGCCTAGCTTAAAATAAATGATGTCAAATTACATTAGTCACTGAAATCAAATTACAGTAAGCACTGATCTCAAACTACAGTATTCATAAATTTACTTTTCTTTTTTTAAACGAATATTCGGTAACTATTGAGCCTTCTTGTTTACATTACATATTCAGGTCAAGACACTTTCTTTTGAAACGTTTATGTCATGCCGATATAAAAAGATATAAATATCGAGCTACTACAACATGTATTGTTATTCAGTCTAGACAAACTTTGTTGTTTCGTATCTACTAAGCTCTAGTTTTTACTTCAGACAGTCGATATTGAACTAGCCGTGGCATATTTCTTACTGTAGTCACGAAATCATTATTAGAGGGTGTACTGTAAACAAAAATTGCTCCACATCCTTAGCTTTAGTCCCAGCCCTAACCCCATTCTTAGCTCTAGCTCTAGACCTAGCTCGTGACCTATTATTCAAATTTATACTATCAGTACTACGAACACTGTTTGCTATTATAATATACCTATATATAGCAGTAGTACTTCAATATAAACCCTACCTACAATGCGCTACATTATCATCTGGATTACTGTACTTCTTGTCTGTGATGCCTTCATGTTCCCAATGATGGGCGGCGGTGGCGGAGGTTGCGGCGGTGGATGTGGTGGAGGCTGTGGCGGAGGTGGTGGTGGTTGCGGAGGTGGATGTGGACGCAAAAAGAGATCGGTAAGGTATTACTGTAACAAAAAAAATGAAAAAAAAATTTTTTAAGAGTTAAAATGAAGCTAAATGCTTTTTTACGTATTTTAAAGGACATTTAGAGGTAAGTATAGATGTGCAGCCTGCGGGCGACATGTTATACGACAAAACATGCTTTTCAAAATTTTCAAATTTGTAAATTTCAAATAAAGGCTTGTTTTGCCAAGTAAAAACAACCTTTTTTAACTAAAAAAGTTATCTTTATACCTAATTCCAGGTCCTCCAACCCCAGCTCTTCACCGAACTTTCTCCAGAATGTCCTCAAGCCGACTGGAAAGAAATTATTGACCGAAACCTGATGGACGATTCAGATTCGAGTAAAATGGCAATCCAAGGAGCTCTATATCATCAATATTCAGCCAAGTTCATGGTGATTTGTAATGACATTGCATTGAAAATGACATTTGCTAGCAATGGAGATGGATACTGTAGTTCCGGAAATGACAAAATATCTTGTACTGCCGTTGTCATGATGGGATAGGGCACTGTAATATTGATGTATGACCATTTTAAAGCTGTTTCTAATTTAAATACAACATTTTTGATTTCGACTTAGTACTACATTGTAAAACCTACAGTAATCTAGTATAACATGAAAGTTATGACAATAATCAATAAATAAAACGTAAAAATAGGTAACAAATTTATTGTATCATAGTAAAAAGGCATCGTTTCAGCATTTTTTATATTGTAAATCAAGCTCAGGCCTAGGCACTGTCTATATTATCCATGTGAACAATCATGCGGCTTCTTGAACCTCCTCCACCACTTCGTGAGGTACCTCTTCTTGGAGTTGGGGTTGCTCGCGGTGATGTACGAGGATTCGAGGGCCTCGTCGTGGTTCTGGCAGCCCTACATCAACTGAAAATATAAAGTTATAATACGAAAACAAAAATTTTTTAAAAACATGTTTCATCGTATAATATGTCTTCCGCAGTCTGCAGGACACCAAAATAGTTTCAAATTACCCCTATAATTGACCATAAGTAACAACTTTCAGCCCTCAATACTTCTAGATATTAAAAATTAATAAACTTTTCTTATACACGTTTCATCGTATAACATGTCACCCGCAGCCTGCAGACGCTCAAAATGCTTCAAAATGGCCCAAAATAGACCGGAACTTCTGTTTTTGATTAAACTTTAGCCTTAAAATCATAAAAACAACTTAGAATCAAAATAAAAAGCCATATCATTCAAAAAAACCTAAAAAACAATATTAACCTGCCCATATCCTCCACCTGAACAGCGTCTGGATCGTCCACTTCCACCAACATTGTCTCATCATCATCGTTCTCAATGAATGTTGCCTGCCTTAACGCATCCGTCCTTACTTGCATCTGGTTGTGCTTCTGAATCTCGCCCACTTTTCGCATTCGGAAGTATTGTTGTCGTATCCGCTGCCAATCGGGGAAGTTGGGCAGGTCATTGTATTCGAGATGCTCGAGTTTGGGTTGAATTTCACGCTCCGTCACGCCTTGATTCGAGCCATCCATTTCCATCGATGAGTCCTGCATCGACATGGAATGAGCACGCAGTTCGTGGTGGTACTGCATTGCACGTTGTCTGGCCTGGAAATGAAAAAAAATTAAGATTTTGAATATTTTGGGTAACAAAAATCGTTAAATTAAAAAGTTTAGGTAACAAAAACCAAAAAAAACCATACTTTAGGTAACAAAATTGAAAAAAAACCCCACGTTTCATCAAGTTCCTACCTTTTCATAAGCCTCCCTTGGCTGTAAAACCCCTTCTTTCACTTCCCTCCTCGACTTTCGGTCGATTTGTTGAACCGCCAGCTCTTCCGGGTTCCTTGGCTTACAATCCGGATGATGTTTGGGGAATTGTTCCCCCATAATGCGACCATCTTGTAGCGTAATCTTAGCCCTGATTCTAATATTGGTCTTTCGTATTAATGTATCACAAAATGAGCATCGGAAGTAGAGCTTTCGACCGTCCTTCGACTTGTTCGTTAGACGATATTGACGTTTTAGGCCGTCCTTATCGTCCAGCACTAGAACCGATGGTTGGAGCTTGGCTGAGAGCTCGAGGCGGACCTAGAATAGCATGATTTATATTGTAGTAGACAAGGATAGTATCAAAAATACAAAAAGAACTAAAGCCCTGATAACTTCTAAAATTTCGGCCATTCGCTAAAAAACAACAAATCACTCCCTAAAAAACCCATCCCCCAACCCCTACCTGTTGCTCAGGAGGTGGCACCTCCAACTCATCGCCTCTATGCCTTCTCCTTCGCCTCCTTTCCGGCATAAACTCCTCCTCATAGTTGTAATACCCATCCATATCAGGCAGCAACGGATGTGGTCTTGGGTAATCAAATCTCGCTGGACTGGTGTAGTTTTTCCTTCTGAATACAACCCCATATACGTCAAATAATGTCGTGTTTTCTACGCCATGTTTGGCCGCTATTTCCATTAAATCGGCGTAGAGTTTGTTGATCATTCCTTTGAAAATTCGAAAAACCATCGGAGAATGGCACAAAATTTGAATTTCTCGTAGTTTGGACAACTGAAATTCAAAAATTTTGAAAGTTCTTAACGTTAATGCTTAAGAAGTCTATATTGTACCATATAGTAAAATTTCAAGTCAATTTCTTTAGTTATGACAAAGTTGTGTCACATTAAAAAAGTCAAAAACCAAAAAAGTTCGAATCCTTTCGAAAAACGACAAATTTTCCAGGAGAAAACGGCAATTTTTACAAAAACTAAATTATACATTTTTATAACCGTACAAAGAAGCATAGTCTCTTAAAATTTTATAAAGACATCATACATAGTATCACCCTTATAGTACTTTAAAACCCGAACAAACACCAATTTTTCAACAATAAATCCCTTTTTTCGACGTTAGCCATATTGAAATTAACATAAATGTGATATGACTCAAGATATCAATTAAAAAATTTCAGTAAAATTACTTCATTTTATGCTTTATAAAACAATATTAGTCATTCCCATAACAATGTCTCTTACCTGCCCTTTTTGGTCTGTCAAATACATCCAGTTTGATATCACTTTCAACAAGAATTCAGCACTGACCAGAGGTGAAAAACAAGGGAAGAAGGATGGAACCGCCTGAAAATGATTCAATTAGGTATATTTTAGATATGGAAAGAAAAGTTCGGCCATTTTTTAAGTTGTAAAGAAAGTTATTGCCATTTTTCGAGTAATAAAGAAAGTCTTTATGTACTCACAATAGTCTGAGCCCCACGAGCCAGTGCCTCGTTCAAACATCGTTTTATAGCCATTTGGGCAATCTCAACATCAACAATTCGTGTTGTGCTTGGTAATGTAGGCAACGCTGTGTGGATTATACCTAAAATTCATTGTTAAGGCTTTTGACATCTAAACCAGTCACTTTTACTAATTTCTAATGTCTAAATTCCATGTTTAGAGCTATGATAACCAAAATTTTACCTAAAGAGCCCTGTTTATCATCTGATTTATTCAAAAACCTTCATCTTCACCACTTTCAATACCTAAAAATCCCAAAACACAAAAAAAAAGCAACTTACACTTATAATTACTAGCATTATAGCTCCTCGTCGTTCTGCAGCTTCCGCTCTGCATCCCCACATAGCTTTTACAATCTCGAATCAGTCTTGGACCAGCCAATGCGTGAATCTCGTCAAAGAACATGAAGCCATCCGTAATATCAGGCGTGCAGATATTTAAAGCCACATCAGCATGAGACGTAGTGAAAGTTCTTTCGTATAGATTAAGTTTTGAATAGAACAATGATTCCAGCATAGTGCTCATGCTTTCCTGATGATTTCGGCTGATTTGAGGATGTTGTTCTTGATCCAGCTGCTCCCCCATGATTTCTTCTTCATGAACCTGCTCTTCCCCTATTTGTTCTTCATGTTCTATCTGTCCTTCGTGTTCTATATGACCCTCGTGTTCTATTTGACCTTGTTCTCGCCCCATTTGGTCTTCATTTTCTATATGTTGTTGTTCTTGTTCCATTGCCTAAATTGTTTAAAAAAGTATTAAAAGTTGTTTATATATTTTAATATAAAATGGCATTCCGAATAATAAATCAAAGATTTTTGTAAAATAAGCTTAAAACCCCAATTTTTAGTAAAGTATAATATTTTTAGCTTTTTGGGAAATAATGAGGCAATTCTATATAATTTTTTGTACTTTAAACTCAAAAATATAATTGCCAAGCTTCTCCAACCATTTTTAAAAAATTATGGCCGATCTCAGACTTTCTGGACCATTAACAAAATTAGGTATAGCAAGCTTTAACATAAAAGTTTAAAATTCAATTTTTCTGTCCAAATACATATTTAAAACACAACAAGATATCTAAAGCCCCTCTAAAACAATATACAAACAAATTTCAAGTCCATTTCCAACAATTTGCAAGCGTTTTTGCCCCGAAAAGCCGAAAAAATCGATCAAAACCTGGAAAAAATCAAAAACAAAGCAAAATATGACATTTTTGATTAAAACTCAACAATATAAAGTTACAAATTAATAAGATATACTGTATTTTAACAAATCTGTCACAAAATTTTATAAAAACAAATTTATTTCCGCTGCAACGGGACGCCAGAAATTGTGACGCTAGGCCAAAAGCATGCGAAAAGACTTGACGCGAGCATCGTATTTCGGTCAAGTCTTGCTTCGCGGCTGCTAAAACACTGTTAATCGAGCGGGAAAGGCGAACAGGTCAAATTTCAATGAGCAATGTCTGTAAATTTATGTAAAATGGGATTGTTTAGCTGTGGAAAAGCTAGTTTTAGGAAAATTTAGTTTAATTTTGATCAAAATCGACAAAATAACATTGTTGTAGCTCAGTTTTAGGAGCAAACTGGTGTATATCTTTAGTTTTTTTGTTGAAATGTTCCTATAATGATTGAAAATGACCAATTAGTTCAATATTGTTTATTTACCATCAACAAAAACTTTAAAATATCAAAAAACATTGAATTTTACAAGAAGATACTATGTTACAGTAAAATTACTGTAACATACGATAGTGTTCACAGGGTAGTATGTATCTTGGTCAAAAGTTGTATCAAAGAACGATGCATCACGTTTGTACATTTAAAGGTATTTTTGAGATATATTTTAGCCGTAATTTGTAATTACATTGACGTACGTTCATATAAGACCTAGTGTAATTTAATTGGTCATAACTAATGTGAAATTTAATGAAATTTTTTTAAATTTATAGAACATGTACATAAACATATAGAGAATGTATGGGTCAATAAAGAAGATTAAATTTGTATACCTAAACATACAAAATTTACGAAAAGTTAGTGCCTTTTTCTGCAGGCTTTGATGGACACGTTAAACGACGAGACATGTCCCAAAATAATGACTGAAATATGAGGCCAATTAGATAAAACAAAACTGCACTGTGCGATTCAAAAAATTTTTTAAGAAAATTAGACATTTTTAAATTTAAAAATCCGGTTTTGAAATCTTTGGTTATAGGGCCCTCGAGACTACAAGAGTTTGGAGTTGAGTGGCAAAGGTCCGTTAACTTTGCAAAACGACCTCAACTGGGTTCTGTAACAGGAGCGGGTACTGTAACAGGAGTGAGTAATTGGGGCCCAAACTCGAGTCAGGAAAGGAAGCGGGGTTAGTTGACAAAATGTTTGCTATTAAAAAATTTTGGGGATTTCAAGAGATCATCACGACTCGTACTGATGGTGAAGTTAGATTGTAGATTGACAAAAACAATTTGAAAATAGTTAATGTAATAAACGATGTGTACATTTTAAGTTTAAACTTAAGTTTAGTTAGGTTTAATAGGCTTAGTTTTAGTAGGCTTAGGCTTAGTGGGCTTAGGCTTAGTAGGTTTAGGCTTAGTACGTCTAAAAATACTATTGAAGTCTTAGTTTAGTAGTTTTACTTAGGCTTATGATAAAGCCCACTATGTTTATAAGCCTACCACTACAAAAAAACCTATCAGCATAACAAATCAAAGCCTAGCCTATTAAATTTAAACGTACTACGCTTAAAATTGTTCATCCTAAGCATATTAAGGCTAAGTTTACCACGACTAAGGCTACTAAGCCTAAGCGTATTAAGCTTAAGCTTACTAAGCCTAAGCCTACTAAGCCTAAGCCTAAAAACCTAAGCCTACTAGGTTTAAGCTTACTATGCCTAAGCCTTCTAAGCCTAAGTCTTCCAAGACTACAAATAAGCCTATATATAAAACTCTTTCCTTCTAAAATACCATACCACTTTTTATTAGGTTGCCCGGAAAGTTCTGCAATATTTATTCACTTTTGAACTAACAATAATAACAATATAATTAACAACTACAATCAATCAAAGTAATTACCGTCTGAATCAATACAGTCTTGCCAACGATTTACAAGCTTTTTTATTCCACGATTGTAGAATTCCGGGTTTCTGGAGTTGATGAAGTTCTTGAAGGCATTCTTGGCATCGTCTGGAGTTTTGAAGATTCTTCCATTAAGAAACGAAGACAAGTGTTTAAAAAGGTGAAAGTCCGTTGGAGCCAAGTCTGGAGAATAAGGAGGGTGCTCCAAGACTTCGTATCCCAGTTCCCTGAATTTTGCCGCGGTCTTCTTTGCAGCATGGGGCCGTGCGTTATCCAGCAGAATGATCGGACCCCTCCTTCTAAACATTGTTGGAAGATTGTGTCGCAGTTTGTCAATCTGGGCACAGTAGGTGTCGGCCGTAATACTTTGGCCAGGTTTCATGAAATCGTACTGGATCACTCCAGAGCTACACCACCAGACAGTCACCATAAGCTTCTTTTCGTGCAATTCTGGCTTCGAAACGTGCTTAGGAGCTTCTCCACGCTTACACCAACTTGTAGATCTTCTAGTATTGTTAAACGAGATCCACTTCTCGTCAATAGTTACAATTCGATCCAAGAATTCTTCGTTTTTGCAGCGTTGCAGAAGCTTTTCGGAAGCACATCGTCTCTTGGCTTTTTGCAGATCAGTCAAATTGTGAGGCACCCATTTGTCCAACTTTTTGACCATACCCATTGCCTTCAAATGGTCACCAATGGTACTTTTTCCACAGTTTAGTAACTCTTCTAACTCCCGGATTGTAATATGTGGGTCATCTTCAATCTTGCGCCTCAGGGCATCTTTGTCAAGTTTGCTGGGTCTTCCTGCACGTGGTTTGTCTTCAAGCTTCTCATCGTCCACACGAAACTTTGCGAACCATCTGGTCACCGTAGAATAACTCACAACATTCTTACCCTCATTTTCGTTTATGATTCTGAAAATTTCTGCCGCAGTATTTCCGCGTTTGAATTCATTCCATATAATCACGCGCAGGCAAGATTTCTCCGTTTTTTTCTGATACCTAAAACAATACAAAAAAATGAAATTAAGTTATGTAACTTACCTTTTTGAATAATTTAGGTAACAAACAAACAAACAAAAAAAGAATTTTTTTTCTTTCCGTCAAGAAATAAATTTTTCCTGATTTTTCAAAGTTTACCTACTCAAATATTGCAGAACTTTCCGGACAACCTAATATAAGTAAAATTTTGACCGCTACTGACATACCACCCTGTAAACACAACGAAATCTAAATGGTAAAACACTGGCAATTCATGGTTTCCAATTCTTTTCCAACAACAAGTGATTATGAGCGTTGGTATTGTTATTTCGTGTGAAACAAGCACACCTCTTCACACCACCCTTCTCCTCCACACTCTGACTATGAACACATCGATGATCTCGTTTACTTGATGTACTTCTCGTCCTTGAGTTGGAAGACGTCCTAGCCACCGTTCTTCGCGGCTTCGTTGCGGCTACAGGTCGGCGGTACGATGCTGCAGTCACAGCGGTCGAATAGATTCTGGTCAGTTCACGGATTCTGTCTGATAATGGTGATACTCTTCGTAACCGTCGTTCAAAGCGTTGTGAAGATCGTGGCATACTCGAAGCTGCGCTCTGAATCCGCTCACGCTCTTCCAGGTAGATCAGCTTGAGTTGGTCTGAAAGAAAGTCTTAAAACGCAAGTTGAACAATGAACTGGTCGAAAAAGGTTAGCCACAACACAATGGTTAGTTAAGTTAAAATAATAGAGTAGTGTACAGTAGGGTAAGGTAAGGTAAGGTAAGGTACGGTAGGGTAAGGTAGGGTATTGTAGGGTAGGGTAGAGTAGAGTAGTGTACAGTAGGGTAGGGTAGGGTAGAGTAAACTAGGGTACGGTAAAACAAAGTAGTGTAAGGTAGGACATAACAATTAAAAACCTCCTTACCGTAAAGAAACTTCTCCCACGCATAAAACGTGCTAAACTTGAACTGAGCAGGGTTCAATCCATGCATTTTGCAAAAATTGTTGATCAATGACCTCACCAAGATGCCTTCCTGAACTTTGCCATATTGAATTTGGATTCGTTTCAGATGTGTCAGTTCTTGAAATATGGCTTTTTCGTGAATGAAACGTCGATCAACCGCACCATCAAAGAACTGAGCCATTGAGCCTGGATCATCGTCTTCATCGTCATCGAATTCATCGTTGTAGGTTTCGATCCGCATAACACGATCGTTCATTGTTACTTTTTTAGGCTTGTGGTCTGAAATGAAACCATTATTCTTAAGAAGCTTGGGCTTAGTAGGCTTAGGCTTAGTAGGCTTAGGCTTAGTAGGCTTAGGCTTAGTATTCTTAGGCTTAGTAGGCCTAGAATTAGTAGGCTTAGGCTTAGTAGACATAGGCTTAGTAGGCTTAGGCTTAGTAGGCTTAGGCTTAGTAGGCTTAGGCTTAGTAGGCTTAGGCTTAGTAGGCTTAGGCTTAGTAGGATTAGGCTTAGTAGGCTTAGGCTTAGGCTTAGTAGGTTTAGGCTTAGTAGGCTTAGGCTTAGTAGGCTTAGTATTAGTAGGCTTAGCCTTAGTAGGCTTAGTCTTAGTAGACTTAAACTTAGTATTCTTAGGCTTAGTATCCTTAGGCTTAGTAGACTTAAATTAGTAGGCTTAGGCTTAGTAGGCTTAGGCTTAGTAGCCTTAGGGTTAGTAAGATTAGGCTTAGTATTCTTAGGCTTAGTAGGCTTAGGCTTAGTAGGCTTAGGCTTAGTAGGCTTAGGCTTAGTAGGCTTAGGCTTAGTAGACTTAGGCTTAGTAAACCGAAATAACCTTAAGTAAGGACACTTAGGCTTATGAAACATACCATGATTGTCATAATCCTCATTCTGAGGCATCTGTGGATAGTCATCATCGGTGGAACTTGTACTAGCCCCTTTGGTATCAATATTGTTATGTTCTTCTGATTTGCCATGCCTTCCTTTACCGGTCGATATGATTCCATTTGGTTTTTGTTGCTCTTTTACTACTAAAAATTCATTTTTAATCTATTTTTTTTATTTACATGAATTTTAAGCCAATATTCAGTTCTGCAGCCGGCAAGAGCCATGTTATACGATGAAACATGTCCAATTATGAAAAGCCAAAAATTTTTAAAATAAGTGGAATTTACAGTAAGAAATCATCAAAAATATAAAAAATTTTTTTGGCTTATATTTTTTGTTACAGTACACTACAGTATGAAACAAATCAAAAATTTACATTTAATGCCATCTTCTCGTACCACCTTCCTAATAGCTTCTTCCACCATTTCTTTACCCAGTAACATAATGTCATCAGTTTGACTTTGTTTACTTGAGCCATTGGTTTGTACCAAAGTGTCACGTTGGTCCGAACTTGATAAGTTTATAGAGTTTTCCTGAAAGTTTTTAAACTTTTAAAAAGTAAGGAAAATCAAACTCTGAGAGACTGTAAAGATAGTTTTTGCATAAAACATGAGCATTAGGTAACGTATTTTACATTAAAACTAACCTTTTTATTTTGAAGCATTTGGAAAAACGTTGAGTTTCGAGAGTCCAAGAATTGCTCGTCAGGTTGTTGTGATTGCATCCAGCGGGTTTTAGCTGTAGATTTCACATTATATTTATACCTAGCTTACCTTACCTTACCTTACCTTACACTACCTTGTCCTACCCAGCCTACCATTCCAGTCATGATATCCCAAGCCGTACTTTATGCATTATTTTACGCCCTACCGCGTACCCTACTATGATATATATCCTACAGTATACCTAACCCAAGCTTAATTACATTTTTTAACCAGACTCGATAACTTACCCCGCTCAACGTATGCCCTACCCTGCTCTACTCTTCCCTGCCTTGCCAAACCCTAAAATACCGTAATCAACCCTACCCTAACGTGCCTTACACAAAGCTATTTAACTGTTCTCTATTGTACTCTGCCCTATCGTCTTTTAAACCATATAGAATGCCTTACCTCATACCATGCCATACTATGTATCCTATCCTCAGCTCAAACTCATGCCATCTCCTAACCAGTGATCTGCCCGAAGATACCCTAGACAATTCTGCAACTTATGACCTACTATATATCCTGACCCCTACCGTACCCCATGCCCTGTCGTTTTCTCTACCATCTACCCCAGTTCACGCCATATCTTCTAACCCACCCTACAAAACCTACCCTGCTCTGCCCACCCTACAAAACCCACTTTACCTGCCCACCCTACAAAACCCACTTTACCTGCCCACCCTACAAAACCTACACTACCCACCCAACAAACCTACTCAACCCTGCCCACCCTGCAAAACCTACCCAATTTAACTTCATCTTCAATGCTATCCCTCTTGAGCTGAACTATTTCCTGGTCCAAGTCCTTAGTGAGCTTCCCTCCATATCTCGTCAGGTACTCAACAACATCAACATGATTCCGTTGATCAGCCAGATCTTTCGCTGTTACCATTTTCTTCTTATAAATCATCAAGTTGTTGATTTCTGCACTTTTTCGACCAAAAGTTTTACCAAATCCAAGTCCCCATTGGCGGCCGCTAAATGTAAAGCAGTCCGGCCATAAAAATTGGCAACGTTCAGGTTTTGGGGCTGAAGGTCTAGGATCCATTCTACTATTTCTGAAAGGAATAACATCAACTTTTCTTTCATTTCTGGCTTTGTGTTACTAAAAAATGGCAGAAAGTTTAAAAAGACTCAAATTTTTAATTTTTAAAAAATTTTTAAAAAATTTTAAAAATAAACCTACCTTTGTTCCCAGTCTGAACAGCCTCATGAAACGGCAGGTCCCCTCGATAATTTTGCATGTCAAAGCTAGTACCAAACTGACGAAGCAATTTTAAAATCCTCATTTGACCTTTTGCCGCCGCGCAGTGCGCCGCCGTTCGCAGCCGTTTGTCCTGAAACAAATTGTCATAACTTCAAAATGACAATAGGTAAAAATCCAAAACTTGACTGAAATATAGATCGATATCTTGGCAATTAATGTAGATTATTTCAAAAAGTTATGACAGGTTTAAAGTCGTGAAACAATGTCATAAGTAAAGAGGATTCAGCTTTTGGAAAACCCAAGAAAAGCCGAACTTTTTTTGATTTTTGACGATTTCAGATGAATGTGGCTCATTTTTAAAACGTAATATAAATTTGAAATCATTATACCTTAGACAGCTATTCATAAGTTATCAATAGGCATGACAAGATGTTTTAAAAATCGACTAAAAGCGATATAAAACAGCAAAAAAAGTTGCAATTTTTGGCAAAAAATCAAAATTTTTTTCCTTTTGTCATTTTCAAACTGATATAACTTTACCATAAATCAAGAGATCAATACCAAACTGGTTGCCAACACTCTACAAAGTGTGCTTTTCAATATTTTTTTAAAAATTTTTCTCAAGTTTCAAAAAAAAACTTCAAAAACTAACAAAAAGCCTCACTACCTACCACATGATTCGGATCAACATCGTTCTTCAACAAAAGCTCCGCACATTCATAGTGACCAAATGTGGCAGCATAGAATAGAGGTGTATCTCCATTCTTGTCTCTCCCATCCAACAGCTTTTTACTTTGAGTTTGTTGAATTAACAATGACACTATGGCCACGTGGCCATGACTTGAAGCACAATGTAAAGCATTCAGGTGGTCACGGTCGATAGCGAATTTGTTGGCTCCGGCTTCGATTAGGCGACGACAGGCGTAGAGGAAGCCTGAAATTTAAATTTTATTTGAAATTTAAAAAAAATTTAAATCATGTTAAAACTGAATAAAAACCAATTATGTAACGAAATGTCACAAAAAAGTGTTGCTTTTTTAATTTCATGTGGAAAAGGTTGAAATGGCAAGAACTTTCTTTACAAATGAAAAAATGGTAAAAACTTTCGTTACAAAACAAAAAATGGCAGGAATTTTCTTTACAAAACTTAAAATAGCGAAAACTTTCTTTACAAAACACAAAATGGCAAGAACTTTCTTTACAAAACACAAAATGGCAAGAACTTTCTTTACAAAACTAAAATGGCAACAACTTGCTTTACAAAACCAAAAATCAATAAAAAGACAAAATGTCACAAAATATTCAAAAAAGTTCTTACCTCCACTAGCTGCCCATAAAAGGGGTGTCCTATCATCATTATCCCTACAATTCACGTCCGTATCCACCTTTAACAACGTGTTCAATATCGTTTCTGCTCGACTTTCATCAAATTCATCTAATGTTGAAGCGTAATGTAAAGGATGGGCTCCCTGGAAGTACAAGATCAATATTTATATTATACTACATGTTTAGGTATGAATTTTTTGTTACTTTTTGTTACATAGCTTTAGACTTATGTAAAATACGTAAACCATTGTGATTTCTTAGAAACATAAGTTTAAAAAAGAAATTGCATTGAACATTTCAACCTACTACAAGATCAGCTGTGTCATAAGGAGCCTCGTGAGCTAGAAGCTCTTGTAGGGCTGATACCTAAAAATAAATGTTTAGAATGTTAAAAGTAACACAAGATTTAAATTTACAGTCATTTTAAGCCACTAATTTGATCAATAAGCCTAAAACAAGATTTAAAAAATAAAAAAATCGCAAAATTTTCAATAAAATGACTGAAAATTGGTCATACCTCAAAATTTTAAAACTTTTTTAAAATTACAAATGATACGTTTTGTAAAGCATGGAAAGCAGTAACTTTTACGAAAGTTTGGTAAATATATATGGTTTTACAAAAAAGTTATAGCATGTTGAAGCGCGAAAAGTCAAAATTTTCAAAAAATCGATTTTTTTGGCGTTTCGGCAGATTCAAATGAATGTCTCTCAGTTATAAAGGGGGACAACAATATGAAACTTACGTTATTTATAGATATTTTTATGCTTTACAAAACTATTATATCAAGAGTTTATAAAATTTCCATTTTTGGACAAAAATTATTGAGGTTCGCAGAGGTATAGAACTTTTTTGACTTTTCGACTTTTTCCAATGAATGTAACACTGCCATAAATTATGTTATTGATATGAAAATTAGCATTGTGGGACAACTCTTTAAGCTCTACAAAACGTATTATTCAAATTTTGATTTTTGAAAAATTTTTAATTTTTATTACCTAAAATTTTGATATTTTACTTTATCAGTTAGTTTCAATTGAAATTTTTAGAATTTTGTTTCCTAAATAAATGTCCAAAGAGACGATTTCTGAGCTTTCACATTACTTTTCAAAACTTCCAAATTATCTTTTAAATTTTAAAAATTTTTGTTACCTAAAATTTAAAAATTTTATTTTTTTGGTATTTTTAGGTAAAACAAGGAACAATGGGCTTCCTCATACCCATGCCATTTGCTATTGGACGTAATCTACGGAGCGGGCCTAAAAACCGGCCCGGCCCGTCGACCATATCTACATGCCATACCCCTTCCCCAACCCACAGGCTTACCTGTCCAGAAACCACGGCCCAATGCACGGCGGTATGTTTGTCCATATCGACATGGTCCAGCTGACTGCCTCGCTGAATCAACACTTTGACAATATCGATGTTGCCCGCTGTGACAGCGACGATCAGCGGCGTGAAGCCGTTGTTATCGAGGCTGTCGATGAGTGATGGATCCGCATCCAACACTGCCACGAACAAACGTAGATCCGGTATTTCGGCTGCGTAATGAATGGCAGCACAGCCCTCCTCGTCTCGGTTCGTGGCTAGCTCAGGGTGTTCTTTGATCAGGGAGCGGGCTTCGTCGTAGTCCAAGGATGAGAGGGCTTGGATCAGGTCCATAGCGGATAATGGACCGTTGTGGGGTTGGGCTGGGCCCTATAATAAAAAATACAGTATTTTGTACATTACAGTATAAAAAATTACGTAGGATATGTTACTGTAGGGGCCATAAAGAGCGTATAAATAGAAAAATGTAGGGTATACTTACAGTATGCCTAGGGCAAGGTGTACCGATAGTAGGACCAATAGGGCAATGGCTTAGTCTAGGGCTTAGGCTAGGGCTTAGGCTAGGGCTTAGGCTAGGGCTTAGGCTAGGGCTTAGGCTAGGGCCTAGGCTAAGGCTTAATGTAAAAACTAAAAGTATTGTCAACAGTACTATTTTCAGTACAATCGGGCTGCTGTACTATTAAAAGCGCCACTTCCAGTTCCAACCTCAAAACCCCAAAAAACCTTAAACTTGAATCGACAGGAAGCGGCGTACAAAGTGCGTGTTAAAGGTGTCATCCGGCCGACGGATATCGTAAAAAATGGCTTTTAATCCTGTGGCGTGCTTCTATCATATTTGGCGAGCATTAAATGAGAGTATTGTAAATAGATAAGGGCCTTTTGAAGGAAAACATACAAAAAGCCAAACTGTTTTTGTTTTAGGGCTTAAAAATGGCAACACAGCAATAACTTTCTTTACATAACAAAAAATGGCAAGAACTTTCTTTACAAATCAAAAAATGGCAAGAATTTTCTTTACAAATCAAAAAATGGCAAGAATTTTCTTTACAAATCAAAAAATGGCAAGAATTTTCTTTACAAAACAAAAAATGGCAAGAACTTTCTTTACAAAACAAGAAATGGCAAGAAGTTTCTTTACAAAAAAAAATAGCAAGAACTTTCTTTATAAAACAAAAAATGGCAAGAACTTTCTTTACAAAACAAGAAATGGCAAGAACTTTCTTTACAAAACAAAAAATGGCAAGAACTTTCTTTACAAAACAAGAAATGGCAAGAACTTTCTTTACAAAACAAAAAATGGCAAGAACTTTCTTTACAAAACAAGAAATGGCAAGAACTTTCTTTACAAAACAAAAAATGGCAAGAACTTTCTTTACAAAACAAGAAATGGCAAGAACTTTCTTTACAAAACAAAAAATGGCAAGAACTTTCTTTACAAAACAAGAAATGGCAAGAAGTTTCTTTCAAAAAAAAATAGCAAGAACTTTCTTTATAAAACAAAAAATGGCAAGAACTTTCTTTACAAAACAAGAAATGGCAAGAACTTTCTTTACAAAACAAAAAATGGCAAGAACTTTCTTTACAAAACAAGAAATGGCAAGAACTTTCTTTACAAAACAAAAAATGGCAAGAACTTTCTTTACAAAACAAGAAATGGCAAGAACTTTCTTTACAAAACTAAAAATAGCAAGAACTTTCTTTACAAAACAAAAAAATGGCAAGAACTTTCTTTACAAAACAAAAAATGGCAAGAACTTTCTTTACAAAACAAGAAATGGCAAGAACTTTCTTTACAAAACAAAAAATAGCAAGAACTTTCTTTACAAAACAAAAAATGGCAAGAACTTTCTTTACAAAAAAAAATAGCAAGAACTTTCTTTATAAAACAAAAAATGGCAAAAACTTTCTTTACAAAACAAAAAATGGCAAGAACTTTCTTTACAAAACAAAAAATGGCAAGAACTTTCTTTACAAAACAAGAAATGGCAAGAACTTTCTTTACAAAACAAAAAATGGCAAGAAGTTTCTTTATAAAACAAAAAATGGCAAGAACTTTCTTTACAAAACAAGAAATGGCAAGAACTTTCTTTACAAAACAAGAAATGGCAAGAACTTTCTTTACAAAACAAAAAATAGCAAGAACTTTCTTTACAAAAACAAAAAATGGCAAGAACTTTCTTTACAAAACAAAAAATGGCAAGAACTTTCTTTACAAAACAAGAAATGGCAAGAACTTTCTTTACAAAACAAAAAATAGCAAGAACTTTCTTTACAAAACAAGAAATGGCAAGAACTTTCTTTACAAAACTAAAAATAGCAAGAACTTTCTTTACAAAAACAAAAAATGGCAAGAACTTTCTTTACAAAACAAAAAATGGCAAGAACTTTCTTTACAAAACAAGAAATGGCAAGAACTTTCTTTACAAAACTAAAAATAGCAAGAACTTTCTTTACAAAACAAAAAATGGCAAGAACTTTCTTTACAAAACAAAAAATGGCAAGAACTTTCTTTACAAAACAAGAAATGGCAAGAACTTTCTTTACAAAACAAAAAATAGCAAGAACTTTCTTTACAAAACAAAAAATGGCAAGAACTTTCTTTACAAAACAAAAAATGGCAAGAACTTTCTTTACAAAACAAGAAATGGCAAGAACTTTCTTTACAAAACAAAAAATAGCAAGAACTTTCTTTACAAAACAAAAAATGGCAAGAACTTTCTTTACAAAACAAAAAATGGCAAAAACTTTCTTTACAAAACAAGAAATGGCAAGAACTTTCTTTACAAAACAAAAAATGGCAAGAACTTTCTTTACAAAACAAGAAATGGCAAGAACTTTCTTTACAAAACTAAAAATAGCAAGAACTTTCTTTACAAAACAAAAAATGGCAAGAACTTTCTTTACAAAACAAAAAATGGCAAGAACTTTCTTTACAAAACAAGAAATGGCAAGAACTTTCTTTACAAAACAAAAAATAGCAAGAACTTTCTTTACAAAACAAAAAAATGGCAAGAACTTTCTTTACAAAACAAAAAATGGCAAGAACTTTCTTTACAAAACAAGAAATGGCAAGAACTTTCTTTACAAAACAAAAAATAGCAAGAACTTTCTTTACAAAACAAAAAAATGGCAAGAACTTTCTTTACAAAACAAAAAATGGCAAGAACTTTCTTTACAAAACAAGAAATGGCAAGAACTTTCTTTACAAAACAAAAAATGGCAAGAACTTTCTTTACAAAACAAGAAATGGCAAGAACTTTCTTTACAAAACTAAAAATAGCAAGAACTTTCTTTACAAAACAAAAAATGGCAAGAACTTTCTTTACAAAACAAAAAATGGCAAGAACTTTCTTTACAAAACAAGAAATGGCAAGAACTTTCTTTACAAAACAAAAAAATAGCAAGAACTTTCTTTACAAAACAAAAAATGGCAAGAACTTTCTTTACAAAACAAAAAATGGCAAGAACTTTCTTTACAAAACAAGAAATGGCAAGAACTTTCTTTACAAAACAAAAAATAGCAAGAACTTTCTTTACAAAACAAAAAATGGCAAGAACTTTCTTTACAAAACAAAAAATGGCAAAAACTTTCTTTACAAGGCTAAAATGTAAATTTTTTATTGTGGAAAAAAGTTGTTTTTCCGCTCGAATGGCCATTTGACTACGCTAAATTAATGTAAAAGTAGCCGTAAAAATGCACCTGTTCTCTTTTTTGAATATAAATATACGTACTACAAATAGCCTTATTGTTAGCCCTAGTCCTGGCTTTGGACCTATTTTTAGTCTTAGTCTAACATTAGCTTTAGCCTTAGCTCTAGCACTAGCTTAGTCTGAGCTTTATCCTTAGCCCTAGCTTTAGCCCTAGTCCTAGCCTTAGTCTAAGCCCTAGCATAAGACCTAGCTCTTATCTTAGCTCTAGCTCTAGCACTACCATAAAATGTAGCCCCCAAAAAAATGTATCTTACATACTAAAGGATGACTGGTAGTATACTAACATAAACTTTTACAACTTATCGAGAAGATTATACCATAAAAAACGTAAAACAAGCGTTGCTATGTAATTAAACTTTGTCGTTTTCAATTCGTCTTACATGTGTTTTTCGTTTTACTAAAAGTGTACTTTAAGGATGGAGTATCCTATAGGCTCTAAAATACGATTTTTTTACAAATTTAACTGGCTGGTGACTTAAAAATATTTTTTTAAAGAAAAATAGTTTCTAGGGTACGGTAGAACTTGGAAGGGCTTGTCAAAGCCTGGCATGGCATGACAAATCTTCGCAGGTCTTAGAAGGGCACAAGATAATTTGGCAGGGAAGGACAAGGCAAGGCACAAGCACAGGCCAGGCACAGGCAAGGCACAGGCAAACCAAACCAAGCTAAGATAAGCTAATTCAAGTGAGGCCTAGCCAAGGCACTTCCAGACAGAACAGAGCAAAACAAAATCCAATCAGTCCCCCAAAATAAACCAGATATGAACATAAGTAATCGGCCGTTCTAATGACGTGTTATTAAATTGTGTTAGATTGAGAAACTAATCTCATGTTAACTAGGAGTGTTAATGACAAAGATCTGTCTTACTCACCACAACAACGTAAAAGCTATTCATTATTGTGCCAGGAAGTGGTTATTATACAAAATATATATTTTTTTCAAACTATCGAAATTCTAGTTAAAAAATTTTGAAATCAAAAAATAGCCTTTAAACCAACTTTAGGCTTAAAAATGAATTTTAAGCTTAAAAATGAAGTTTAGGCTAAAAAGTTAAACGTAGGCTTAAAAATGAAGTCTTAGGCTAAAAATGACATTTTAGGCTTAAAAATGAAATTTTAGGCATAAAAATGAATTTTAGGCTTAAAAATTAGGTTTGGGCTTTAAAAATGAATTTTAGGCTTAAATATGAGTTTTTAGGCTTGAAAAACAAAATTTTAAGTATAAAAAATAAATTTCATGCCTAAAAATGAATTTAGGCTTAAGAATAAATCGTCAGGCTTAACAATCAAAGCTTAAGCTTAAAAATGAATTTTTAGGCTTACAAAAGAACTTTAAACATAAAATTGAAGGTTTAGACTTAGAAGTAAAACCACAGGCTTAAAAACTCAAATTTTTAATTTAAAACAAAACTTCAAGCTTAAAAAGGTTAACATTAGGCTTAAAGTTGAAAAAATATATTTAAATTAAAATTTTAAGCCACCTAAAACAAAGCAAACAATTTTTAATTCCTCATAAGCAATCTAAGAGCTTAAAACCCCAAAACGAATCCAGAGATAGTAAATCCCTCAGACCAAGTCCAACAACAAATAAAATAAGATTCCGACCAGTATCAAAAATTACCCGCTCTCTTTTTCAAGCGTTGCGTAATTAACCACTCGAAAAGGTGAGAAAGTATTCTAATCGAGAGGGGCCGGCCGAAACGAATAAAATACCTTCGAGGGCTTCGGCGGCCGCTTAAAATGGGCGAAAGAGGAAGAAATTCGGAAGGGAGAAATAATAATACGTATGTTATAATACGATTCAAAACGATTGTTTTAGGAGGTGGACGTTAAAGCAGCCGACGAGGAAGGGGGTTTGGAGAACAAGTATAATATAATGAAGGGTAGGGTAGGGCGGAGCTGGGTTGGACTGAACTAAGCTAAGCTGAACTGAACTACAACTAGCGCTATGAATAGAACTAGAACTAGTGCTACTGCTAGGATTAGAGATAGGACTAAGGCTGAAGCCAAGGCTAAGCCTGAGGCTAAGAGTAGTCCTAAACCTAAGCCCAAACCTAAGCATTAGCTTTAGCCTAAGCTTAAGCCTAAGTTTAAGCCTAGGTCTAAACCTAAGCCTAAGTCTAAGCTTTAAACTAGTGCTACAGTTAGGCCTAGGGATAGGACTAAGACTAAAGCCAAGGCTAAGTTTGAGGCTAAGAGAACTACCTAAACCTAAGCCCAAACCTAAGCCTAAGCCAAATCCTAATCCTAAGCCTAAGCCTAAGCCTAAGCCTAAGCCTTAAGGCTAAGGTTAAGACTAAGGCTAAACCTAGGCTGAGGCTCTGGCTAAGAATAGGGCTAGCCTTTTTTATTAAACACAATAATTTTAAACTTTTAAAAATTTATTTATCTTTCAATTTATTACGTAACAATTGACACCTCATACATTAACTACAAAACTAAAAACACTTTATTACAGTAACCTATCCCATCATGACAATGGCAGTACAAGATATCTTATCATTTCGAGAGGTACAGAACCCTTCTCCACTGCTAGCAAATGGCATTTTCAATCCAATGTCATTACAAATCACCATGAACTTGGCTGAATATTGATGATATAGAGCTCCTTGAATTGCCACTTTACTCGAATGTGAGTCGTCCATCAGGTTTCGGTCGATAATTTCTTTCCAGTCGGCTTGAGGACATTCTGGAGAGAGTTCGGTGAAGAGCTGGGGTTGGAGGACCTGGAAATAGGTGTGCAAATCAACTTTTTGGGATTAAAACTGTTGTTTTTTAATTGCCATAATAAGAGCCTTTTTGTAATTTAAAATTTTTTAAATTTGAAAAAAACATGTTTTATCGTATAACATGTCACTCGCAGCCTGCGTAATCTTTTAATTGATAAAAAGGCTTTTAGAGAGTCTAAAAAGTCCAGTACTGACAATCTTTTTTCAAATGTTTTAAATTTTCGAAAAATTAAAAACATGTTTTATCGTATAACATGTCTTCTGCAGGCTGTCTTAATTAGCTTTAAAATCGCCTTTAAAAGACAAAAAATAACAAAATTTTAAATTTGTTGCCATTTCTAATCATTCTCTATGTATGCCATTTTTAAGCATTACCTTACTTTTTTTACTACAGTAACTCCTACACGACCTACTACATTAACCCCTAAACGTCCCACTTCAGCACCCCCTTACCGATCTCTTTCTCCTACCACATCCGCTAGCCGGTTGGGCATAGCTTGGTGCAGCTGGGGCACAAGGCTGGCTATAACTTGGCGCGGCTGGTGCACATGGCTGACTATAACTTGGTGTAGCTGGCGCACATGGCTGACTATAACTTGGTGCAGCTGGTGCACATGGCTGGCTATAAGTTGGAGCGGCTGGCGCACATGGTGGTGGACTGTAAGATACGGGTGGAGCACAACCACCTCCACCGCCACCACAGCCTCCGCCACAACCTCCGCCGCAGCCTCCGCTGCAGCCTCCGCCACATCCTCCGCCGCCACCTCCGCCTCCCATTGGGAACAAAAAAGCGTCACAGACAAAAGTTACAGTAATCCAAAGCGTGATATAGCGCATTTTACTGTAGAATAACTCTAGAATGACAAAACAGCTTTTACTGTATAATCTTTACAGTAACCACTACAGTAAAAAAGCAACAACTACCTTAATATCGATACCTCAATGAAGTAACAAGTGGGGTTTAGAAGGTCTGAAACAACAAACTTATCCTTGAATGAACAACAAACAATATTATAGTAGTCTCGATTTTTTATATCGGCATGGTAAACGTTTCAAGCACCCGGTTACCTTCGAAAAAGGAAAGTTATCTTGACCTGAATGCGTAATACAAACAAACTACTTCAATCATTGGTTATCTAACGCTCTTAGCTACCCCTACCGTACCGTGCCCTACCCTACCCTGCCCTACCCTACCCTACCCTACTCTACCCTACCCTACCCTACTCTACTCTACTCTACTCTATCTTACCCTACTCCACACTACCCTATCTTACTTTACCCTACCATACTTTGTCTTATCTCCCCATGCCATACCCTTACCTATATTACCCTATCCCTTCTCTACCGTTCGTCATACCAAATATAATGTTCCTACTCTTTCCTTACAATATCCTTCCTTAACCATATATAATATAAAGTTACCTTAACCCTACCAACACTATAGTACCGTACGCTACCCAACTTTTCTGTGTCTTGACCTTTCAACAAAACCATAACAACCCCTACTCTATAATACCTATTTTCATACCCAATCCAACCCTAGCCGTACTTGTCGTACCCTGAATTACAAAAGCTCTAACCCCACGTCTACCCAAAAATCACTAAAATTTTTAAAAATTTAAAACTCGTGTTTTTATTTAACCCTAAGATTATTTAAAAGTTTAAAATTAGCACAAATAGAGTTACAATAAACCATGAAGAATAATGTAAAGCTGAAGATCCTTTCAAACATTTTTCGTACTTCTCATAGTCGGCATGATTAAGCGAACATAGCTGACCAGTCCTGAAGTTAGTATAGTTAAGGTAAAAGGTAAAAATAAAAGTTGAAGTAAAGGTGGAGGCAGAGGTAGAAGTAGAAATAGGGGCAGGGGTAGGGGTAGGAGTAGGGGTAGGGGTAGGAGTAGGGGTAGGAGTAGGGGGTAGGGGTAGGAGTAGGGGGTAGGGGGTAGGGGTAGGGGTAGGGGTAGGGGTAGGGGGTAGGGGGTAGGGGTAGGGGTAGGGGTAGGGGTAGGGGTAGGGGTAGGGGTAGGGGTAAGGGTAGGGGTAGGGGTAGGGGTAGGGGTAGGGGTAGGGGTAGGGGTAGGGGGTAGGGGTAGGGGTAGGGGGTAGGGGTAGGGGTAGGGGTAGGGGTAGGGGTAGGGGTAGGGGTAGGGGTAGGGGGTAGGGGTAGGGGTAGGGGTAGGGGTAGGGGTAGGGGTAGGGGTAGGGGTAGGGGTAGGGGTAGGGGTAGGGGTAGGAGTAGGGGTAGGGGTAGGGGTAGGGGTAGGGGTAGGGGTAGGGGTAGGGGTAGGTGCACCAGTTAAAAATTTTTCAAAAAACCAACATACCTAATAGTCCCATTTGGTACGCTGTCATCAGTACTAACCGTGTTGTACAACATGTATTTCTGAAACAATGTTTCGTTCTTCGAGAATCCGTCGACCAAATTGGCGTAGCTGGCAGCGCTCAAGTCGCTCATTCCGTAGGCTTCTTTATGTGAGTATTCCAAAGCCCAGAGGGTGTTTTGATCTTGGTTGAGAGCTGTCAAGTTGACATTGTAGGTCCTGAAAATCTTTTTTTAATTTTTGACGTAAGCCTTGATCAGGGCAGTATAAGCAAAAAAATATGTTTTAGGCTTACGCTTTTGAGCTTATTTTAAGATTTTAAGACTTATGCTTAAATCTTAGGCTTAGTTTTAAACTTTTCAAACAAAAAAGTTTTTTTTATTCTAATTTGCTCTACCTTACCCTACTCTAACATACCCCCCCCCCAAAAGCACCCAACCCGTTCCCACCCCCAACCACACCCATGCCTACCCCAATCTGCTTTGCCGCCCTCCTCTTACCCTACCCTACTCCCCATCCCCTTTCCATACTTTTCTTCCCCCCCCTACCCTCCGCCTACCATACCCTACCCCACAGCACCAAACCCACTCGCCCCCCCCTCTAAACCATAAAACTTTCACTTACAGTACATCATTCAAGACCGCCTTCTTTTCGTCATAATCAAAAATCCTAAAGCTGGGATTATTGGCACCAAAGCCCAAGCCACTGTACCATGGAGTCACGGCCGGCGAGATGTAGGCGACATTGATAGGGTTGTCTTTGTCATCTCGAATCACATGAAAAGTGTCACCATGATGATGTCCAAACACCAGCAGCTTGATTGTATCTTTGTACTTGGTCAAAATGTCCATGAAACGTTTGTTGGAAGCGTCCGTGAACCACTTGGTGCCTGGTACTCGTTCGTATACTAAAACAAAAACATTTCACATATAGTGTTACATTACCTTACCCACATCCTTATCCTACCCTATATTACCGTACAACACCTTTACTCTACTTTACCCTACCCTAACTTACCCTATACTACACTACCCTACCCTACCCTACCCTAGCCTACATAAAACTACTCTACCGTACCATTCCCTGTCATACTCTACCCTATCCTACCTTCCCTACCCCCACTGTTACCGTAGCACCTAACAACACAACAGTACCGTAATTTACTTTCTCTTTGCCTTACAACACCACCATAACGAGCCCTACCCTACCCTACAGTACTCATACTCATAGCCTGCAAGTACCCCATAATAACTTGTTGACTCTACCCTACTCTACTCTTACCCTACTCTACTCTACTCTACTCTACTCTATGGTACAATACTTTCACCTAGCATTACCCACATTACCCCACCTTTCTCAACCCTACCCTAAATTAAATTGCCCCACCCTACCAAAAACTATATTCAGCTTACATCCAGGTGGTATGTGAGCAATGATATGAGCCGCCACTTTGTTCTTCTGAGCTTGCTCCAATATCTTTTCGGTATAAGCAAATTGGCCGGCTGGGTCAGCTGGATCAGTGAAGTTTCTTTTGTCATATGTATAGTACAGATTGGTGTTCAAGATCAAAAAGTATTCATTATTGATGACACGGCTGTAATATCCACCATATCTGTACAATTTCTGAAATATAATAGTATTTAAGATTTTGTAAAAACATTTCTTGCCATTTCTTGGTTTGTAAAGAAAGTTCTTGCCATTTTATGTTTTGTAAAGAAAGTTCTTGCCATTTCTTGGTTTGTAAAGAAATTTTTTGCCGTTTTTTAATCTGTAAAGCAAGCTCTTGTCATTTTTTGTATTGTAAAGAAAGTTCTTACCTTTTCTTCGACAGTCAACCATTTATCCCACAGTTCTACAGTAATCTCATAAACCTTGTCGTTTTCACCGAATTGATTTGAAGGTGTCATGTCATGATTTCCTAAAGTTGGTAAGACTGTCACGTCTTTGAAATACCTCTGGATAGTGCTCGTTGTAAATTGTAAGGCATTTTTGACGTCTGAAAATAAACAAAGTCAATTTATTTACCGTACCCTACCCAACCTTACCCTACCCTACCCTACACTACCCCACCCTACCCTACCCTATCCTACCCTACCTTACCTACCCTACCCTACCCTACTCTACCCTACCCTACGCTACCCTGCCCTAACATAACTAACCATACCCTACCATACCGTAACGTTTCCTACCCTACTCCAGTCTACCGTACTCCTATCAACAGCTTTACCCTACCCTGCCCCAACTCATATTATACCTCTAACGAGCCCTACCCTATCCTACTCTATCTTATCTTACCAGCCTCTTACCCAGCCCTACAATAGCATAAACCTTATGCTATATAAACTATGATGTTCTACGGTAGAAAACCTAACGTGCCAAGCCTGTCATTACGTTTTCCTTACATTATTACTCAGCCCCCCCCTCTCAACCCATAATAACAACATGACAGCGTTGATTCAAGCCTACTTATCTCAGAAACGTTATCCAAAAGCACCCCCCCCTCTTAACAATAATTTCAAAAAAATCAACGTACATTCCTCATTGTACTCCTCAATATGTGGTACGTTATCCCCCGTCCACAGTAGAACATCTGGATTTGCAATTACTTTAGCCGCGGCTGCAACTGCATTTTCGATCAGCTTGGCAGGTGAATCACACAAATAGTCGCCGAACTGTCCCAATGGTATTGATGGGGCTTGACTCGAGTTTTCATGACACATTTGATTCGCTATGCCATTACTATTGTATTCCACATCGTAGTGAAAGTCGGATAATTGAAGAAATTTGAGAGATGACAATTGGATTGATAATACTGATAATAATATTAAAGATAGGAGATTGATATGCATGGTTTATGGCCTGAATTTAAAAAATTTGTATTAAAAACAAAAAAAAATGAAATTCATTGTATAAGTTGTCGCTCGCAGACTGCAGAAGCCCGAAAATCTAGCTTTTTAGAAAAAATAGCAAAACCTTTCTTTACAGAACCAAAAATGACAAGAACTTTCTTTACAAAGCAAAAAATGGCAAGAACTTTCTTTACAAGGCAAAAAATGGCAAGAACTTTCCTTACAAAGCAAAAAATGGCAAAAAACTTTCTTTACAAAACAAGAAATAGCAAGAACTTTGTTTACAAAACAAAAAATCGCAAGAACTTTCTTTACAAAGCAAAAAATGGCAATAACTTCCGCCAAGCCAAAACTTCCAAATTCTGATTCAAAAATTATCTCAAATCAACAAATAATGCATCATAACTACTAATTTTTTATCATTCCTTATCTTTTGTTCATAACAAAAAAAATAATTAAAAAATCTCAAAACAGAGTCAAAAAACATATTATTCATGAGAAATACCACAGTAATTAAACTGAAAAAAAACAACTGCCAAAGTCAATTTCAATATGTTATCGTTTATGTACAATATGAAAAAGTGTAAAATTTGATTGAAAAACAACAAAAAATGGCTTGAAAACATCAAAAAATGACAAAAAACAGTCGATAAATCCAGAAAAACCGTCATTTTTGAGCTGGATATGTATCATCAAAGAGTTTTCGAATGTCAATGTTATCACATTGAGGGAAGCACACTCGCATAATGTTCCTGAAAATAAGCTACGGCTTAAAAAGTTGTTCCTGACATTAACAATACAAGCTTTGTATTGTAATACTGATAAGATTTGCATTACAAATTAGGTAACAAATCACAAAATTGACTAAAGCACAGTCAAAATGACTTTTTTAGCGCTTCCTTTTAATTCTTTGCACTTTTATTAGCATATTTCGATGAAATGGCTAAAACTTTGTTTACAAAATAAAAAATGGCAAGAGCTTTCTTTACAAAACAAAAAATGTCAAGAACTTTCTTTACAATTCAGAAAATGGCAAGAACTTTCTTTACAAAACAAAAAATGGCAAGAACTTTCTTTACAAATCAAAAAATGGCAAGACCTTTCTTTACAAAACATAAAATGGCAAGAACTTTCTTTACAAAACAAAAACCTCACTCACCTTAACCTCTCTTGATATTTCAAAGCCTTTTCCGTTGTTGAATTCGAATAGCCTGTGGTAAAAGTTGAACTCCCATCAGCAGTACCTTCTCCACCTTCAACTGCATGTAACCTTAAGGTCAAGTCTTGAATTCGAATAACTTTCTTTTGAATTTGCTCATTCTTCTCCATTGCTTCTTGTTTGTAGGTCTTGAGGACATTCCACTGCAGCTTCATTTGTGATTCCATTCGTATTAGGGCTTGTCGAAGGAAATCGACCATTTGACAGTTGTGGGGTGGATCTACATTGTCCATTACATCTTCTGGGAACTCACTAGGAAATGAAATTATTAAAATTGTTAGAAACTCAATAAAAAGTCGACGTTATCCATAAAAATCGATCAAAAACTCAAAAGTCCAAATTGTTACCTAAAATCATAAAAACTATTAATTTTTAAAAACTTACGACCATTTCTTCACTGCCAGATTGTATATCCCGTAAACATCATTCTCATGAGCCTGAAGTTGCTCGTCTTTACTCCCATTTCTCTTGTTATATTGTCTTAGCGCTTGTTGATGTACATGGTTTGCATACAGTTCAAAGTTGTCGGCATCCTTTTGAAGTTTGCCAATTACACGATGCAAATCAATATTCGCATTCACATTACACTTGGACGCAAGTTGTGGCAATTTATTCAGTTGCCTTGATGCTGATTTCACATATTTAGCCACTTGAACCTGTTGTTCACAACATTTTGTTTTTGATGGTGCGCTGGTGGAGTAGGAAGTGCCATGAGTGGCGTCTACCACCTTTCGAAGCAAATCTGAAACTTCGTCAGAGCGTTCTAAAACAGAATCTTTCGGTTCGGGTCGACGAGTATACGGCCGCTTTTTGGTTTCTTCTGAAGGTGCTGCTGGACCTGAAACAATATAAAAACCTAAGTTATGTCGAAAAATTCATAAATTTTCCTTTTACAATAGTTGTAAAAAACTATATTCTACGTCCTGATAAAATTCCACAGTCTCAGCTATAAAGTTCAAAAAGTTACAATTAAAATTACACTCTGCATCTATGTTGCAGTAGGCTCTAAAAAACAAGCCTTTTCCTTAATCCTAAACCAGTTATCTTGCTGCAAATTTGACATAAAAATTGTAAATATCTATTGCTTGCCTAAACATCAAAAAATACTAATAAATTCTTACGTTTCTCCTCAACTTCAGCATCAGACAGCACAATAGGATTATTCTTCCTTCCATAAACAACATCTCGAACTGTTGTCTGTTTCTTCGCAAATTGCAGCTGTATCTTCTTGTCAAGAGTCGTAATCTTGCTAGTTGACGGTGTGGCTTCAGATTTAGTAACAGTTGGCTCTGCTGGTTTTAGCTTTTTGGCTAAAACAGTATAATTTTATCAAAGCTTCAATTTTAAAGAACTTTTAGAACGAAACTTTAACTTTTCTTAATTTAAAAGCTAAATTAAAGTCTATTTTCACTAAAACATAACCTAAACAATAATAAAAACATAAAACCTTACAAGGAGAAGCTTGTTCATTAGATCCAGCAGCTGAATTCGATCGTTTTGGCAGCTTCTTAGGCTTTACCTCTTTGACTGGTGATTTTGAAGGTGGAGAAGATGGTTTGGGTGCTTCCGGTTTAGCTAACCTTGCTGATCTACGTCTATTTTCCATGATTTAGCTAGCCGAATCAAAATGAACGCGCAAATTTATTTTTCTTAATTTTTGCTCATTGCGAGCTGCGTAAAGGGACCTGCAGCCTGCGAAAATATTTTATACGGGAGGAGAATAGCTTTTTCATGGAATTTTTACTGTTTTCAAGATTAGATGGTAACAACTAGTATTTTAGAACTAAAAATGTAATTATCTTGTCAAGTAATATTTTTTTTGAGTTTATTTAATCTTGTGAAACGTGAAAACAAATTCTTTTTCATATGTTTTCAGGGTTTCTACAGCGATAAAGTCCACAAACTCGACGTCCTTCTTCCGGCAATTATCCTTGCCTGTCCTCGTGCAGCCAGTAATGCCAACAACAAAGCTTATCAAGTATTCCGTGCCCAATTTGTCTATCCGCCGCGATTGAGCTTCCATAACTTCGAGAAGAACCACTTGTTTCGATGGATAATATAGGTTATTGTAGCGGATTGTGGCTTTTACTGCAACTTCCTGAAAAATTTTTGGTATGAATTGGAAAAGCATACCTGTACATCCATACTTTCAACTCCTCTTGCTAATGGTCGATCATCTGGCACCATAAGGACTGAAAGACAACTGTTGATGGTGAACATGGTGAAGATCAGGATTATCAGGTAACGGGAGGTCATTTTGGAATTCTAAGTAAAGAATATTATTAAGTAAGCTTTTGTGAGTAATATAAGTGGTGGATCGTACAAAAATGGCAAGAAAGCAAAGCTTTACATTAACTTTTCTTCTGAGCGCGCAAATATTGATGGTTAATATTGAAATGACGCCAATATATAAGGAACCTGGGTTTATTTGCAAAGTCGGGCTAATAGCAATTGTGCAATAGGTTCTTATGAGTAATTTGAGTACTAACGTAGTGTTAAAAGATAAGTTATAGATAACGTTTTTACAAAATTTTTGTCGAGCATCAAGATTTTGATGTGTAACATAATATAAAAATCACTTTAACTGCAAATATTGCTTAGAATCAGGACTTTTAAGTCTTAAGAAGTATGTAGGATAGCTATATGGTTAATTAAAAAGCAATTACAATAGGAATCAAAGCCCTATTTCATTGATGTACAATAATAATATTAGATATTATCGTCCTCAACATCAAGAAATTCTATGATCCCCTTACCGAATTAGCTCAAATAATAAAATGTCAGCTTCAAAAACAAACTTATCTTATTATATCACATTCAATATTAAGTAAATAATTTGTTTATCATTAAAAGAGGCATATTAACCACGGTTTAAAACTGGAAAATTCGCATTTTGATAACACCTTGACCCATTTGTTTGTTGTCAAAGTCGCTTGTCTTTATTTGCTTTTTTCGAATTTTGTAAAGTAAAGGAAGGGAAACTAACAAAATCGTTGTTAAAAAGGCGTTCGAGGTCAAGACAACCTGTTTCAGGTAGACTTTTGTATCAAATTGATGTCTTACTGGGAAAAGGGTTACTCAAGTAGGTATTGATAGGGTCTTATTTGCTTTATGCGGTTGAAATGTTTTGTTTGGGTTTGACTTCGAAAAAAAGGTAAAAAAAATTAAAGTTTTGGTTAGGGTGGGTATGGTAGGGTAGAGTAGGGTATCGTGGAGTAGGGCAGGGTAGGATATAGTGGGGAGGTTATGGCAGGGTAGAGTGAAGTCGTTTAGAGTATACTACGATAGGGTAGCGTAGGCTATGGCAGAGCAGGTTAGGTTGGATTATGGTATGACAGGGTGGAGTGGGGTAGATTATATGTTTTCAGAGTAGGCTTAAGGCATAGTAAACTAGGCATACGATAGGGCAGGTAGTATATTATTCTCTACGAAAGTCGTTTAAGATATGTTAGGGCGGGGCAGGGCAGTGCAAGGCGTAACAGGTGAAGGCAAGGTAGGGTATGATAGGGTAAGGTAGGGTAAGATAGGATAGGGTAGCGTAGAGTAGGGTACGGCAGGGCAGGACAGGAAAAATCAATATAATGTAGTGTAGGGTAAGGCATGGTAAGGTAGATTACAATAAGATAGAAGTTGATTAAGATTTTAAACCTTTATTTATAAAAAATGAAAAATCGCATCAATTCAAACAAAAAATGTCGCAAAACCATAAAACACAAAACATTATTCTCATCAAACTACCAATAACAATATCTACAATGTCAATGTTTGTTAGACTGTCTAGTCTTCCAAATAATCGGCACTCCAATGACAACAAACAATGACATAGCCAATATGATGGTAATAATGATGACAGTAATGAAAATCCACAAAGGCACGCCTCGAATGTCGTCTGGGTGGGGTGGTGGTGGAGGGGGTGGATGAGGTTTGTCATGGTCTTCTTTATGGGTATGTATGTGAGCTAGGTCTCTCCACCAAAAGTCGATGGCAGGTTCGTCAAAGATCTGGCCGGCGACAAAGTGAGGCTTTTGGACTATTGTGTAGTTACTTGGCTTTCCGATGGCTTTGATGTTGTTGTAGTAGTAGTTTCGGCCGTTTTCGTCCATTGGGCGCCAGTCTGAAAAGAAGTTTAGGGTTAGGATTGGTTTTTAGTTCAGGCGTTGGTTTGTAAACTCAGTCTTGGCCTGTAGGCTTAGAAGTGGTTTGTTGGCTTAGGCTTGGTTTGTAGCCTTGCGCTGTTCTATAGGCTTTGGCACGGTCTGCGGTGGGGTGTTTAGGCTTATTTTATGTTCCTAGGTTAAATTTTGAATTCTTATGACGTCTTCAGGATTTTAGGCTTAATTTATTGTGTTAAGGCTTCTTTTTAAATTTATAGGCTTAATTTTGAATTATTGAGCATATTCGGCTTTTTAGTCTTAGTTTTTCTACTCTTAGGCTTATTTTGATATTTTTAAGCTGATATTTAGCTTCTTAGTCTTATTTCTGGATTTACAGGCTTATGTTGAGAACTTTAGGCTTATTCTTATATTTCTTTCTTTTTTTGTATCTTTAGGCTTATTTCTGCATTTTAGGCTTAATTTTGGGCTTTCAAGCTTATTTTGGGCTTTTAGGCTTATTTTTGGACTTTTAGGCTTATTTTTTTTTGTTTAAAACACTTTTTCTAGCTTCTCTTAGCCAAACCTTGCTCTAGCTTACACAATCGAAGCCTTTTCTGTCTTATTTCATTTTACCATACCTAGGCCTACCCTACTCTGTCTAAGCCTTCTTTGCCTTATTGTAGTCTGCCTTACCCTACCTTACTGTTCACTACCCTACCCAACTCAAGCCTTCTGTACCTTATTCTAGTCCACCTTTTTCTGGCATAATGTACCCTATTCAACTTTACACCACCCTACCATAATCTATCCTTACCTTCAATCAGCTCTTCCTTCAAAATGAAGTTCCTCAACAATCTGGGGAAAAACTTCTTCATAATCTGATGCCCAACGTTCTTCCTATGAAACCCTTCTTCAGCATTCAACCCAAAGGCAAAGATAAGTTCGTCAGCATGAGCATTAGCATGGTACTGGTCCCAAACTTGGTACCAGGTTGGTGCACCTTTGTTCGTGTTCACCAGTCCTAATATCCATGAAAATGCGTGTACGAAGGAGGCACTGATAGGTAGGTCGCGGTGCTTACTGTAACGTTCTCTACACTTTTGAGCACATTCGTCTTGACGGTGGGGACAGAGGAGGTTGACGTAGTGTAGACAGACGTCTGTGTCATTGTAACCGACGTCTAGGTCGTTTTCTTGGGTTGATACGCCTATTAGGAGGGGGAGGGGCTAAAAATGTAGTTTAATGTAGGTTTGTATAATATAAGACATCAAAGCAATAAAAATGTTATTTGTCGTATAACATGTTACCTGCAGGCTGTGGAAGTAAAAAGAGAAATAAATGGCAAGAACTTTCTTTACAATGAAAAAAAAATGGCAAGAACTGTCTTTAAAAAACAAAAAACGGCAAGAACTTTCTTTACAAAACACAAAATGGCAAGAACTTTCTTTATAAAATAATAAATGGCAAGAACTTTCTTTACAAATCAAAAAATAGCAAGAACTTTCTTTACAAAGCAAAAAAATACAATCGTTCTCTAACTTACATGCCATCTTTCTTCAAATCCCTTAACTGTAGGTTCAAGGTAGGTATAGCCGTCAGGTTGAGCACCACTATACCCATTAGGTCGTTGATTCTCAAGTGGTACACCGGCATTGATTAGTTGTTCGACTGGTACTTTTCGCATGCAGTCCAGTCTAGCTGTGAAGTTTAGGGGGTTCAGTTTGTCATCTAGGTAACACTAGAAATAGTGAAGATTAAGTTTTGGTATATTGTAATGTAGTGAGGTGAGATCGTATGTTTGGATATGGTAGGGCTTTTTGGATACTGTAGGATTTGCCGTCTATGTAAAGATTAAGCTAGGGCTTGGGTAGGATGTCTCTGGGCTAGCCTTGGGGCATGGTAGGCAAGGAATACGGTAGAGTAGATACTGCATTTCTTACTTAGGTAGGACAAAGCAAGAGGTTGAGTAGAATAAGGAAGGGTACTGTATTCTCTAAGAAGGTAGGATAAGGCAAGGTAGGGTAGGTTGTGGTAGGGTAGGGTAAGGCAGGGTAGAGTAGGGCAGGATAGGGTAGGGTAGAGTAGGGTAGGATAGGGTAAGGTACGGTAGGATACTGCAAAATAAGACAGGTTAATGTAAGGAATTATAATTACTGTAGGATACGATAAAGTAGCCAAACCTACCCCAACTTCTTCCAGTATATACTGACTTCTAGGTCGATTCAAATGAGCATGTGCGATACTTCCTGGACTAAAAAGTATAGCTCGACTGAATGCTCTCGGTTCAATCGCTACACTTGAAAGTAGAGCCGAACCTAAATGGCCACCACTGCTATGACCAAACAAAACAATGTCGCGAGTGTTACCTCCAAAGGCCGATATCTCACGTTGGGTCCAACGGAAGGCTTGGATTATATCTAAAACAGGGTTAGTTTGGAATTGTCAGGAGTTATCGTTATGTGCGAGAGGGGAGGATATTTTTTTTCCATGGGGCGGGGTAAGAAAAGTAATTTTTTTTGTGGGCGGGGTTTTTTTTTGTGGGGGCGGGTGTTCTTAATGGGGGGGGAGGGGGGATGGTTACGGAATTTTTTTTGGATCAAGGCGGGGGGGGATTCTGCTGAACTTTTTCCATTTTTTTTCATAAAATTTTTTCATTGCTCCCCCCCCACCCTCCTCTCTGTTCCTCCTCCTCACAAAACAATATTCAAAAAACCCACCCAATAATCCAGCGTTATAAGGAGCATCAGGCCACTTCTGAGGGCCAATATCCATCCACCCCAAAATGCCTAGCCTGAACGAAGGTAATACCCAAACAATGCCTTTCCCAGCGAAATGGCGCACAATCTCAACATCATTGAACTCGCGCGGCGTTCCGTACTGATCTTCTCCACCGTGAATGTAAAACACTACTGTGCAGGGATTGTCGGCCTAAAATGATTTGTTTCTGTAAAATACGACTATTTCAACGCTCATTCGTAGTTTTACCCCTACTCCTACGTTTACCCCTACCCCTACCCCTACCCCTACCCCTACCCCCTACCTCTACCCCTACCCCTACCCCTACCCCTACCCCTACCCCCTACCCCTACCCCTACCCCTACCCCTACCCCTACCCCTACTCCCTACCCCTACCCCTACCCCTACCCCTACCCCTACCCCTACCCCTACCCCTACCCCTACCCCTACCCCTACCCCTACCCCTACCCCCTACCCCTACCCCTACCCCTACCCCCCTACCCCCTACCCCTACCCCCTACCCCTACCCCCCTACCCCTACCCCTACCCCTACCCCTACCCCTACCCCTACCCCTACCCCTACCCCCTACCCCTACCCCTACCCCTACCCTACCCCTACCCCTACCCTCTACCCGTACCCTACCCCTATCCCTACCCCTACCCCTACCCCCTACCCCTACCCCCCTACCCCTACCCCTACCCCTACCCTTACCCCTACCCCTACCCCTACCCCTACCCCTACCCCTACCCCTACCCCTACTCCTACCCCTACCTCTACCCGTACCCTACCCCCCTATCCCTACCCCCCACCCCTACCCCTACCCCTACCCCTACCCCTACTCCCCCTACCCCTACCCCTACCCCCTACTCCCCTACCCCCTACCCCCTACCCCTACCCCTACCCCTACCCCTACCCCTACTCCTACCCCTACCCTACCCCTACCCCCTACCTCTACCCGTACCCTACCCCTATCCCTACCCCCTACCCCTACCCCCTACCCCCTACCCCTACCCCTACCCCTACCCCTACCCCTACCCCCTACCCCTACCCCTACCCCCTACCCCCCTACCCCCTACCCCTACCCCTACCCCTACCCCCTACCCCTACCCCTACCCCTACCCCCTACCCCCTACCCCCTACCCCTACCCCCTACTCCCCTACCCCCTACCCCTACCCCTACCCCCTACCCCTACCCCTACCCCTACCCCCTACCCCTACCCCTACCCCTACCCCCCTACCCCTACCCCCTACCCCCTACCCCTCCCCTACCCCTACCCCCTACCCCTTACCCCCTACCCCCTACCCCTACCCCTACCCCCTACCCCTACCCCTACCCCTACCTCTACCCCTACCCCTACCCCTACCCCTACTCCTACCCCTACCCCTACCCCTACCCCTACCCGTACCCTACCCCTATCCCTACCCCTACCCCTACCCCTACCCCTACCCCTACCCCTACCCCTACCCCCACCCCTACCCCTACCCCTACCCCTACTTCTACCCCTACCTCTAACCCTACCCCTACTTTTACCCCTACCCCTACCCGCCTACCTAGAGCTACCCTAACCTTTTTTTAAAGAAAACAATAACTATCCTATAAGAAAACCTTACATTACATTGCTGACCAGCGTAAACATTAAGATACACACAGTCTTCGCTTTGTTCTTGAACGTATTTCAATGTGTAATTGGACATCTTGGTGTAGTTTTGTGGACAAGCCGGGGCCGGTTTCGTCGCATCCAAAACCCCATTCCAAAACTTGGCTGGTACTGGGGCGTGGAAGCGAAGCTCGCCTACTGGCGGCTCGATGTATGGGACTTTCTAAAGCATGATCTCTTCAAGCTATTAGTATCAAACGTTCCAACGTTTTAAAATTAAGTTACAGAGCAGGGTGGGTGTGTTGAAGACCATGCGGTGGGTGAGGGGAAAAGTTGATTTTTTGACAGAGCTAGATAATGGTCGGTACAGCTGTTTACGGTAAAATATGGTAGGGCATGATAGGGTAAGGTAAAGTATAATGAGGCAGAGAAGGCTTGGGCTTTAAATAACTTAAAGTAAGCTAGAGCTGTACTGAAGACAGAAACTTTTGACCCCCCATCTAAATTGGCTATAAGTGAATCGATCGGGACCAAACTTGGTATATATACTCATAAAGTACTGGAGACTGTCTTGATATAACAAAGTTTCAATCGGTTGGTGGCATTTGCTTTTATTGAAAAAATTTTTTTGCGGTGTAAAAAGTGAGAATTAAGTTTTGACCCTCTCGTGATGTAGCACGGGATTGCTGTGATTTTGTCAAATCTTTGTAAGAATAAGATAAGGCATGGCTATTCCATCATGTAAGGTGGTTTTTAGGATGTTGGATAAAGAAGAAAGAGTTGAAAGCGAAAAAAAGTCTTGTAAACAAAGATTTTACAAATTTTCAAAAATAAGCCTAGCATATCCATGACCTAGGTGAAGCTCGGCTTTACTTTAATATAAACTTCAAAGCTAAAAAACAATACCTTAAAAACATTAGCAGTCCCAAGATCTGTCTTTAGCTCGTAACCTTGAATTGTGCCTTGCGACAGCTCCACTTTAACTTTAGTGGCATTCTCTACATCAACACCAAACGCATAATCCGCATCTCCATTTACAAGTGTAAATGTTGCTATAGCAAAAATAAAAAACTTCATAGAGTTTTATTGAACACTGTATGATATTAATTATATCTTAATAAATGTAGTAGTTGGAAAAAAAATTAGATTTAGCTAAATAATGAATAGTAATTGACTGAAATGAACTAAAATGTTTTAAAATCTGATTTAAAGTCAGCCTGAGCAAAGGTGTCGTTTAGTTTTAACTCAAAAACGGAGAGAAATACGTTCAGTGTGCTGAAATTGATGCGATCGCCGTATTTGCATATTTTAATAAGATTACATGACAATTTTAGTAAACTGTGATGTTTGGGTTAGTTTGAGATCAATGGTTGTAAAAAATACTTGGCGAATGTTTGTGTCAGCCGATTTTAGAGCCGGCTTTGAAACTGGAATGGCGGCTAAAACCTAAGGAAAGGCTGAACCATAATTTATAAAAAAATCGGAGCCGCAGCTAGAAAATGTGGAATTTTAGTACTAAAGACTTTTGAGCTGACACGGTTCTGATTCTGGCTCCTGCTTCAAAAAGCGGAGCCGCAGCTAGAGCAGATGGCGAAGCCGGACTTACAACCGGAGCTAAAATTAGAAAAAATTAAACAGGGGCTGGAGTCAGAGCCAGAAATTGCCGCGTTACTCTTGGAGCTGGCACGGCTTTAAGGCGGCTTTGGCTGCAGGGCGGCTCCGGTCCTAAAACTGGAGCCCAAGCCGGAGTAAAGTGTTTAAAAAACACGAAGCCGCAGCTGAGCCGAATGTTTCAACTTAGGGAATTCTGTACAGAAACACCTTGTAGGTCCTAACATACAAAAAAAGAGATTTGAAAACACACCGCTCAGGGCCGGGACTTTTGGTCTAGGGGCGGGGGTCGAAAAAATCGGCACAAAAAATTTTTTCGGAAAATCAACAGGGGGGACCACGTTTAACTTTTTAAAAAGAAATTTTTTAGGGGGGGGGGCGGGTTCCGCTCCGTCCACCCCCTTGCCGTACATTAGTCGTACACGCTAGACTGAAAACGTACGAATTGTGCCCAACTTTTCGCTTTTTTACAATAGTAATTGTGAAAAAAGTACAAAATAAAGTACAACAACCGTTCTGGAAATACTCAATGATGTATTTGTAAGAGATAAAAATGATAAATTGTAGTTGGTACAAACACAAGGAGGTACAAACACAAGAGGCTCGTACCATCGCATTGTTAAGACAGTATTCTTTTTTTCTTTGGTTGGTTTTGTCATGGCTTGGTTTTAGCATAAACTTGTGAACAGGAGCATCAGTGTAAGTTTAGGATAAGGTATGTTAGGGTAAGGCCGTGTAGGGTAGGGGAGGGTACGGCAATGTATAGTAAAGTAAGTTAGAGTGGGGTGGGATATAATAAAGTAAGGCAAGGAAACCAAAAATAACATAACTTAAGGTAGGGTAAGAGCAAGACAATGTAGCGCAGGGTTGGGTAGAGCAGAATAGGGTAGGGCAGAGTAGTATAAGGTAGTTCAGGGCAAGATAGAGTAAAGGTAATCTAGGGTAAGGTGGGGTATAATAAAGTAAGGTGAGACAACGTAAGGTAAATTAAGATTAGTTAAGGTAGAGCTGGGTTGAGTACAGTAGAGTGGGGTGTGATAGGGTAGGGTAAAGTGCGGCGGATGTTCGTTGAGTATTGTGTATTAGAGTTAAGTAGAGTAGGATAGGGTGAAGCATGGCCGGATAGAACAAATATCTTATTCTATTTATTATTTAATGCAAATGCCGTGGAACTTTTGTATGCTAACTTAGTTAATATATTCAGCTTGAGCCTAAAATGACCGCCTGCGACGACTATTTTCGCGAATTCTACTGGGATCTTGTAGTCGCTTTGATCTGTTTAACATCAATTTTTATCAACTTTTCAATCAGTTTCTTAACTTACAAGTACCGTATGGAGCTACGTCAGTATTCGAAGCTGATTTTGCTGAACACTTGCTTCAATGTGGTGTATAGCTTTACCAATTTGATTACTGGCTTTGTAAGTTTTTTTTGGTAAGGTTGGGCTCGGTAAGTTGGGGTATGGTAGAGTAGGATAGGGTATTGTAGGGTAGAGTAGGGTAGGGTAGAGTAGAGTATGGTAGGGTAGGGTATGGTAGGGTAGGATATGGTAGTGTAGGGTACGGTAATATAAAATTTTAATTTTAAAACTCGTTCTTTATCTTCAGCGCATAAAAATCATCAACTCATACGTGGTCCTTATCACCAACACGTTGATAATGTACCGTATACCGTTATGGTTGCAACGTGGCGTCATCATATACCTATTCACACAATCCGACACGAGTATCGGCATTTACTCCATCATCTTCTACTTTCGCTACCAAATGGCGAAACAGGCGGTGGTGAAAAACCGCAGTGTACTTGCAGCAGTGGTTGTGTTGGTGATGGCGACCGGGCTCAAAAGCACGCATTGGGTTTTGTCCACGGAGTTCATGAGCTATGATTCGGATTTGTGGCTGGAATTGTTTCCGAACTGTCAGAACCAGGACATCGAGTTGCCCACGGTTTCGATTCAAGCAAAGGTTGGTGGCGGTCAAGGGGAGGGGGGGGGGTACAGTAGAACATGGAATGTAGGGCATGGTAGGTAAGGTAAGGTAAGTTAGGGTAAGATATGGTAAGGTAGGATAAAATAGGGTAGGGTAATGTATGGTAGGTGGTCATGGGGATTGGATCTGAATTTTAAGTCCGGCCCTTTTTTCTTAATAAAAATTTTTACGTGCAAACGAGCCTGGATTTTCGGGGCGGGCCTTTACCAAGTATATCATCTTTTATAATCATCTTGACCTTGATTAGGATACTGTATAGCTAGTTATGGTAGTTAAAGGTCAGCTATAATTTTGTATGGCATGTATAACAGTGTAATTTTGAGCATTGTACTATTGGATGGTAAAGTAGCTAAGACTAAATTTTTTTATTTTTCAGGAGCAAAAGGCCTCTTCGTTACAAATTCAGATTCACTACGCTTTCGCGATCGTTTGTATATCGTTGGTAGTGTATTATGCTATTCGTACGCATCGATTATTTGGCAAAGCTTTATACCCAATGTCGAACAAGACCAAAAGACTGACTGATAACTTGACCAAAGCTTTGTTTTTGCAGGTGTGTTACTTCGATATGCCCTACCCTACTCTACCCTACCCTACCCTACTCTCCTCTACCCAACTCTACCCTACCTTACTTTACTTTATCCTATTATACGTCACTCTACCTATGCTGCCTTACCCCTTCCTAAATTGCCATACCTTATCCTGCCCTACCATATCTCACTCCACTATCTTGTACTTTAGTCTGCCCTACCGTTCCTTCACCTACTTCTTTATTTTAATACTGAACCTCATTCTAATTTACCCTACCCAATAACTTTTATTTTCTCCCCAACTAAAAAAGTTAGAAATTTAGGTATTAATCCCATTCGTGTTTCACACCGTGCCGAACCTTTTGTACTTGAGCAAATTCGTGCCACCGGCTGTGAAGAGGGCGACCAGCACGTTGGTTATCACGGTAATGCTGCTGAACCCGCTGATGGACGGGGTTATTTTGCTAAGCATTTTGCCGGTATTTCGTCGACGATTCAAGTTTTTTGTCAACAAGGTTTTTCACCAACCGGCCACTTCGTCAACTAGTGTTAGAACAGTCGTCAAACAGCTGCCTGTTGTGTCTTGATGCGGTTTTCATTGAATATCTTTTATTTAATATATCTTTATATAATATCGTTTAGGACTTGATTGAAAATCTCTTGTTAAGACGCTTGCCCACATGGTATGGGCCATGAAATAAAGTTTTATAATAAGTCGGCACCAGCAAAGTCAATATAACTACCGTTATTGACCGGACTCTCTCAAGGAATCTCTCTAGAAATGTTTTTCAGAAAAAGGGAGGAAGGATGAGGGCGAAACGGCTTTTAAAACTTACCCCACCCTAAGAAAAGACCATGCCAAAAAATCTATCATACCATAAAAACCTACAATACCTCTCCCCCTCCCTCACATAAAAAAATACCCCATCCTGCAAATCTACTCTAGGATCGATGTTTTGTTTTTTATCCCAAATTTTATTTTTAAGCCTAAAGCTCATTTTTAAGCCTAAAAATCATTTTTAAGCGTAAACTTCACTTTTAAAGCCTAAAGTGTGATTGTAAGCCTAAAGTTCATTTTTTAAGTCTAAATTTCACTTTTTAGGCTTAAAATTCATTTTTTAACCTAAAACTTATTTTTTAAGCCGAAATTGAATTTTAAGCCTAAAATTCGTTTTTAAACATAAAACGTATTTTTTAAGCCTAAAATTCAATTTTAAGCCTAGAACTCATTTTTCAAGCCTAACCAAGCTGTTTTTGCTAAATCGCAACATCCAGAAAAAACCAAAAACTCTGGTACAAAACGTGTAACAAGCCGAGTGAAAATACAATCTAAAAATAAACTTTACAACGGTTCAAGTGGCATTTTTACTGTCCCGTCATAGGCGTCACACTACATTGTTCATCTCTAGTGCAGTAAATACGTTGCGGTTTGTGGTATCGTTAATAGAATAGACAATAACAATCTAAACATGGGTTGTATTTTGGTTATTCCACAAAAAGTGGAGAGCAAGAGAGGGGAAGGAAAGGAGCAGGGAAAACCCAAACATAAATTTTAAGTTTATCAACACAATTTCATGCAAAAAAATGACTTATCAAGCCTAAAATTCATTTTTAAGCCTAAATTCATTTTAAACCTAAAAATCAGCTTTCAGCCTAAAATATATTTTTAAGCTTAAAGTTCATTGTTCAACATAACTTTCAATTTTTAAGCCTAAATTTCATTTTTAAGCTTAAGCTTCATTGTTCAACCTAGCTTTCAATTTTTAAGCCTAAATTTCATTTTTAAGCCTAAAACTTCATTACTAAGCCTAAAATACAATCTTTAGAACTACAATTTTTTAAGCCTAAAATTCATTTTTAAGTAAAGTTCATTTTTAAGCTTAAAATTCATAGTTCAACCTAACTTTCAGTTTTTAAGACTAACATTCATTTTTAAGCCTAAAATTCATTTTCATGCCTCACTCTAACATTAACTTCCTTTACTCAATAATTACCACAAAATACCTGTAAATATACAAAGTTCGAAAACTCAAAAATTAAATTTCAGTGTGGACTAGCTGGCTGTCCCGGAGATCTTGTCGTGTCGTCATCAGCGTCTTGTTGATCGCCTTCTTGGAACGAGTAATATTGTTCTGAATGATCTGAACCAGCAAAGTCCATAGAGTCTTGATTGGGGCCTGCCACTTCTTCTAGTACATGATTACTGTTCTCTGACACATTCTCCGGGTCTCCTTCGGCTTGTTCTTCTTGTTCTAAGCGTTCACGACGTTCGTCTTCATCCTCATCTGACGGGTCGACCGTGTTGATTGATGAACGGTGTGAGGCCGAGTCCGAGTTGGAGGATATTGACCTTGTGCGCTGGAAATCAAACGTTACTTATGACAATATAAAGCAACATAGAGCAATTGTAATGTACTAAACTACATCCTATCCCTACCATATTGACCGGTGAATCCCTGTCCTCGACCAGTCTCCATTCACTCATTGGTGACGTTGAGAGGAACCTTCTCGGCGTTCCCAGCGAACTCATCCCATCTCGGTTCGGTGTTTCTGGAGATGGCGAGCTGTCCAGTTCGATGTAAATGGCATAGTCGTCTAAATTGACTGGTTGCGGAATGTCTTCATCTTCCTCGTCTTCTTCTATTGGTTCTGTTTTGATTTGCCTTAGGGTTCGATTTTGAGAGCCTAGGATCGAGGTTTGGGACAGATCCATTGATTCATTGTCTAAAACAGGGCAAATTTTTAAGAATTGTCATCTAAAATTTGGAAAAATTCACAGAATATTACCTAAAATTTCAAAAAACCCAGAAATTGTTACCTGAAATTTCAAAAAAATCAAAAAATGTTACCTAAAATTTCAAAAAATGACAAAATGTTACTTAAAATCTTGCAAAAATCAATAATATTAGATTTTTCAAATAATTGTGTGCCCCCTCTTAAAGCAAGTTTTGAAGTTAGAGGGCGCAGAACTTTTTGAGCCACTCAATATAACCCAATAAACTAAATTGTTCAATTAATTCTGCACCCCTAACCCTAAAAATTTGCTTCAGAAGGAGCGCAGAATTATTTGAACACTAATCAAATCTCCGTATGTGATCCCAAACTCCCCCAAATACTACGTCCCTGATACTACCCATAACTCAACATAATTCCCCCTGCCTCAACATAATTTCCCCTACTCAACGCAATTACCTCGAACTTCTCGTTTGTACTTGAGTGGACTGAAACTGAATGAATTTGTGAAGCCGGTAGATACATTTTCATCATTTTCTGGTTGATTTAGAGAGTTCATTTCCAAGTCAAACCACTTTACAAGTTCAAATTCTCGTTCAAATAGTACTCCCACCGCTCTTCTTGGTGCTACATTCAGAACGCCATCGTTTGAGTGGGTAATTGGGAGCTGAAAAGTTTAAAATTTAAAAAAATTAAAATTTTAAAAAAAATTTAAATTTTAAAAAATTTTGAAATTTCAAAAAAAATTATTTTAAGTTGTTCAAATAATTCTGAGCCCCTCCCCCAAAATTTGCTCTGAAATAAGGCTCAAAGTCATTTGAACAACCTAATATTAACAATGTCGTTAAGATTTTAGGTAACAAATGTAGATTTCTCGTGAAAAAAACCTCTATATATCAATATGCCAAACTCACATCATCGACAAAGCACATCTGACCAAGAACGTCACATTTGACCAGGTAGACCGGGTTCGCTCCAGCCGACTGGTCTTGTTCACAAACGTCGGCCATAAAGTACATTGACCCTGCCCCATACACTTCAAAGTCTGACACGTGGAACTTGCCATTCATGAACATGTTCAGGAGAGTTGATTTGTTTTGGTTACACTGTAAAATACATTTTTGAAGTTTGAAAAATCGAGGAAACCGCAATAACTTTCTTTCCAACAGCCAAAATTTCAAAAAAAAATAAAAACCGCAATAACTTTCCTTCCAACAAACGAAATTTCAAAAAAATTCAAAAACCGCAATAACTTTCTTTCCAACAACCAAAATCTCAAAAAAAAATTTTTTTTGCAATAACTTTCTTTCCACCTTCAAAACCCCTCAAAAACCTGTTCTTACCTCATGTGAAACCCCAAATTTGGCCAATTTGACCAGGTTTTTTGGTGCTGTAGCACAAAACTCGTATGGACAGTTGTTGTACTCTGAGCGTATATCAATTGAAGCGTATAGTTGAAGTGTTGTAGCTGATCGGCGATGTACTAAAATAGCAAAATAATACTTTTTCTAAGTACATTACTAAAGATACTATATAGTACTTTTAGTACCAAAAACGACAAAAACAGTACTATCAAAATTAAAACGGCAAAACAATATCTTTTAATATACTGTTTACTACAGATACTGTATAGTAGCGTTAGTACTAAAACAGTACCAATTGTAACAAAACTGTACCAGCAGTACCAAAAACAGTACCAAAAGAACTAAAACGGCAAAACGATACTTTTTATAAACTCTTTCCTACAGATACTACATAGCACTGTTAGTATCAAAAACAGTACCATTAGTACCAAAAACAGCACCATTAGTACCAAAAAAAGTAACACAAGTATTAAAAACAATATTTCAAAAAATAGTACTTTTCATCTCTCAAATCCTTTCTCAGCACTACTATGTAATACAAAAAAACAGTACCAGTAGTATCAAAACTAGTACCAAAAGTACCAACAAAAATATATTATAGAAAACAGTACTTTTCACCCCTCACATACTTTACCAGTCCAAAAGATATCAAAAAAACATACTGCATAGCACCATAAGTACTATATAGCACTACAAATACTATACAGCACCATAAGTACTATATAGCACCATAAATATCATACTGTACCGAAACCACTATAAAATGTCAAATATAACTCACAAACAATAAGTGAATTGAAATCAGCATCGAAACAGGCTTCAAAGTCCTGTATCTTGGCCAGGGTTGATTCAACGACAGGCTTCTGCATGAATTCATGAACCAATTTCACGTCGTTCCAATTGAAAATATTTATTTTTGTGGCCGCTTCTGGATGACAGTACTCTATCACAACATGTTTTTTCGGCTGTAATGGCTTGGCAAATTCACTAGAATGAAATTTATGATAATTTAGGTAACAAAATTTGACTTTCATGACATTTTTAGGTAACAAAACAACTTTTTTTATATTTTAGGTAATAAAATAAAACTATAGTAGTTTTAAATAATACAACAACTAACTTAGAATTTTAGGTAACAAATTATGAATTTTATAAACGTTTTAGTAGTTAATAAAAACTTTTTTTTAATAATTTAGGTAACAAAAAAGTTTTACAAAAAAGAAGACAAACCTGCAAACTTCTGTAGTCCCTTTGGTGTATATACCTTCAAGTGTATCGAAAAGGTAATGTAGACAACTGGACACTGTGGCAATCCGTTCCACACTCAGTTCCGTTTTGAATTTCGTTGAATTCAAACCTTCTCTTTCTTGTTTTGTGGCTTCGACCTCCTAAAACCAACGTAATTTATTGAAACTTTAAAAGGGGATGGCCGGCACATGTGGCCCAAATGCCAGGTCTAAATCAAAGCCCCAAAACCCCAAACTAGGCAAAAAACGAAAGGGTTGACCAAGCCAACAAGTTGGGCCCGTCCCGGCCCGTTACGATTCTAATTACTGATTAAATACCTGCTATATTACCTAACATTGATGTTATAACAAGAAAGCCTTAGAGAAATTGCAAGAAATAGTATTGCGCAACTTTTTCTTATGTAATGTTGTAGTTTTATATAATATTCGCCTCGATGTAAAACGACCCAACAAATGACCTTTATGGATTTGAGTCTATTTTCCTACGAGTACTATGACATTGATTTTGTCACTTATCATTTACTTTTTGAATTTCTACTACAAGTTCAAACCTGCTGGGCATAAAACAAGCCTAAGCCCATCACGGCCGAGCATACAGAAATAATGTCAAATTTAAACCTACTAAGCATGAAATTCAAGCCTAAACCCGCTGAACCAAAGCCTACCAAGCCTCAGCTTATAAATATACGCGTATTAAGCCAAAGTCTACTAAGCCTAAGCCTATTCAGCATAAGCCCACTAAAACCAAGCTTATAAATCTTAAGCCCACACCGTTCTACTAAGCCTAAATATACTCAGAATAATCTTACAAAGCCCAAACTTTCACCCTTATTCACTGTTATAATTTAGTTTCAAAACTAAAATCCTTACCTCCTCCCTAATGTTCATCGCCGGAATATCGTTACAAACCCCAAGAATCGGTGCAATTCTGTCAAAAGTTCGATGTTTTAGCCAATTGGGATTACAGACCAGTCTTCCTTTATATTCTTTTGACAATTCATCATCTGATTTTAAGCATTTCATCCATAATTCTATAAAATCGAACCAGTTTTTGTTTTCCGACCACATTTCCGGCTGGACCAGAGCATTGGCCACGAACTTTATTAATAGTTCAAAGTCACGTTCTCTTAGGATTCCATCTCCATCGTTGTCAATTTCAATTTCAAGGCCTTCGTTGTCCGGATGGGTACAGAATAGTTGGAGCATGTACTTTAGGTCGGCCCTGAAGTTAAAAAAAAATGCGTTTAAAATGTTGTATTTTTAAGCCTAAATTTCATTTTTAAGCCTAAAATTCATTTTTAAGTCTAAAATTTAAATTTAAGCCTAAAATTTCACTTTTAAACCTAAAATTCATTTTTAAGCCTATAATTCATTTTTAAGCCTAAACTTCACCTTTAAGCCTAAAATCTCACACTTAATCCAGAATTTGCGCTTTCAACACCGAAATCTAAGCCTACTTTATAAGCCTAAACACAAATTTCAAACCTAATTAAACTCAAACTCCAAGCTAAACCCACCAATTCTCTCCAGCCACATCCAGTAGTTGCTTCAACTTTCTTCTTAACAATGACGTTAGTACCAATGCTTTCTGGCATTCTTCAACACAATCAGAGCTTGACGGTGCTTGATCAAAGTCGGGTAATCCACCATCAAAAAGTTTTAGACGCTCCGACTCTTCATATTGATTTAGTTGGCCAATTAGGGCACTTATATGAACATACAGTATGCCTACACCTACTATAAGGTGTCTTTTTACAATGTGAGTTAGATATCTGAAAATAGGTGTTTTTAAAGAAAGTTACGGCGTTTTGAGTTTATGTTGGTGTGTTTTAACATATTTTAATCAAATTTTCAAAAAAAATATTTTTGGTATTACTGGTACACTTTTCAGTTTTTAGTACCACTAGAACCAAAAATCTCATAAAAGCGGTTGATTATAAACCTACGGAATATGTTTCATCACAAAATCCTTAGCCGGCTTCCACTGCTTTTGTCTTATGTCTCTGAAGAAGGAATGAGCGAAGGCGTCTGGAGCATGTCCAGTTAGGATGTAGCCCACAAAATCCAGACAAAAGTCCGAAACCTTTCCACTCGTTTGACTTTGATAGTTTTCGAAGAGCTTTTTAAAAATATTTGAGTGGAATATCTGAAAATAAAGAGGTGATACATAAAAAAGGTTGTTTTAGAGATCAAAATTAAGAGTTTTGACCTAACTCAAGTTTTTTTTATTTTTGATGTAACTTCTGCCAAAGTTAAGATAGAAATATAATTTGAGGCTTAAATCAAAGCTTAAAATCTTGGTCATCTATGAAATACAACTTCCAGTACAAATTATACCTAAAAATTACGGTAACAACCAAAAGAAGAAGACCCACCTCACTTTGAGACTCCCAATCGGAAACTGTTTTTAAGAAGGTTTCCCGTATGTTGGTCATTAAATGAAAGATATGACAAGTTCTAGCAGCAACTTTGGCCAAACATTTCACCCTTTTCTCATTTTTCAATCCCACGTCAAAATCGACCAGGTAAACGGTCGATCCAGCTGATGGACCTTCTGAATTCGTTGGAATTTCAAATCCACAGTCCTGATCAAAATTAGGAGTGCCAAATGACATTGTTGACAAAGCTATTTGAATGTCGGAATTGGGTAGTAAACATATATCTGACACTTCGGTCGAAATTCGGTCACATACTAAAATTTATAATATTTTAGGTAGTAATATATTCATACCTTCAAAATATTTTTTAAACATTTTTAAAAGCTTACGTACATCAGAAAATAATAACATTAAGCATTTTACACTAAAACCTTCAAAAAACCATTTAAACTTTAAAAAATATATTACCCATGACACCTACCAGGACTCATGAACTTATCATCAATAACAACACTTTTGATTAACAAAACTCCACCCATATACACATCAAACCCAACAAACTCTTCTTTTGGCCCAGCTGCAATCAAAACTGTGTCCAACAACGCCTTCTGTATCTTGCCATGACAATAATGTTCTATACCTTGAACAATCTTATAATGATCTCGACAACTATCAGATTCTTTGGTCTTTAAATGATCGGATTTTACCTAAAATACCATTTTCTTATTTGTGAAACTCTACAATTTATTATTTTACAATTTTAAACCCATTTTTTAGCCCAGAAAGTCAGTTTTTAGCCAAAAGCCTACAAAGTCCGACATCAGATATCAAGTGTAATATAACCTAAAAATTCAACAAAAATCAAACGCTTACCGGCCCAAGACTTCCGTCATAGTTAAACAATGTCTTCGGTGTAATATCTTTGGCAAAACTGCTCAAACAATCCAGTTTAAACCACTTTAAGTGGGTATAGTTCTCGCCATTCATTCGAAGCGTGTATAATATCGTTCCGTCGTTAACATCCAGCAAATGACACACTCCTAGTTCAAAACAAACAGCTAAAACACTTCCGTCTGGTGACCATGCAAAACATGAAAATGCACCAACATCTTCCTTGTTCAGATCTGACGTGTTTCTCGACCATTTTGTGTAAAATACCGCTTCTGGAGCTATTTTTTTCTAAATAGAGATAGTTTAATATGTTGCAAAGCAAAATTTCTGATTTATAGCTTAAAACCTTTTTTATTCTTTACTCTAACTTATATCTAAAGATCCAACCATAATTTCCTCAAGAACCCATCAAAAAGTCCAATATTATCCATGCCTCGTCTATAGCTAAATTTCCAATTCTCCGTAATTGCAAGTAAATCAATCTAAACCACAACCTTCAAAAGAACAAAAACTTACTTTCCAACCAGTTTTCCAATGTACCCGTTTCAAACAGATCTCTCCTTCAGTTGAAGCAAGTGCTAACACATCAAGCACCGGATTCCATATGCTGTCCCGTACCTTAAACTTTGTTCGATGTTCCGAATGTGCAAAAGTTGTCTGTTTTAAGAAAAAACCAGTTGAATCCGACATTATGTGTAGATTTTACAAAAATTCGACGAAAAATTGGCGGAAAATATATTTTCGCGCATTATTTTTATTCGCACTTCGCGTCCGCTTGAAGAACGAGTGGATTTCGTCGTATATAATCGTTTCGCAGGCTGCAGACGCCGAAATTGTTTTTTATTTTCTAAAAATTGGCGGTTGTTTACCCTAGCCATGTGCACGTGATGGTAGTTCGGCCATAAATAACCTTTAAATTAAAAGATGTAACTCATTTTTATATTTTCGATATTTTATGTTACTTATACTTTGTACTTGTCAATGTTTAAAGATGTATTTAAGATTTTTTTTCCGTTTGCTCTTTGGACGATAAAGCATTTCAACACTGTTTTCAAAACTACTAGCATAAACAACTTGTTTACGATTCAAAAAGCCAGGGATTTTGCTGCTTTTCCTCAGTTTTGAGATCTTGGCGTTTGCTCGCGGGTTTATAGTTATCTAACCTGATAAACATTACTTTTTCAGAGAAGCTACTGTAACAATGACTTCCAAAATTCAACACTGTGCCAAGACAATGCAATTCTTCGTCAATTTGAGTAGGTTTTCTAACAATACTTTTAAAAAATCTAATTTTTCTCTCTTCTCGCGTGTTTTGGTGTCATGGTGAATATAAGTTGATCTTTTAGGTTGTTTTTGGATGTTTATTGCTTGAAATTTGTTGTAAATAGATAGTTTAATATCTTTACTTTCTTTTGATAGCAAGATTGGTCAGTAAAGAGCAAAAATTATAGAGAATGGACAAAAAGCATTGTTGGACTACAAGATCAAGGAGGGTAACATCATGGATATGACCCATACGTTCGTTCCACCTGAAGGACGTGGTCAAGGGCTGGCTGAGGAGTTGGTCAGGGTGTGTTTCAACTTTTTAAAACTTAAAATATTTAAATTTATGAAAATTGGTTAGAGTATGATTAAAATATTGAACCAACGGCATAGATAACATTGCTTTTTGATCATTTTTTCAAAATTTGGGATAGTTATTGTTTAAGCTGTGAAAAGTTAGTTTCTACATAGTTTAGGTAATAAAAATTTCATATTTCAGGAAGGTTTCACCTTTGCCAAAGCAAACAAATTCCAAATTTACCCGACCTGTTCGTATGTAGCTCGTTATGCCAAAGAAATCGCGACACCAGAAGAGCAGACGTTAGTGTCAAAGATGTGGAACCATTCAAGACTTTAAAATATTTTATGAAATATTTAGAATACTCAAATTGAGCTCATGAAAAGAATAGAGATCTACCGGAAATAATCCTATGGGTTTGTACAAATTTTGATACCTTCATAAACTAAATGAGATTACGTTAAGTGATGTTGGCTTTTGTATGGTATTTGAATTGAAAAAAAGTATTTTTGATGATAAAGTTAATAGGAATTGAAAACAAATAGATTTCAAATGGTAAAAGTATACAATCGATCGTATAACTCGTCACCAGCAGGCTGCAAAGCCAAAATTGTTTGTTTTGGTGCTTTAATTTAATAAAACCAGCATTAATAGTACCTTAATATCACATTTTAAGTAATCTTACCTTTTTTCCTGTTTAGAAGCTTAAAATGGCATTAAACTTCCGTGTGTTTCTCTACAATTATATATTGTTGGTTGGACAGTTCGAGCCACGTTTTGATCCTTGTTGAACTGATCATGCAATGTTTTTAAATATGTAAATCTGATGAATTTGAATTCATGTTTTATGTTTTTCTCGGAATCAAATATGGTAGTTAGGGTATAGTAGGTGAGTGTGAGGTAGAGTTGGATATGGTTGGATAGAGTAGGGCATGGTAGAGTAGGGTAAGTAACGCCCTACTTTACTATGCCCTAGAGATGCCTCTGGGAACCGAACTATTCACTTTAAAGTTATTTTTTTAGTTTTTTCTTGCTATAACTAGCTATGACAATATCAATACTACAACTGACATTTCTACTGACAAGCCTTGTGCAACATATTTTATGTTTTGACGTTGGTACTGATGTGGATAAGGCTAAAAAAGTTGATGTTTTGCTCAGCACAGGATGGATCCGAGGCTATGAATTCGAATCAAAGCATGGCACGGCTAATGTTTTTAAGGTAGGGTACTTTTCTTTGGTACAACTTTTACCCCTACCAAACAAATTTCAGCGTGTTCCCTACATAGCCCCACCAGTCGGCCCAAACAGATTTCAAGCTCCTCACCCTGTTCAGTCTTGGGATGGCGTTATTGATGCCACTCAATACTCGTTGGCTTGTCCTCAAAATAGTACGGACATAGATGAACACACATGGGAGGCTGTCAAGGATCAAAGTGAAGATTGTGTCTACATGAACATCTTTGCTGATAATCAGTGTAGTGTAAGTTATTTGTATGGTAGGGACGGGTAGGAGGGGGTAGTATAGGGTAGGGAAAGGTAAGGTAACGCGGGTAGGGTAGGGTAGGGTAAGGTAAGGTAGGGTGGGTAGGGTGGAGTAGGATTAGCTTTGGTACGGTAGGGTAGAGTATGGTGTTTTTAGTAATATCTACCCTTCAGACGTCCAACCCCTGCCCAGTAATCTTCTACCTTCACGGTGGGGGTACCATTGATGATCCTAGAATGTTCAATGACAGTTTGATTATTCAAAACTTTGCTTCACAAAGTGTCATCTTCCTTTTACCATCGTTTCGACAAGGTATATTGGGCTGGTTGGACATTGGTGAACCAACGTACGATGCTCCTTACAACGCTGCGTTATTAGGTATGTTTTAAAGAAAGTTCTTGCCATTTTTTGTTTTGTAAAGAAAGTTCTTGCTATTTTATGGTCTGTAAAGAAAGTTCTTGCCATTTTTTGTTTTGTAAAGAAAGTTCTTGCCATTTTATGTTTTGTAAAGAAAGTTTTTGCCATTTTTTCTAAATTTTCATACCTAAAACAATATAATTTTAGATATAATAGCAGCCTTACGCTGGACTCAACGTGAGATAGCTTCATTTGGAGGTAACCCCAGAGAAATCGTACTGTTTGGTCACAGTTCAGGTGGTCATTTGGCTAGCTTGTTGATGTCTAGTCCAGCCATTGAGCCAAAAGCGTTTTCCAGGGCTTTGATCATGAGTCCTGGCGGCCGATATAATGAACGATTTAATCGACCGAGGAGCATGTATGTGGCTGAAAAGGTTGGAGTAAGTACCCTACCGTACCTTATCATACTCTACCCTACCGTATCCTACCCTACACTGCACTACCTCACCTTACCCCACTCTACTCTACCCTATCGTACCGTGCTCTACTTATATTAACATAATTTTTCAGTGCCTCAGAGACCCCAATATGAACATCTACAACATGTCAGAACGCCTGGCGTGCTTAAGAACCAAGCCTTTCCGAGAGCTCATCGACACTACTGCAGCAGTTTCTTCTGACACTTTACTAAAGCAATCAGGACCTCAATTTGATGCATATACAGTTGACCAGAGGGTCATACATGATGTGGTTAAGAATTGGAAAGTGAGTCTAGCCCAGCCCTAGCCCAGCCCTAGCCCAGCCCAGCCCTAGCCCAGCCCTAGCCCAGCCCTAGCCCAGCCCTAGCCCAGCCCAGCCCTAGCCCAGCCCTAGCCCAGCCCTAGCCCAGCCCTAGCCCAGTCCTAGCCCAGCCCTAGCCCAGTCCTAGGCCAGCTCTAGCCCAACTCCCATCTCTAGTCCAGCCCTAGCTCAGCCCAACCCTAGCCTAGTTTTAGCTTAGCTCAGTCCTAGCCAAGTCTTAGCCTAGCCCCTCTAGCCAGCCCTATCTTAATCCAGACTTAGGCTAGCCCTAATCCAGCCTTATCCTGGCCTTAGCCCGGTTCTAACTGAGCTTTAGCCCAATCTTAGCCCCAGCCCCAATCTATCCCAGCCTTTGACCAGTCTTAACTCTAGTTCTAGCGCTAGTTTTAGCTCTAGTCCTTGCTTTATCTTTGCCCCAGCCCAGCCCTAGCTTAGATCAGTTTAGCTCTAGCGCAGCTTTAGTCCTAGTTCTAGCCCTTAGCACTAGACTTAGCTTTAATTTTAGCCTTAGTTCTAGACCTTGCCTAGTCCAGTGTTAGCCCTAGCCTTGGCCCAAGCTCTAGACCTAGCTCAGCCCTGTTATAGCCATAATTTCAGCTCTACCTATACGCATACCCATAATTCTACCCTACCTAACATGGTATATCTATGCTTGTACTCTGGTGTATAACTATGTTTGTACTCGTATTATCACCCCCTTTCTTAAGGTTAAATGTCATAATGTTTCTTAACTGACCTTTTGACCTTTTTTTAATTTGCATATTACACCATAGCTAGTATAATATAATACAATATTCCAGCCCATCCCAATCCTCTTCAGCGTAATGTCATTCGAAGGCGACTTTGACAGTCCAAACCGTGACAAAGATGTATGCTTTGCCTATGCACCTTTTGTATGTCCTGGCCGTGAGGCTGACTGTGACATCAAATGTCAAGCCAAGTTCTCAGGTGGTCATCCCATACCTATTGGTGGCTCTTTTATGCATGCTATTACTTGGGCGTATGCTCAGATCAACAACCTGAGAGGTGGCACATCGTATTATCACGTGCTCGATCAGTATCATGCTGATGTGCATGCTGACGACTTGGTGTTTGCTATTGGTTTACATGCTGAAAACCGGTTTCATGCTAGGAATGTTGGGCATCAGATTCAGAAGAGGTTTTTGCCTAGGTTGTTGTTACGGTGGATTAAGAATGAAAGCTTGGTTTATGGTAGGTTTTAGGGTAGTTTAGGGTGAGATAAGGTGCAGTAGGGTACGGGGGTTAAGGTAGGATTAAGTTAGTATTAGGTTGTTGTTAGTTTAAGGTTAGGCTGACATTGTGAGGTCACTAGAAGGGTATAACGTTCAGGAATAGGTTAAAAAAGGTAGCACAGAGTAGGGCATAGGAGTAAGGGCACAGGCTAGTAAGGCAACTTTAAGTTGGATTACGGTAGTATGAGGGTATAAGTACGGTAATAAGCATAGGCTTATGATAGTGTAAAGCTACTGTTCGGCAGAATAACGTATTATAGGGTAGAGTAGGGTACGGTAGGATAGGAAACGGTAGGATAGAGTAGGGTAGAATAGGATAGGGTTGGGTAGGGTATGGTAGAGTAAGTTGTGACTAACTAAGTTCGTTTATTATAGACTGGAAGCCAATGGACCATCACGGCCGGAACTACTTCTACAACAATATCAAAGCCATTGGCAACCCCAACAACTACACTATTGTCGCTCGACCACATTCAGTACGTGGTCGAATTTTCCATCAAGAAGCGGTCGATTTCTGGTGGAAAGAGCTAGCCCAACTTAATGACGACTTTACCTATATAACCAATGGCAATGATGACAAAAAGGATGACACAGTACCCTCGTTAACAGCCGTGAATATCACAACTGAAAAGAGTACGGAATGGTATGTCATGTTCATTTTGATTGTTATCACATCGGTATTGACGTTAACATTGTTTGTCATCATTGCTGTGGTCTTTGTTTGGAAAAGGAGTGAAAGAAAGGTTGGCAGTGGGAATAATGATAGAGTACCAGTGAATAATATGAATGGTACTGAGCCTACTGTGAAAATTGAGGATGCTTGATCATTTTTTATAATTTTAAGTAGTGCTGGGCGGGTGGTTTTTTGTCTTTTTAAAGCAGGATTTGGAGGAAAGCGGGGAAGAGGTGGGAGGGGTGTGCTGGGTGAGAGAAAACGTAAGACGGGATTTTTTTTATTGTAAGGTTGTTTTAGTAAAGACCATTTAAATTTTTTTTTAAAATTTTTTTTGTAGGGTGAAAGGAGGGGGGGGTGATCTATGCCCAAAAAACATTTTTTTTGAAATTAAATTTACCCCTGCCACTTTAGTTTTTAAAGCAAAAAGAATTTTTTTTCTGTTTTCCCCCCCATATCTATACCTCTCCTCTCGTCATATTTATACTTCTCATTTCCTACCCCCTTCCCATATCTATCTCTTTCCTCATATTTACACTTTTTCCCTCTCTCTATCTCCTCACTGACACTTAAAAATTACCTCCCTCCCCCCTTTTTTCTCAACAGGGTCTATCTATGTATATACATTCCAATGTAGCTATGATTTTTGTTTCTTTAGGTATCAATATTTAATGAATAAAGTTTTAAAATCAATAAAAAATTTCATATTTTCACCTTTTTTTCTTTAAAAATCTTATTTTTTTTTTAATTTCAAAAAAACTTTTTAATAATCTTTTTAATCAAAGATGACTTCCAAATAGAGAACCCTTTGTTGACAAACATCATATAGTTCCTCATCCCTATATTGACCAACATCCGTCGTGATCCCTCACGTCGTGTAACGTGAATTTCCGCTCGGAAGTGACCATCAATCTCGTCGTTACGATCTCCTTCTTCGAGGAATCACTTCAGAGGCTTAATCAAGTTTCGGAGCTTAGCTGGATTGAGTAATGCGATACAATAAATTGCGTCACTTAATTTACTCGTTAAAATTTTTAGGCTTTCTGTTTTGGGGTGGATTTTTTAAGATGGGTAGGGTAGAGATATTTTTTAAAATGGGTAGGGTAGAGTAGGGCATGGTAAGATTGGTAGGGTAGAGCAGGACAAGGTAGGACTAATAGGGTAGTGTAGGGCATGATGCGACTAAACAGGGTAGAGTATGGCATGGTAAGACTAAATAGGGTCGAGTAGGGGACGGTAAGACATATTTAGTTAGGGTATGGTAGGTTAGAATAGGGAAGAGTAGCGTAAGGCAAGGCACGGAAGGGTAGGGTGGGACATGGTAGGGTAAGACATGGTAAGGCACAGTAGAAAACGGTAGAACAGGATACGGTAAGATAGTTTAAGGTAGAGTAGGGTAAAATAGGGTAGGGTAGGGTAAAGTTAAGCGGGGTAGGATAGAATAGGGCAGGGTGTGGCAAATTAGTGCAGGGTAATTTAATTCATGCCTTAGGTCCCAAAAATCAAATTTGACACATCAAACTTTAAAAATTATATTATAGTAGGCATCAACTGACGTTCTTGCACGAAAAGTTACTTTATTTTAAAAAAATATGTTGTATAACAGTATTTTATGACATTTCAAATTAGATAAGATATTGTTTTTGCCAAAAAATTGATAAAATTTTCAAACTTTAAAATCAAAAAAAATTTTTTTTTGAAAAATCCTGAAAACTTTATGCATTAATGATCCGAGAACTTAATTTATGCCGTATTTTACACCCCACCTCTAAAACCCCTAAAAACGACCGAAAACCATAAATATTGGCGTTTATTCATCACCATAACCAGGAGCATTTTTGGATAAAAATGCCGAAAGATCACCATCAAATGACGCAAAACCGAGGAAAAATTACCAAAAATAAAGAATATTGTACAATAATCAACAATATGTTAGTGATAATGCATGTTAGTTACTGAAATCCACAACCGATGCGAAAAAGAAATGACATTAGAGAAGCTGAGACCCGTATGTTTAAGTGTTCCAGAGTGAAAAGCATGGTACTATTGGTGCTGATGGGGCTTTTATGAGTTGGAATGAGTAAATTAAGGTCTTATAGATCTTGTGCTAGCTTTTTGACATACTTTCATATTTGACCATAGGTTTAAAATGAGAGAAAATGTTCAAAAAACAGCCCAAAAACCTTTAAAACAAGCCTAAGATAGCTGAAAATAGGCCTAAAATCCCTTAATATTGGCCAAAAAGCCCCTATAACTACCCATAAACTATAGTACCATGAAGAGAAAAGTGCTGTAATTTTAGGACCATACTGAAGCAAGTACTAAAATCTCAAAAATCTTCAGTACCATTGGATATATAGTACCAAAATCAGTAAAAACATAGTACCATTGAAAGAATAGGCTCCAAAAAACTAGTACTAAATAGAAAATAGTACTTAAAAATTGGTACTAGAAAAAGAAAATGGTACTATAAAGAGAATAGTACCAAAAACTTTGTACTAAAGAGAAAGTAGTACCTAAAACTTGATACTAAAGAGAGAATAGTACCTATATCTTGGTACTAAAGAAAGAATAGTACTTGTAACTTAGTACCAAACAGAGAATAGTACCTAAAATCCAGTACCAAACAAAAAATAGTACCTAAAACGTGGTACTACACAGAGAATAGTACCAAAAACGACAGTTTTCTGGACAAAACTTAAGCGATTTGTTTAAAAGCCAAACAAGTGATACCGTCCTTCTCCACCTCACAGTACTGTTCGGTGTTCACGAGGTAGGAGAAGACTGATTCCGAGCAGATCACGTCGATCTTGCCTCCGAGGGCCGATGTCACCGACTTTTGGATTTGGCGCTTCGACACCTTTGGGCTGCGGTCCATGTTCTGAAAATGAAATTCGAATATTTTTAGGCTGGGAATAAAGTTTTTGCCATTTTATGTATTGTAAAGAAAGTTTTTGCCATTTTTTGTTTTGTAAAGAAAGTTTCTGCCATTTTTTGTTTTGTAAAGAAAGTTCTTGCCATTTTTTTCTTTGTAAAGAAAGTTCTTGTCATTTTTTTGTATTGTAAAGAAAGTTCTTGCCATTTTTGTTTTGTAAAGAAAGTTCTTGCCATTTTTTGTTTTGTAAAGAAAGTTCTTGCAATTTTTTGTTTTGTAAACAAAGTTCCTGCCGTTTTCCCTCCAAAACTCTTTTTCTCTGTCTCTCTAACCGCCTCTTACCTCAATGATCAATTTCTTCAATTCCTCGCTGTTGCACTTGCTAGACTCGGCTGGAACGGCCAAAGTGGCAGCGCGGGCCTTGGCCTTGTTGTAGCCACGTTCAGTCTCGGTAGCGGCAGCCGGCTCGCTGATCTGGGCGGCGTTGTTGCCTCCGGTGCTCAAATCATCATACACGTTGTCATCGTCATCTCCACCGTAAGCTTGAGCGTTGGTGTTGGATGAGGCGGCTACTTCACCTTGATAGCTAGTCTGGCTAGTCTGGGCTGGAGCACTGTAGGCCGAGGTGGTGGCGGTGTATGAGGGGGTGGTGGCTGGGGCGTGTGTTGTAGTAGCGACAGATTGCTCTTGGTAGTTGGATGATTGTTGGTTGTATGAGCTGGATTGCTGGCTAGCAACTGGGGCTTGTTCGCTGTAGCCTTGGCTCTCTTCTTGGTGGTAGTTGCTGGACTGCTGGCTAGCTACTGGAGCTTGTTCAGTGTAGGTCTGGGTTTGAGTTTGTTGCTGGTTGTAAGATTGAGTTGGTTGCTGTTGGTTGTAGTTGGATTGCTGAGCTCCTGAGGTCTGTTCAGTGTAAGTCTGAGCTTGAGCTGGCTGAGCTTCAGCTCCAGCTTGTTCTTGGTAAGAACCGCCTTGAGCTTGACCGGTTGGCAAGTTCAATGAAGGTAAGACTTGTCCTTGAGCGTAGCCTTCAGAGGCACCACCTTGAGCTCCGCTTGAAGCGTAGCCTCCTTGAGCAGCTCCACCTTGAACTCCGGCTCCGGCGTAACCTCCTTGAGCTCCACCATATCCTCCTCCAACTCCGGCAGCTGGGCCTGAAGCATAACCTCCTTGAGCGGCTCCACCTTGTACTCCGGCTCCAGCATATCCTCCTTGAGCTCCACCGATACCTCCACCAACTCCGGCTCCAACTGGAGCGGAAGCGTAGCCTCCTTGACCTCCGCCGATACCGCTTCCAACTCCACCGTAACCTCCGCCAACTCCAGCTCCAGCTGGCCCAGTAGCGTAACCACCAGCTCCACCACCAACACCAGCCCCATAAGAAGCACCACCACCTAGAGCCGTAGCGTAACCTCCAGAAGCTGGAGCCGAGTACGATTGAGCTGGAGCCGAGTACAATCCGGACGAGTACGAAGCTGGTGCCGAGTACGACTGACCATAGGACGAGCTGGCATAAGAGCTAGAAGCACCGGCGTACGATCCACCACATCCACCGGCAGCTGGAGCACAAGCTGGAGCAGCGATCGGGGCGGCCGCGGCTCCGCCACAGCATGGTGCAGCTGGTGGTGGAGCGCAACAGCCGCCACCGCCTCCGCCGAGGCTGGGGAACAAAAAGGCCTGAAATTTTGAAGGTTAGGGTGGGTAAGGTAGGTTAAGGTAGGGTAAGGTAAGGTAGGATAGAGTAGGGTAAGAAATGGTAAGGCAGAGTAGGATAGGGTAAAGTGGACCGGCAGGGCGTGGTCTGGAAGATTAGTTTGGGGTAGGGTAAGGTTAAATAGGGCGTAGTAAGACAGGTTAGAACATGGGCAGGGCAAGGCAGGACAGAGCTGCATAGGCTTGAATAAGGTAGAGTAGGGTAGGGTAGAGTAGGGTAGGGTAGGGTAGGGTAGGGTAGGGTAGGGTAAGGTAGGGTAGGGTAGGGTAGGGTAGGGTAGGGTAGTATGTGATAAGGTAGGGCAAAGTAGGGTAGGGTGGGGTAAATTATGGGAGGTGGTCAAAAAACCAAAATTTCAAAAAAAATTTTTTTTTCAAAAATTTAAAAAAATCGAAAATACGCACCTGTGAAACGATGGCGTTCAACGCCAATGCCAATGCAACAACCTTGAACATGATTGCTTGAGTTGTGATGAATGAAAAGACGAACCCATTGAGGATTTATATATACCCGCCATATGTGGAGTTTCCGCCCTCGCCCAATGACTAACTACCATTCCCTCAACGGAGGGCGTTGATAAAAAGCCCTGCGGTCAGATCAAGAGAAAAGACGATTGACTTCAGAAGAAGATGACAATATAAAGTGGAGGGAAAGTTGGGATTAGAGAGGAACTGTATAAATTAAGAAAGTAAAAACTGTAGGGAATTGGGGGGAGGGGGAGGTATTGTATCATAGTGAATATATATAAAACAGAAAAAGGTATAACAATGTATATCAAAAAAAGAAATAGTAGTAATAAAAAAAGTGAAAAAAGAAAGAAATTGAGTGATAAGGCTAAAATAGATTCTAAAAAAAGTAAAACTGCGGCTAAACCTAAGGCTACAGTAGGTTTAGAGCATGGTTAATGCAAGCATAAGGCTATAACTTCCGTACCGTCATTTAGCTACGGTAAATGAAGGTAAGAGAGGATACATCACACAATAATAAAGCTAAATAAAAGCAAAACTCAAGCCAGGTATAGAGCTATAACTTTAGGCTAAATAAAGGTTATGTTTGGCTAAAGTTAAGGTAAAGAGCTAGGCAAAGTTTAAAGCTAGGGCATAGTTTGTTTAACCTAGAGCTAAAGCCTAGGGCCAAAAGTAGGGCTAGAACTAGCGCTTTAGCTTAGACTAGAGAAAGGTCTAAGGTAAAAACTAGAATTCAAGTTAGTGCTGGAGCTCAGGGTTGTATCTTTACACTAAGTCTCTGAGCTAGAATTCTGGGCTAGAGCTCTGTACTAGAGCTAAAGCTAGGGCTAGGATTAAGTCTCTGGGTTAGGGCTAACGTTCAGGTTTTGAACTAGGCCTCTCGGCTGCTTCGGGCTCAAAATCTAAGCTAATACTCTGGACTAAGGCTCTGGGTTAAAGCACTGGGCTAGGGCTTTGGGCTAGAGCTCTGGGCTAGGGCTCTGGACTAAGGCTCTGGGTTAAAGCACTGGGCTAAGGCTCTGAGCTAAAGCACTAAGCTAAGACTTTAGGCTAGGGCTCTGGGCTAGGGCTGTGGGCTAGTGCTAGGGCTAAATCCAGGACTAAAGCTTGGGCTTGAGCTAGAGCGGGCTAGGATATGGCTAAAGCTAGAGCTATGGCTACAAAATTTTTTATGTTTTAGCTAAAACGTTTTGCATTATCACTTTTTCAATTCAGAAACATTCCAAAAACTACTGACAATTTTTTTTCGTTGTGACAATGACGTCACAACAAGAAAAAAATTCCCGACCAGTAGCTTATGTAACACTTGATTAGCTTGCTGTTAATTTGTTGTTTTTTCGCCGTAAAACCTTTTTTCAACATTGAAACTGGATCACGTTCGGCGCGCATCTTCGCCCTAATCCCGAGCTTCGTTTCTTCCATCCCGAACGAGTTCGGGAATTGGAAAATCGCTCCTTGATTTTGTCATCGACTTATTTTAACCTATATTTTCAAATTTTTTAAATTAAGGTTGTTTGAATAGCTCTACTTTACCATAAATTACTTTTACGTACCTAACAGTACGTTATGGTACATTATTCTACTGTACCCTACCCTATCCTAGCCTAGCCTACCCCACCCTGCCCTACCCTACCCTACCCCACCCTGCCCTACCCTACCCTACCCTACCCTACCCTACCCTACCCCACCCTGCCCTACCCTACCCTACCCTACCCTACCCTACTCTACCCTACCCTATCCTGCTCTAACCTACTCTACCATACCCTATCATACCACTCCCTACCCTATCCTATTCTACCCTACATTACCCTGCCTTACAATACCCAACTTTCTGATTTACCCTGCCCGGCACTGCTCTGTCCTTTCCTGCTCTGTCCTGTCTTGCCTTGAGTTGCCTTGCCCTGCTCTGCCTTACCCTACCATGCCATGCCCTGCATTGCTGTGCCTTGCCTTAAACCGCCCTGCTCTGCGCTGACATGCCCCACCCTGATCTGCCTTGCCCTTTTCTGTTCGGCCTTGCCTTTTTCTGTACTATCTCTTTTGTCCTGCCAAGTCTTGCCTGTCCTTTCCTATCCCGTCCTGCATTACCGTTCCTCATCATGGCCTACTCTACCCTACTCTCTTCTTGATTATCTCATTTTATCTTACCATACCCTAACCAAGCCTATCGTACTTTAAACAGTATGAACAACGTACTCAATACTCAAATGTAAATTCAATTTTTTCAAAACCTATCTAAACAGACTATAAGTTATGACCCGCTTTAACCAGTTCCATTGCTTAATGGACGTTGCGGCGGCGCCAGAATTTGTTGCAAATCCTGGAAACGGGTTTCGTTGACTCGATTGAGTAACAGTGTTTGTTTCAATAACGTTTCTTTTTTGATTTATTTGGAATGGCATTTTATTTTTCAGTTAAAACTTTAAAAAAAACTGTACATCACTAAACTTATTTTTAATATATGACCAGGGCCGGGCGCGAGGGGGAAGAGGGGGGGGGGCGGGGGGGAAGGGGAAATTTAAAAAAAATTTTCGAAAAAATTTTAACGTGGTCCCCCCCCTGTGAATTTATGGAAAAAAATTTCCGCAAAAAAATAAGGTGTAGCTACCTGTGCCAATTTTTTGGACCCCTGCCCCCAGACCAAAAGTCCCCGGCCCGGCCGCCCCTGTATATGACTCATAAAAAAAGTATTCTTTTGTCGTAAAAACGACATTTTTCGGTTTTAAATTTCATTAATTTTTAGAAAAAAAACTCGTTTCAAAAAGAAAAACTTCGATGAATCACTGAAATTACGTCATTTAAAAAAAAGTTTAGTTAACCTTACTGGAGCATCTCTTGATGACCATTCTTTAAACAAGGGTAGTTCCAAGTTGCTCCAATGCTTATTATCATTATCAGTAAATATAACTTAACTACAATAGAATTCCTGTAAAACAGAATGGTTCCATGACCGAGGCCTGAACAAAGGCCCCTGGAGCCCGGGTTAGGTCGCACAACAAAAGATTTAATTTGCAAAGTGTAAAACAAATCTGATGTTCAAGCTATTTACATAAGAATAATAAGCATAACGTATAAAAATTAAAATTGTTTAAATTATTTAAGCCCAATTCCTACACGACACAAGGTGACCCAGTTATTACTTCAATGGACTTATATGGGGAACGGACTTAAAAATTGGCCCAGGCCTCTTTACTAGTCTACTAAAAGGACCCCACCTTTCAAAGAAAGCGATATCACTAAAACGGTTGTTTACAACACCTTTAAAACCAACATACCCTAACATAATACCAATTAAATAACAAAAAAAATTAAAATACTATATGCCACAACATACTACAACATCAAAAACCAACAAATCCAAATTCTCACATTTGTACACAAATTTATTAGCAATTTGGTTACTTGTACAATACATATTACTCTGTAAAAGTTCGAAATAAACTACTAAATAGATGTTTTGAAAGTTTCTTTTTCTATCTTACACTAAAATTCTTACCTATAACTAAATATTTTTTAAAAAGCTTGGCGTATCTTTTGAAAAAACGTAGTCTAAACTTCAACTTTTTGAAATTTTGAAGTCACAAAAAGTTGAAATTTCATTTTAAAATTAAAAAAACTTTCAAAACACCTCTAAAAGACTTAATTATTCAGGATAAAGTACATATTTGAATAGGAAAACTCGTAGGCTTTAATGAACATATCGTTAAAAATAAATACGAAAGAGAGTTGGGTAGTTACAAACGGGGATTGGATTCAGAAAAAGTGAGATTCTGAATCCAAGAGAGACGTTACAAACGGGCAAATGGCTTCTGAAGTCAAAGAATTACATTTGGATTCTGAAAATGACTTCAGAAGCTAAAAGTCGACTTTAGACTTGACAGAAATGACTTCAGAAGCCAAAAATTGACATCAAACTTGACACACATGGCTTCATAAGCCCAAAATTGACATCAAACTTGACACACATGGCTTCAGAAGCCAAAAGTCAGCCTTAAAATTGACAAAAGTGGCTGCAGGAGCCGAGAAAATCTTCAAAAGTCATCGTAAAATCAAAAGTAGAATTCAGAATCCTCAAACTTCATCGTAGCATACACGAACTGTCTTCTGAATCCTCAAACTTCATCGTAGCATATAAGAAGCCTTCATAATCCACAAAAACCATCGTAGTACACAAGAACATCTTCAGAATCCACAAAAATCCCTGTAGCTTCACGACGACCCCAAGTTGGGCATATCTGGTGACAAAGCCTTCAGATCAGCCAGTAGCCTCATGGTCTTGATCAATGGGCCAGTCTTGAGTTGGACACGGTCTTTGAAGTCTTCTTCTGATAGCAAGAAGAAGGATTCACCATCAAATTCCTGAAAAAGTGAATGTTTAGGAAAGATATATTAAAATTATATTGTTTTAGGCATTTTTCTTTAGACTTTAGTGCTTCTTCTTCAATTTTTAGGCATTTTTCGCTAAATTTTAGGTAACAAAATCAAAGATTTTGATAAATAATCAAGTTTTGTTACCTAAAACAACATAAAATGCCTTTAAAACACCATAAAGTATCTCAAAAATAACACAAAGCACCTCAAAAACAACATAAAGTACCTCAAAAACAATATGAAGTACCTCAAAAACAACATAAAATACCTCAAAAACATTATAAAGTACCTCAGAAAGAACATAAACTCTTCAAAAAGAACATAAAGTACCTCAAAAACAACATAAAGTACCTTAAAAACCTCATAAAAACCCGCTATACAGCCTCCAATCCCACAAACCCTTACCTCATTCTCCAAGAAATCAGCGACAGCATCCAGTTTAGCCTTCCGTACCACCTGCACCAGTCTCTGTGTGGTCCATTCCCTCGGTTCTTCATTCTCTCCAATCCCCAGCTTTTGGCAAATCTTTTGATGTTCCGTGGGCGATACCCTTCCCTCCGGACTTGGCAGCTTCGACATCACACTGGGTGACCTTGACAACGATGGTGGAGATGTCGAGCTTGATGCTGAATGACCTTTTGGCATCAGAACTCGAGGACCGGTTGGGTTGAGGCGGATTGCTTGTTCTGGTGCCAGTCGTTTCAGATCGATTTTGTCTGCCATTTCGATCAGATCATTCTGTGGTGGCTGGGAGTCGGCCTTTCGCTGGTCCGGGAGGATTCGACCGTTCTTGGAGCGACGTTTTAAAGGTTCATCTGAGTTGGCTGAGGAGGCTTCGCGCTTTCTCTTCTCTTTGAAGTACTGAAAATACAATATTTTAGTTAAAAAGGTAACAAACTTCAGCAAAAATAACAAAAAAGTTTAGATAAAACCCTAAAAAACTGAAAAATATGCATTCTTCTCACTACAAAAAGCCAAAAAACGCCTTAAAAATAATCAAAAAGGTTCGAAAAATTAAACTTTTAAAAAACTTTTGGCCATTTTTAGGCCCATAACCTTATAAAAATTGCCTTTAAATTAGAAAAAAAAATTAAAAACAATAAGATAAAATAGTATGAATACTATAAAATTTACGAAAAAAGACTTCATTAACAACAATTATTATTATTTATTATTAATAAGACTAAAAATGTATAACAATATAGGTATTAGACAATATTAAAGTAATTGGTACGAAAATGATGTGTAAAATTGAAAAAAAAATTAAAATTTAGCAAAAAATAACTATTTTAGCCAAAAAACCTAAAGTTAGCCAAATTTTTAAGTTCTTAGCCTAAATTTCAATTTCTAAGCCCAAAACTTCGTTTCTAAGCCTAAAGTTACACTTCTAAGCCTAAAATGTCATTTTTAAGTCTAAAATTTTATTTTTAAGCCTAAAACGTCATTTTTAAACCTAAAATTCATTCCTAAGCCTAAAATTTCATTTTTAAGCCTAAAATTTCATTTCTAAACCTAAATTTCACTTTTAAGCCTAAAATTTCATTTTTAAGCCTAAAGTTAATTTTTAAGCCTAAAAATCAAAAATCAATTATAATCTTAATTCTAAGCCCAAAAACTAACTTTAAGCATAAAAAAGTCACCAAAAATAAAAATTCATTTTTAGCCTAATAAAACCTAATTCTAAGCCTAACGTTGTCTTTTCATTCTTCTCCTCCTCAGCGGTGTGAAGCGATCCCTTACATCATCCACGATCTGCTCCACTGCCCTCTGTTCGAGTCTGGTGCTTTTGCGTTCCCCCGGCTCGGCGATGACAATTTCCATGTCTTGTATCCAAAGTTCGAGACGCTTCATGGTGGGTACGGAGTTGGGAAAGACAGACTTGACTTGTTCTTGAATTCGATCGATTGGGACTTGAGCTTCGGCCAGTTGACAGACCAGGGCGTGGGAGGCGGCCCAACGGCTTCTCGTGAACTTAACCGAAAAGACGTGATTAGACAGACCATATAATGTGTAAGTTTTGATTAAAAAAGGTTATCTAGGCTTATATTTTGAGACTTTTTAAATTCATACGGACTATCAAAAAAAACTGGCTAAAAAGAAAAACTAAAGGCGTAGAGGTAAGGCCAAGTTAAAAGTAAAGTTTTGTAACAGAACTTTTTGCGCACCTTGTAACAGAACTTTTTGCGCACTAAAATTATAACAAGGGTGAAGGTAAAGCTAGAAGTAGGGACAGTGATAAGAGAAAATACCACGCCCTTCATCCTCCCTCTCGAAACTCAACGTACTGAATAGTATTTTTACAATTTTTTCTTTTGCTCAAAGTACTCTATAGTACCAACCCAATTTTTTCTCCTTACCCTTGACAAATCAAATCCACGCCCCCTACCCATCACAAACACAACACACACTGCCAAACACACACAAGCCAAAAAAAACTTCAAAATCCACCCTACCTGCTTCAAATTGTCGGCCATTTCATCCTGCATTTCCTTTCTTTTGGTCGGAATGATGTTTCTTCTCGTCCTCCTCAACGGCAACGGTTGATCCAAGTCGGTGAACTCGGCCGCCGTCTTCTGAATCTGTTTATCCGGATTCTCACGTTTCCTTGGATTGGCGTTCACGTTCGTTTGCAAGTTCATTCGACGTGCTCGCATTTCATCAGTCTTCGACACAGCATTCGGGATGTTCAGATGAATGCCATTTTTGGTTTGAGGTAGGTGAGAAATCTGTTCACAGTGATATGGACATAGTTGACCTGGGGCAAGTTTGAGTGCGGAGATAAAGTTGGGGCAAATGTCGTATTTGAGGAGGAATTGCCGGAGCCAGCCCGAGAATTCGGCCGCGGTTTCGCAGACTTCGACTTCGAAGACACGGGAGCGGACGTCCGATTTTGGGTGAATCAACCTGAAATATATAAAGTTATAGATATAATAATGACAGAGTATCGTTGAGAATTGGACACAAAAAAAATTATACCTAAAATTTCATTTCTAAACCTAAAAATCAATTTTCACGCCGAAAAATAACCTTTAAGCCTATAAATCAATAATTAAACCTAAAATTTAATTTTTAAGCCTAAAGTTGATCTTAAAGCCTAAAATTTCATTTTTAAGCCTAAAAATCATTTTCAAACCTAAAATTGTTCTTTAAGCCTAAAGTTCATTTTTAAGCCTAAAATTTCATTTTTAAGCTTAAAATACATGTTTAAACCTAAAAGTAAAATTTTTAAACCTAAACTTCATTTTTAAGCCTAAAATTTCATTTTTAAGGCTAAAAATTAACTTCAATCCTATAACCCACATTCAAGCCTAAAAATAAATTTGATCCCTCAAAAACTTACTTGATCGAAAAGGTTGGAGCTCTAGTATGAACCGACGCTTCACACAGTTTTTGGTATTCAGTTTTGGACAACACTTCCAACATGTCATTGATAATTTGATACATCAAAGGCTGGAAAGGGCTTGGCGGGAACGACGAATCCAAGTGAAGCGCCTTCTGAGCATGTAGAAATGGCCCTTTGTAGCAGTCAAAGTTGACGTACAGACGAGGTATGAACTGTTTGGCGTCGGCAAAAGCTTTCAACATAAATCTGGTCGAGTTCTCAGCTTCCAAGACCTTTGAAGTGAGTTTTAGTTGAATATCCTCGTGCCATGGCTGGAATTGGGAAACGGTTTTGGCCAATGGGCGACCGTAGTATTCTGATGCACCGCATTTGAATATCCTTTCGTCACTGAAAATGTCATAATATTTAAAAAAATTCATAATATTTAAAAAATGTCATAGTATATTTCAAAATGTCATAAAGTTAAAAAATGTCCAAAAAACTCCAAAATACCAACATTTTCGCCGTTTTTGGACAAAATTTTAAAGGAAAACTGCCATAACTTTTCTGATACCCTTCGAAATTCAAATTTTTCTTTCGAGGTTTAAAATTCAGAATCTTAGCTACACAATAAAAACAAATAAGGCTGGTTTCCAATTTAAAAACACTATAAAATCAACAATATTATCTATAAGACCCAAAAAAAATCGAAAATTCCTTTTTTCAAGTCATTAGAAGAAAAAAACCCGCAATAACTTTCTTTACAGTTATTAAAATTTAAAATTGTCTTTTTACAATCAAAGCTCAGAATCTTAGCTACACAAAACAACCATTGAATTCGAATTTCCAACTACACAAATCACAGAAACCATCAATATTGTTCATGATACCAGCACTTTTTTGTAAAATACGAAAATTAAAGAAGCATTAACCGCAATAACGTTCTTTACATTTGACAAAATTTAAATTTTTCTTTTGCTACTTAACGTTACTTAAAATACCTTTAACTTATAGTATTATTCATCAATTTGCTGTTTCTTAAAACCCTAAAGATCAAAAATATAACCCATGCACTTACTAGTAAGAAAACAGCCTTGGAAGGCTCATAGCAGCGTCGTGTTCGTATCTCAGCACCAGTAAGTGTCTGTGTTGTCTGATAATCGTAGCCGGCACAAAAACTTCTTGTTGTTCATCAAAAACCTCAACGTGTCGACCAGTTTCGAAACGTTCCACATTCTTTGGTATGTCAAACTGTGTGTCCGTAGCCGGCCGTCCTTTGATCTTGTAGATGGTAAAACTAGCTTCATCGTGACCAGCTGGTGCTGTTAGTCTCATTCCATGTTTTGAAGCGAAATTGGCTGGGAACACGTCAGCTGAGCCCTTGTGGAAGGTCATGAAGCAGGGTTCGTGGTCTTTTAGGTCTGGTGGTAGAAATACTTGAACTCGGTAGAAGTAGCGGTTGATAATTTCGACTACAACACCGGGGAGGATTCGGAAGCGAGTGAAGGGGTCTATCACTTCGACTATGTGGCCGACCTGAAGGATATAAACGTCAATTTAAAAAAACAGTTTTTATGCTTAAAACTGAACTTTAGAGCTCAGAAACTAAATTTTAAGCCTAAAAAATTAATTTTAAGCCTAAAAACCCAAAAAAAATAAAAATCAATATTATTCTTACCTCCATGCTGTGTTTTCTAAAATTCGACCGGCAGAACACGTACCACGGCGTGGTAGTCTTAATAGTAGCTCCCGGGAATGGCTCTAACCGAAATTCACCCTCATTATCAGTCATTAACGAGAATCCAATCCTTTTGCATCGTTCCCAGCTAAGAAAAGTCCGTACTTGCTTTCCAGAAGCATCTACACCACGAACAAATCCATTTCGATTATCGATAATCTTCACAATCCGAGCTGTTTGAGGATTCTGTGGATCAATGTATTCGAAGAAGTGACCGGGTTGAATGAAATCGACCACTTTTTGATCGAGACGCTCCATTTGGGCGTGTGGAATGCCGGCAATATTGTCTTTTCTGAAATGTTCTCTATATTATAGTAGGTTTATGAGGTTCATAACTTTGCCAAAAATCAAGCTATTATAACCAAACTTTCAGCAAACATACTCCATTATAAGCTCATTTAAACATACAATACTATTTTTCCTAATTTCATACCTAAACATCAATAAAACCATCAAAAAACTTACGCCCATCCACTCAGCGGCATTGGAGTCACAGCCAGTACCAATTGGTCAACTTTCACTTCAACAGATGAATTTTCGTCATAAAACTCGACATAAGCAATATCTCCAACCAAACTCTTCATAACAGCCGGAATCATATCTGCCGAATGCCCGACCATCACTTGCGTCCCTGGACTGAATATTACCTCAGCCAGTGTCTTCTCTAAATGTTCAGCATGAGCTGCTAGCCTCGAGCAGGTCGCTGGAAGTGATGCACAAACTTTCATAAACTCAGGCCAGCTGAATTTGTGTTCAAACGTTGGGGTTTGGCTTTCGTCCGACGCGTACGCTGAAGTCGTCGGCTGTTCTGACGGGTCTAGCATCATTTCAGCGTCGTTCTAAAAGTAATGTTAGCTTAGAAACATTGAAATTTAATTAGAAAACATTTAAACAAGCTTTAAAACTTATTTTAGATGTCAAAGTTAGGAAAAACATTACTTTAAAAAGTAAAAACATCAAAGAATCCTCAATTTAATACACAAATTTAACGAAATTTGAATAAAATGATAAACAACTGGTCGGCCGAAACTTGTAGTTACAAATTTTTGTTTTTAAAAACTTTCTATCGATCTAGTCAATATATTTTTATCTAAATATTTTAAGAAAAAACATATAAGTTTATAAAAAATATTGTTGTAGGTCAACTCATGTAAAACAATCTAAGCCTCTATAAAATTGCTGTTTCTCCTAATATAAACCTAAAAATTTGCCAAAAGATTTAAAAAGCCATTCGTTACATTATTCTATAACAACTTTCTACCTAAAAGCCAAAACGTCTATCAACAGATATTTTAGGTACACTTAAAACCAAATAACTCAAGGTCAAACAGAATTGTTATTTTGCCTAACTATAACCTCAAACACTAGGAAACTTTAGATAAAAGTATCCTCAAATTTCCTGTAAAACCATTTTCATACCTAAAAATGAGAAACAATAAAAAGATCCAAAACCTTACCTTTAACGTTGGTGGAGGTGGAATATTCTCGTCAGCTTCGTCGAAAGACATTGTCAGTTTAAATACCTGAAAATAATTTAATATAATATTAGATGAATATGTTTTCCTCCTCACGCGATATTGTACAGGCCCGAGAGTTATTTTAATTTCCTAAAAAATTAATTTTCCCAACAATACCGCGAAAAAATAAATTATTGATAGAAAAACCAGAGTTATTTTCTAAAATCTTGTTGGATTGACAAGTTTACAAAATTTTAGATAGCAAAAAATGTTTGCGAATGTTATTCCTACAAGTAGGAAACAAAAAACAACAAAAATCCCCGCGATTCCCATGTAGAAAACAAATAAACGAATTGCAGGCCCCATCTCTTCCTCGCTCTGAACACTTGCTCGAAGGGCTTGAACGTTCACGTTTAGAAAAAACAACAACAAAGTCATGAAGACAGACAAGCTTTCCCGAAACACTATATTATACCTCAGCTTTTTCCGCATTTCGAACTTTTCCCGTTGAATATTATCCATGAAACCTACTACAATATAATTTTCAAAAGATTTTTAAAAAACATTTGTTTAGTTAATAAAAAACGGAAACAGGAGTCAAAAGTAAATAAAAATCAGTTTTTACTTTACACTGTTTGTGTTTTTTATAATAAACGATCAATTACCGTAATTTCGTTTAGGACCCGGAATGCCGAGCTGCGACCGAGCTTGCGCGACCTGCGCAAGGGCTTTATAGGGAAGTGGGTTAACCTAATTTGGGTAAAATTTAAGGTTGAAATAAATAAAATAGTATTAAAAACAAAGCAAAATAATCAATTTAAAAAGATTTTTTAAATTCAATACTTATTTTTAAAATTTTTTTGGGTCTGGCGGTATTATAGTAGGCAAAGTTGACTTCCAGAACGTTTTGTGGAGACCACAAGACTAAAAGTGCAAGCGAAACCAAAACAAAATGTTACTTTAAGCCTTTAGAAGTTTACCTATTCAATAATAAGCCCTAATTTACCCTAAAACTTTTCAAATCTCTCGATTACGATATCGATATTACCCACAATGAAATTAAAGAGATCCGAAAAAGCCCCGTCGCTAGACTGTATGCGCAATGGTTGAAAATTTTTTCGAAACAGGAAAAGGGTAGATGAATAAAAGTGTGTGCGGGGAATTTCGCTCGCATTCCGCTTATACGCACATGGCTTTTCAGTGCGTTAAGCTACAGTAATATGCAAATTTATGAGGGAAGGTAATACACAAGTTCATAATGAAAGTAATAGACAAAGGCTTATTAGAGAGCTGGGTATGGCAAGGTATAGTAAAGGTAGAAGAGAGGGTAGGGCAAGGGGTAGTAAAAGGTAGGAGTATAGTAGGAGTGGGGAATGGCCAAGAGTAGTAAAGGATAAAAGTAGAGTAATAGTAGAGGTATGCCAAGGGATAGTACAAGGTAAACCTAAAGCAGGAGTAGGGATATAGCAAGGGATAGTAAAGGGTAGGGTATGGATAAAGGTAGAAGCAAGTAGAAGTAAGACTACAGTAAGATATTACATAAAATCCCATTTTTTTCTTAAAAACCAGCAAACTAAAAAAAACTTTTACCCCCCCCTTTCGCCTACTCGAATTCTGAAACCCACCCCCTCCTCACAAAGCCCATCACACCCCCCCCTCGAATTCTCAACCCACCCCTCACCACAAAATTTATCTTTCATTAACACGCCCATCCAGAGTTCATCCAGCCTCATAAAAACCCCACATTATTATAATGAAAACCCCTATGTAATTAGAAAACCACAACAAAATCCAGAACCTACATGACCTTACCCTATTAAAAACAACCACTGAATCCACAAGCATCATACCATATCAATAAAAAATAGAAGCCAAAATATCCGGCAGATAAAATGAAAATTAGTACCTATTATCAAGCCGCAGACAATTTTATCTACCCATTCTAGAATAATACTGATACTATGCGCTTTTAAACCATCCCATAGCCTTAGGTCATAATATGCTTTATCTTGTTTTCAATTTTTTATATACTGCCTGCTTCTAATGTGCTATTAATTACATTTGTCTACAAGTTCAAATAAAGCCAAAATGATTATTAAAGAGCTGAACGCAAATATCAACATGTAAAGAGATCGATAGCAACCGAAAGTAAACAAAAAAAAGGTTAGGGACGCAAGTCCTTATATTATAGTTCTCTACCCTCACTTTTATTACCCTACCCTACCCAAAAAAATTTTTTTTAAAGTTTTCAATAAGCAATTTAGTAGCTGATTGTCCGAATATAAATGAGCTATCCAAAGCGCGACTTTGAAACTTTTGGCTCATCCATATTCGGACAACCTGATCAATAACTATTGGTATGATATAAATGAGAAGATACCGTAAAACTGTAGTAAAAAAGTTGTACCTATGTACTAGGCCAAGGCATATTCGCTAGGGATGAGTAATGGGCCCAGCCCGTTTTGAAAACCCCTTTGAAGTCTGGCCCAGACCAGATTAAGTAAATTTAACCTCCTGAGTATAGCTTAAACTCAAGCTGTAACTTTTTTTTGCTACGGTACATCATTCCCCTCCCCCCCCCCCTTTGAAAAAAAAGTTTGCTAGCCTACGCTTTTGAGCCTAAGCTTTAACCTAAGCTCTAGCCTAAATCCTAGTTTAATCTCTAGTCTAAACCCTAGCTCCACCCCTAACCTTGGACATAGCTCCAGCCCTAACACTAGCCTCAGCCCAAGTCCTATCTTAAAGCCTAGCTTATGTCCCAGTTTAAGCCCATGTTGATGTTTCAAAAAACGTTATTGCCTTCCCACCCTACTAGCAAACAAAAATTGCTGGCATAGCGTTCCAAAGCCAACTGCCCCAACTTTCCCACCGTTCCGCAAAGCCCTACTCTTAAGCCGCGCAACGTGCCATACAATGTCACGCCGAGATTTTGGAGCACCCATCACGCACTGATACCCCTTTCGCGAAGACGTTTACCTAAACCGACCGCGAGCATCTATCGATTCCGAAACTTTTTCATGCGCAATGCAACAAAGAATAGCGGTCTGTCCGCTCTCTCGGTTGCGCGCGCTATTTCGCGTCGAAAACTACGGATTTATTTTTTCCGCGCAAATTTCCTTGTACGATTAATTTAATTAGCTTACGATCAGTGAGCGTCATCGAGATCATCACGTATTATCGGCTTCTGGAGAGGTGGGGTGGGGTAGGGGATGGCAAGGTAAGACATGGCTGAGTAGAATATAGTATTATAGATTAGGGCATGGTAGGGTGGAGTAAGGTAGGGTAAGGTAGGATTAGAGTAGGGTAGGGTAGAGGAAGGGGGGGAGGGTGAGGTAGGCTTAGCTTATAAAAAGCTAATTTTCACCTCTATAATAGGACAGCTAATAGTAGCGTAGGGCTAGATAAGGTAATATAAACAAGGGTAAGTACAGTGACAACGCCTCATCTCATCCTCAACCTTCCCCTCCCCCCTTTTTTCTCGGTCTCACCCCCATCCTGCCTCTCTCCTCTTTCTCAAGCCTAAAACACCCCCCCCCCCTTTCCTCCACCAACCCTAAAAACAATCAACCGCTGAATACAATGAAGCACGACACTAGATAAAATCAATCAATTTAGCAACGAAAACCTACAAAAACCGCATGTAATTCTAATTAGCCAGTTCAGCACAAAAACGATAATCTTTTATCATATAAGCGAACACCCTAAAAGTTCACAAAACGTCGTGTTCTCAACGAAAAAATCTCGCACAAAGGAATGTCTCCGCAATTAACAACAACATGAAACCGAGAGAAGCCGAAGAACAGATGGGAATAGAACCGGTTCTACAAGCGAATATCCATAAGCTAATTCTGAGCTATATTAAAGTAAACATACACACCTACCTTACCCTACACTACTCTTCACTACTCTACCCTACTCTATTTTAAACCAAAATAAAGTCTTGTCATTTTTTACCCTACAAGCCAGTGGAAATAAACGACAAGACTTTTTTAAACCCCATGTACGTGCTTTAATTTTATAAAATGTTGAAAAAAATAGTGTTCTTATTAAAATCTTGACGACATATCACGTTTTTCATCTTCCCTGATCAATCTTTGATCAACGAAAAGAAAAACAAATAAATTTTTGGGCCCACGTGCTTCTCTCAAAGCTGTTCGTATTCCCACTTCCTGCCTTTGTCAAAAGAAAAAATTCGTATCTTTTGTCGTGAGTTAGTCGTAAATTAAAGGATATTACCACGGCAAGTAATAGGGCAAAGAAATACCGTTTCTTCCCTTAAAATTTTTATTCAAAAAAGTTGAGCTTGGTCCCCCCCCTGTTGATTTTTTTTCAAAATTAAAAAAATTTTTTTTGCCACTGCCTTTTGTATGCTTGAGTTCATTTAGTACTGAATAGTACTTTTCAGATGTTATAACGTTTTGTACGAGCCCTTCCCTTCACTACCAAAATTTTTTTTTTTGGAAAAAAGTTGAACTTGGTCCCCCCCCTGTCAATATTTTTCAAAAATTAAATTTTTTTTGCCTCTGCCCTTTTGTATGTCTGAATTTATTATTACTGAATAGTACTATTCAGATGTTATAAGGTTTTGTACAAGCTCTCCCCTTCATCCAAAAAAAATTTTTTCGAAAAAAATTGAACTTGGTCCCCCCCCTGTTGATCTATTCAAAAATCAAAATTTTATTATTATTTTTTGATTTCATCCCACGCTAAAATCACCAGCCCGGGCCTAATTATACCATATCGTTATTTTAAAGTCAGTGTTTTATTCCAAACACAGTTTCAACCTCCCAAACCCTTACCTACTTACAATACCTCCTCATTAGGTCATTATAATAATGAAGCGAGCCCCAATCCAGGGCAGTCGGTGATTCCTACGCACGATAAAACAATCAGCTGTGTATAAAAAACATTCGTCCAGTGGATTTTTGCGACGTTGGGGGAAGGTTTTGTTTTTCAGCGTTTTGGGTAGCAAATTATCTTGATAAAGAACGACAAGTTTTGAGAAAAACTTTAACGCTTTCCGGGGGAAAGGGGGGGGGGTGTTAAATGTTTTTTGAAAATAAACAGATGGCCGTTGGGTTTTTATACATGAAATTAGCAGGAGAAGTTAATTTTTTAGACTTTTGGATTAAAAAAACTGATTATATGACTAAAATAAGCCTACTTTTTATAGTTTTTAAGCCTAAAAAGGCCAAATAAGGTCCATTATAATCAAAAAATCTAAATTAAAAAAGACAAAAGTTCTAAGCCTAAATTTCCATGTTTTAAAAAATTAAAACAAGAAGTTAATCCTGAACCATCAAACCTTAAAATTTCATTTTTAACCACTGAAGCCTTACCTACAAACTTACCAATTCAAGTTACTAAGCCAAAACTGCCACCTTTCCTCTGCAAACCTAACCCAATATAGCCAACACCTTGCTTTTACTATCCTTCAGGTATAAGTCTTCGAAACCTCCAGTTATCATCACAATCTCCATGACCAAGAATAAGCTTCGTTGAAGGATATGTTAACATAGATGTTATGGCAAAAAAACCTTTTGGTACTGCGCAGTACAGTAGAAAAACGTACTCAAAACCTAAAACCTTCCATGCCAAAACGCTTGCTCCTCGAAAAAAAATATTGACCGCACACCGCGAAATTTTTGTTCCTTGAAGCAAAAAAGAAAACATTTGACTTGGTGAGTCAAGTCTTTCCCTTTTTATTGTTTGTTACTTTCAATTATAACTATAGGTCTAAAGGTGTGTAGGAAAACATAGTGTAATAAAAAATTTAATAGAACCCTGTACCGTATTTTACATTAATTAAAATCGTAAGGTTAAAAATGGCAAAACAAATGAGCTAAAACTGCTTTTCGGCGGGCGTTTTGTAGGCTTCATGTTTGACTTTCCCTAACTATGTGTAAACGAAAGCAATTGAAACAAAACAACTAGCAAATAATCAAAAATAAAATCAATTTACATATGAAAGTTGTCAAAATCATTTGCTAGCTTTTGTCTAATAGATAAATGCTATAAACTTCAAAGGCATTGATTTTAGATGAATAGTTTATTGGCTAACTTCAACAAGCCATAAAACATTCAAATCTAAAATTTAAAACTCAAGATAACTATTTTCTAAAACCGTATTTCATGGCCTTTCAAGCAAGCCTATAATCAGACTCACAGCTTTTTGGACCACCAAGTTATGGGCTTTTATATTGACCCTATAAACCTTCAAGGCAAGTGTAATATAAATTACTCAAATACAGTATTAAAGCTCAAAAACAATAAAAATAAACAAATAATTAATAACGAATGAAGCTACCTCTCACAACTAAGGAAGCCAATTCTGTAGGCTAACCATCCTTGTTTACAGCTACAACAATTTTCACCCAAAAGCTGCGCCCCGTCCATGCAGCCCGCAAAATGACGGGCGCGAGTGGCGATTAATTCCTCCACGCGGAAATTTTTTATACGTCAAAAAAGTGTTATGAAGCCTTTATTTGTCCACATCTTATCGAGTACATTACTTTTTTTGTGTTTTGTGATGTAAAAACAGCTAATTGGGAATAATTTTACGTTTTCAGACATGATAGAACTTTTTGCCATTTTTGGTAAAGGCGGCTTGGTGCTTTGGTGCTTTAAGGAAGGCGAGAATCTTTTTAAAGAAGCTGTTAATAATCTTATTAGCGATGTGTTGCTTCAAGTAAGTTTTAATTACAAGTTGGAGATGTATATATTTGTTTTTAGCAAAGAAATGTTGGAGTTTTCAAGTGGGAAGACGTTTCCATCAAGTATAAGCTGGACAACGAGTTTGATTTGGTATTCTTGGTATGTTTTAGTTATTTTTATGTTTCATTATTTAGGTACCTTAGTTTATATTTGTATTTTGCAAGAAATTGAAAGCTTATGAGGGATTTTTAATGGCTAAAAGGCTTGATGTTGTTTTAGGCATACATCTAGTCAGGATTTTTTAATTTTCACAGGGTTTTTGGTGTTTCTTGGGTAACATGATTAGACAAAACTTTTTTACAGATTATATCCTTGTTTTTAACAAGAACAAAATCATGATAAACGTTATTATTAATTTTGTGCTGATTAATGTTATGTTAGGCATATCTCTAAAGATAATCTTAAAATTTTAGGTAGTATATCAAAGTGTAATTCAAATGTCATATGCAGACAAGTTACTGACTGAAGTGAATTTGCGTTTCCGAGATCTTTATAAGAATATACTGGTTAGCGATGGAATGTTAATAAAAGGACCAAAAACATTCGCTGGATTTAACAAGGAGTTTCCGAAGTAAGTTTTTGCTTTTGCTTTTTCTTTAATTTTGTTTTAGGTGTTTATTATTTATAAACTTGTGAAAGAGGGCATACAGGTCGTTTTGAAGGAATAATTGGCCTGTTTTAGGATCCTCCAACAAGTTGAGGAAGAAAACGTCAAAGCTGGTAACAAAAAGCCGAAAACTTATCAAGAATCGGAAAAATCAAAGAAAACTGTGGCTTCGTTGATTGAAAAACCTGGAAATAAGACTGAGGAAGCTAAGGCCAAGAAGAAGTAAGTGTTTTTGCTTAATTTGGAGGTCAAAACGCATGAAAAACATTAAGAATATACTATAATATTATCTTATATTTGATTTGTTTGTTTTTGTTTGAATAATAGGTTGCCTTAATGTTTTAGAAGTGCCAGTTAAGGATCACAGTTAAAAATATTGTTTTTTAAGACATAATTATGCATTTTAAGGCAAGTTGAAGCATCTCCAGGCTCTCCGAGATCTGGATTGTCTGATGAAGACGATGATGTCTTGAAGAACCGTGAAGCTTTCTTTAATCGTCAGAAGAAGGGGTAAGTGAATTTTTTTGTAATATTGTTGGTTTTTAGGTAACAAATAAATGAAGAGCTCTATAAATTTAAGTTTTAACAAAATTGCTATATTTTAACTTTTAGGTAATAAATCCAATAATTTTTACGTATTTTAGAACTGAAAAGACCCCAGACAAGCCAAAGCCCGGAGGCAAGAAAGGAAAAACTGCTAGAAAGTGGGATTTGTCCGGTGGAAAGCAAGATCAAGCTGTTCTGGATTATAGTAGTCCAGCTCCTGAAAATGGCCAGAGAGCTCGAGAAGATGTTGAGGGTGATAGTATCTATATGGAGAATGTAAGGTTTTAAAATTTTTTTGAAATTTTAGGTTAAAAGAGTATCAAAGGAGCTGTGATGGGTAGCTTTTTAAGTTTTAGAAGCCCTTTAGCTAAAATTATATTGTTTTAGGTAAAAATGGTAGGAAAATTCAAAGGCGACCTACCTGGACTGGATGAAAGTCAAGTTGAAGAGCTATTGGATGAAGATGAGGTGAAGGCTCAACCAGAAAAGAAGGGATGGTTATCATCCTTAACATCGCTGGTTTCTAATAAGAAATTGGAAGAAAAGGATGTTGAAGCTGTTTTGGAGAACTTGAAAACGGCTCTCATTCGTAGGTTTTTGAAATTTTAACTATTTTTTGATTTGTAAAGAAAGTTTTTGTTATTTTTGGCTTTGTAAAGAAAGTTTTTGCATTTTATGTTTTGTAAAGAAAGTTCTTGCCATTTGTTGTTTTTTAAAGAAAGTTCTTGAAATATTTTAAATTTGGACCATCTATAACAATATATTTTAGAAAAGAACGTAGCTGCAGAGCCGGCCGAGAAGATTTGCGAGTCAGTTGGAGCTAAATTGACCGGTAAAGTGGTCAGTTCCTTCAGCCGGGTCCAAACCATTGTCCGAGAAGCCATGCGCGAGTCCCTAGTACAACTCCTGACTCCAAAACGACGTGTCGACATTCTTCGTGATATTATCCATGCCAAATCCGAACATCGCCCATACGTAATTGTCTTCTGCGGTGTAAACGGAGTAGGTAAATCGACCAATCTGGCCAAGATCACGTTCTGGCTGAACGAAAACGGCCACAACGTTCTGATCGCGGCCGGTGACACATTCAGAGCTGGTGCGGTGGAACAGCTTCGAACTCACTGTAAATACCTGAACAATTTACATCCGGAGAGTGTACAGCTATACGAACAAGGCTATGGTGGAGACTCGGCCAAGTTGGCCAAAGCGGCGATTCAAATCGCTCAAGAGAGGAAGATCGATGTTGTTCTAGTGGATACGGCCGGAAGAATGCAGGATAATGCACCGTTGATGGCGGCTCTGAGTAGTGTAAGTTTTTGAAGATGAGGGTCGTTTTAAAAATGGCAGTGTTGAGAAAGGGTGGGGTTAAAAATGACAGTTTGATGGAAGTTATGGGTTAAAAATTCGGTAAAAATGGCTTTCATCTACTGTAATATCTGAAAAAATTTCAGTTGATCCACACCAACAACCCAGATATGGTCCTGTTCGTTGGTGAAGCCCTGGTCGGAAACGAAGCCGTCGACCAGTTGGTAAAGTTTAATCAAGCTTTGGCTGATCACAGTGCAGTTAGAGAGAACCCAAGATTGATTGATGGAATCGTTTTGACCAAGTTTGACACCATTGATGATAAGGTAAGGGTTTTGGGGGTTGGAAAGGAATTTTTTAAGTTTTTTGGGTTTGTAAAGAAAGTTCTTGTCATTTTATCTTTTGTAAAGAAAGTTCTTGCCATTTTTTATTTTGGAAAGAAAGTTCTCGCCATTTTTGTTCTGTAAAGAAAGTTCTTGCCATTTTTTGTTCTGTAAAGAAAGTTCTTGCCATTTTTTTTGGAAAGAAAGTTCTTGCTATTTTTGGTTTTGTAAAGAAAGTTTGCCATTTTGTGCCTTGTAAAGAAAGTTCTTTTCATTTTTGATTTACTATAATATAATTTTTAAGGTCGGTGCCGCAGTATCCATGACCTACATAACCGGACAGCCGATTGTATTCGTCGGCACAGGCCAAACCTACACTGACCTGAAGAGTCTCAACGCTAATGCCGTTGTCAACTCACTACTAAAATAAATAACTAATTTATTACAACACTAATTATATTTTTATTAAATTTCCTACCGAACTTTCATTTTTTAGCCTTTTTTATAAAGATATAGAATAGATGTTTAAAACAATCATATTTATGTTGTCGTTAAAGACTTTGTTAGTGGGATTGAGAGGTGATTGGGATCCATCATCCCCTTTTCCCATCCTGATTGTCATAGTGTACCCACCCTCTACCCATACTTGTGATTGCTGATTAAAGGCTTATGTTTTTAGCTACTTCTTGTTTTAGACGCTGTTGAAGCGATTTTTAAATAGTTTCCTTTATGTTTTATGACATTTTTGATATTGTTGTGTGATATCTGTATTTTCCCAGTTTTGTGATATTGAAAATACAATAGCTTCTAAAATCTGTAATTTTCAAAGCCTTTTTTATCATCGCTTTGTGACATTTCGTCTTTTTTTGGTTATTTTATGACATTTCCGTCTTTGTTTTTTGGTGATTTTAATAACTTTTGGCTATTATACTCGGTTTTGTAAACAAAGTTTTTGTAATTTTCGGCCGATTTTTAGAATTGAAAGGCTATGAAGCCAATATCATTGCTTATACTGAATAGAGATTGACACAAAATAGCTTGGATTTCTACTTCTGTGATGTTACATGTGTGATATTAGGGATTTGCTTGGTAAAGAATATAGATATTGTTGGTATTTTTTAAATTTACTGTTGCGTTTAGTTGTTTATAAAAAAAGTTTCATTATGATGACAGTAATCATTAAAAAACAAAAAAAGACGAGCCGTTTACATTACGCTACAGCTAATACTTTTATGTTTATCCATCTTCTTTTCCACACCTTGGAGTATCTTTTCCAACTCCGCGTAGCCATCAATACTGTCAATGTTTTCGTCTGAAAACAAATTTATGTTAAAAAAAAGTCCAAAAATACATAGAAATCCGTTTGCGACCAAAAAATCCATAAAATTTTATGATATTGTACAGGGGCGTCGCTAGGGGGGGGGGAGGAAATCAGGGCTACCTGTGGACCAAAAAATTTTTTTGGGTCTCCACCCCCCCCTCCCAGAAAAAATCCGTAGCGACGCCCCTGATATTGTAATATATTTCCATTCCTTACCCCTAGTCCGATTGATAATTTCAAAAACAGATTTCTTGAACGACTTTTTGACGTAGAACGTGTCCATAGCATCATAATCAGCCACTTGAGTCAGCCCTCTCGGTTCAAAGTCGAATCGACCGGTTTGTTGGGCAGCTTGGCGTGTCGCTTCAGTTATGACAATTCGACCGGCGGTTGTGACCTGAATCAGCTTCATGGCCACATTCATACATTCACCGTAGACAGCGTATCTGTAGTGTCTGGTTTGGGCGTATTTGAACTTGGTTTTAAAGTTAGGGGTAGTTTTTTTAAATTTTAGGGGTCTGGGTAAGGGGTGGCGTAGGGTAGGGTAAGATAGGGTTGGCTGGTAGTATAATAGCTCCAGATTTAAGATGAGGTAGGATCCTGGGGGACGGGGTGGGTGATGGTAAGGACAAAGGTAGAAGTAGAAGTTGGGGTAGAAGGCTAGGGTAAAGCAGTATCAGAAGTAGGGGTAGGTGTAGGGGTAGAAGTCTCCTTACCTCATATGCTTCTCTCCAACAACCCCAGCAATTACAGATCCAGTATGAATGCCACATCTGACTAGCATGCTTTCTTTTTTCTTTGGATCCACCACCATTCTAGCCTTCCACTCCATACCCAATGCTATATGAATCATGGTCTCAGCGTGGTCAACAGTCGGCTCCGGTACCCCTGCGACACAGACATAGCTTTCACCTATCTGAAACATGATTTTTTGGTACTAGTAGGTCTATTTACGGAATATGTAGTACCAAGCTTATTAAGCGAGGCTATCCCCCTTTCTAAATGGAGAGCGTGGTATCATGTGACAGAAAAGTGAAGCCGGCAAAGTGAAGCATTCTATTTTATTGTAAAAAAATTGGTTGAAAATGAGCGGTCGGGATTTGGAAATGAAAATTTTCAAAATTTTTAATTTGGAAATGAAAAATGATAGTAAAATGGCAATAAAATCTTAAGTTTTAAAAATAGATGCTTCAACGCGCCGAGGGCCGAAGGCCCGTGGCATTTGCATTGTATAAAGTTCGTCCTTTTTTGAGTACGATGCTATTTTCTTATGATAAAGTTACAAAATGATACTGTACTATTTTGAAAAGTGTGACGATGTGCGACGGCCGTAGGCCCGAGCCCACGAGTTTGAATATTATAAACTGTATTTAAATTAAAATACTGAAGACCAGATAACATGATATTACAATGTCCAGATCAAAAGCAATGTGCGAGGGTCGCAGGCCCGAGCTAATTTTTATGAATGTTATGAAATGTATTGAATTTAGTAAAATGAAAATGAAATAGCAACGTCCAGATCATAGGAGGCCCGTAGGGCCTCCGTTGATCTGGTGGTACTAGTTAAGGGAGGTTGTGGTACTATTTTTAAGACAATTTTTAATGCCTACCCCACTAATTTTATAAACCCCATTCATATGCACAAGCCGGTCGAATCGAGTAAACAGTTCTTCAATCATGCCGACCACATCAGCTGCAGTATATTGAGTTAGGAGGGTCTGAAAGGTGGGTACGTCCACGTACATTACAGTAACACTGTCGAATACTTCTGAAAAATGAAAATCTTTTTATAAATCTTTCTCTGAGTATGATTTGGCACTCCTTTTTGATTTTTAAATTTAATTTTATCAGTTATGGCTCTGGACATGTTTGATCGTATAACTTGACCCGCGCAGCCTGCTAGCGGTTAAATTCGCAAAATAAGTGTTTTAGTGATTAAAAGGGAAAAGTAGAATATAAAATAAGATTATAGATGAAAGTAAACATACTAGTAGTCATTTCACTACTGTTCCCTTGAGATATTTGCTGAGCTACAATACCAGGGAAGGTCTCATGTCTCAAGTTGTCCAAGAACTCTTCTTCTTCTATCAATTTTGTTTCTACTTCTTCAATTTCTTGGTTTATACGGTCTAGTTTGTACCTATAATAACAAAATAGGTAAAATTTTACAAAATTTAAAAAAGTATAAAATCCACCCCTAATTTTTTTACAAAAAAAATGACCCCGCCCAAAACTTTTTTTGCTTGGAAAAATTTCTTACGGTCCTTCAACATCGCTAGCCCGTTGCTGATTTAGCCATATTAAGACAAATTCAAAAAACTCAAAAATTTTAAAATCCACCCCCAAATTTTTTTTCAAAAAAATTTACCCGCCCTAATTTTTTTCTCATAAAACACTTACAAACCCTCCACGTCGCTAGCGCGTTGTTGATTTAGCAAAATCAGATCCCTAGTTGAGTCATGTAAAGGAAAAGATGACAATTTCAGCCCAAAGTTGTCCAATTCATGTAGTGTTCGTATGTATGGAGAGCATAGATAGATGATGTGTTCATTGTCAATAATCATCATCTGACCTTTTAGTTTCAAATGTTGTGCGTTTATCAAGGTTGGGTCTGCGTCGTTACTAGAAATTTCATTTTTTAGGAAGATGGTTTGAAATGTGACGAAATGTCACTAAATAATTTTTCCAATAATTTTTGTGGTGTTCCGTCGTAAAATTATTCATGGCTTAAAAAGGCAAACCGTTGCTTAAAAACACTTAAAAAGCAATTTTCATTTTTAAACGTTTTTAAAAAAATTATTAATATGACGAAATGTCACAAAATCGTTTTTCCATTAAATTTTGTGACACTTCGTCGTAAAACTTTTCATGGCTTAAATAGTGGAATTATGGCTTAAAAAGCCTAACCAAGCATTTTTTAATAAAAAAATGACTTAATTGACGAAATGTCATAAAAAAAGTTTTTTTCAATAATTTTTGTGACATTTCGTCTAATTTTTAAAATCATCTAAAGAATATTCAAAACATTAATTTTTAGCCACAACATGACCTAAAAATACTCACGAATGCTGTGAAGCTCTAGACTGTTCATTCGACATCTGACCAGTTTGATTCTTCTGAACCATCAATGGTATTGACCTTGATTGTAAGATAAACACACCATTGATAAAGTTACAGATGTTTTCGTACTCCAAGGTGACTTGTGGCCTATGAATTTCGAAAACACGACTGATTGGGGTTCCTGGCTGAAAATAGTTTGTTATTTTTTATCTTATTCATAAGGTCTAGTATAACATAACGTATATTCGTCATGTAATAGGTATACTTTATAGATGAACTTACTGTTAGTAGGTCTTCGGAGATGTGCTCACTGAAAATAAATGTAAAAATTTGTAGGATGGATACTTTAGTACCTTGCCCTACCCTACCCTACCCTGTCCTACTTTATTTTACCCCGCCGTGCCCCGCCCTGCCTTACCTTAATGTACATTTTCAAACCAACCTACCATAATCTACTCCCAACTTGTACCAGCTTGCAGTCTCTGTCCACAATAAAGTGATAGGGCATCATCTCCATGAAATCGAAGCTATTCACCATGATCTGCCAATCAGATGTGTTATCGATCTGAATACTTGGGGAGACAGCTTGAGAGTTGGCTGGGGATGGAGTGGCTTCTCTGGTCTATAACAATACCTTACTGTAGTTTAGGGCCGAAATATAAATGTAATAATGCCAACACTAACATGAGGTAAGTGCCAAACCTACCACAATATGAAAAATGACATGCTCTTCCATCCTCTCTCCACTAGAATACTGCACTATCTTCTGCGACCTCCCTTGTATATTGATATCAATTTCATTATCAAACAATCGCTTTGCCAATTCCCGTAGTAACCCTTTTACTATCGGATACAGACCATTCCGACTACTCAAGTAATGAAGAATAATCCGATTACCATCACCTGGCTCACAACGAAACGAAGGTCCTTTCATGTTGGCTTTGTAGACAACATGGTCGATGAAGTAGTGGAGGGAATCCATGTTGTTTAGAAAACCCTGAATTGAAAAAAGACTAGGCTGGACTAGGCTAGAGTGAATGCTAGAGCTCGTACAAATGCACAGCGTAAAATAAGTTTAGAATAATGGCTAGAACTTTAGTCCAGGCCTAAAACTAGAGCTAAAACTAGGAATATAGCTCTGGAATAGGGCTCTGAGCTATGGCTCTGGGCTAGAGCTAGAGTTGAGGTAAACATGAGGAACGTGTATGTTAGACCCGGTCCGATCTAAATTTTGCTCAGCGCTGGCGCTGCCCAAATGTTTTTACGTGCAAAAAACGGGCTTTTTGGGCCGAGCCTTGATTTTCAAACCCGGCCGACCTAAACATGAGTTAAGGCGGGCTCGGCCCGTTCCTCATGTCTAGGCTGAGTCTGTTAGAGCTAGGGCTAAAGCTAGTACAAAGACTGGAACTTAAGGTGAGGCTAGAAAATTAGCTAAAACTTCAGCCTAGGACTATGGCTTGTGCTAGAGTTAGGTCTAGGGCTAAAAATAGGGCTAATGCAATCGCTAGGACTAAGCCTAGGGCTACAGCTATCGCTCTAGACTAGGGCATAGCTTTAAACTAGGGCTCTGGGCTAGGGCTCTGGACTAGGGCTCTGGGCTAGGGCTCTGGGCTAGGGCTCTGGGCTAGGGTTCTGGGCTAGGGCTCTGGGCTAGGGCTCTGGGCTAGGGCTCTGGGCTAGAACTCTGGGCTAGGTCTCTGGGCTAGGGCTCTGGGCTAGGGCTCTGGGCTAGGGCTGGAGTTTTGTGGTCTTACCCGCAAATCCGGACTAATGCTCCGTAACAACTCATCGTATCCATTTTCTAACACGTAAATACAGAAATATCGACCAAAGTTTTCCAATACTTCTTCGTTTGGAATCCCTGAAAATTGAATTTCAATACAAGTTTATCGCCTCTTTTTACAGTTAACCAGCGGTAACCATATCAATAAATCTAACTCTACAATAGCCTTTTGTTAACCTTACTTTACCTTTCCTTACAATAGACCTAGCCACTTGTCCTAGCAGAGTTCAGAGTGTAGAGCCTAGAGCCCTAGCCCAGAGCCCTAGTCCCTATCCTAGCTTTAGTACTAACACTAACCCTAGCTCTAGCCCTGTCGTTATCTCACCATTGCCCTACATTCACCCTACCCTAGGTTTTTCAATATAACTTACGAGTAAGTTTGCTAATACTAGCAAAGAGTGAAAACGTCTCTGGATCATCATAGTGCTTGTTCGAAGAGAACTCCAGACTTGGATCTTTTCCAGCATCTTCTCTGTAAAAAGCTTATATTAGGTCGATTTTTAAAATTATTCGTTCTAGTAGTGTTCAAATAATTCTGTGCTTCTGACCCCAAAAAAAATTTTGGGAGAAGGCACAGGATTATTTTAACAAACTAATTTGCCATTTTTGGATTTTATAAAGTAAAAAAATAGAAAAAAGCTTAAGTCTTCAAGCTCTAAATACACAAAACTTTATATAGATATTAAATAAAAAAACTTACAAAATCAACTTCCAGTAATCTTCATCATGTGAGTCGACTATCATCGCCTTCAGTACATCGTGGATGTAGCCGTACTAAAATTTTTTTTAAAATATAGAAAGTACGAAATACAAAACAAAACTTCGTATTTTACCTCAAAATTTCAGAAAAAAAATTTTTTTTATTATTTTGTTATATTTATACTGTATTATGAAAAATAGGTTTGTATTATATACACTATAATATCCACATAGAGGCTGGTACAAAATAAAATGCTAAAAAAAACCTTAATTTTATGGTCTTCTACAAACTCAAATATCATACTTACCATGATAAAATGTTCTGGAGTAACCAAAAGTTACTACTTCACCACTTATGTTACCTTACAGTAGCTAGTACCCACAATATAGCAATACAAAGCCAAACTAAAAAACTATCCAAATCTGGCCAAGTATTCAATTTACGTGTGTAGTTTCATTAAATATTTACAGCACAATGTTTAAAATCCCATACATTCGTTGGCTATATACGCAAAAAGAGATTACTGTGATCTTCATCGCGTGTCTACAGAAGATTTCTTCAAAATTATGCACTTTCCAACTAGAATTATTATCAAAAATGTAGAGAAATTAGTCTATAACATTGGTGAGAATACATATAATAAGGGATTCAAAGATTTATTAGTTTTTGAGTTATTTTAAGTTTTGGGCTGAAATACTACATTACTATACTAGATGGATGACGAAAAAAAGTCCAAACGAAAAAAATAGCAAAAAATTTAACAAAAAAACATAAAAACACACTTCTAAACTACTATAAACTTAAAATACGATTCAAAATAATAACACATTCGGCCACAAAAAAATAAAAAACCTTTTGTATAAAATTGCGCCGCAGCCTGCAGCTCCCACTGCGCGGCATGCGCTATCTTTTATCAATGTCTTTTTCGTTTTTTCGCCATTTCTTTTGTTTGTCAAGTAGAATACCTATTACAGACGTCAAATATTATCGTAATTTACAGGTAAAACTGGTTTTGATATTTGTTTTTTATATTTACTTGTTAAAACCCCCCGTTTTTAGGGGAAATCAAGGTTTTTTGGTGTTTGACTGCTTTGTATAGTCGATTCTGGAAGTGATAGTAAGTTTAATTATTGTGTGTTAGATTCTACTGATTAAGGTTTGTCTTTCTTATGTTGTTATCTTTTGTTATTTAGCTAATTTTTAGTTTTTTGGAAGTAAACTTGCGAGAAAGTTATGTTTGACCTGGTGGCGTTGAAGTTTTTACTATTTTAGGTAGTTCTTGGTCGATTTTCAAGATGAAACTTTTTAAAACACAACAAGCAATTTTTTCTAAAGATTTTAAAGTAATTTTAAACATTTATTTAGCTTAAAAATGAAAGAAACGTTAAAAAATCATGTTACACATACAGCGTTTTGGTAATGAACAATATCGGACACAATAGCTTAACATACCCGCAAGTAAATGCGCATTTTTAGGTGTAAAAGCATAGAATATTATTAGTGGGAGCTTTTAGAAGCACCTGGCTTGTCTTTATTTGTTTATCTTGACCATTACGGCTTGTTGTTCTAACGAGGGTTGATGTTGTCATGGATAATATAAATTGGTCTCTATTGCTTTTTCTGTTGGTTTTTATGTTGATTTGGTATTAAAATAAGTTAGTAAAGATACTGAAGGTTGATTTTGTAAAATTGTAGAGCTACGTATTGACTGGGACGTAATTTTCGTGTTGTGTTTTAGATTTATTTACTCTTAAAATGACATATCTTTTCGAAAAAGTCATTTCCATGTTTTTCGGAGGAGCCGTTCCATTGGAGTCATGTGAGCGTGAACTGGGACGAGGCAGCTCTTTTTATGGTTTTTGTTCCGAATAAAGGCCAATGAATTGGTTTTGTGATAATTTAGTTTTATTTTGGTTCAAAACGGCGTTTTAAGGTTCAGTTTTTGATATTTTTGTATATTAATATAGTCCTTTGCTAAAACTAGGAAATAAAAATTACTCAAAATAGCATTTTCTATATACCAGCCTAACCTAAAACGGTAGCGGTGTTCAAGTTAAGGCAATAAAAAGCCTCTGAAAGCTAGTTTGGCTGTTTTTGTTTCAAACAAAATTAGAGCCAGCAGGCTTGCCAAGATGTAAACATTGAACCTCAGGCAATTTGGTTTCCTTTAGGTTTTGCTTTCCTTCCTAGACAAAAGGTTTTGTTTAGACATGGCTTTTTAAGTCAAAATGAACATAATGAATGTGATATAGGTTATGTACAACAGTGTTGACACTAGCCTTACCATACAACATATACCACATTCATTGACATTCATATTGACCTCAATGCCGTGCCAAAACAAAATCTTTGGTCTAGGAAGGAAAAACAAAACCGAAAGGAAACCAAATTCATTGCCTGAGGTTCAATGTTTACATCTTGGACAACCGGCTGGCTCTAATTTTGTTTGAAACAAAAACAGTCGAACTAGCTTGCAGAGGATTTTTATTGGCTTAACTTAGACTTTGCTACCTTTTTAGGTTAGACTGGCATATTAGACATGCTATTTTAATTAATTTTGATGTTCTATTTCAGCGAAGGCCTATATTAATATACCAAAATATAAAAAATGAACTTTTAAAACTAACTGTTGGTTATTTATGCTAGCTTTTGGCTGTTTAGGCTAACTTTTCACTGTTTGGGCCAACTTCTGACTGTTTAGACTAACTTATGACGGTTTAGGCTAAGTTTTGGCTGTTTAGGCCAACTTTTGGTTGTTAAAGCCAACTTTCCATTGGGTCCCCAACCCAAATCCAGTCCACTACAGTCATAACAAGTTGAGAAAAACGAGTAACATAATTAACGAAAAAAAATATGCGGAACCGAGACCAAAAACGGGGGCTTATCACCTCAAATCTACTCGTCTCACTTTCAAAAACTTTAAATACATTTGGCGAAAGGGTAATGCACTTGGAAAGTTCGTTTTTTTCTCATCTGCTGGAATATATTTTGGCTTTAATTTATGCTTCACATGATGTGAATAGCCACTATGTGACGACTGTTTTGGATGGAAATTATTGAAATGAAAGAAGCACGTGCTGCGAGGTGATTTTGGTGTAAAATCTATGGTTTATCGATCATATTTTAAAGGTTTTAGACGTGCCAGGGGCTTATATTGATTAAGAATATGTATATAGGTCTGTAGAATGCTTTTACATGGATTAGACATTCAGGATTCAGATAAAAACGTTCAAAGTTTAGTGTTTTCCTATGTTATAGTAGGTGAATTATAAGGCTTTTGAAAAATCTTGGATGCTGACGAATTTTTACGAAAATTTATATTGGTAGACTTTTGTCTTCTTCTTCTGACATAATTTCTCATATCTATCCCATTGCCAGTAATTTCAATCTAATTACAAGAACGTCCTCTCCTGCAACCCGCGCATTACGGGCGCAAACCGCGCAAAGCCAAAATATCCTCACGTGCGTTTGAAATATTTGTCGTTTCGCGTAGAAAAGTCGTAAATAAAACCCAAAAGAAGGATAAGTTAATTTATGGACATAAATGTTTAAAAATATCGAATATCACGAGAGTTTTATGCATTGTATGGTTTTTGGGGAAAAACATTGTTTTTCTCGCTTTTGAAGGGCTTTCAATTTGAAAATTTAATCGATTTTCGACGTGTTTTTGGAATCATAATGTTGTTACATATTTGGATTGATTTTTTAAATAAATTTTGTTGTTTTAAAGATTATTTGAAAAATTTTTTTGAAGATTTAGGATTTGTTAACTACAATAATGTTTTTAATGGTTTTGTTAATGAGGAAAACAAATCTCATCGGTTTGGATGTTAAATCATTAAGCTTGATGTATATTTTAACGTGAAGCAAATTGTTACAAATCTTTCTATAAATTTACAACATTGAAATTTTCAGATTGATGGCCGAAACAACGGAAAAACCTCTAGAAATTGAGGATAACAAGGAGAAGACTCCTGTTCCTGAACCAAAACCTGAAGAAAAGGTTGAAGAGCCATCTAAAGAAGAGCCTCAAGGTTCTAGTCAATGGTTTGGTTCATATTCGTCTTATTTGAGCACGGTTGGAGGAGAATGGATTGGAAAGGCTAAAGAACAGGTAATAATTTGTTTATTTTTGGTTTTAGGTATTAAATTGGATTTTATTGATATGAAATTGGATTTGGAAGATAGCTAAGAGTTTTGAGGAGATGTAGAAGGCTAATTACTAGTTAAAATGATGCAGATTGAGTCGGACGACTTTGTTTTAGTTGACATAATCGCTAATTTTTTCTCGCGTTTACGATTTTTAATAAAACTAAAAGGCTAAAGTTAAAGCAAGTAAAAATATATATAAAAACATTGATGAGGACCTTAGCAAGCTTTATTTTTAGATGGAAAAGACGTTGGACGCAGTAAAGAAGGATTTGAATGAGTTTTCCGACACTGTCAACGCTGAAGCCAACATTATCAAGGAGAATGTAACGAAGCAAGCTGAACTTTTCAAGGAATTCGTAACAACTCCAGATGCTGATCCTCCAGAAGTTGCTGACGAAGCTGTGGAAGGTGAAGCTAGGCACAAATTGGAAAAACAAAACTCTACTGTAAGTTTTTCGGTTTGAAATTAAAAAATTGAGTGTTTAGAGACTGAAGGTGTAAAAAATATAGTAATTCAAGGCTTAAAAGCTGTTTTTATTGACGTAAAATTAATTTAAAAAGGTCTGTTATATTATACTAGCTTCTGTATGACTTCATTTTTACACTCTTATTGATATTATACCCGTTTAGGGCATTAACTTTGGCTGGATGAAGTCGGTGGTCGAATCGGTGAAAAGCTTGGCCATTGAGGATACAGCTAAAGATGAGGAAGATTTTACTGAAGCTATTGTTACCAATGTACGACAAAGCACCTTGGATCATGTAGGTTTTGATTTTTTATTGATTTTTTCGTTTTTATTTTGACGTGATTGGATCAAAGCTTGATTTTTAGTGGTTTTTGTTACCTAAAATAGTTGCTTTAGCCTTTTAATTTTAATTTTTTGGTTTAAAACCTTCGTTTCGCTCTTTTTATATCTAGAACAATATAACTTTTTCCTTTTTTTGAAATTTTAAAGGTTTTTCATTACAATGTCAACTTTCAGGTCAAGCTACTGGAGCTCCAGAACACAGAATCCACCTTCCTAAAGCCCCCAACCCAAAATATTGAAGTATACAAGGACTGGCTGAAAGAGTTCAAGCTATCCGAATATAACGGCGAGATCAATGTTCTCCTAGGCAATAACCCCAAGCTACGCGAAATTTATACAAAATTTGTGCCAACTCGAGTTGATAATCATACGTTTTGGAATCGCTACTTCTTCAAGGTTTATATCGCCGAAATGGAACAGGAATTGAGGAATAATAAGGGAAAGATCTTCGAAGAGCTGGAAGTTGACACGAGTGGAGCTAAAGACAAGAATTTCGGTCATTCTAGCGGAGAGAAGAAAGGTTGGTTCGGGTTTTGTAGTTTGATTTTTAAGATTTAATCCGCCCTAACCCTCTATAACCAGTACAAGTATCATTTCCAGAAGTCAGTCCATCGGTAACAGAAAACGAATCCTGGAGTGTGTGCTCATCAGGAGCCGACGATCTTCAAGAATTCCCAGACGAATCGGCCGATGAACAACAAGTTCAAACCGAAAGCACGACCTATAGTGATGCCGTGACAGGACCATTGACCCCAAAAGCTACGGATGAAGAGGAAACTAACGGAGATTCTGAATGGGAAAAGTGGGAAGGCGAGAAACAGAAATAGGTACTGTAATGGAGGACTTACAGTATGGATTTTGAGAAATTTATGAAAATGTTACAGTAACCTAGAAGCATGGAAATTTTTTTGAAATTTTTGGTAAGGAGGTACCGGTTTTTGTCTAAATTGGTACTTTTTTGAATTTTAGGTAACAATTTTAGCCAACTACTTTATATTTTGGGTCAAAGGTATACTGTAACATTTTCGAACAGTGATATTGTAAAAATTTCCATGATATGTCCATAATCTTCTAATATGTAAATATATTGTGTCTTTAAAACAAAAATGATTAGATTACTGTAACTTTTTAACAATTTTTTAAAAATGGTACGGTATGTGAAGTACTGAAGTATAAGAATACTGTAGTAAAAGGGGTTTTTCAATCCAATTTAAATTTTTCAACTGAGTTTTTTATACGGTATTTAAAGTGCAGTATTTGGTACTGTATTGTACTGTTAGTGCTATAGTACTAAATAAAAATAAACAAAATGTAAAATCATTTATCATTTACAGTAGTCGAATCAAAGGAAATATCCAAAAGAATGCTAAAACGTGTATGTTTTACTGTCTAAATACTAGTTGAAATCTGAGTTTTTTTTTTAAATTGTGGCCGAATTTTTGTCTCTTTTTTAACTTCAACTGGTTCATTATAGTCTTCATAGTAATATTATTGATATCTTATTTTGTAATTTTAAATAAATGAACAAAATTTTTTAATATGAAATTTTGAGTATGGAGGGTAGGGAGATTTTACGTTTTGCAATTTCAAATTTAGATAATGGTGGATTTTTTGGGCAGATTGCTTGGGAAAATACGAAGGAATTTATGGATTCGAATTAAAATTTTTAAAATAAAAAAATTTTTTTGAAATTTGAAAAAAATCTCAAATAAAATACAATTGAACCTCTGTATAACGAATCGCTCGGGGACTTGAAGTTTGTTCGTTATAAAGGAGTTTCGTTATAGAGGAGTTCGTTATACATTGTATATAACTTCCCTATAACGCACAAATTTCAAATCCCCCGAGCGACCCCTAGCCCTAGGAATTTAAATTCCCGGTGTAGTGATAGCCAGAGTTTTAAAAGTTGCTCGTTATTCAGAAGTTTTGTTATTGAGGAGTTTATTATACAGTTACGGAGAAGATTTATAAGTAATAGACATGAGGAACGGGCCTGACATTCAGGCCCGGCCCCTTCCTCATGTCTATTAAGTAAAATCACATATAAACCCCTATTTTCGTCACAATTCGTTGCCAAACCCTAAAAAGCGCTTATCACTGACTGAGTTCCGGCGAGTTACTCCTCCACTCTTGTTTTTATCGTGTTTGCATAGAATCTTGACACGTCGATATATATTGAGATGTTGAAAAATAAATTGAGCTGGCTATAGCTAGGACTAAATTAAGGTTAAAAATAGGGGCTTGGGCTAGAGCTAAGGCTAGGACGAGAGATAGGGAAAAGGCTAGAGTTAAGACTAGGGGGAAAGACTGGGGCTAGAGCTAGGGCTAAATTTAGGACTAGGGGCTAAGGACTAGGGCTAAGACTAGGGCTAGGACCAGAGATATGAAAAAGGTTAGACCTAGGGCTAAAGCTAAGGCTAAAACTAAGACTAGAGGCTAAGACTGGGCTAGAGCTAAGGCTAAAGCTAGGACTAGGTATAGCTCTAGAGCTAATGGGACTAGGGTATGATGGATCAAATGTACAATTATATATTCAAACAAAACGGCTCGGGCTTCCACGACAACTTTGATTTTTGTATTGTTATAGATCAATAGAACTAGTATTCATTCAAGTATCGTAAAACCTTTGACTCGGGCCTTCAAAAGAGTTTTCACTGGTTTCAATCAGTGATGAGCCATTTTCATTTTCAATAACCTTTTAATAAAAATTTTAGTTTTTAATTTTTGACAGACAAGCGCTCTCCCTTTACAGGGAAAGTGTCAAAAGGTCTAACTACCTTCCAGACATTTAATTTAAAAAAAACAGTGCAAACTTTAAACGACCATAACTTGGTCGAAACAAAAGCTTACCAACTTTTGAAACCGGATTCTGAAACAGGACGATCTCTGATTTTTTTGAGTTATAGCGCATGTTCGGGCATTAGGTACACCTTTTCACATTTTCCTTGTGAAACAACCTGTTTTTTTAACGTTTTGCAAAAAAAAACTTGGCGCTATGACAACTGAAAGTATAGGACATTTTATATTTGAACAGTTGAAAACACTTCAACTGCTAATTGTATAGCTTGTTACTTTTTGTGCTAGAGGCTGTTCAAATAAATGGTTACAGTTTTGGCGTAGTTTAATGTCCAGTATTATCTGAGCTGTTTTCGTTTTTTATTAGTACTTTTTAAAAATTTTTTAGGAGCTAAGGCGTTTTTTTTTAATTTGAAAAAATATTACTAAGTAAAGCAGGGTAGATTTTTAATTTTTTTTTTTGAATTACGGTTTGAAAAAAAGTAGTGTAGGGTTTAGACTACAGTTAAAGTTAGGGTTTAGAAGTAGGCTAGGGCCACGACTTGGTCGAAGACTTGATTTATGACTTGTTCTACAGCTTGGGCTAGAACTAAGGCTAGGGCTTGATCTAGGTCTGGGACTTGATTTAGGATTTAGTCTAGGACTAGGACTTGGTCTAAACCTTGAGCTAAGACTTAGACTAGGTCTAAGGCTACGGCTAGAGCTAGTGATAGGGCTCTGGGCTAGGGTTAGGGCTAAAGCTAGGACTACGGCTAGTACTTGATCAAAGGCTTGGGCTTGATCTAAGACTTGGACTAGGACTTGATCAAAGACGTCTTAGGACTTCGGCTGGGCCTAAGGCTAGGAATTGATCTAGAACTTGGTCTAGGACTAAACCTAACCCTACCACTTGGTTTAGGATTTGATATAGGACTAGATCTATGGTTAGGACTAAGGCTCTGGGCTAGGGCTCTAGGCTAGGGCTCTAGGCTAAGGCTCTAGGCTAGGGCTCTAGGCTAGAGCTAGGGATTTGGGCTAGAATGATGCAAATTTAAAGTAAGAATGAAATCAGGATTGCGGTTTGTTTTCAACATTAAACTTCCAAAAACAAAGCTTAAAGTATTTCCATTTTTAATGCAATACAGTTTCATAAAATACCATGTTTATGTTGAATATTATTATGATATTTTCGACCTCTTTCTGATAACATAAAATATATTTTCACTTTTCAGTGACTGGTTTATTATATTATATATGGAGCTACGGAAATTTTTAAAAATATTTCTAAATCATCGTTTCAAATTAATTTTAATGTTTGCCTCAGGTGCTGTCTTGTTTTTCTTATTAGTACCACTTAACTTACCTACCTCATATATATACGCCAACACAATAGAAACTACATGGGATACATCTAATTTCTCACATCCTACTAATGATAATGATCCTCGATTATATTACGAGCTACCCAGACCAGAAGATGTGTTTGTATCAGAAGCAATAAAGAGGTTAAAACTACCGCCTGAGACGAATACCTTCTTCTTTTTGATGACTCATCCTAAAAATCATCGTGATAAGGTAGGATAGGGTAAAGTGAGGCGGGAAAAATGTAAAACAGTGCAGGGTAAAATAAGGCTGTAGGGTAAAAAACGTAAAGCATGATAAGTTAGGGCTTGATAAGGCAGGATAAAGTAAAGTAGGGTAAGCAAACTAAAAGCATAATAAGTTAGGGCATGATAAGGTAGGATAGGGCAAAGTAAGGTGAAAAACGTAAGGTAGGGTAAAGTAAGGTAAGAAACGTAAGGCATGATAAGGTAAAGCATGATAAGGAAGGGCATATAAGGTAGGACATGATAAAGTAGAGCATAATAAAGTAGGGCAAGTTAAAATAAGGCTGGATAAAGTAAGACATGATAAGGTAGGACATGACAAGATAGGGAATGTTAAATTAAAGGCTTGAGTAAGGCGAGGTAGGATAGGGTAGGTTAGGGTGGCGTAAAGTATGGTAAAAAAAGGTAGGATAAGGTAAGGAAGAGTAGGGTAAGGTAGGATAGGGTAAGCTAGGGTAAAGTAGGGTAAAGTAAGATAGATTAGGGTAAGATAGGGTAAAGCAGAGTAGGGTAAGGTAGAATAGGGTAGGGTAGAGTAGAGTAGAGTAGGGTAGGGTAGGATAGGGTAGGGTAAGATAGGGTGGGTAGGGTAGGGTAGAATAGGGCAAGGTATGTTAGGAAAGAATAGGGTAAGATAAGCCACTTGTTAAAATTTAATTTCAAATTTAAGATTCCAGCAGCCAATAGAACCTGGATGAAGCATGTTGACTATGTCGAAGTACATACTCATACCAAAATGAATGAGTCCAACATACCGTACCGCACTTTGTATGCAGGCCTAAAAGAAGATAGAAGTGAATTGTGGTGTAAAGTTAAAAGGTCATTTCAGTATGCTTATTTGAATGTGTCAAAGAAATTTGACTGGTATATTAAGATTGATGACGATACCTATGTCATCGCTGACAATTTGAACAAATTTTTGAAAACTTTGGATCCAAACAAGCCTGTTTTTGCTGGTGGGAGGTTAGCTCCTTTTGTGGTGAGTTTTCATGCTTAAAACAGCTTTAGAGAGGAGGGGGTGAGAAAAAAAGCTAGAGTTGAATTTGGAAAGGGGGAGGGGTAACAGAAGTAAAAAGTTGGCGGATGCGTAGGTAGGAAGATTAGGTTGAAGGGGAGGAGTAGAAAAAAATAATTTTTTTGAAATTTTCTGACTTTCCATACCCTAGCATTTCAGAAAAACGGCTACGTCTCCGGTGGAATAGTGATTTTGAGCAGAAAAACACTCGAATTACTGGTTTATAATGTCTTTCCACATATCACAACATCGTGCAAGCAGGGAGAACTAGACGATCTGGAGTTGGGGAAGTAAGTTGAAATCTGGTTTTAGAGTTAAAATTTCATTTCTAAGCCCAAATTTTCGCTTTTAGGCCTAAATTTTATCTTTAAGCCCAAAATTTATTTATAAGCCTAAAATTACATCTTTAAGCCCAATTTTTTTAAGCCTAAAATGCATTTATAAGTTAAAAAATTAACTTTTAAGGCTAAAATGCCATTTTTAAGCCTAAATTCATTTCTAAGACTAAAATGCCAGTTTTAAGCCTAAATTCATTTCTAAGTCTAAAATACCATTTTTAAGCCTAAATTCATTTCTAAGTCTAAAATGCCAGTTTTAAGCCTGAATTCATTTCTAAGCCTAAAATGCCAGTTTTAAGCCTAAATTCATTTCTAAGCCTAAACTGTCAGTTTTAAGCCTAAATTTTACTTCTAAATCTAAAATTTTGTTTCTAAGCCTAAAAATTTATTTCTATGCTTAAGATGCCATTTTTAAGCCTAAATTTCATTTTTAAGACTAAAAATTCTTTTTGAACCTTTAAAGTTCATTTTAAAGCCTAAAACTTCATTTCTAATCCTTACATTCTATTTCTAGGCAATTAGAAAAACTAGAAATCTACCCAATACCAACTCGAGACTCCGATGACAAAGCCTTGTTTCACATTTTTACTGCCGACGAAACATATCATGGCTACAACGATACTCGAATTGACTTTGGTACTTACTATAAAGACAAATTGAGACCTGGCTTCGAAGAGTTTTCAAAAGAATCCATCGCTTTTCACCATCTTACTGTCAATGAACTATATTTATTCGAAATTCTAACTTATATTGTCAGGAAGCACTAAATTTTAATTTTTTTTTGAAATTTCTTTGTATATTTCGAAGGGTATGGCAATTTTTAAGCTTTATTGATGAACAGTGGGGGTATTTACTTATTTTGTAATGTTTTTCGTGGAAATGTTTATGATGTATAATATAATATTTATAAAAGTTTTTGGAATAAATCGCGGAAAGTCTTGACGTTGTTCTCCCATAACCAGGGGCGTCGCTGGGAGGAGGGGGGTGGGATCCCCCCATAGCTAGACATGAGAAACGGGCCGGGCCTGAAAAACGAGCCGAGCCCGACCCGTTTCCACGTAAAAAAATTTAAAAAATTAGGCCAGGCTCTACCATCGGCCGGACCTGAGCAAAATTTCGAACATTCAGACCCATAACGTTCAAACCCGGCCCGTGTCTCACGTCTACCCATAGCCGGTCCGAAAAAAATTCCACAGGTAGCTAGGGATTGATTTAATAACCTGTAAACCAAAAAAAAATATTACGTCTCCACCCCCTCCCCCAGAAAAAATCCGTAGCGACGTCCCTGACCATAACTTACAATGCCTTACCCTATCCAAGGCAGATTGAATTTCATTTCCAAACTTTTTATCTACAAATTTTTAATTGTTATTCAAATTTAAAAAAAGCATAAATTTTTCAAATAGATTTTTTTTATTTTTCGTCTAATTTTTTCAAATAAAACATTTCATTTCATAATTCCTGGCAAGCACTCGGCCCATTTTGTAGGTTTTTTAACTATTGTTTTTTTGAAGTTTAGGCATAAAAATTAAATTTTAGGCCTAAAAATGAATCCTAAGCATAAAGTGAATTTTTAGGCTAAAAAAATTTTACGTTTAAAAACTAAATTTTAGGCTTATAAAATAAATTATAAGCTTGAAAGTCCGTTTTAGGCTTAAAACTTGAATTTTAGGCTTTTCAAAATTTTTTTTATAATTTTAGTTTTTTCAATTTTCAGTGAAATGTATAATGGAAGGCTATTACTTTTCGTATACGATCATAACTTCAAGCGCCTCTTCGCACTAACCCTTTGTGTACTAATGCTTTGGATCTTCATACTGACGAATTCGAGAACTTTGACAGAGTACGTTAAGATTCGACAGATTGGTGCAATTGGAAATGGATTGAATGGTACTTATGGGAGAGTAGAAGGGAATAATGGTACGTATGGGGCAGTAGAAGAAAATAATGGTACAAATGGTACGCTTGGTCAGACCAGTATGGCACAAAAGACAACTGAAAGTACTAAAGGTGTCAATGGTACTGCTGCAGCTACTAAGAGGTTGAATGGTACTAGACATTCAAATGAAAGAGCAAATGCTACTAATGGTGCAGGCAGAAGAATAATTAGTACTAGAAGTTCACATGGAAGGTCAAATGGTACTACTGGAGCAAGTAAAAGACTAAATGGTACTCATGATGAAAATAGAACGGCAAATGGTACTAGTAATCCAAATGGAAAGTTGAATGGTACAAATAGTGCTAATTGGACGCTGCTTGGAACTAATGACATACCTGGTCCAAATTGGAAATTTAATATCACTAATGGTGCAAATTGGAATTTTAATGGTACTGCTACTAGAAGTTGGACATTTAATAGTACAAATGGTGCAAATCAAAAGCTCCATGACACTAATTACCTAGGCTTAAAGTTAAGTGGTACTAATGGTGCAAGATGGAATCCAAATGGTACTTATGATACAAATTGGTCGTTTAATGGTCTTGATGACACAGATGAATCAATTGGTCATATCAGGGCTAAAAGATCAATCCAAGTCAAAAATGGTAAGACTGGACCCAGTAGAACAGCTGTCAACAAGAACAAAGTAATTGTCAAATTAGGTCAGATCAACAGCTTAATTCAAGGCATAAACGGTACCAATAAGACGTTCGCAATGAAAAATGGTCAAATTGGAACAATTGTCAAACTCAACAATGGCACCAGTATCATATCAATATCTCCGCCAAAACAAAAGCATCGAAAATTTAGTGTAAATACTACTGTAGATGATGGTATCGACTACTCACAGCCAGTAAATGAGACCGATTTGAGGTTGTACAAGGAGTTACCAAGAGCTGAAGATGTGTTTGTGTCAGAAGCGGCTAGGGAGTTGGTGAAGAAGAACTTTAGCCATATTTACTTCTATGTGCTCACTCATACCAAGAATCATCAAACTAAGGTAGGTTGGGTAAGGTGAGGAAGGGTAGGGTAGGTCAAGTAGGGTAAAGTGAGATAGGGCAAGTAGGGTAGGGAAAGTTACAGTAAAGTAGGGTAGAGAAAGGAAGGGTAGGGTAAAGCAGAATAGAATGAAATATGATAGACTATACCTTGCCCTACCCTGCCTCACCCTACTTTATCAAGCCTTAAGTTAACCTGCCTTACCTTATCATGCCCTACGTTATCACAAGTTGCTTTACCCCGCCCTACCTTATCATGCCCTACTATATCATGCGCTGCCTTACCATATCATGACCTACCTTATCATGTCCTACCTTATCATGTCCTAACTTATCATGCCGTAACTTATCATTTCTTCTTTTTTTCTCAAAAAACTTTTTTTTTTCATTTCCAGGTCCCAGCGTCCCACCAAACCTGGATGCGTCACGTCGATTACGCCGAATTCCACACCTTTACCAAAATTGACGACCAAAACATACCATACAGAACCCTATACACTGGTCTAAAAGAAGATCGAACCGATTTATGGTGCCAGATGAAACGATCCATCCAGTATAGTTATCTGAATGTGTCAAAGGAATTCAACTGGTATATCAAAGTAGATGACGATACCTATGTCATCGCTGAGAATTTGAACAAATTTTTAAAGACGTTGGATCCAAACAAGCCTATTTATGCCGGTTCACACTTTAAACTTTATGTGGTAGGCTTATATTTTGAAATTTTGCTTGTTAGGTACCAAAAAATAGGTTGAGGGTTTTCGTGGTGGGACCCAAAAATGACTTTTAATAAATTAAGCCTAGTAAAAAATGGTTTAAAAACAGAAGTTTAAGTAAGAAAAATTGAATTTGAAGGTTTTCGTGCCGGGACCCATTAAAAAAACGTTTTTCTGAATAAATAAATAAATTTTAGGCTAATGGATACGTTGCTGGTGGCCTTATCATTCTAAGTCGAAGCGCTGTGGAACTACTGGTATATCACGTGTTTCCCCGCATTAACAGTAGCTGTAATGAGTATGGGTCTGGCGATGTTGAACTTGGAATGTAAGGTTTTGTTTTTAGGCTTAAAATTAGTCCTAAACTTTGATTTTTAAGCCTAAAATTTGATTTTTGAGCATAAAGCTATATTTTTGTCTAAAATTTCAATGGTAATCCTGAAATTCCATTTTAAGCCTAAATTTCATCTTTAAGCCTAAAATTTCATTTTTAAGTCTAAAATTAAATTGGAAGCTTATTCAATATCACACCGTTTCAGCTACCTAGAAAAAATACAAGTCTACCCATTTCATTCACGAGATTCAGACGACAAAGGACTGTTCCATATGTACAAGGCTCGAGAAACGTATTATGGATATAATCAAACACACATCAAGTTTGAGAAGTTCTACAAAGACCAAATGAAGCCAAAATACGAAGAGTTTTCTCGAGATTCGATCGCCTTCCATCATCTCACTGCAAACGAACTGTTTTTGTCAGAAGTCTTGACGTATATCGTCAAAAAGGATTAGTTGTTGTAGGTCTTGTTGGTATTAGAATGTTTATAATAAAATTTTTGATATTTTAATATCTTAGTTTTAAAAGATAGATTAACGCAGGAAATGCTAATAAAGACGATTGAAAGACAAGGTTTTCGTAAAAATTCCATTAACTTTAAAAGAAACAGAATGTTACCTAAACCAACATAAAAAGCCCAGAATCTTAACGTAATCCATGCTAAAAGATCCAAGAACGTCACAAAAGCTTTAAACAATATTTATCTACCAATTCATCCTTCATTGCCCAGGTATAAATCTAAAAACGCAACAAAAAACATCAAAATCTTACCCACCATCTCCATATTATCTTTGATTTTCTTCAACCGGCCATAAAATCCAAATAAGAGTTGAAATACTGATTGAAAGGTGTCCAAAACTTCCTGATAACTTTGTGTATCCTTAGCGAAGTCCAAAAAAAATGTTTTTTCCTGATTTTTTTTCTAATTTTCTTGATTTGAACAAAGTTTTAGCGCGAAACTGTTTTCGGGCCGGGAAATTTTTGGCTAGTTCGATGTTGCTGCTGATGAAGAATTAATTCTTCACTCGACGGAGCTCCAGTAGATGTTCAGAAGAAAAAAATGCCTTCGTTATGATCTTTTATTGATGAAAACTGCGAATATTCACCTTTTTTGCAGTTTTGAGCATGGGTAATATAATATTTTTGAGAAATTTTAGGTTTTCCCTTGATGTATATCGTTAAAGAATGGAAACTTTTGAATGTTTAAGGAAGTTTAGGTCGTTTTAGGCCAAGGAATAATATTATATTGGTTTAATATTATTATTAACTTCCTTATTTTGATATCAAGACGTTGTTTCAAGGAGTTTTAAAACGTTTTGATCTAAAATGTTACAGATCCAGGTCAAACTCACCTGCAAATCAAGCGGTTTCGCTCTTTTTTGTTTTTCTTTTTGTTACCTAATTATTTGTTTGAACTTTAAAGTATTTTTAGGTATCTTAATAACGTGTTTATTTACAGCACTGACACAACTTGATTTTTTAGATACGAATTTTAATTTTTTTAGGCTTAGCGGTTGAGGCTTGTTTCCAATTATGACGTCAAACGCTACAGAAACTAATTTTAGCCTACAACGAATAATAATACTGAAACTAGGATGCCTATTTATTATATTTCTATTCTTTACTACTTATTCACAAACCTCAAGTGAGGATGAAGTTTCATCTCTTTTTAAAAGCAAGGTGAATATACCAGCTAAATGGAGTTATACCAACTTTTTTGATAAGAAAAACTTGTTCAGATCAGCAAAAGATAAAGATTATGATGAAGAAGGAAGTAGAGCTTCTAGCTGGGGCAATGGCACTTATTCAGAGCCAGTAGATGAGACTGATCCGAGGCTTCACAATGAACTACCTCAAGGTGAAGATGTTGTTGTGTCAGAGGCCGTAAAGAGGTTACCGATGCCACCGAAGACGAATATTTATTTTTATCTGATGACTCATCCGAGGAATCATAAGTCGAAGGTAATCTATAGTTAAATTTTTATAGAACACGCTTTGTTATCTATTCTAACACTACCTCAACGTACCCTAAGCCGCATTTACAATGAAATAGGGCTATGTTTGATCAAAAACAAGACAATACAAGGCTAAACTAGAAAAAATATCCACTTTTCTTTCCATATTCACCATTTAGGTCCCAGCAGCCAACCAAACCTGGATGCAGCACGTTGATTATGTTGAAGTACACACTCATAACAAAATTGATGACCAAAACATACCATATGTCACCCTATACACTGGTCTAAAGGAAGATAGAAGTGAATTATGGTGCAAAATGAAACGATCAATACAATATAGTTATTTGAATGTGTCAAAGAAATTCGACTGGTATGTTAAAGTAGATGACGATACCTATGTCATCGATGAGAATTTGAACAAATTTTTAAAAGATTTGGATCCTAACAGGCCTATTTATGCTGGATTACGGTTGAAACCGTATGTTGTAAGTTTTTATTGTTATTGTGAGTTAGGATATGCTATTTTTTAAGATTTTCGGGTCTGTTTTTCAACTTTTCGGATTTTCGTGGTGGGACCCAAAAACATAAAAAATAAAAAATAATTAAACTCTGTAAATTTAGTTCTATTTATGCCAATTATATGAATTGTTGTATGTTTTTAGACCTACTTCCTGATTTTACAAGTTTTCGTTGTGGGTCCAAAATTCTAAAAAAAATTTTAACAAGTGGTTTTAGAAGAACGGCTACATTGCTGGTGGTATGTTAATAATAAGCCGGAAGGCTGTGGAATTGCTGGTTTATAATGTTTTTCCTCGTACGAACACTTCCTGTAGTTTACACAGGTCAGGCGATGTTGCGTTGGGAAAGTAAGTGCTAGCTATGTCTAAGCCTAAGCATACTAAGCCTAAGCCTACTAAGCCTAGGACTACTAAGCCTATTAAGCCTAAGCCTACTAAGCTTAAGTCTACTAAGGCTATGCCTACTTAAGTCACAAAGCCTACTAATTCTAGGAGTACTAAGCCTAAGCCAACATTCTAATTTTTCAAAAAAAAACTAAAAAAAAATGTTTCAGACATTTAGAAAAAGTGGACGTATACCCACTAGCATCACGAGACAAAGACGACAAAGGATTGTTTCACATGTACACGGCTCATGAAACCTATAACGGCTATAACAATACTCGGATCAAGTTCGCCAGTTTTTATAAAGACAAAATGAAGCCTGGGTATGAAGAGTTTTCTCGAGATTCGATTGCTTTCCATCATCTGAATGTCAATGAGTTGTATTTAGCAGAAGTTTTGACTTATATCGTCAAAAGGGATTGAATAGTTGTTGTTGATTGTTGTACATACATATAATAATATAAAATTTAAAAAGTAGAAATATTTGGGTTTTAATTGGTACGGTCAGTGTTTTGCCGGTCCGGACCGGACGGACCGAAACAGAAATTTTTGCGGACCGGACCCAAAAACCTGCGGACCCGGACCGAAGAAAAAGCTCCGGACCGGTCCGGAAGAAATTTTTTTTTTTATTTTGAAAAAACTGTTTTAAAAATTGCAAATAAAACATATTTTTAGGAGTTTTTAAGCAAAAAGAAAGCAGTTTTAGCGCTCCTTGCTTTTTTTAAAAATTAAAAAAAAATTTTTTGCGGACCGGACCGGACCCAAAAATTTTGGATTTGGACCGGTCCGGACCGGACCCAAAATTTTGAAGTTTGGACCGGACCGGACCCAAAAAATCGCCGGACCGGACCGGTGAAAAACGCTCCGGACCGGTCCGGGCAAAACACTGGGTACGGTAGGGTAATGTGTGGCAGGGTTGAGTAGGGTAGGATAGAGTGGAGTTGGATATTGTAGAGGAAGGTTGGGTAGAGCAAGATATAGGTACGGAAAGGGAAGGTAGGGTAAGTAAAGGTAGGATGGGGAAAGTTAGGGTAAGGTATGGTAGGATAATGTAGAGTAAAGTAAAGTAGGCTAGAATCCAAATCTACTGCTATAGCAGGTTTATCAAATCAACAGATGCCCTTCAGCCGTTCAATGATCTAGACATTGCAATCTCGTTGTCAATCTATCTTTTTTTTAATTTTTAAGCAAATTGCCGCCTGAGGCCCCCGGACACCAACTTATATTTTTATGTTTTATAATAGGACAATAGAATTGGTTTTCATTCAAATATTGTAAACTTTTTCTCGGGCCTTGGCTATCGGTTTTGTCAGTTGCTGTCTTTATATATGAGACCAGATTGAAGAAATGCTAGGCTAGGGTAGGAAATGGTAGAGTAGGGTAGGGTATGGTAGGGTAGGGTGATGTAGGGTAAGGTAGGGCATGGTAAAGTAAGTTAGGGCATGACAGGGTAAGTTAAGGCATGGTAAAGTAAGTTAGGGCATGGTAGAGTAAGATATGGCGTGGTAGGATAGAATCCAAATCAGTTTTGCTATTATAGGTGTACTAGCTCCACGCTAGTTTAAAAAAAAATTTTTTTTTGATAGAGAGGAGAAGAGTCAAAACGTTCGGATCACATTCTCCCATATAGGGGTGAGAAACGGACCGGGCTCACTTTTGAGGCCCGGGATATAAGGTTTAGGCCCGGCCCGTTTTTATTATTACCTCAGGCCGGCCTGACTCGATTTTGTACGTGTAAACGGGCCGGGCTTTGATTCTCAGATTGATTTTCAGACGCGCTTGACCAAATTTAGCTTAAGGCTGGTCCATTTATCATTAGATTGTTCAACTAGTTCTGTGCTCCTTCATTTCGAAAATTTGGTTTGAGATGGGACACAGAATTATTTGAACAAACAATTATTATTTTAATTTTTTGCCATTTTCCTTCGATTTTTTTATTTTTAAAAATTTCATTTGGGCTAGATGCAATTCACGCCGGTGGTTGGTTGTTCCTTGTAGTTATCGCCATTTCTTTGGTAAAGGTCACATTACAACTGGCAAACGTTTTGGGTAAGTATTAGTACTATTGTTTAGTATTTTCAGGTGTTTTTCGGTATCAAATCATGAAGAAGGTTGATTTTTACAAAGCGTTGATTAGTTACATTCCGAGTGTTTTCAAGGCTTTGGCTGGATGTGCTCTACTGTTCTTGATATTGGTTGTTTATCATAGTACTGATGTACCTGATTATACGGCCAAATCGGTTGCTCAGCAAGTTAAGGGCAATTTTGTGGGTTCTAATGGTACTATGAGTACTAAGTTGCTCAAGGACGTTATTATGGGCTCCAATGGTACTACCTCTACTAACTTGACTAAGAGCGTGGCTTTGAATGGTCCTAATCGTACTAATTTGACCAAGAACAATCTTGTGGGTTCTAATGGTACTACTAATACCAATTTGATCAAAGATCAAAGGACAGCTTCTAATGGTGCCGTTTTGGCCAAGGTAACCAAGCTCTTTACTCTTAATAGTACTACAATATCAAATAAGACTAAGCCGTCTGCCAAGCCAGTCCTTTCCAAATGGGACAATGGTACCTATTCAGAGCCAGTAGAAGAAGATCATCCAAGATTGTATAATGAAGTACCTTGTGCTGAAGACGTTTTTGTGTCAGAAGATGTCAAGAGGCTGCCATTACCACCAAAGTCGAATGCTTACTTCTTTGTCATGACTCATACTAGCAATCATGGTACTAGGGTAAGGTGTTCATATTGACAGGCTTTATACTAGGGTGAGGGCTGGTACTAATGAGTATTGTACTAGGACAAGCGACTTGTGATGATGAGTACTATACTAGGACAAGTGACTTGTACGGATGAGTACCATACTTGAACAAGTGACTTGTGATGATGAGTACCATACTATTTACAGGGCCAGTAGTACTATTTGTACTTTTAGTACTTATAGTACAATTTATAATTTTAGTACCAGTGGTACCATTTTTGATTTGCTACCATTAGTACTATTTATGCCTAAAAACATTCAAATTAAGATTTTATATTTGGTACCTTTAGTACCATCTATACCTAAAAAGATTCAAAATACAATTCCAGGTCCAAGCAGCCAACCGAACCTGGATGCAGCATCTCGACTACGTCGAAGTACACACCCATGTCAAGATGAACGAATCAGGTATACCCTACCGTACCCTATACACAGGCTTAAAGGAAGATCGAAGTGAATTATGGTGCAAAGTGAAGCGATCTCTACAGTACGCGTACTTGAATGTGTCAAAAGAGTTCGACTGGTATATTAAGATTGATGACGATACCTATGTCATCGCTGAGAATATGGACAGGTTCTTAAAGGGATTGGATCCAAACAAACCCATTTACACCGGCCTCAACTTTGGAGCTCTTCTGGTGGGTTGAAGGGTCCCTTTTTAAATTTAGAGGGGGGGGGGGATGGTTCGGTAGAGTACGGTGTAGGTGATATAGTGACAGATAGAGCTAAGTAACTTTACAGTAGGTGTAGAATAAGGCAAAAATTTGACTACGGTAGGTCAAGGAAGAAATTAGACTTTGATTACATTAGTTCAAGGAATGGGCTAGAGTCACTACGGTAGGGTTAGGGTAAGGCTTGACTTGAATTAAGGTAGGGTTAGAATAAATCTAGAATTTGACTACAGTAGGGCCAGGTAAGCACACAGTATGTCTATGATAAGGCTACAAAATCTCACTACGGTAGGGTTGGGTTTAGATGACAGAAAAGTCTGAGGGGAGGTAAGGTAGGATGAGGGTAAAGACATGGTACAAATACGGTAGAGTAGACGTTGTTATAAGATTACTGTAGCAATGGTCAGGGTAAAGCTTATCTTGACGTAGGGTAGGATAGGGTAGGGTAGGGTAGGGTAGGGTAGGGTAGGGTAGGGTAGGGTAGGGTAGGGTAGGGTAGGGTAGGGTAGTGGTACTTAATGCTCATCGTATTACAGAAAAACGGCTATATTTCTGGTGGATGTACTATAGTAAGTCGAAAAGCTGTCGAACTGTTGGTTTACCACGTTTTTCCGCGAGTTGAGGATTCATGCAATAAAGTGACACACGACGATGTAATGATAGCTGAGTGGGTTTTTTTACCTAAAATTTAATTTTTAAGCTTAAAATTCGTTTTTAAGCCTAAAATTCATTTCTAAGCCTAAAATTTCATTTTTAAGCCTAAACTTTAATTTGAAGCCTAAAATTTCATTTTTAAGCCTAAAGTTCATGTTTAAGTCTAAAATTTAATTTTTAAGCCTAAAATTTCATTTTTAAGCCTAAAATTCATTTTTAAGCTTAAAGTTTAGTTTTAAGCCTAAAATTTCCTTTTTAAACTTAAAATTTATTTTTAAGCCTAAAATTCATTTTTAAGCATAAATTGGATTATTTGCAGACAATTGGAAAAAGTTGGCGTCTACCCCATCTCCGGCCGTGATGCAGATGACAAAGGACGTTTCCACATGTTTGTAGCGCTACAAACCTACAACTTTTATCACTCCCCAATGAGTTGGTACAAGTTCAACACGAAGCCAGGCTTCCAAGAGTTTTCAAAACATTCAGTCGCCTTCCACCGCCTAACTGAAAACGAATTTTACCTAGCCGATATCTTCAATTATATCATCAAGAAAGACTGATTTTGATAAAGATTATTACTAACATAATCTTTCGGGCTTGTAAAGAAAGTTCTTGCAATTTTTTGTTTTGTAAAGAAAGTTTTTGCCATTTTTTTGGTTTGTAAAGAAAGTTCTTGCTATTTTTGGTAGTTTGAAAGCTTGGTTTTAAAATTATTAGAGATCTGCAGCCTGCGGAGACAAGTTATACGATGTATACAAAAGTTTAGACTTTTTTCGGTTTTTAAAGAAAGTTCTTGCAATTTTATGTTTTGTAAAGAAAGTTTTTGCCGTTTTTTGATTGTAAAAAAAGTTCTTGCCATTTTCTGTTTTGTAAAGAAAGTTCTTGCCATTTTTTGTTTCGTAAAGAAAGTTTTTGCCATTTTTTGTGCTGTAAAGAAAGTTCTTGCCATTTCTTTTTAGTTAAAACTTTATTCCGATTAATTAGTGTAAAACATAGTAAAGAGGTAACAGGACCAATGAGAAAGCTGAATAAACTTTTGAAGAAGAATTGCACCAGTTTGAGTAGCAACAGTAAACAGTACCATACTGCAGTGGTACTTCTTTAACTCTGTTTGTGCACTCATTGGGTAGGGCACAGTCTCTGAAAAAATGTTTTTGAAAAATAAGGTTTGATACTGTATAGCACGGTTTGTTAAATTGGTACGGCAGAATACGGTAGAGAGAAGATAGTAGTGTAGATTAAGGATTGTACGTTTGGGTAAGGTAGGGAATTGTAGGGTAAAAGAAAGAGTAGGGGTATGGGTATGGGTGTGGGTATGGGTATGGGTATGGGTATGGGTATTGTCGGGTAGGGTAGGGTAGGGTATGGTAGATTAAAATACGATGGGGCAGCGTAGGTTATTGTAAGGCAAAGTACAGCAGTGTATTGTAGGGTAGAGTAGGGTATCATATCATGTTTTACGGTATGGGAAAGCAGAGTTGGATAATGTAGATTAAAGTAACTTGCCTAGTAAGTTTAGAACCATCATAAGCCACAAACTTCAAGCATCCATTCGAGTCGCTGTTACAGTATGCTTCAGTCAACGAGCCGGTGCGTTCATTACCTTGATAGCACTTGTAGTTGGCCAAAACTTGATTGACGTTTAATGTCATCAAGAGCACAATAAATAGTACTGTAGATAAGTTAGTCATACTGTAACTTTTTTCAAAATTTTGGTTTTAAGTGACTTATAAGCTTAGAATTAGGTAATATTGGCTTTAAAATGTGTAGTACAGGCCTAAAAGTAAGTATTATTGGCTTACAAGTAGGTAATACTAGCCCAAACAGTACTTTAAAAGCCCCAAGGCTCTTGTAAGACTAAACAAATTAGTGGTAAAAGAATACAGTAACAAAGTTTAGTCACACTAAACAGTGATGATTAACAAAAACCCTCACTTTTATACCTAAATTTCAATTTGATCGGTGTTTGCATAATGACTAACATCATCAATAAAAACCAAATTTGAGGAATAAAACATCAAAAGCCGATGACAGTGTGCTTTGTAGAAAAAAGGTGACTCTGGTTGTTTTTTATACATAAACGTAGGTTAGGTCTTAAGATGAAAGGAGAGCTGGGTCAGGGCTAGAGCTACAGCTAAGCCTGAGGTTTTAGGATTATCTCCTGGACTATGCTTAAAGCTACTCTAGGACGTAGAATAAACCTTGTGATATGCCTTAGGATGGTAACATAATCCGCTAGGGCTTAGGCTAGGGCTTAGGCTAGGGCTTAGGCTAGGGCTTAGGCTAGGGCTTAGGCTAGGGCTTAGGCTAGGGCTTAGGCTAGGGCTTAGGCTAGGGCTTAGGCTAGGGCTTAGGCTAGGGCTTAGGCTAGGGCTTAGGCTAGGGCTTAGGCTAGGGCTTAGGCTAGGGCTTAGGCTAGGGCTTAGGCTAGGGGCTTAGGCTAGGGCTTAGGCTAGGGCTTAGGCTAGGGCTTAGGCTAGGGCTTAGGCTAGGGCTTAGGCTAGGGCTTAGGCTAGGGCTTAGGCTAGGGCTTAGGCTAGGGCTTAGGCTAGGGCTTAGGCTAGGGCTTAGGCTAGGGCTTAGGCTAGGGCTTAGGCTAGGGCTTAGGCTAGGGCTTAGGCTAGGGCTTAGGCTAGGGCTTAGGCTAGGGCTTAGGCTAGGGCTTAGGCTAGGGCTTAGGCTAGGGCTGAGGCTAATGCTAGGGTAAAAGCCAAAAACCAATTACACGTTTATTGCTTCAAAACCAGTTATATTTATCAGTTTATGGACTACACATGACAAAAATACATACTAAAATACGACTTATAAGATATTATGTACAACAAAAGTAACCTTGTTCATGACTCAGATCAGGTTTTTCATTAGCCAGGGCTTTTTCTTCAAATTCTTTTTGTTTATCTGATTTCTTCGGCTTTGAATTTGCAGGTTTACTGTCATTTTTAAACCAAGAACTACTGAATGGACTGTCGATTTGATCACAATATCGATTGAGTGGTTGTTCTGTTATGACTTTGCTACTTGAAGAGGTGAAGAATGAGGATTTTTGAGGCTTTTGGTCCTGGAGTGATATGTTTTTTTATCTTTTCGGTTTTGTAAAGAAAGTTTTTGCCATTTTTTGTTTTGTAAAGAAAGTTCTTGCAATTTTTTGTTTTGTAAAGAATGTTCTTGCTATTTTTTGTTTGAAAACTTACATTTTCATAGTCCAAACTGTCTGTATATACAACATTGATCTTTCCACCATACGCGTTCTTATTGACGTTTACATTCTGACGTAATCTTCCAATATCACCCATGTATATCATTCATCAACTTTCTTACTGTATTCTGTATCACAAGACTTTATATTTAGTACTGAAGTCTAGTTTAATGGGCGGTACTGTAGTAAGTAATAGCAAGGTATTGCAAATAGTACTGTAGTTTTAGCAGTATAGGTAGAAATGGCGCACGATAATACTGGTGCTGTAAAAAATTTCGTACTTCAGTTAGTGCAAGATAGTACTATTGTAATTAAGATTCAAGAAAGAGTATTTTATAGAAAAAAATCACGTTAAAATTTTAAAAATTCATTTTTAAATTCGAATTTTATATTAGACATTTATAAAAGCAGAGGCGGAAACGTGGACTAGAGCTCATTCTGTATCCCGGCTACGCCAATTTGTTGTCGTAGCTACAATAACACCGCTTTGATTTTGAAATGAGGCCACGTGGGTTTTATAGAATGCTTTTAAATTAACATCTTTTAAAAATTTTTTTTGGTAATTTTTAAAAATAAGCCTAAACTCAGAGCCTTAGCCCAGAGCCCTAACCCAGAGCCTTAGCTCAGATCCCTAGGCTAGAGCCTTAGCCCAGAGCCCTGACCCAGAGCCTTAGCTCAGATCCCTAGGCTAGAGCCTTAGCTCAGAGCCCTAACTTAGAGCCTTAGCCCAGAGCCCTAACTCAGAGCCTTAGCTCAGAGCCCTGACCCAGAGCCTTAACTCAGATCCCTAGGCTAGAGCCTTAGCCCAGAGCCCTAACCCAGAGCCTTAGCCCAGAGCCCTGACCCAGAGCCTTAACTCAGATCCCTAGGCTAGAGCCTTAGCCCAGAGCCCTAACCCAGAGCCTTAGCCCAGAGCCCTAACTCAGAGCCTTAGCTCAGAGCCCTAACCCAAAGCCCTAGCTCAGAGCCCTAACCCAGAGCCCTAGCCCAGAGCCTTTAGCCTACAATTCTAGACCAAAGTCTTATCCATTAGCCCTAATTCTAACTCTATCGCTAGGAGTAATCTTACCTCAAGTCTTTGAATTAGCGCTATCTATAGCATTCTCTCTAGCCCTAGGGTTAATCCTAGTTCCAGTGCTAGTGAAGTCAATCTTTAGCTATAACTCAGCTTAACTGTTTCTTATATTGAGAAGTTTACAAGCCATAATAATGTCAAAATTTATTGAAAGAAGTAAAAAACTGTAAAAATTAAGACAAACGATGATAATACAACGTTTTCTGTAGAATTACACAACTCTTGGTAACAGCAATGGGCAACGCCGTTCCTTCGCTTAGCTGTTTTCTCGCCGTTCATACATTCATCACTGTGTGCGCAAGAGCTGCAAAAAAAATTGTTTGCACGTGCAATACCATACCTCATCCTACTTTACTCTACCTTCGGGTTGCAATTTCATTCTCTTAATTTGTCTTACTGTACCTTGTCGTGCAGCTAAAAACTTACCGTACGACACGTCCACTGTCATAAACATATTTGATGCAAGCATGGTTGTGTCTTTGATTGCAAGTGTCAGGTGACATATCCTCACCGTTTTCATGGTAACATTGTCTTAAACTTGTTACTGCATTAGATAACAACGACAAGACAAAAAAAGTGCACCAAAGTGTTGCTGACATTTGATACTGATCTTAAAAATTTGCTCTTGGACTGGTACTATAGTTAAAGCAACAATTTTAAATAAAAATATTGAAAAAGCAACAAGATTGTAAAAAGAAGAACAATGCTTATATATTATAGTACAACATGTTCTATTGTGACAAATTGCTTTTGTGAGTAAGCGTTTCTTTAGGAATGGTTCTAATGCTGTCTTTAATTACAATGAGTCAAGTTTTTGAAACGCATGTGATTAAAATCTGGGCAGATGAAAAAACTTCTTCTTATCTTACTCCAAAGACCACTCGAAAGGCCACGAACGCGGACTGACGCTATCACAAATATTGCACGGCACCAAGGACTAATACCACCCAATCTTTATAGAACAGCCTTAGCACTTCATCATCATCCTCAGTTTAGTTCTTGGGTACTAATGGTATTACAAGAATTTCATATACAAATTTTGAGCTGCGGAGCAGCTAGAGTACTTTCCCTGTTAGCCATATCTTACCCTAGCCCTACCAAGCCCCACCTTCGGCTATCTCTAGGATAGCCTAGTCTGTCATAACCTTTTCATAGCTCTACCTTAGCCTTACGCTAACCCTACTCTAGCTTTACTTTCATTCTGCTTAGTCATATCCTAGTCTATGTTTAGTCATATCCTTGTCTTATCCTTCCCTTTTCCTAGCCTAGGTTGAGACTAATCTTACTTTAGTTTTGTAACAGGCTTACCTTAGCCTTACTTTAGCCTTACCTTAGTTCTCCACTAGATTTGCCTTGCTTTAGCTTTGCCCTGCCATCTTTACCATCATTTTGTATTGTTTTAAACATTTCAAGAAAACAATCGAAAAACATATTTATCACACTAACAATACCTTTCAAATACCAAAGAAGCTAGAAACATAACGTCGTGCACGACTGACTATTCCATCCAACTCATCATCACCAATTTTCAAAACTTTAACTTCACATTCACCTCCGGGGATTAAATTGTAAAAGTCGTCGTAGTAGAACGCAGTACAACCAATTTCTTCACAATATACTGGTACACAGTGCTTGGCTCTCGGACAAGCAGTGTTGTAGTTAGTACAAGGGTTGACGAGACATGTCAGTTGAATACCGTGTTCTGAAGATTGTAAAGGTTAGTAACGTAGCTTTAGCCTTAACTTTAGCCTTAGCTTTAGCCAGCTCCGACTCCAGCTCTGGAGCCCGTGTAAAGTCTGGCTTCTACATTAACGTATTACATGTCAAAAACCCACGTTCGCAGCACTGAGGTTGACGTACACACTTTCTGTCACCTATCTTGTTGATAACCAGCTGTTCACACGCGCCACATTCATTTGAAGCTTCTACGTTCAAGACTGTTATGGTTAATATAACCAGTATTATAAATTCTGCCATAAAGTTAGTCATCTTTTATTAAAATATGTTACTGTAGTCTTTAGTGATTAGTACTGTAGAGAATTGATAAAAGTTTGTTATTTTGATAAAGAGTTATACAGCTTAGTGTAATATAGGGTAATCTGATGTCAAGTGTAATATAATTTTATAGGTTTGGGTGTTTTAATAGTAAAAAATAGAAGTTTTAATACTGTATTAAAGCAGTACTGACTAAAAAATATCAATTTTAGATAACAAAATGTTCGCCAGTACCACCAAGCACCTACTACAATATCAGGTACACAAAACCACCTACTACAATATAGCTCAACCTCTTTTAGGCTTTAACACCGAAATCCACCACATTCTGATACAACAGCTCAAACTGAAGTTATATAGCACAAAAACAGACTAATTTATATGTTTTTCCTTGTCTTTGTTTATACGCGTTGACATAAACAACATTGCCATATGTCATCTTGTTTTAAACTGCCATACACTTGTTGTTTGATTCTGAAAGAAAGTGAGAAATGTAGACAGATTGATGTAAAACATTCTTGTCAATGCACTTTTTGGAATTTGGGCTATAGACAATGATTTTTGAAACTTATATTTATTTTTTGTTTTTGGGTTACGGTAATAGTGATAATAAAGGTGATATATGCATGAGGTAAGCCTTACAGTGAAACTAAGTCTAGAAAAAAGGCCGTATAAGCCTAATGTGAAGCTAAAATGAAGTTACGGCGAGGCAAAAGTATCAAGTGCCGACATAAAGAACCCGCCACTTTTTACAGACAATTACAAGAAAAGTATGGCGAGTTCTTTATGTCAGCACCTAATATAAGCTATAATAAGACAGGAGAAGGGTCGGATAGGATAGAGAAGAGATACTGTACCTTAAAGTAAAGTTACGATAAGCTCGGGTAGAGTTACGCAATTAAGGATAGATCATGTGGTAGTGAAGCGTGTAAGCTGGAGTACGATAGAGCAGAATACAGTAAGGCGGGGTCGAAGAGAAGCAGGGTACATTAGGGTAGAATTTGAATAAGGCATGATACAGTAGGATAGGGCAGGGTAGAGTAGGGTAGGGTAGGGTAGGGTAGGGTAGGGTAGGGTAGGGTAGGGTAGGGTAGGGTAGGGTAGGGTAGGGTAGGGTAGGGTAGGGTAGGGTAGGGTAGGGTAGGGTAGGGTAAGTGCAAACGCAATTCTTTTCTTAGTAGCCGTTCACGTGTTGACTAGCCAATGATTTGTTATGACAGTTGTCAATGTTAACAACAACATATACCCAAAACAACATTTGTAGAATGTTTGTCTATGTTATTTATCATTGGCCATAAATCACATATGACTTGATAAATATTTTTAGACTCATAATGTAGATTACTGTAAGGTTTCTTAACATAAAAATTTTATTATTACATTGTTACATCAAAACTTAATGTACAATAACTTTAGTATAATATCATATCATAGTACTATGCTTAAAAATACAAAAAAAAATAAAAAAGTCTTCAAAGTTATACAAACAAGACAACTATAATATTATATTTCAAAAATTATTATAGTAAAAAAAGTTATTATATTATACTATACTATAATAAGTAGTAAAAGACATACGACACGTAGAGACCGAGCTATTTTTGTGAAATACGAAAGATTGTGGTAAATAAAAAAGACCGGTAAGAAAAACAAAATAAAATGCAAAAAAAATTAGTTTTATAAAATTATCGACCAGTCGAAAAAAATAATTTTTATAGGATGGTACTTATGTATAGTACATTGAAGTTACGGTGTTTACAGTATATGCACTCAAAGCTAGCGTAGGTTAGGGTAGGATAAGGCAAGGCAGGGTAGAGTACCATAAGATCCGATAATATCCGGCAGAGTACGGTAGGGTAGAAAACAATACGGTACGGCAGAATACGGCAGAGTAGAATAAGGTAAAGTAAATTTACTTAAGCACCGTACTCTAAAAGTACTAAACATAAGTACCGTAAGACGATAATATTAAAGCACAGTAACCTCACTGCACTCAAATACCTCTCTTTACTAAGATACCATGACTTCAACGTACTACTTGAGTACCGTAATCTCCAAAAATTACAGTCAATCATCGTTGGTGAGAAGTGGCAGGTTAAGGTAGTTGGTTGGATCCTTGATCAAAGGCTTTGTGCATCGCTTGGCACAACCGTTCCAACAACACTTTCGCCGTGAAGGACATTCCGAATCACGTTGACATTCGTCCGTACAAGCTTTGATTATCTCACTCATCTGACTCTTTGGACAATTTGCTGGTCTTTCTAGAAACATTAGTGGCATCTATTGTCGAACTAGTAATATTGAAAATACAATACTAAGAAAATGAGCTAGCGCTTATTGAGAATAAAAGTCTAGGCTAGGACTTAGGTTTAGACTAGACCTCATGATAAGGCAAGGACTAAGCCTAAAGCTCGGGCTAATGCTAGCGCTAGAGCTTGAACTAGGCCTTATGATGGGGCTAAGGCTAGGCTAGAACTAGAGCTTAGACTATGGCTTAGGTTATGGCTTAAGCTATAGCTTAGGCTGTAGTTTAGGCTACGTCTTAGGGCTAGGGCTAGGGCTCGGGGCTCGGGGCTCGGGGCTAGGGTTGAGACAGTAAAATAGACTTACCAGCCTTGTCCGGTCGATGATAAATAGGCACTTCCATATCTAGTTTGTGTGGTTTGGCTGTTTGTTTGACTGATGGCAAGGATTTAGACTCATTTACAACAAAAAATGTCAAAAGTAAAAGGCAGATTTCTACTTTCATCACTTTGCTACCACTTCGTATTGAACTAAATTGTACTTCACAGTTTTATCTTGGACCCGTATGACTACTGAAACATGTGGAATATATAAGTTTGTTAAGAAAGATATAAACGTCATGTAAAATACGAACAGCCATTTCATATATCAGTAAATTTTATAAAAGAAAAGGTAGGGTAAGGTAGGGTAAGATAGAATAGAACAGGGTAGAGTAGGGTAGGGCAAAGTAACCCTGTTTCAAACAATTTAAAAGGTTCAAAAATCCCCAAAAGCTCTTAAAATTTTGAAGATTTTTTTTATTTCGATCCCACGCATTAGTCATTTCTTTTTAGTCACCCTAATATACTAAATAAAAAGTCATATTATGCTACGCCTGATCTTATCTTTCATAAAAACCACTTTATCTTTTGAGCAAAGAGGTGGTGTTATTACTGTAATAATTGCTATTTCAAAATAAGTGGCTCAACCCTAACCCTAGGTCTAGCCATAGCCCAGACACCTAGCCCAGCGTTCTAGCCCAAAAGCCTAGCTCAAAGCCCTAGCCCAGAGCCCAGAACCCTAGCCCAAAGCCGCCCTGGCCCAGAGCCCTAGCCCAGAGTCCTAGCCCAGAGCCCTAGCCCAGAGCCCTAGCCCAGAGCCCTAGCCCAGAGCCCTGGCCCAGAGTCCTAGCCCAGAGCCCTAGCCCAGGCCCTAAGACATTATCCTTAGTTTTATCCCTATCTTTAGTCTAAACCCACGCTTAAGCCCTAGCCCAGAGCACTAGCCCAGAGCCCTAGCTTAGGGCCCTAACCCAGAGCCCTAGTTCAGAGCCCTAGCCCAGGCCCTAAGACATTAGCCCTAGTTTTATCCCTATCTTTAGTCTAAGCCCACGCTTAAATCCTGTCCTAACACCCTTGTTTTGGCCTAAGCTATAGCCTAAGCCGCCTCAACCGTAGTGAAAGTCTTGGTTTAAATTCTAGTCTAAGCCCTAGCTTTGATCCTGGTTTTGGCCTTCTCCTAATTCCCAGCCTTGTTCCCATCTCTAACCCTAGCCTGTCTTCATTTTTACTGTAATTTTGTCCCTATTGTCACCTCCTACCCTACTCTAATATAAACCTCTATGATCTCAAAACGAACCAAAAATGAACTCTAATCGTCCAAACACGAATAAATTTGTGAGGCCTTTGCCTTTTCGACACTTTTTTCGATTTTCCCATAATCTATGGCCTTTTACAAAGCTTTGATTTCGAAATTTTAATAGGGTACAAAAGAAAAGCAAACATAATAGAAAAAACAGCTTAAAAATACAAAAAAAAATTAAAAATTAAAAATTTTTAAAAAATTTGAAAAATTAAAATTTTTTTTTGCTATTGTAACACCAAAAAAAAACCAAAAAACACTGTTTTTGTAGCGGTCAGTTTGCCGGAACTGAACGAGCGACAAAAGAATTCAAATAAGGAGATGGAATTTAAATTTCAGCCAATTTTCAAAGCGGGAAATCGTTCGCCGAGCAAAACCTAACGTTACTTTACTTAAAATTACCCTACCCTACCCTACCTTGCCCTACCGTACCCTACCCTACCCTACCCTACCTTGCCCTACCGTACCCTACCCTACCCTACCCTACCCTACCTTACCGTACCCTACCCTACCCTACCCTACCCTACCCTACCCTACCCTACCCTACCCTACCCTACCCTACCCTACCCTACCCTACCCTACCCTACCTTACCCTACCCTACCCTAACCTACCCTACCCTACCCTACCTTACTCTACCCTACCCTACCCTACCCTACCCTAACCTACCCTACCCTACCCTACCCTACCCTACCTTACCCCCACCCTACCCTACCCTACCCTACCCTACCCTACCCTACCCTACCCTACCCTACCCTACCCTACCTTACCCTACCCTATTCTACCCTAACAATTTAACCTTTCTTTACTCTGGCCTACTTTAATCAAGCCTTACCCCATCTTGGTCTACCTTAATTTAGCCTTACCCTACTGTATCATGCCCTACCCTAGGCTGCTGTACCTTAATGTACCCTATCCCACCCTGTCCTGCCTTAATTTAACCTTACCCAACTCTATCATGCCCTACCCTACCCTACCCTGACCTACTTTATTTATCTCTATCTGCCCTAACTTTACTTATCCCCACTTTATCTCACCCTTGCCATTTTTTACAGAACCTAATCTTACGCAAGCTTCTACAACTGCTATAATCATTTTCTTGTCTTATGTCACAAAAGCTTCTGTCCAAAGTGTCAAAAATGTTCAGCAAAAGCCGTGAATTAACAATTTAGTTTGGTGATCTTCGTTCGAAAAAATAAATCTGTTTTTGATTAATTTCCTCTCCCATAATAAACAATTTTTGGGCTTCAAAACAAAGAAAAATGCTTGAACGTTGACGTTAATCTACTGTACTTGATAAATAAACACATAAAGGCTGGACTAGAAAAATATCGTCAAATAAGCAATGAATATAGAGTAAAAATATACAACAAAATTAAATTTTTAGTTAATCTTTAATAAGATACAACACATTAAAGTCATTTGGTCACCTAGCCCGCCGTTCCTAAGTTGCGCTTGAAAAACAGTCAATAAATGACACGCCCTTAACAATTAGCAACAATTTTTAAATACTATAGGTTTATATAATGTCACTCTATTGAATTTTTACTATATTCATAAAAAACGTCATAATATGACTAAGTTACATCTAAAAACCTTCAAAAAACACCTATTGTCCCTCCTCAAAACCGTGATAGTATCCCTAAAAATAGATGTATAAAATGCCATTTTTTGATGATTCCAAAAACGTTTTTAACTTCTAGCTAGCCAAAACTATGTAAAATCATATTCTTAAAACACTTTTTCAAACTGTCATTATATCACCGAGGTATACCTAAAAAACTTTAAAAAACAGGTATTCTACCCAACCCTCAAATCCGAGGTAGTGTCCCTAAAATGTGGTATATAATATGACATTTTTGATAAACCCAAAATATTTTTTAATTTATAGCTAGCCAAAACTATGTAGAATAATTGTCTTAAAACACTTTTTCAAATTGTCTTGCTATAACCAAGTTATACCTAAAAAAAGCTTTCAAAACCACCTATAATACCCAACCTTCAAAACCATTGCAGTACCTTTAAAACCGCTGGTATAAAATGCCATTTTTAATGAACCCAAAACCTTTTTTCATTTTTAGTTAGCCAAAACTATGTAAAATAAGTTTCTTAAAACTTTTTTTCAAAATGCAACATCATTTCCCCGATATGAGTATAAATATATCGTGTTGTCTATAAACGTAATTTGATCTCATTGAACTGAAAGCGGCCTAAAACTTGTTATAATAACATTTATGCGGTCTAAATCTATAAAAATGTCATTTTTAAAGTTTTTGTCATCTAAAAATGTCATAAAAAGTCATTTTGGTCAAAATTTTTGGGCTTCTTGAAAAACCGCAATAACTTTCTTTACAGTGAAAAATGAGTCAAACATAGCTTAGAAAAGCATAAAAAATGACTAATAGTGCATTTTAAGTACCACAAAGACCATAAAAACTAAAATTTTCAAAAAAATTAAAATTTGCAAAAACTTTCTTTACCAAAATTTTTCAAAATTCGACCAAAATTTTTAAATTTATACCGAAAGTGGTTCTTAAATTTACTAAATATACCAATATTATCACTAACGCCATTATAAAACGTAATAAAATAGTTGAAAAGTGTCTGAGACGTGCTAATTGCCTCCGGAAATCCCACGAATTATTTTTTGAAAACCCGTCAAATGTCAGGAAATCAAGGCGAAAACTTTGACACGAACAACAAATGTTAAAAACGTTGAGAAAATTTTGTGGGAGCAAGACTGGTAAAATACGGGGGAAATCTTGGGCGAATAATTTAAGCTTTAAAATAAATTTTTATGCTTAAAAAAATTTGGGCTTAAAAGAAAAATTTAGACGTAAAAGATGAATTTTAAGCTTAAAAGATTAATTTTAAGGATAAGAATGAAATTTAGATTTAAAAAATGAATTTTAAGCTTAAATTTAAATTTTTAGGCTTAAATAATGAACTTTAGGTTTAAAAATAAATTTTATGCTTAAAAATCAATTTTAGGTTTAAAAGTAAAATTTAGGCTTAAAAATATATTTGAGTTTAAAAAAATGAATTTTATGCTTAAGAATTACTTTTAGACTTAAAAATACATTTTTAAGTTAAAAAATTTTTTATACATTAAAAATGACTTTTATGTGTAAAAAAATAAATTCTAGAGACTAACCCCAACTCTAGTCCTACTCCTTAAGCCCGACCCTAGTTCTACCTTAACTCAACTCTCACTTTTTCCAGACAAAAAATTTTGAGCTTTTGTTAAAAAAATGTTTTAAAACTAAGAAAAAGAAAGTAGAAAATACAAAAAAAAAGAGAAAAACGACCGGATCTGTGACAAAAAATGATTTACAGCTTTGACCATCTGGGACCAATACATTCAAAATCGTGTGTCATTTCACAAAGTGACAATGTTTTTCTAAAAATATTGAACTCCACCTCTTTGTCTAGAGAACAACATCAAAAAGACACCCCTCCGCCATTAAAAAACTAAAATTTTGTAAGACCCCTTTGAAATTTCATAATCCTCTTTAGCTCTAGCCTGTTCTTCTATTAGGTATCGGCATAAAGAATCCGCCATACCTTCCTTGTAATTTCCTGTAAAAAATGGCGGGTTCTTTATGTCGGCACCTATTAGGTAAGAGTAGGAGATGTGTGACAGTAAGTGCTATTACATTTGAATTTCTGTGGTGTTACCCAATAACGTAATAACGATTACCCAACAACATAGCCTTAGAGAAATTGCAAGAAATGATATTACGCAACTTTTTCTTATGTAATAGTGTAGCTTTGTATAATATTTGCCTCGATGTAAAACGACCCAACAAATGACTGCGAGTGTTGGGACTTGGCTCTGTATTTCTGCGGGCACTATGAGGTCATTTGGTCGATTTTTATTTTTTTTTTACAAAAAGCTGTTTATGTAAGCCGGGTATAGAACTAGAGCTCGATCTACGGCTAGAAGTTTCAAACTAAGACTATGCATAGGGTTAGGGTTAGGACTAGGGTTAGAGCTCGGACTAAAGCTAGAGTTTTAAAACCAGGATTACGCTTAGGGTTAACACTAGAAATTTAAAACTAAGACTACGGTTAGGGTTATGAGCTAGAGTTATGAGCTAGGGCTGAAGGTTAAGGCCAACCCTCAGGCTACGCCTGAAGGATAAGGCCAACCCTCAGGCTACGGCTGAAGGTTAACGCCAAGACTCAGGCTAGCGCTAGAACTAAGACTAAGACAACTGCTAGAGCTAAAGCTAAAGCTGGGGCTAAGACTAGAGCTTTGAGCTCGGGCTCTGAGCTAGGGCTCGTGACTAGGGCTCTGGGCTAGGACTCTGGGCTAGGGCTCTGGGCTAGGGCTCTGGGCTAGGGCTCTGGGCTAGGGCTCTGGGCTAGGGCTCTGGGCTAGGGCTCTGGGCTAGGGCTCTGGGCTAGGGCTCTGGGCTAGGGCTCGGGGCTAGGGCTCTGAGCTAGGGCTCTGGGCTAGGGCTCTAAACTAAGGAATCCATCTTAAAAACTGCGAAAAAAGTACGAAGTCAGCTTAGGATCAAGTACCCTAAACGTGACTAACTCGACAGTAAACCCATTTGCGAAAACATTGTAAAAAGTAGTTTCCGACCCTACAAATGCACTTTCCCGACCATTAGTTCCAGCGATTGTTCCACAAAAGTGCAAATTGGAATCTAGAGGAAACATAAATGAAGGTAGCCTGTAATTAGATCAATTGCACCAAAGGTCATCGTAAATGGGCTCGTTTCTAATTAGAGAGGAATGTATGGCATTTCGGGAGAGGAGAGGTTGAACAAATTGAGTTAAATATAAATGTAGCACTACAGTAAAACAATTAAAAAATGTTTTAATAACATTTATTTTATAAACTGACATGTTAATTTTTAAGCATAAAATTCTATTTTAAGCCTAGACTTCATTTTTAAGCCTGAAATTCGTTTTTAAACCTAAGTTTTCATTTTCAAATGTAAACTTTAATTTTTAAGCCTAAAATTAATGTTTAAGTCTTAAATTTCATTATAAAGCCTAAAATTCATTTTCAAGCCTAAAGCGTCATTTTGAGCTTAAACATCATTTTTAAGCAAAAAATTCATTTTTAAGCCTAAAATTAATTTTTAAGCCTAAGATTTCATTTTAAAGCCTAAATAGATTTTTAAACCTAAAATTCATTTTTAAGCCTAAAATTAATTCTTAAGCTTAAAATTTTATTTTTCAAACCTAAACTTTTATTTTTAATTTAAAATTTACATTTTGAGCCTAAAATTTCAATTTTAAACTTAATTTTTAAACCAAACTTCATTTTCAGGTTAACTATAAAGCTTATTTACACTTAAAATTCATTTTAAATTCCCAGTTTGACTTAACAACTCTAAACTTTTTCCACTTTTAAGCTTTCGTAAACCCCAAAAAATCAAAATACTACAAAAATCTACAAAACCCCCTCCAATCCAAAACAAAGTGTTTTTTCAACTTGCAAAATTCCATTTTACAAAAGCGGATCCGTTTCAAAATTCGAAACATTTCGGTGCAAACGCCAGTGTTTATAGTAAAACGCGCCGTTAACTATTCGAATGGTCAGTTCGACAGACGAACGCATATAAACTATGACTCAAAATAACAAAAACATTTAGTTTATTTCCGGGAATATTCGCTAGGCATTAAAGATTAAAGAGCATATTATGTTGTAGAAAAAATGTCATAAAAAGGTTTTTTCAAATAAAGTAATAGTAATCATCAGGCATATCCCATCCAGGGGCGTCGCTACGGAATTTTTTCTGGAGGGGGTGGAAACCCAAAAAAATTTTTTCGTCCACAGGTTTTCGTCCACCTGTGGACCGATTTTTTTTTCGAAATTTTTTTCCCATTTTTCGCGTACAGGTACCTACCTGTGAAATTTTTTTCGGATGGGCTCTGGGGGGGGGGTGGATCCACCCCCCCTCCACCCCCCCTCCCCTATCAGAAGAAAAAACCCAAGTACATTGCTAAAAAACGTTTTACTGTAAAGAAAGTCTTTGAAAATTTAAAAAAAGTGAAGCTTGGCGTTCTTCTGAATCTTCATCAAATAACAACAACAAATTAAAGATAAACTATCAGTTAAAACTCACAAAAACAAATCAAAGGCACAACAATAAGATAATGAATCAAACACGTTACTATGCGCCATCGTATAGCCACGTATGGTTGTAACATAGTAACTGCGAGAGTAAACACATCTACAGCTATGACGATAAATCCAAAAACCACAAATACATAACAATAGGTTCGAAATGACATCAGATTCAAGGCCACAAAGTCCATCAAATCGCCCAAGTAAATGAAGTCGTAATGTACCGAGATTACTGTAAAATAAATTTTTTAAAATTAGTTAATTAAGAATTTTTTAAGAACTGATTTCAAAATTAAGTTTACCCACATATGTTGTTATACATAATCGTATCATCAGTCCTAAACCTAAAAATTGATGCTTCCGTGATAGCGGTTCCAAGCATTTCAACATTGTAAAAGTAAATTATTCGACCGGTCAGTAAGTCTTTTAGTTTATAAACTTGAAACATTTTAAAAATTTTTTCCAAATATATTTTGCTTCGTCTAAATTTTTACCGCAAAAAAAGCTTTCTTCGTATAAAAAGTTTTTGCAGCCTGCAAAGCGAAAACACAAGTGAGGGCGCAGTTAAAAAATAATATAAACGCTATAATTTCGTTATTTTTTGGAAACAAGGTAAAGTTTTCGTCGTTATAGGACAAGGTAAGAATAATAGCTTTTGCTATTGGTGTTATAAGTTTAAATTATTGAATTTAAGTTTTTCAGCACGATGGACGGAAGAAACACGGTGAATGCGACTCCAAATGCCGCTCTTCCAATGATCTACATGTTTGGAGGTAAGGTTTTGTCTCGTTCTTCGGTTAACAGGTTTATAAAAATGAAATTAGTAGATAAGTTGTTGAATAATGTTTTGAAGTGTTTTATTTTATTCAAATTTTATGTTTGCATATATAAGGATGTTCTGTTATCTTTAAACTTTTAGAATGCAACCAACCTAATGAAATCCGACCAAAAGATCAGATTCGCTATCGAGAATGTGGACACTGAGTTTTATACAAGAAACGGAGCAGAATCTGTAGGTTTTACTATGTTTTTGTTTTTAGATTTAGGTAATATGTCAATGTGTGGTTAAACTGCCGACAGAATATGTAGTAGTTTCTGAAAGTTTAGGTTACGTTTTTTTGGAGAATAATGTCTATAATTTTTATATAGTATTAAAAGCTTGTTGTTTTAATTGAAAGTATATTGATTTTTTTAGTGTTGGTATACGATGCCCGTTGAGTCAGTTCAACCCATTTCGCATCATCTCACATTTTAATTTTTGTTACATTGTTATTGCATTTTTGGCTCCTGGTAATTATTTTTTACAAATATGCAAATTTTATTGATTTTTAATAATTTTTTCTGATCTTGATGCTCATACTTTAGTTTGGTCGCATTACGAGCGGTTGTTCGTTTCAGCTCGGTCCGTCATGTGGAAAAAACGGCTGTCTCGAACTAGAACTGATGCGAATACAAATGCTAAAGGAACAGAACTGCCTCAAGTTCAGAAGAAAGCACCATTATCGTAAGTTTTTGTTATTCTTAACAAACATTGGAAAATTTTGACCTAGCAAAAAAGACTGATTTTAAATTTCAGTTTTTCGATTGTGCGGCCTGCGAATGTCAATGTGCAGGTTGCGGCAACCAATTACATTTTTTTTTGTTTTTGAGCTTTGAATTGAATAGAAAATATGTATGCTAAAATTTCTTTTACACTAGGAAAATTAAATTAAAAAAGAAACTTTTTCAGTCGTCGCAAAACTGGAGGTACCGTGTCTCTGCCCGATGGTTTAGCTCCAGGATTAGCTGAAAAAGCGGCCAAACACCCGGAATTGGCGGCTAAGTTGATCGCGATGAGTGGCTTTGCTGAATATCTGACGAAAGTGAATGTGGACGGACTGAAAGTAGAATTTCTGAAGTTGCGTAGCACAAAAATCGCGTCCACTCAAAGCGCGTTTATGGCTAACCAAAGAAAATGTCGCTACAAAGGTAAAGTTGTCAAGGGTATTTTATAAATTTACGTTACTATTTTATAGTTTTTTGGCAAAGCTGGTTGCAAAAGTAGGTTACATATAAGTTATTGTAAGTATAGATGGAGATGAATTAAGTATAAGTTATTAAGGTTATTGTAAAAAATTTTAACAGTCTGATTACGCTTCGCTAATTAAAAGGTCATTTCAGACGTGGGTTGCGCTGATGAAACAAGAGCTGTGCTAACCGCAAACTACGTCAAAAACGAAGAAATGAAGAACACGTTTATTGCTTGTCAAGTAAGTTACTAATCTTTTCTTTTTATTGGTATTTTTTCTTTTTTTATCTTATGCCTTAAGGGTGGTCAATTTTTTGAGATTACTTAATCCGACAGTTGACTTATTCACCCTCTCAATTATATTGTTATTTTTTTATTTTTTATTATTGCAGGGGCCCGTAAAAGTTACTGTAGAGGACTTTTGGACCATGGCATGGCAGGAAAATTGTTCACATTTTTATGTTGTGTAAGTTTGTGGAGATCAAAAGGCCAAAATGTTATCCGTATTACCCTGTCAAAGTCAAGGATACCCTTATAGCCGGCCCATTCAGCATTAAAAGCGCGGAAGCTTCGTCGGACTCGGATCTGAACTATACGAAACTTTGTCACTCGTGGAGATGAACAACGAACTTTTGAGCATCGTCAATGGGCTTCATGGCCGGACAGATTTGTTCCACAGACTGTTGAGCCTGCGTTCAAATTGTTGGAGCTGGCCAGAAGTCATCCCAAAAATCCAACAATCGTGCATTTTTCGGCGGGAATCTAATTAAGCGCGCTGCTACCGGAATATCAGGCTACAGGTACCTTCCCAGCTCGTCTTAATACAGAGAAAAGGGGCCCATTGTTCAAAAACAGATGGCCGTCAACATAGCACCCATCCAAGAATCTGGTAAGCAACATGACTTTTACCCCATTACTGGGCACAACATTCAGCTAATAAAATAACGAACGTTTTTACTCCTTCGAAAACTGTTTTTGTATTTTCTAAATTTTTTTTCAGCCGGTGTCCGTTTGCGTCCCAACATCAACCAACGGCAACGTCGATGTCTTTGTAAGATGCACTTCGAACCCACGGTGCGGTTGGTCGCGACAAGCTCAAGTTTGGTCAAGATATATTGGTTTTGTAGCTTTAGTTGTAAATAAAGATAGTATTTTGGTCTATTGAATTATTTGGTATTTGGTTGATCGTAAAGATCATTTATTGGTTATTTAATGTATTTGATACTTGGTTTATAACACGATTACGTCAGTGGGCTTCGCTAGAGAATATCTCTCACACACAACTCTCTACAGTCTTCATCTTCAACCGATTCCATATGTTCGTCTATAATTAACTTTGTTTTCGCTTGTTTAACAGCTCGTTCCATTTGTGAAAGATTTTCACAGATATGCCATATCATCGTATCTTTACGATTTGTTGTTAATAAACCTTTTCCTTTCCAGAACTCTACTTTTCAAAACTGAAATCTTGTCCATCTCGAATCTTTCGGCCAGCTCTTCAATATTTATCTTGTCTATAAAAATATATTTTTATTTTTAGCGAGAGAGGACGCGCGGAATGGATATTGAATTATGTTAAGAATAAGGTTAAGATAGAGAAAAACCTGAACCTGTGGGCTCATTAAAGTTAAGTTATAACTGATTGTGAGTTGAATGTGTGACTAAATTTGATAATGTTTATGTTTTTAAAGTTAAACATGAAAACGTTGATGATATTATGATAAGATTAGTGATATTATGATAAGAGTAATGATATTATTGTATGTGTTTGCTTGTGTTAACCCTCTGTTTTCTAAAATTTGCTGTTTTTCTTTGGCTTGATGGTTGCTTACACATTGTTTCAATGCTGTTCACTATTACTTCTATTACTTCCCGAAGTAGTGGAGGGTCGGGTGGGGTAGGCTAGATCAGGGTGGGGTAAAGAGGGGTGGGGTATGGCGTGGTAGAGTAGGGTAGTCCGACCCTTAACTCCAGCCTCAGCCATAGCCTAAACCTAAGTCTAAGCCTAAGCTTGAATCCTAGCCTAAGGCCTAGCCTAACAAAGTCCTAGCCTAAGCCGTAGCCTAATCCCTAGCCTAAGCCCTAGTCTAATAAAGTCCTAGCCTAAGCCCTAGTTTAAGCCCAAGCTCTAGCCTAAGCTCTAGCCTAAGTCCTTGCCTAAGACCTAGTATTAGTCCAAGCCATAGTCTACAAGTAGGTCCGAGCCTTAGCCCAAGCATTACTTTTAGCCATAGCCTCAATTCTACCCAAGACTTTGTTCTAGTCTTAGCCCTAGCGTTATCTCTAGCCCGAGCCGTACTCTAAGCTCTACTATTAGCCCTAGTCTCAGCCAAAGTCTTAGTCCAGAAAATAAGTTAAGGCCCTAGTTCAAGCTTTATCTTCAGCCGTAGCTCAAGCTTTAATTTTTTTAGTCTAACCTTAGCCCTAAGTTTTGATTTAATCCTGGCACTACACCTAACCTTATTTTTAACCATAGCCCAAGTTCTAGTACAAACTTTCAGATAACCTTAGTCTCAAGTCTTAACTTTATCTCTCTTTCTAGCCGTACTACGCACGCTTATTGTTGTCTTTAGCCCAACCCTTACTTAAAAAAAGCATGTGTCATCACTATTGTAACCAAAAAGCATTCTATGTGGGTGAACAAATTTGAACAAACATTAACCAACCATTCTGTTCATGAACTGTCTACGTGACATTCTCAATTCGAAATTAAGTCCACAATGATCAAAATATAAAGGTTTGTATGTCAAGCTGCATTTATATTTAAACCCAACCTTGTAAATCAAAAATTGATGACTAAATGACTATATAAGGAAAGATTATTCAAAAATCATATATAATCTCTTTCATCGTATATCATCGTATGCTACAGTAATGTCTTCATCTACACTCCTAACCTTCCTACTGTTCTTCAGCAAATACTGTACTCTTACCACTTCAAAACCACAACGTACCTTCTACACCATCGACCTAGACTACCGTAACGGAAACTACACAACTACCGTAAGCGTAGGCACGCCAGGACAAGCAATTGAAGCCGTCTTTTCGACCACAACAAAAGAATCGATTATACCTATTTTTGGCTGTGTTAATACTAATAAGATTGAAAACTGTAAAACCAAGAAAAACGTTTTTGACTCTAAGAAATCGACCAGTTTTAAGTCGACCAAAGGTCGTTTTAGCAACACTTTTAGTGGCGTTGAAGTGAAGGGAAACTATGGTCAAGATGTTGTTGAGGTAAGAACAGCAAAGCCAAACGCTTTAAACCTAACCTTTATTTTTGAGAATAGGATTCCAGTTAGGAGTTTAAAACCTTATTTTTAAGTGTGTTAATTTTAAAAATGAGCCTTTAAACCTAAAGCGCATTTTTAGACCTAATTCAAACGTTTAAGCTCCAAATTCTATTTAATAAGTTTAAAAATAAAGCTCAAACCCAATATTTCGTTTTCGAGCATAAAATTGCGTTTTTAAGAATAAAAATATATCTTTAAGCCTAACATTTCATTTTTAGCCTAAACTTCTATATTTAAACCTAAAATTTTATTTTTAAGCCTAAACTTCCAACTTAAGCCTAAATTCCATGTTTAAACCTAAAATTTCATTTTTAAGCTTGATAGATCATTTTTAAGCCCAACATTTAATTTTTGAGCCTAAAATTCTCATTTTAAACCTAAAATTTTAGTTTTAAGCCTAAACTTCCATCTTAAGCCTAAAATGTCATGTTTAAACCTATAATTTCATTTTTAAGCCTAAGTGCCACTTTTAAGCGTACAACCCACTTTTACGCCTAAATTTCCATTTTAAGCCTAAATTTTGTTCCTAAGCTTAAATTTTAACCTTTACGACTAAAATTTCATTTTCAAGCCTAAAACACAAATTTAAACCTAAGCTTCAGTTTTTAAGCCTGACACTTACTTTTAAACTTAACATTACATTTCTAGGCTTAAACTTTCAATTTTAAGCCTAAAATTTCATTATCAATAGAAACCAAACAATTTCAGTTAACCTACTCCAACACCCCTCCGACCGGTCCAACCCACCCCATTCGTTTCAAAACTGCCACTTCCACCAACGTTGCTCAAGGCATTATAGCCTTACCATTAATATCAACAAAAAAGTTCGTAGAACAGTCATCATTGATACACAATGTTATCAATGGCTCCAGTGCTGAAGCCTTGTTCAGTGTGTTTATGAAGAAATGTGACAAAGCAGAGTGTAGTAAAAGTGGCAGAGTTACAATTGGCTACAAAGATACGGAGAACTGCCAAGACCAAGTAGCATGGTACAAACTGAGACCTAGCGCTAGATGGTCGTGGAAAGTCTCGGCGGACGCGGTTAAGGTCAATGGTGATGTTATTAAGAAGAAGGTTACCACAGGTTTCGATATAATGTTAGATGTGATTGAAATGCCTCGAAAACTTCTGAAGGCTTTTTTGGACAAAATTGAATATGGTGAAGATAAGGTAAGTTACATAGAATAGTGTATGGATTACTGTAGAAAACCGAGCAGTACTTTATAAAAGATATACATTAAGAGTAGTAGGATAAGAAAAAGTAAAGTAAGGTAAGGTAAGATCAGGTAAAGCAAGTTAGGGTAAGGCAAGGTAGGGCAAGGTAAAGCAACAGACGGTAGAGCAAAGTAGAGCATGATAAGGTAGGATAAGACAAAGTGGAATAAGAAAAGATAAGACAAAATAAGGCAAGGTAGGGTAGGGAAAAGTAGGGCACGGCAAAGCAGTGATAGGGCAAGGTAAGTTAAGGCAAGGAGTGCAATGTAAGGTAAAGTAGAGTGGGGTAGGGTAGGGTAAGGCAGGGTAGGATAGGGTAGGATAAGGTAGGGTAGGAGAGGGTAGGACAAGGTAGAGTGAGATAGAGTAAACCAAGGTCTAGTAGGTCATTGAAATCCACATTTAATTCTTCAGAACGGCTACACCGTGCCATGTGATACAAAACTGAATTTGGAAATTCAATTAAAAGATGACCTTTATCCCATTCCTCAAGCCAACTTGATTAAGAGAGAAGGTAACATCTGCAGATTGTTGGTGAGAAAGGTCAGTGGACACAAGTTTATCCTTGGCCGACCTTGGGCCATTTCTTATTGCCAGACCTTCGACATCAACGGTCGAGACTACGGAATTAGTGATGTTAAAGCTGTTACAAATAGCAATAACCAAAAGAAGAAGAACACAAATAAAGCTAAAAAAGATGATAAAGAAGAAAAGGAAGATAAGAATGATGATACGCCAAGAAGAATCAATCCAAGTGGAAAAAACTTGGATAAAATGGGATTCTGAAGTTTCATGGATTCACCAAAATATCAATAAATTTGTTGTTGAAAACAAGAATAAACAAAGCTTTGTCATAAAATATAACATAAAGTAATATTTTTCCAAGTAGCTAACGTTAGAAGAGCAAGAGTAAAGATAAGAGTAAAAGTAGTAGATCACTTCAAAGTAGAAGGCACCGATACGATATAGATAAAGGGGTAAAGAGCATCGGTAAAAGTTAAGAGTAGGGAGAGCAAGGGAAAGTCTGTGTCAAGAAAGAAGTTAGGTAACAGTAAAACATAGATAAGGTAATGGTAGAAGACATAGGTAAAGCATACCGTAAGGCAAGTAACAATAAAAGTAGAGGTTTAGTTTATTGGTTAAAAATAGGAGTATAGGTAAGAATATAAGTACGTATTGAGGTAGAAGTAAGGGTATAGTATGCGGTAAGAGTATAATATAGATAGGTAAAGTAAGGACAAGATAAGGTAAGAATAAACCATGAGCAAGATAAAAAGATAGCCAAACCAGAATACATCTCTCCAAACAGGAAACTCATATCAACCCTTCCTACCCCAAGCCCTATGGTACAAAAACCTATTCCTACCATACCCCACTCCTACCCAACCCTACCCGACTCAACCCCGACCCAAGCCTTTACCTCTACCAAATGCAGTCAAATGTCATTATTAAACCAAATAATATACTTTTTAAATTTTAAACCCACATTTCAAAGTTTATTCCTTTATACAAAGAGGTAATACGTACGGGTCTAGTAGTCTAATATTACGGTAGAGCCGGTAGGATCGTTCCTCGACATTCTCCAAAGCCAATTCGTTTGCCGTTATTTTCACAGTGAGCTGAAATCAAAAAGAGAATTAAAAATCAAAATTCTGTATTAAAGCCCCTCCTAGCCGAAAAAAATTTACTTCACCTCTCCCCCCCCTCAAATATATACCTTGCCCAAAACATTTTTTTTATCAACCCCCACCCACTCCCACTAAACGTTTTACTTTTACCATGCCTAAAGAACATGCTTTTTGAAGTCCTTTATACCAACCATACCTCAGCGCCTCCTCCTACTCACTACCATACCCTACCCTTCCTCAACCCCTACCTCTGAACCTACCCCTATCGCCACCCCTACTCGTGCTCCCGTCCCTACCTTTTATGTATCATAATTTACTGAATCCTACCTCCTCTCCACCCATAACGAATAGCCCTACTAATAGTATGAGGTTATAGTAGGCTACTATAACCTTACCCCAACTCCTATCACGTTCAAAACCCTACCTTTCATGACCACCTCATCGCCATCCGCCAAAAAGTGTCTCTTCTGATCGCCCAACTTAATATCCACGGTTCTATTCCAGTTCAACTCCAACATACAACCTCGTTCGCCTTCAGTTGGTCCGGAGACAGTTCCCGAGCCCATCAGATCACCCGGGTTCACGTTGCATCCATTCACAGTGTGATGTGCTAGTTGTTGTTTCATTGTCCAGTAGTGATGTTTGAATGAGGTTTTCGCTACTTTATAGGCTTCTGTTGAGCTGGAGGGCTTTATTGTGGTCTAAAATATTTCTTTTTTCAAATTAAAATATCATACTTAAGCCTAAAGTTAATCTTAATACGCCTAAAACTTATTTTAACCCTAAAATTCATTCTTAAGACTAGAGTTTTATTTTTAATCCTAAAATTCATTTTTAACCCTAAAATTCATTCTTAAACCTAGAGTTTTATTCTTAATCCTAGAGTTTTATTTTTAAGCCTAAAATTCATTTTTAACCCTAAAATTCATTTTTAAGCCTAAAAGTTCATTCATAAGCCTAAAAGTTCATTTTTAAACCTTAAGCCCATTTTTAAGCCTAAAAATTCATTTTTACGCCTAATATTCATTTTTTATCCCAAAATTAAGCTTTAAGCCTAAGACTCCCTGTTAAGCCTAAAATTTCAATTTTAAGCCTAAAATTACTTTTAAACACCTAATAAGACAAAACATTCATTCTTAAGTCTAAAATTTCATTCTTAAGCCTAAAGTTTCATTTTTAAACCCAAAATTTCATTTTCAAGCCTAAAGCTCGCCTTTAAGCATAAAAATTCATTTTTAAGCAAAAAAAGTGAAACACCAAAGCAACTGACCTCAAGTAAAATATCATAGCTGTAATCATCATCATGTCGCAGATATTCCAGTGGTTTCGGTGTTTGCACCGGATTCGGTACCAAAAACGGCTCCAATGCTTCCATAGTGACGATCCATGGACTAATCGAAGTTCCAAACGATTTTCCCAAAAATGGTCCCAATGGTGCCATCTCCCACAACTGGATGTCTCTCGAGCTCCAGTCGTTCAGAATCACCATGCCAAAGATGTGGTCTTGTGTTTCTGCGACTGGAATCGGGTGGCCTAGTTGAGTTGGTGGTCCACCGACTACGAATGCCATTTCAAATTCGTAGTCGAGGAGGGCGGTTGGGCCGAATGTTGGTGGGGAGTCTGAAAGGTGTGGTTAAGTAGGGAGGGGGGGGGGAAGGAAGGGGGGAGGCGAAGATAGAGGGTAGGAGAGGGTAAAGGGTAGGAGATAGAAGATAGACGGTAGGGAGTAGAAGGTAGGGAGTAGGAGGTAGAAGTTAAGGGGTAGGGGGTAGGGGTAGAAGGTAGGGCTACAGTAATGTATATCAACCTACCTTTAGAATCCCTGAACTGTCCTTTAGGTCTTATAATATCAGTTCCAGAGACAACAACACTTGATGATCTGCCATTATAAGCCGTAGGTAGGTGTTTCCTAAAAGGAATCATCATTTTATTACCTAAAACTTCCGATAAATCAAGTGTAAAGTACTATAACATTAATATTAAGTGCCGACATAAAGAACCCGCCATATTTTGTCTGTAATTTCTGTAAAAAATGGCGGGTTCTTTATGTCGGCACCTATTACAAACAAAATATATTAATATACCCACCAATTACCGGTCAATTCCTCACTTCCCAAGAACATCTTGGTACAATTGACGGCGTGGTAATACGATGAGTAAAAGTCAGTGTAGTCTCCAATTGCTATTGGTAAATGCATTGTAGCTTCGGCTTGGTTTACAAAGGCTTTTTCCATCAAATTTTGATCATTTTTAAGTTTGTCACAGTCCTTTGATAGTAAGGTTTGGAGAGTTTTTCTGGCTTCGGCCCAATATTGCCTTGGAAGGGCTATGAAGGGGTTCAATATTGTCTAAAATTAGACTTTTAGAGTTATATAAGTACTGTAACATTTGTTTTTTAAACAATACAGAGTCTAATGTAAATTATCCTAGCCTACCCTATATTATCGTACCCTACCCGATCCTCCCCTACTCTACCCTACCTTACTACACCCTACCCCATCCTACACTAACCAGCTATATCAATATCATACCCTTCACTACCTACCTTACACTATCCTGCCCTGTCTTTTACAAACATGTCTAGATGAAAATTCGTATTTTACATCCCTTACCTGCCTAAAGACATCTTGTTTGTCGTTCAACAAAGGACCATCGAACAAATGACTGATAACACTCAAGTCCAATATCTTGGTTCCAATTGCTACTCCAATTCGATTTTTGGGCTAAAACAAACATAACTTCAAAAAAAATCAAAAATAAATTTTTCAGGCCGTAATAAACTCAAATTTTAAATATTCAACCAAAATTTCAAAAAAAAATTTTTTTTAATTTTCAAAAATTTAAATTCCTACATTATCTTTGGTTGAAAACACCCCATATGGCAAGTTGTCCCAGGTGAAATCACTGCCTTCAGGTACGTCAATGAACGACATAGATAGCTCGAGATATTGATACTAAAAAATATAAATTTAGGTAACAAATTACCGATTTATCGACCAAGAACAAGTCGAAATAAACTAAAGGTAAACTTTCAATTTCATTCTGTGATGTTTTTTCAACTTTTTAAATCCTCAAACTTTGATACTTCAAAAAATTTTTGACCCGCCCAGCCTTATTTTACCCATGCCCTATCCTTATCTTGGCCTAAACTTAGTTTAAAGTTAGCTCTGTCCCAGTCTTTTAATAAAAAACGTAAAACGTTTAATTTTATTCAATTTTGTTACCTAAAATACCAAAAAATCACTAAAGAACCTATGTTAATATACCTCAACATAACTTATAACAAGTCAAACAAAACGAGATAAAATCAGTTAAAAATTAAAACTTCAAAATCATTCCAACTTACCCTTTAAAGGAGTACAAATAAATAAACTGTTTAGAGGTCGTTATCATTGATTGTTTTAATTAACCAACAGAGAACTGATAAAGAACATTCATTTCCGTGTTTTAGCCAAAAAAATAACGAAAAAAGTCATTTTTATGACCCAGACTGTTACAATTTTAAAATAGTACAGTTTTTACAACAGATTAGTGATAAGCTTTGAAGGTTTGACGAAATGGAACGTGAAGTTTGGTCAAAAAACAGTTTTGAAACTGATAGAAGCAGAAACGAGAAGGGAAAAGAACATTTGACACATTGAGTCAAGTTTCACTCTTTGTTAAAAAAACTTCTGTGCTTGGAAATTGGTCAATTTACCGAAGAAATCGAGAACTGCTGGTAATCTAGGTATCAAAATGAAAAAATGAATGCCACTCTTGCTGACAACCGACTTGACTTCACTGGAAGGCTTCAAACATCAGTTACGTGAATGGTAATGGATCTTGTTGTAGGTAGGTTAACAACATTTTGAATTTTTTTGATATTTTGAAAAATAATTTGAAAATTGAATACATACGTTTTGTAGAGCATAAAAAGAAGTATAAATTCTGTAAATTTGATATAGTTATCCTGATTTGAGGCCAAGTTACGTTCATTTTAAAATGACAGAACTCGAAAAAGTTCGATTTCGCTGGTATAGCTACCGCTATTTTTGAGCGTTTTAAAAATTTTTGATATTGATTATAAAAAAAAATGTTATAAAACGATAGAATATAAAATGAAGTATAATTGCTGGTAGTTTCATATAGGTATCTTTATGTTTTGCCAAGTTACATTCATGAAAAAACGTCGAAAACCAAAAAAAGTTCGATTTCGCTTGGAAAATCGGCCATGTATTCTCCTTCAATTTGCTATTACTTTTTTGCTAAACAACATATCTTCACCAAACTTGTGGATTACTTACTGCTGTCTATGTTCTACGTTGCCTATAGTTTCAATTTCTCAAAAAAAATTTGATAATTTCAAAAATAGAAAAACTTATGGATTTGCTTGCATAATATCGAACTTTTTAGTTTTTCATTAGATGTAAGTTTTGTTCTAAACTATGTGTTTGGCTGAAACTTACGTATTATATACTTCTTTGCATTTTCTTTAAAGCGTATATTATCAACCTTCAAAAAGTTTTAAAAATTTTAAGAAAAAGCCAAATAAGGTAATCAAGTTCAAGGTTAATATCAATATGAAAATAGATTTATTGTCTAAAACTTATTTTAATCTCGAGAAATTTTAGAATGCATAGATTTTGATCTTGATTTAGTTGTCGATTCATCTGCGGTCAGTTCTTTCATCGCGTTTTGCCAATTCGGATATTCTCTGACGTAGCGGAAATCGCGTCGCACCACGTAGAAGATCATAGCATGCATCACGATGAACATGTAGCACATGCATGAGGTTAACAGACGTTCGACGGATTTGCGATATTGATACCATACCATTTCTTCATCGCCGACACGACGTGGGTCCATTTCGAGAACATCTATCGTCATTTTGAGGTAAAAGTACAGTAGGACCAGCATTACGATTAGGGCTATGAGCTGAAACGGTAAGTTACAGTAGTACAATAATGTAGAGTAGGGAACCGTAGAGTTAGGTAGGGCAGGGTACGGTAAGGTAGGGTACGGCAATGTAGGGTTGAGTAGAGTATGGTAAGTTACGGTAGGGTAAAGTAAGATACGGTACTTACCATGATCACAAGATACACGTAGTAAAGCGATTTGATCTTGAAACGATTCCCAACGAACAATACCACATTTGCCACTAATACGGCTACAAAAATGCTGAATGCCACTAAAGTACGAGCATCTCGGTCGTCATCGTCAGCATAGCTTATATATCGCTCTACAGCTCCTGGGATTGCCATTATTACGCATATTATCGCGATCAACGCTACCAGCGACTAAAATATATTGTTTTAGACCATATATAAGATATTGGGAACGGGATTGAGGGCGGGGTAATTTTTTTTTGTTGGAGGGGAGGGGGGGTTAATTTTTTTGGAAAAATTTCAACATATTCAATATTTTTTGACAATTAAAAAAAATTTTTAACCCACATCTCCTCCCCCCCTAAAAAAATTACCCCGCCCAGTCTTAAAAACATACTAAAACCCACTTACATGAACTGTTATACATACACAACGAAATTCTGGGTCCTGTTGTGCCAATTTACATCTTCGATTGTAAATTCGTTTCTAAAATGATTTTTTGTTATGTTCAAAAAGTAATGAGCTATAACAATATTTTACCAAATTTTCAACTTTTAAAAATTCTATGTATTTTATGACGTGATTTTTTAAAAAATTTCATTTTTCTATAGACTTTTTGACCAGAAAACAGCATTTGTTTCGTTTAATGGAGGCGCGTCCAAAAGAATTGGACGATTCGTAGTGTATTTACATAGCAAAAGCGCCCAATTCTTTTTGACGCGGCTTGAAAATTCGTTGATTTTGTAAAAACTAGGCTATGATATGGCTAAAGATTAAAATTTTGAAAAAGAAAATTAAATTCTACAAACTTTTTGACCATAAAATTTAAAATTTTTTATTTTTTCAAAACTTTTCGACTTAAAAACTACAAAAAACCGTACCTTTTTCTCCAATTTTCGCTGTTCCGTGTTCGGCTTCCCACCCTTCGAATCGACTGCCAAGAAAGTGGAGCTAGAATTCACGTTTAATAGTGCCGAATCCGTTGGCGCCGACTTTTTGACGTTCGTACTATCATTCGGAATTGTTGAATCAGTCGGCGTGGTACTCATCTTATTTTCAGCACATTTTCGGTTCGACGCCATTGTCCGTGAAACGACCGGTCGACGGGGGTACAAAATATCAAAAAATGGCGGTAATATTGAGGGAATTGGGTTTGAACTGTGATTTTTAGTGTTGTACTTGCTGTTTTTGATTCGTGCTTTTAGTGATAGTTTTTTTTGCTTTTGGTACTAATTTTTGGTACCATTTTTTTAGATTTTACTTCAAAGATGGTACTTTTTCACTATTACAGCGTAGGGTAGGATACGTTAGAGCAACGTAAAGATGCTCAGAGTAGACTATTTTAGGTATAGTAGGGAAGAGTAGACCAGCGTAGGGTTGAGTAGGGTTGGACGGAGTAGAATCAGTGTAGTCACACTTTTTTATAACTGAATAGATAAAACATGCGTTCACGATAAAACGTCACGTTTTAATTATTGTGGAAGCTAGGTTTATCTCAATATTTGAACTCTCTGGTCCGGGACAATTGTTATAATGAGGCCAAAGCTGGGTTGAGGACGCGTAATTCCTATGGGCGTTGAGTGGAAAGTTTTGAAAAATTGGTCCACAGGTGGCTTTTTATTCATTGTAATTGAAACAAAAGTCTTTAAGACTACGTATACTAAAAGTACATTTTTATCACCTTTTAACCACCACGCCTTTCATTGTTTCTTTCATGAACCTTTAACAAATTCTCACAAAACTTAACATAAGCCTGTATTAGCGCTCAGTGTTACACCGTCATTCGCTTGTGTTTCTTATCATAATCAGGAATTTAAACTTATTATAATGCTTCGATTTTTGTCTTTCTACGTGTGTTTCGTCACTATAGTTGTTATTTTACTTGTATATGATACTAAAGTAATTTATAGTGGAGTTGGAATACCTTATAGTGGAGATGGAATACCTTATAGTGGAGATGGGAGAACTTATAGTACAGATGGGAGAACTTATAGTGGAGATGGACGCACCGATGATTCTATTCAAAGTACCAAGACTAGTGACGAAATTTTTTACAAAACATAGCATGGTCAATATGATGGAGATACAGTACTTGTAAGCATCGAAGATGAAGGAAATAAAACGAAGAATTACAGAAAATATGATACCGTACTTATAAGTCAAAAGGGTAAAAGTGTTACACTGAAAAGAAAAAAAGTTGATACCACGACTGTTAGTATAGAAGACAAAGAAGGTACCGTTAAGGGAGATCAAGGAAATGAAGGTACTGTTAATGAAGATCAAAGACACGAAGTTACTGTACCTCAAAATCCAACACATACTTACCATTATGACCAAAACAGGGCTATTACTCCCGATTATAATATTGAAAAAGCCTCTGTAGCCAGCACTGTGAAAGAGAAACTCAAGATAAACAAATCACAGTGTCGCTTACCACAGCTAAATCCATGGGATCCATCAATTCTACCATTCCTAAACCCATCTGATAGTATCAATAAAAGATGTAAACCACCCTACAAGATACGAAGTCACTTTACAAGAAATAAATTGAAGATAATGTTAGAAAAAGATAGCTTAAATAGGAATGAAACGTGTTACTACAGGTGTGTAACATCAGTACATGATCGGCTTTTAGTAAGAGGCAATTGGACGTATGTTAGCTTTACTAATGGTGTTGACGTTGAATGTGATGTTACGGAAGTAAAATGTTATATGAATGGAAATCAGACGTACTATTTTGCTCATGCTAATTTGGTTCGGCAGTAAGTTATGTTGATGTAAAATGGAATTCGGCAAGGTTAGGCTTCAAGTAGGTTTGTAGGCTTGAGTTGAAGTTACGCCTGAGGCTAGGACTTAAACTGGGGTTATGAGGGTTAGGGCTAGATCTAGAGCTACGTCTAAAACTAGAGCTAGGGTTAGAGTTAGTATTAGGGCTAGGGATCAAGCTAGGACTAAAAATAAGGCTAGTTCTAGAGCTAGGAATAGGGCTAGAAATAGGGCTAAGGATAGAACATGGCTAGGATGACAATTGACTAAGACCAGGAACGAAGTTAAAAAGCTAGAGCTACGGCTCTTGTTAAGACAAGGGATAGCTGAATAGCGCGTTACATGCCAATGTCTAAAAGTATATCATCTTCAGACCCCCAAAACCAATCAAACCCCCATCAAACTCGAGTGACGTCTACATCATTATATTAGACTCTGTTAGTGCCAGTAGCTTTCAACGAGCCTTCCAATCGACTAAGCAGTATCTAGAACAAAAACACTCAGCCATCTTCTTTCCTTACCTAAACAGAGTTGGAGAAAACAGTCGACCAAATAACTATGCCTTTTTGGTTAATGAAAGGCCTGAAAATCTGCCGGCTAGTCCTTGGAACAAGTTTTTAGGACAAGGCATGGATGGAAAAATGTGTAGAGATTCAATTATGAACTATGACTACATTGGAAAGGATTTTGAGCTGGCTGGATATCGGACTATGATTGATACTGATTGGTTTTATGGACTATTCGAGTATCCTGATTGTAGAGGGTTTGGCATGGTACCCACGGATCATTATCTACAGTAGGGTTTGTAAAATACGTCGTCGGAACTGTATTTTGGAAATACATTTCAGCATGACAAGTCAATTTATGCTTTTGGCAAAGTTAGGTTAGGACCAGGGCTGGGCGAAAATTTCGTTTCGTGTTTCGTTTCGCGCGAAGAGGCACTTTCGTTTCTTTTCGTGTTTCGCGAAACAAATTTTGTTTCGGAAACGAAACAAAAAAAATATGTCTCAACCCGAAAACCAACAAATGTTAAAAATGTTTGGCATTCTGTTTTATACTGTTGAAAATTGTTTTTATTTTAATTTTAAACATATTTTGGCATAAACAAATGTCGAAATACAATCCCTTTTTTAACGAAGGAGACTGTATAACATGAAAGGCAAAAGTGCGAAACACAACAAATCATTCCTCAACTAGCTCTTTCCGGCACCATTTACAAGGAAAGTGACCGACCTGCCCCGCTCTGATTGACTTCAAACTTTTTATAAAGAAAGATCATGTAACTGTTTCATATTATGCAGTATACGTTGATGAGGTTCAATACAAGCTTTATTATGTATAATGTTAGGCAAGTCGTCATATGCATCTGGTGAGTACTCGTCTACTATCATTTCGTAGGTACTGAAAGTTATGGTTGATTATTGATAACGGAAACTAATTTTTTTTTGAACTTGTAAATCCTTACCATGCTTCATGCTTACCTTATCTTACCCTACCCTACCCTATCCTACCCTACTACCCTACCCTACCCTAACTTTTCCTATCCTAAACTATTTTGCATTACCCTATCCTTCACTTCCCTGTAATGTCGTGCCCTACTCTATCCTACCCTAACTTGTTCTACTCTACGTTACCCTACCCTATTCTACCATAACGTACTTTATCCTACTCTGTTCAGTTCTATCTCTACAGTATCTTACTGTAATCTTGCTTCAGCCGCCTTACCGTAAGCTTCTATCCTCGCCTAAAGTTACTACAGAACTATCGCTATATTCTTTCATTAGTTTACTCCAACTGCCTTTGCTATGCCAGAGCCCGATCTATTCTTATCTAATCATTTCTGTTGTCCTAACCAGGGCTGGGCGAAACAAAAAAAAATTGTTTCGCGAAACACGAAACGAAAGTAAATTATTTTCGCGCGAAACGAAACGAAACACGAAACGAAACAAAATTTACGAATTTATTTAAAAATCTTCATAAAAATCAAATTTTATGCCGTAAATGGGTATTAACCTTAAGGAATAACTAGTTCTGAAGCATCTCACTTGTCATGCTTCTTCGATATGAATTCTTTGTACCTTTGGTGGTACAAAGAATTCATATAAAAATTTTGAGCTGATTCTGAGCGGGGCAGGTAGGGTACTTTCCTTGTTAATACAGAAACACCCGGACGTATGGAAAGAAATTGTACTGGACGGGGCACCAGCAAAGAAAGAGCGTAATATTCTGGATAATGTAAGTCTTTCAAAACAAGTAGTTCGGTTTATAGGAAAGATTACATTCTTTTTGTAATAAAGCACATCAAAATTCGACAGCAAGGACTGTTTTGACTGACTATCGAAGAAGCATGACAAGTGAGATGCTTCAGAACTAGTTATTCCTTAAGGTTAATACCCATTTACGGCATAAAATTTGATTTTTATGAAGATTTTTAAATAAATTCGTAAATTTTGTTTCGTTTCGTGTTTCGTTTCGTTTCGCGCGAAAATAATTTACTTTCGTTTCGTGTTTCGCGAAACAATTTTTTTTTGTTTCGCCCAGCCCTGGTTAGGACAACAATGATTAGATAAGAATAGATCGGGCTCTGGCATAGCAAAGGCAGTTGGAGTAAACTAATGAAAGAATATAGCGATAGTTCTGTAGTAACTTTAGGCGAGGATAGAAGCTTACGGTAAGGCGGCTGAAGCAAGATTACAGTAAGATACTGTAGAGATAGAACTGAACAGAGTAGGATAAAGTACGTTATGGTAGAATAGGGTAGGGTAACGTAGAGTAGAACAAGTTAGGGTAGGATAGAGTAGGGCACGACATTACAGGGAAGTGAAGGATAGGGTAATGCAAAATAGTTTAGGATAGGAAAAGTTAGGGTAGGGTAGGGTAGTAGGGTAGGATAGGGTAGGGTAGGGTAAGATAAGGTAAGCATGAAGCATGGTAAGGATTTACAAGTTCAAAAAAAATTAGTTTCCGTTATCAATAATCAACCATAACTTTCAGTACCTACGAAATGATAGTAGACGAGTACTCACCAGATGCATATGACGACTTGCCTAACATTATACATAATAAAGCTTGTATTGAACCTCATCAACGTATACTGCATAATATGAAACAGTTTATAAAAATGTACAAAAATGAACCAAAGTTCTTTATCAGCGCATCAGTTATGCTTGGTCACAATGACATAAACGAGGTTTTTAGAGGAGATTTGGAATTGAAACGGTTTTTCGAGGAGATCAGTGATGAGGTGAGGGCTTTTTGATGTTTTTGCTACTGTTGTACTAGTACTACTTAGTACTACTTTTCAAAATTTTTTTTAATTTTAAAAAAATTTTTTTAAATTTTGTTTTTTTTTAATTTTGAAATTTTTTTTTGTTTTAAAAAAATATTTTTCAGTTAAAAAACGCTTACTTAATATTCATGTCCGATCACGGGTTACGATTTGGTGACATTACGGAAACAAGAATTGGCTCCATTGAAGAGAACAACCCATTTTTAATGATATCAGTGCCAGAAAAGTTAAGAAAAAATGATGACTTGATGAGACAACTAAAAAAGAATTCAAAGCACCTTGTTACACACTATGACACTTATGCTACATTGGCTGAAATTGCCGCGGTGAGTTGAAGAAATCAATGTTTTTGCCTTTTCTTGCCTGTGTCTTGCCTTGCCTGTGCCTGTGCCTTGCCTTGCCTTGCCTGTGCCTTGCCTGTGCCTTGCCTGTGCCTCGCCTGTGCCTTGCCTGTACTTTGCCTGTGCTTTGCTTTCTTTGCTTTGTCTTACCCTATCATACACTAATTTACTCTACAATACTCTACTTTCCCTGCTTTAACTTAACCTTTTCTATGCTTTACCACACCTTACCTTATTGTATTTATTTTACCTCATTCTATTTTACTTTATCTTGCTCTACTTTAGAATATCCTATCCAATCCACCGTATAGTATCTTTTATTACCTTACCCTACTTTCTTAACTTACATTTTTCTATGTCTCAGCTTACTTTTTCAGTATTAGTTCTGTTCTACCTTAGCTTGCGCAATCCCATAATACTGATAACTCCGCCGTATCCAACTTTCTTAGTTTCACATTACTTTCTACTTTTCTATTGTATGTACCTTGAACGATACTATTATAAAATGTGTTTTTCAGGAACACTACGAATTTACATCAAAAACCTCATTTTCAACAAAAACCTTCAACCCATCCTACCGCACTCTAAAAGGCTCTTCTTTCTTCCACCCTCTAAAACAACCTCGAGACTGCTTCTCTCTACTCATCCCCTTCGAATACTGTCTATGTCAACGTGAACAATACACAATTGACAACAAAGACCTGGCTCTTACAGTTGGTGGCATGATTTTAAAAATAATCAATGATAAAGTAACTAAGTCGAAGCACAAAAAAGATTGTCAGAGGTTGGAGTTGAAGGAAGATGGAGACTTTGAAGTGATTCAGATCGAATCTGGCAGAGAGGAGAAGGTGTATTTGGTTACTATTGAAACAGTGAATGGAGCCAAGTATCAGGGTTATGTTGGGGTAGGTTTTTTAGCAAGTGTATTTAGTGTAGGCCTTTAGGGGCCGAGGAGGCTAGGGCTTGAATGAAGGTTAACTAAGGTACATCATAACCGGGTAGGGAAGGTTGCGTTGGGTTTCAGTATAATATCTCGTTGGGCGTCATTTTGTAAGGTCAATTATAGTATTGTAAGCCTGATTAGGATCCTGTAGGGCTGGTTGTGGTACTTTAAGATACTGTAGGGCTGGTTGTGGTACTTTAAGATACAGTAGGGCTGGTTGTGGTACTTTAAGATACTGTAGGGCTGGTTGTGGTACTTTAAGATACAGTAGGGCTGGTTGTGGTACTTTAAGATACAGTAGGGCTGGTTGTGAAAATTTAAGATTAGGTATATAGTACTCTAAGGCTGGTACAATACTGTAGTTTTGGGTACTGTAGGGTTGGATAGGCTATGATAAGGGTAGAGTAGTGTAGGGTAGAGTAGAGTAGGTTAGGGTAGGGTATTTTAGAGTAGGGTACGGTAGGCTAAAATAGGGTAGAGTACGGTAGGGTAAAGTAGGGCAAGGTAAGGTATGTAGGGTACGGTGAGGTACGGTAGGGTAGGCAAAGTAGGATTGGGTACTTTATAATATCAACCTTGCTAATTTCAGAAGACCAACGACAAGTTGAAGTTGTACACCACAACGTTTCCAAGAATGAATGCCTACGCCGAGCAAGCAAAATGTATACCTGAACAATACCTACGACATTATTGTTGGTGTAAATCCTAAAAATCTCTATAAACTTCAATCGTTGTCAATTTTCTTTTTCTTATTAATCTTCTAGCAATAACAATAATTCCTAAGAAAGTTCTCTGGGATACAGCTGGCTTGGATGGCGTACTTGTCGATCCTCCAAAACTTGTCTGTTATTAACGTTACTCGACCGTTTTTTACCTAAAAACGGGTAAATTTATAAAAACCCCAATCTATCCTACCCTAACCTACCCTACCCTACCCTACTCTACCCTATCTCTTACCGTACCTTAACTACCTTACCCTACCCTACTATATCCTATTCTAAACTACAGTATTCTAGCAGCCTTATAGTCCTTCACGTAATCCTACATTGTCATAACCAGCTCTACAGTACCTAGTTTACACTATTATACGTTATCCTATAGTAATGGTCTAAGCCTACTACACCCTATCCTAAACTACAGTATCCCGCCCTCTACAGTACAATACATCAGTACCCAGGTTACACTATTATACTTGATCCTACAGTAATACGCCTACGCTGATGCTTCATTGAATTCTACGGTACCCTACCCAAACCGCACGGTACCCTACAAGACCATAATGTGCCCTACCCTGTCCTACCCTACCCTATTCTACCCTACCCTACTCGACCTTTCCCAAACCTTCTAAACATTATATACTAACTTACAGTAACATAGCCCTCGTAGATTCCTCTACTTGGTTGTACGCTGATTTTAACCAAATATGGCACTCCATCCTTCACTTTATCATATTGTAGTAGTGTGTAATTAAACTTAGTATCCAGACTTGATTCCTCGCATTTATCGACGTAGTCGGAAGCTTTTAAAGCTTGGTTCATTCTCTCCACCATCATGTTACCAGCAATCTCAACTAAAGTGTCATTCCGCACTGACTTGGACTCAAGTTGACATAGACAAAACTCAAATGGGATTAGTAGAGAATTGCAATTCCTAGGCATTTTTAAAGGATGGAACAGTGATGATCCAGTGAGATTTCTTTTTGGGTTTGTGTATGGTTTGTCATTAAACTTTGTGTTTATTGTCCATTTATGGTTCTCCTAAAAAGAGTTCAATATAGTACGATAAGAAAGGCCCTACCGTACTTTACCAAACCTTAGCTTACCTTACCCTACCCTACACTACCCTACCCCACCCTACCATACCCTACCCTGCATTACCCTACATTACCCAACTCTACATTACTTTTTCCTAACGTACTCTAGGGCAATTTTTGCAGCTCTATGTTGCCCTACTCTACTATTTTCTACCCTACTCCACCGTATTTTTTCCTTCCCTGCCCTACCCTTCCACACTGTATCCTATCATATTCTACCCCACTTTACGTCTTATTAGCCTTTTCTTGTTCTGCCCATACGCTGCCCCGGGGTTTTTCATACATTGTTTAACATTACCTACTTTTTTTCACCCTGCCCTGCCTGAGAAGACTTTAAAAAAAATATTTTCCTGTCCTGCTTCGTTCTTCGTTTTACCTGACCTTCCTCTACCCTGCCCAAATAAGCCAAATTCAGCCCTAAAAATCCATGCCCACCAAAGAAGTTAGAGAGAAATCCACCTACCATAGCAAGTTCAAAGAAAGTAGCATATAAATCATAATGTGTGATAAGCTGTTTCGAGTTCTCTTGCAGTTGTCTCATTAAATTGTTATTGCCCCTAAGCTTTTTAGGTATTGAAATCATAAAAAACGGATTCCGATCCTCTAAAGCACCAACTGTAGTTCGTCGTATCCAGTCATTTCTATTGCCATGATCACTCATCACGATGAAAAACGAATTCTGAAGCTGTTTCTCGGCTTTCTGTAGCGCTTTCTTCAATTTCGCATCGAAATGGTACATGTTGTTGATACTGTCATGGGTTAGTTGAGTTAGTACGTTGATCGAAAGTTTTGGTTTGTTGTGGTATTTTTGTACATATTGTTGTAGGGTTTCTAGAATATAGTCGGCTGGCTCGTGGCAAGTGCCTTGATACATACGTTCGTATAGGCGTTGATCTCGAAATTGATTGCCTACGGTTATGTGATGGGAAAATGGACTAAAAAGGGCGTACGTTTAAAAAAAATTGCTATAATTATTTTACCAAGCCCTAACCTACTCCTAACCGCATGGCTAAGCTATAAGGTACAAATAGGAGCTCTAGTTGAGTTAGAGAAAGGCTAGAGCAAGCCATAGAGTAAGGTATAGGGTCAGACATGAGATAGAGAATGGTAAAACATGGAGTAGGTCATAAGATAAGGTATGCCTGGTGAAGCTAAACTAGACCTAAGATAAGACTGGAGGGCTGAAGTATAGATAGAGCAAGAGATAAGACCGTAGGGCTAAGTCGTAATGCTTTAACCCAGCCTTATGTTGCCCTACCGTACCCTACTTTACCCAACCACAGCCTACTCTACCCTACCCTACATTACCCTGTCCTACCCTACCGTACTCTACTCTACCCTACCCAACCCAACTTAATATCACCCTACCCTTACTTCCCCACATTCACCCCCAATATTCACTTACTTCATGAAATGATCGGCCGGATTCTCGGTAAATCCAATACAATTTGGCCAATTAAAAAACCCTTCCGACCAGTCATCATTCAACATAGTAACATATCCTTGCTTGTTATAGTCAAAACCAACAAAATTCTCGGTATTAATGCTCTTGTTACACAACTCATCTTCTCGGCCGCCGGCTAGGAACGGTCCCCATGGATTGGCCGTCAGATTAGCCGCCCGTTCGCCCAGGAAGAAGGTATAGGCATTGAGACGAGTGTTATCACCAACTTTGTTTAGGTACGGAAAGTGAATGGATTCTAGTGAGTTTTTAAGGAAATTCATGGATTCTGGCATCGTGCGAATGAATTGACTTGAACTTGTCGAGTCAATCATTAAGATGTGAACTGAATAGGCATTTGGATCAAAGTTCTTGGTTAGGTTTCTGAAAAGTAAACTAGATTAAGATTTTTAAATTTAGGGAGATAGGCCTAAGGCTAGATCTTGTAGCTAACAATAAGCCTAAAGCTGTGACTAGGCATATGAATGTCGCTAGGGCTTAAGCGTAGACTAGGGCTTAGGCTAAAGCTTAGGCTTAAGACAAAGCTTAGTTAGGCTAGGCCCAAAGCTGTGGCAAAGCATAGAGCTAGGCTTAAGACTATAGAAAGGGGTGAACTTATTGTTCAGCAATGTTTTGAGGCTAAAGCTTAGGTTAGAGGCTTAGGATAAGCTTTGGGCTAGGTCTTAGGCTAAAGCTTGGCTAGGGCTGAAACTAGAGCTTGAACTAGAGCTTAGGCTAGGGCTTAGGCTAGGGCTTAGGCTAGAGCTTAAGCTAAGCCTAGAGTTAGGCTTAAGGCTACAGAAAAGGCTAAACTTACTGTTCAGCGATGTGTTGATGTAAAAACGTATATTGCTCTTCTGCATCGCATTTGACTTTAAATACATCACAGTCTGGCCTAGCGCCACCTTCTCTGTCAATCTTCAGCCAATCTCCATACCTTAAGTCTCTGTCGTTTACAGCGTAAGCGCATCTACAACATATAGGTCAATATAGTCAAATACATCTCTATACTCAATATTTTCAATATTTTTACAGTCATATGCCCACACCTATCAAAATCTATAATAAATTAATATGCTTATACCTATCACGATATACATTCACATACCCATACCCACCAAAATCTGCCTAAAAACCCAAAAATTTAACTTACTGGTACTCACAAAGGGTAGTTCCGTCGACTTTTTCCTTATCCACATATAAAACTTGATCCTCAACATAAGTAAGTACATCGTATTGAGGCTGACAACCCTCCAAAGGATCTTCTTTCGGATTTAAAAGGTCTTTGATCGTTGGATCCCATGGGTCCAGTTTTGGAAGTTTACAGATAGATACATTTTCATTTTGTTGAGGTAAAGTTTCAGTAGATTTCAGTCCTTCTTCTGTGGTAGTTTTTAGCCTATACAGCCCTTTTAGCCATGGTTTCGATCCGACTTTGTTAACTGAAAAGGAAAAGTTGTGTAACTTGATTTAAAGCAAGTAAATAAATAAATAAAAGTTGAAATATAGCTAAATAAAGACGATAAAACTATAGACGAGTATTTTAAGTTGTTCAATAAATTCTGTGCCACTCCCAAAAGCAAATCGTCGCGGTTATCGGCACAGAATCAGTTCAGCAATCAAATAAATTGAAAGGTAAGCGTAAAATGCCATTTTTAAACAATACCCAAATTAAAAATTCAATTTTAAGACCTTTCTGAAGATAACTTTTGAAAAAATATCCAGAAAGAATATCGCGGTGAGAAAAAACCAAAATTATCGAGGAAAAAACATTTTTCGGCGATGGATAATATTTTTCTTGGATAAAACATTGCTTCCTTTGTGAAACATTGCTTTAATCTTGTATATTCTTTAAAATATTGTTGACCTGCTTATAAATTAAGATTTGATTTACCTTTTTTTCAAATATCTACCTAAATTTCTACTTTTTATATTGTTTTAAACTGTTGGACACGGGACTTTGACGAAAACAGAAGATTCAACAGGTTTTTAACGAGAATCGACGTTATTAACATGACCCATGGTAAGGTAAGTCTTTTAATGTTATTTTTCTTGAATTTTAGGTCTTAGTTCACAAAGGAACGATGGTTTCACCAACAAAACATGTTATACATGGCCGAAAAAGGCTTTTCTTCGAGAATTTTAGTTTTTCTTGCCATAAAATTCGAGATTCCTGTTTTTTAAGGTGTATTTTTTCAAAAGCTTGTATTTTTGATTGGGGATTGCTTAAAAATGGCAGTTGCTTTTCAAATTTACACTTTACCTCTAAACAAAGCTTGTATAACAATCTTTTGAGTGATTTACACCCCTTTTACTTCCCAAAACTTTTAAAAACCATACCTAATTCTAAATTTCTAAAATCTGTAAGACCTACCCAAATTTTTGACAACAACACTTCCATTATCCGATTGATAATCAATCCATAGCAAAACTAGTACAAGCCAAGCCAATAAAAACGTGTATAATAATTTATGTTGCCTTTCCATTTGACACAATAAAGCAGTGAAAAACTAACGATAATTCTCTAAAAACATTAAAATTTCAAATCGACTAATGGATACGAATTAAAATTTTTGATTTTTGCAAGTCTCGTATAACATTAAAATTGGGAAGTGAGATAATTTAGTTTATTATATATTATAAAAGGTTAATGTTTTCGTAAAATCAATGTATAGGGCAGGGTAGGAGAGAGAGTAGAGTAGTGTAGAGTAGGATAGGGAAAGCCAGGCTAGCGTAGTATAAGGTAAGCTATGCTAGAACAAATCAGGCCACAGAAAAATCAGAACGTTGTTAAAAATTGAACGTAAACAATAAAACACTTTAAAAATGTTTGTATGATGACTCATTATTATATTACTATACATGTTAAATGTATTTTGTAAACCGCATATTCAAAACAATTGTTTTAGTATAGGGAATTGTTGTATTTTTTAGTAAAAACAGAATACAAAAATTTATGTTTTTAGCTTTTTTGTATATTTTTTGTCGCAAAAATGGAAACAGTTTGTCTTAAAAACGTCATAATTACGTTTTAAGGTGTGTCTAAACCTTTTTTGATCTACTTATAATAATACGAGCCGTCAATACCTTTTTCTAACCTTTTGCTACAAAAGATTGTACCATACTCTACCTACGCTACATTACTTTATTATACCTTACTTAACTCTACCCTAGTTTACATTACCCCACCTCACTCTAACTAATGTCACCAAATATCCCTCGGCTTTTTGAAGGATACCTATATAGGATGAAAGAGCATAAAAATTTACCGGAAAACTGTTTTCAAAAACTACTAAATTAATTCGGCTAGCGAGTTACAGTACGCCCAATATATTTATATGTTTAAAAGGTATAGCTTTAAAGGTCAAAAAATGACATTTTATGATGAATATTGTTTTTTCTAAAAGGGGCTAATAGCAAGAATTAAGTCTTAAAAATTTTTTTTATCAAAATAGTGGTTGGCTAGCCAAAATTTCTTTTTTCTTTCATCCTATATAGGTCTCATTCAAAAAAGCCGAGGGATATTTGGTGACATTCCCTAGTAAATTACTTTACCCTACTCTATCTTACATTATTTATCCTAGCCTTCTCAACTTTACCCTACATTACTTTATTCTAACCTATCTTATTCTACATTATTTTACCATACCCTACGTTACCCTAGCTTACTCTAGATTACTTTACTCTACCCCTACATTACCTACCCTATTCTAGGTTTCTTTACTTTACCCTGCTCTACCTTACTCCTTTCCCAAGACGTACTCTATCCAACCATATGCCTTATCACTACCCTTATTCTAATGAATGTCCAAATATAATAACATATTTATTAAAAATGGCACAATAATAATAAAAATCAAAATTTTGAAAATATAGACAGAATTTCGTGTTTACATATCTACATAGTAAATGGTATAAAAATAGAGACCATAATGTGTACAGCCTATCGTATGTTATGTAAAAGTGTGTTAAAGATACCCGATATACAGTATACCCATGAGTTTTTCTTTTGCAAATTGTGGTAGGAATTATATTATAGTAGTAGTAAAATTAGCATGTTCATAGTATTAGCAGTAGTACCAATAATAATTAGCGTCTTAAAATGGTGATATAGTACTCATAGTATCGACATTATATAGTACTAGTACTCATATAATTAACATTAGCACTAATAGTCATAGTATTAACAGTAGTACTAGTACTCCTTATAGCATTATAATAGTGATATAGTACTATAGCTGTGAAAGTGTACTGTAAAATAGTTAAGACTATAAGAATCGTGTTAAAATATGGCAGGTAAGCTAATATAAAGTAAGGTTAAGCCTTCTGTAAATGACGTTTTTTGTGTTTTTTCTTCAACAAATCGTTACAGTAACAGTAATTTCGAATAAAGTTTTCTGGAATGCATTTGGTTTGCTCTTTGTACATATCGATTCGTGGGTATTCGTCAGCTACCATTTCTATCGTACCGTTCTTTACCTGAAATTTCAAAATCTTGGGCTTAAATTTTTTTCTCAACAACGTCCCTAATACAATTTACTACCCCTCTTCATATATAAAATCAACCCGAACTTCAACTTCTACACCTACCAGTACCCGTACTCCTATCCATACCCCTACCCTTACTACTACTCTTATCTCTACCCCTACTAGTACCCCTACCCCTGCTCTTACTACTACCCTTTCAGCTACTACTACCCTTAAGTCTACCCCTACCTTTACCCTTACTACTACCCTTATTTCTATCTTTATCGCGGCTCGTACCCTTACTACTATCCATAACTCTACCCCTACCTCTACTACTACCTGTGGTTCCACTCCTACTACTACCCTTACCTTTGTTATAAGACAACCTAAAGCACCCCCAAACGATACCGTAATCCTTGCCAAGTGACCTACTAAAACCCCTATCATGCCTTCTTAAATCGCTCTACAGTAATTCCTACTAAAGCCTCTACTGTAAGTTCTACTCCAGCTTTTGTCCCTGGCTTCCCAAAGACCCCAGCCTGAATTTAAACATCTCTTCCCTACATGCCCTGCTTTAAAAATCAACCCCCATACCTACAGTAAACACCAAGCCTCCAAGGTCTTCCCTACCCCTCCCCCACCAACAATACCTTACCATAACATAGCTCTCGTAAAGCCCTCCACTCGGCTGTACCCTAATCTTGACTAAATACGGTACTTCATTATTGCCAACCGGCTCAAATTCCTGTACTGTAGCATTAAATCCTTCATCCAACGTTAATGGAGCACACATTCCAGAATATTTTGAAGCTCTGACATCTTTATTCATCTTGTCCACCATCAATTTACCGGCTTCTTTTATTAGCTCCGGCTTCGAAACTTGTTTCCTCTCATGTTGACATAGACAATAGTCGAATGGGATTAGTAGAGAGCCACAATCTCGAGGAGACTTGAGTTTGTGGAATAAGGAGGAACCTTTGAGGGGTCGATTTGATGGAGAGAACTTTTCGTCGCTGAATGAGGTTGAGTTCGTCCATTTGTGGTTTTGCTGAAATTAAAAAAATTAAAAATTTGGTTTGAAAAGCAAAATCATTTTTTTTTAATTTTACTCTACCCTACCCTACTCTATGTAAACTACCCTACCTTACCCTACACTACCTTACCCCACCCTGCCCTGCCCTACCTTACCCGACCTTACGCTACCCTACCCTAACCTACCCTACTCTAAACTACCCTACCTTACACTACCCTACCCCACCCTGCCCTGCCCTATCATACCCTACCCTACCTTACACTACCCTACCCCACCCTGCCCTGCCCTATCCTACACTACCCTAATCTTACCATACCCTACCGTACACTGCCCTACTTAACTGTACCGGACCCAACACTACCTTACCGTACCGTATCCAACCACACCCTACCTTGATTTTAAAATACTGTAGACATACCCTAATTCTTAATCCCAAGCCTACTAAGACTAATTCTTGATTAAAATGATCCCTACCCTATTACTGTAGTCATAAATAACCTACCATAAACATCGTTAGCCCTATTCCTATTTTAAATTGAAAAGATTTACCCCGCTTTACCATTTTTATTCTTTTTCTTGGTCTACACTGGCTCTTATTTGTATTGCCCTGCCCTATGTAATTTTTCTCACCCTGCCCAATTTGTTCTATCCTACCATGCCCTGCTTAGTACTTTATATAAATTTTGTTTCCTGTCCAACCCCCCTAAACTATTCTACTCTATTTTATCCTACCCTACTTTGCGTTACCCTACCCTCCCCCCCCTTTATCAAAAAACTTTGTTCAAAACTTACCGTAGCCAACTCCAAGAAAGTAGCATACAAATCATAGTGAGTAATCAGTTCCTTCGAGTTCTTACTCAACTGATACATCAAGTCTTTGTTACCCCTCAACTTCTGAGGTACGGAGATCATAAAGAAAGGGTTGTGGTCCTCGATCTCTCCAACTGGAGTGTTCCTGACCTTCCCAGTACGACCTCCATGATCAGCCATGAAGATCAAGAACGAATTCTGAAGTTTGTCCTTGATTCGATTGAAGAACTCCTTCATCTGGGTATCTACATGGTAAAGGCCATTCATGTCATCATGAGCAATGTTTGTTAACCAATTGATTGAGAATTTTGGTTCATTTGGGTACTTTGTAGCAAATTCTTCTAGAAGTTCCAACATGTAATCGTGAGATTCATGACATGTGTCCTTGTAGACGGCACGTTGAACTTCTTTGTCTTTATACTTCTTGGAACCGTCGACTCGAAGGGCAAAAGGCCTGAAAATAAAAAAATAATTTTTTTAAATTAGAAACGTAAAATTGACAATTAAAAAGTAGGTCTGATTTTTTAGGTTAAGATGACTTTTTAAGGGCAAAGCTAGAGTGAGGTCAGAAGACAAGACAAGAGTAAAGCTAGGAGAGGCTTGGACAATGCCTGGGCAGAGCTAGAACAAGGCCAGAGCAAAGCCAGAAAAGGTATAAGACGTTGGCAAGGTTACGCTAGAACAGGGCCAGCATTAGGTAAGATCTAGAACAAGGCTAGAGCTGGGCTAAGGCGAGGCTTTAGCAGGGCTAGGACAAGAATAAGCCTTGGGCTATGACACGGCTAAGGAAAAGCTAGGACAGGGCTAAGTGACCTAGGGCTATGGCAAAACTCAGGCAGATCCAGGGCAAGGCTAAAAGAGCCAGGGCATGGGTAAGGAGGGTTAAAGCAAGGCTAGGGCTAAAGCAGGGTAAGGTTAAGGCAGAGCAGGGCAAGACTAGAGAAGAGCTAGAAGACAGCTAGAGCAGGGCTAGAGCGGAGCTAGGACTAGACATGAGAAACGGGCCGGCTTTGAGCAAAATTTCGATCGGGCCTGGCCTAACATTCAGGCCCGGTCCGTTTCTCATGTCTAGCTAGGAAAAGGCTAGAGCAAAGTCAGAGAAGAGGTGAGACCATAACAGGGTTCAACTAGGACAAAGCTAGAGCAAGGCTAAGACAGTGCGAGGGCAGAACCGCGGCAGAGTTAGGGCAGAGCTTGGACAGAGCTAGAGCAAAACTACAGTAAGGCTAAGAAGATGGCGGAGTTAGGTTAGGGCAGACCAAGGCTAAAGCAGTAATATAGCAGGACTAGAGCAAGACTAGAATTAAAATTCAAAACCTACTTCAAAAAGTGGTCCACCGGGCTTTTCGTGAACCCAAGACAGTTTGGCCAGTTGAAGATCCCAATAGCCCAGTCCTCATTCATCAACGTCCGATACCCTTGATTATTATAGTCAAACGCAATGAAATTCTCTGTATTCAACGACTTTTTACACAATGATCCACCTCTTCCTTGGCCTACAAATTTGCCCCAGGGATTGGCAGGCAGGTTCATGGCTCGTTCGCCAAGGAAGAAGGCGTAGGCATTCGGCCGAGAGTTTAGGCCGACCTTGTTTAGGTAGGGGAAATGGATGGCCTCGAGCTCTTGGCGGAGGAAATATTCGGTTTGAGGCATGGAACGGATAAATTGAGAGGTACTGACCGAATCTACGATTATTAGGTGGATATCGGCGGCTTGGGGGTTGGCTGGGGGCTTTTCGTCTTTTCTGAAAAATTGAAATTTTAAAAAATTTTGAAAAAATATCAAAAATAATTGAAAATTTCAAAAAAATTAAAAATTTAAAAATTTTTTTTTTAATTTCAAAAATTTTTCAAATTAAAAAGCTTACTTTTCCACAATCTGTTGATGTAAAAACTTGTATACAGGCTTAGTTAGATTTCCACATTGGACGTCGAACACGTCACAGCCTGGTCTTGAGCCATTTTCTCTGTCAATCACTTCCCATTCTCCGAATTTTAGACTTCTGTCATCTACTGAGTATAAACATCTGAAATTTATTTTTTAATTTTAAAAAAACTTTTAAAATTTGTAAAATACGGGCAAGTTTAAGAAAAGAGGACGGAGTGAGTAAAGTAAGCTGGAAAAAAGGAGCTAGGGCAGAAGCAGGGAAGGTAGGACAGGTCTAGCACAGAGCGAGGTCAGGAATAAAGCTAGGCTAGAGCAGGGATAAAGCAGGGCTAGGGCAAGACGAGAGCAGGCCTCTAAAACCAGGGTTAAAGCAAGACTGAGGCAAGGCGGGAATAAGGCTACGACAGGACTGTGGCAGGGCTAACGCAAAGTATAAGGCAATGCTAAGACAAAGCTAAGGCTATTCTTTAGCTTTTAAAGCATTTACAGTACTACTGGTATACTCTAGTAATACACAAATCCTACCGTAAGCTAAACCCTGCTTTTTTTTTGCTAGCCTTACCCTAGCCTAGTCATTCTACCCTGCCTTGCTTTCTCTTACTGAGCCCAGCTTACGCTACTCGACCCTATCCTACCGTACTCTACCCTGTCACACTCCACCCTTCACTACCATTCTACCTAAGCCCTTCCCTTTCCCACTAATGCCCTAATCAAACACCTATCTTACCTTTACTTCAACTGATTCACTTACCTATAATAACACGTTTGGTTTTTTAAATCTTCACCATCCACATTAACAACACCATCTTTTACCACACTCTGAACTTTAAATTTGGGTTTACAGTCCTTTCTCGGATCTTTGGATGAATCGAGGAAGTGTTTAATGGAAGGGTCCCATGGGTCTAGTTTAGGTAATCTACATTCAGCTCTTTCTCCAGCGAACGGCTTTATGGTCGTTATGGAGCCATTCTGACCAAAGTAGGGCTCATCTAAAATGACTGTTTATTTTAAATGAAAAGAACTTTCTTTACAAAACAGACAATGGCAAGAACTTTCTTTACAAAACAGAAAATGGCGAGAACTTTCTTTACAAAACAGAAAACGGCAAGAACTTTCTTTACAAAAGAGAAAATGGCAAGAACTTTCTTTACCTGTTTCCAAAATCCGTTCTAAATCTTGCTGATCATTAGGTAAGATACTTTGATTTAGAATCAAGAACAGTGATGCACATGCGCTGAAAACGTACAGAAACGTTCTTAACGTCAGCATCAACCCTGAAAAAAAAACTATTAAAGTGCAATTTCTAAAACATTTTTTTATTTTTTTTCAAATCTCGATATCAGCTATTACAACAGCCGGGTAGCGTAGTCCTACCGTACCCTACCTTGCTCTACCTTACCCTACCCTGCCCTACCCTACCTTGCCCGAACCCACTCTAATTTATATTGGTCTTTTCTACCCAAAACCATATATAAGATCTACCTGAGTACCTAGGTTTGCCCTACCCCACACTATGTACGTCTTTTTTAAACATTTCTTTTCATTAGCCATACCATTTCCAAATAATATCCAGTTTCACCCATACCTTGTCCAAAAGATTACCCTAGCCATTCCAGGCCCAATGTCAAAGCCACAACTTGCCCAACCCTTTACTTGCCCTAGCCATACTACGCCCACGAGACACCCAAGCCATCCCATGCCTAACCAAAGCCCTGCCCCAGCCATACCATGTCAAAGACACACCTTGTCCTACTCTTAACTTGCCTTATCCAAACCCGGCCCTAGTCTAAAAATTATACATCTTACCCCAAGTCATATCGGCCCTACTTTTTAACAGTGCGGTGCAACTATATCAGGGCCCCATTTTTGTTTGACTCGCCATTAAAAGATGACAAATGTAATCAAACCTCCAAACTATAATATGATATAATCCTAAACATACAAATATTTAATCAGCTTTTTTTCTAGAAAAGGAATTCTTATTACAATAGAAAGCTCTGTATAAGTAACCGAAAATTCGAAATTTGATCGTTATGACATTTATGTATAACGAACAACGTTTAAATTCCCGTCTACCACTACACAATGCATTTAAAACTCCTCTATAACAAAACTCCTTTATAACGAACAAATTTTAAATCCCCTGAGCGATTCGTCGTACAGGATAAGAATTATTTATAGAAAAGTCCATTATAAAAGAATTTGTTATACACGAGTTCCACTATGTTTAAAGCACCAAAACCCAAGGTATAATGCCATAAACCGATTATTAAGTATAGCCATGTTTTGACGTATCCCCCGATAAGATATTCGTTAAGATACCATCACATTTTGTAGCTTTAATCATTGTGTGATGATAATTGGACAACAATTTTACAAATATGTTTTTTTAGTTTAAGTGTTGCTTAATGTTGTTATTCCTTATCACTACAATTGACCCTCATGATCTGAGAAACTAATTTTTACTTAGAATTTATAGACTAAAGTTCAAAAAGATCATGTTATCATAATCAGTAAACTACAAAAATAAAAAACTTAAAAAAATTGTTGGTAACGTCATTTCAAAATATAGTAAGTACTAATGTAAAGGTAAAAACGTACTGTACAAAAAATTGTTTGAAATTGGCTGAAACACGGTACCGCCTAGACATGGTATGGCTAGAATAAAGTAAAATTTAAAAAATTCAGAACAAAGCCCCTTTTAGCATACCTTGTATGTGTATATAATTCTTGGCGGCGCCACAAAAACATAGAACTACTAAAAGTTACTCAACCGCTAAATCGTTTTTTATATCCGTTTCCTGTAAGAAAATAAAGAAAAAATACGAAAAGGAACGTAAAAAGATTACCTGCAAAACAGAAATACTATTACCCTGCATTGCCATATTCTACCCTACTTTACCCTACCTTATTATACACAACCCTACCATGCCCTGCCCTGCCCTACACTACCCTACCTTTCCTTACTTTACTCTATCTTACTCTACCCTACCCTGGACATGGAAAACGGGCCGGCCTGAGCAAAATTTTAATCAGTCCGGGCCTGGAAATGTCAAAAACGCCCAGCCCGTTCCCACGTTAAAAAATGGACCCGGCCCGTTCCCCGTGTCTACCCTACCCCCCCCCTTCCTTACGCTATTCCACCCTGCTGTAGCACACCTAAGCCCACCCTCTTTCGGTCCTGCCCCGCCTTAAACTTCCCTACTCTACCCTACATTGAAAAGACTAGCTACATATTTCCTTGCCTTATACTTGACCAACCCTACCATAATGTGCCTGAACCCTAACACATCTAAACCCTCATCCTACCCTACCTTTGAAAACGTCATAAATCATCCTGACGCTGCCCTACTCTACTGTAGCTTAACCCCAAGACTCATTTAGCGTAACTGAAAAAGTTGTACTGGACTAACCATAAAATCAAGATTATAGTTAGTCCAGTCAAACACTATACCCAAAGATATACAAGCTCTAGTTCAGCAGCAACTATAGCTGAGGTTTAAAAGTTGTTTTGAATTCTACCTTACATACCTTACACTACTTTACATTACCTTATTCTACCCTTTCCAACCCTACCCTACTTTATCCTAAGTTATCCTATCCTTGCAGACCCTACCCTACTAAACCTAAGTTTACCCACCCATCTTTACTCTTCCCTACTCACCAAACAACTATAAAACGATACAATAACTAAAAACCCTCTCGATCACACCACAATATCCTGTTATCGTAAATGGTGATAATCTTATCCAAACATCTTTTACTTACCAATCGAAACCTCAAAATAAATAAAAAAGAATAATCGAGAAATCCATCGTCTTCACAAGGTTAATAAAAACAATGTCGCAAAAAGGTACGCTTCCAGATCCTGTGAACGATAACAAAAACGAACTTTCAAAAAAATGAATGTTCTACTAATTCCAATTAAAAAAAATACCCTTTGGCTTTTGAACTGGTTTCTAAAGTAGTATTACACTGATATGACTGTTGGCATAAGCTGATTGTAAAAAATGTTTCTTTTGTGAAACGGCCCGGTAGGCAAAGGAAGAGTAAGATAAGAGTAGGGTAAGAAGAGAAGTCGAATTAGAAATGAAAGTATATTTATAGGTATAGGTAAGAATAGAGATGCACATACAGGTAGATATAAGGGTAGGTGTAAGGGTAAGAATAGTCTAAAGGATAGATGCTAGGGTAAGAATAGGGGCAAAGATGAGCGTACGGGTAAAGGTAGGGGTAGAAGTACAGGTAAAAGAAGGGCTTGCAGTAGGGGTAGACATAGAGGTAAAAGGAAAAAAGCAGGGGTAAGGTTAGGGGTAGGAGTAGAGGTAGGAATAAGGATAGGGGTAGGAGTTGGGGTAGAGGTAGGGGTAGGGGTGGGGGTAGGGGTAGGGGTGGGGGTAGGGGTAGGGGTAGGGGTAAAGGTAGAGGTAGGGGTAGGATACAATTATAAAATTTAACGAAAAAATCTTAAAGAAAGCAAATTATGACATTATTTCATAGAAATTTTCGCACAATAAAACAAAAAATGAACCCGGGTACCTCTCACTTTTTCCTTTTTTTCCCAAAAAACCCCCCGCTTGTTTACAACAACTTCCTGGAAACGCATCTTTCGAGGAGTTTAATGATGCATTCATTTAAACGTAAAAATTATAAGTGAATAAAGTAAATACAACCCACTCAAGTAGCGTAAAACAACTTAATTACTACAATATTTTAAGTTACTGTACCTTATCTGACGCTACACTACCATAGGCTACCCTACCCTACGTTACCTTACATTACCCTACCCTACCCTACGCTACCCTATCCTACTCTACTCTACTTTACCATACGCTACCTTGCCCTACCCTACCTTACCTTACACTACCCTACGTTACCTTACCCTACCCTACTTTGCCCTTTAGGTAACCGCACCTTACCCCGCCCTACCATATCCTATGCTACCCTACCCTACCCATGCTTATATTATACCCTAACATACTCTATTTTACCCTGCCCTACTTTACCCTACCCTGCCTTAACCTACCCTCCTCTTTCCTGTCTCCTGTACATTCCATCTTATAATACCCTTTATTTATCCTGCCCTAAAAATTTTCCCTACCCTCAAAAATCTGCCTTACCCTATCTTTTTATTATTTATTTATTTACCGCCAAAACTCGTTTATAAAGACAGTGCAAACAAATAAAAAAACATTTCCTTAAAACACGAAGTAAAACGTAAAGTAAGTTCGAAGCACTGTGAATGATAAAGTGAGTCATAGTGACAAAAAAAAACAACAGGATTTAAGACGCTACAATTGATAAAAGTACTAATAAAATACGTTTTGAAAATTAAAATTCCTATAAAACATAGGCTTAAAAATGAATTTCAGTTTAAAAATAAATCTTAGGCTTAAAAATGAAATTTAGGCTTAAGAATAAAATATTAGGCTTAAAAAAGAATTTTAGGCTTAAAATTGAGTTTTAGGCATAAAAATGAAATTTTAAGTTTGAAAACGAATTTTAGGTTTAGAAATAAATTTTAAGCTTAAAAATAAAATTTTAGAATTAAAAATGAAATTTTAGGCTTAAAAATGAAGTTTAGGCTTCAAAATAAATTTTAGGCTTAAAAATGACCTTAAGAATGAATTTTAAGTATAAAAATAAGCATTTAAACTTAAAAATCAAAGTTTATGCTTAAAAAAATAAGTTTTAGGCCTATTATGTCAATAATATAAAATAGAATCAAAATTTTTTTAAGAATCATAATATTAATATAAAAAGTACCAATTTTAGGTATAGTAAAACCCTAAAATTAGACCCCAAAAACTCTTACAAGAAAAAAGCATACGGCGAATTAATTAGCCCATTTTTTGTCGAATTTGTGTTGTAGAGTCGCCTGCTTTTGCGAAAAAAAATCAGATCAAAATTGCGCAAGAACGTTCCCACTTTGATGTTCTTGAAGCCTGTCATTTCGGTCACTTGAAACGACAAATGTGACATTATTTTTGACAAAAATAAGTTTTTGAGACAAAATAATATATTTTAAGCTTAAAAATAAGTGTGAGCTTTTAAAATTTAGTTTTAGGCTTAAAAATAAAAATTTTAGCATTAAAAAAAGTTTAAGCTTAAAAATAAATTTGGGCTTTTAAAACTTAGTTTTAGGTTCAAAAATAAAAAATTTTAGGCTTAAAAAAGTTTACGCTTAAAAATGAACTTAAAGGTAAGTTTTTAAGCTTAAGAATAAAATTTCAAGCTTAAAAATGAATTTTAAGATAAACAATATAATT